GATCTAAGTTGATAATTAAACTGAGGAACTACAGTAGCGTACAGGCAGTATTTATATCTACGGAACGGCGCATCGGTGCGGAGCGCCAGACTAACTACTAGGAGCTATACGAGTAGTACCTGCAGGGTAGAGTAAAAGACAATAAGGAGAGACTAGAACGAAAGAGTAAAAGACAATAATGAGAGACTAGGACGAAAGGATATGTGTAGCGAGAAAGAACAATAGGGAGAGATTACAATAAGAGCAGATCTTCGGAGTACCGAGCGGCGGAATGGAGGCCCGCGGCATGGACTTGACAGAAGCAAGACGATGGTCAGTGGCACCCAGTAGCCTTCAGATCGGCATCCATGCAGCCAGCAGAACGGAACTATGAAATATATGATCGGGAGATGCTTGCCATTATTGAAGCATTGAAGGACTGGAGGAATTTCCTGGAAGGACTTCCACAACCATTCGACATTATCACCGACCACTCCAACCTCGAATTCTGGCGCACAGCACAAGACCTTACCCGTCGACAAGCCCGATGGGCCCTCTATCTATCACGGTTTGATTTTCATATGATCCACCGTCCTGGCCGAGTAAACACCCAAGCTGATGCCCTTTCTCGTATGGCAGTACATCATGTATCAGATAGCGATGACAATCAGCAACAGACCGTCCTTAAACCTGGCCACTTCACCAAAATCGCCGCTTCAATCCTACGGAACCCCCTAGAGGATCGTATTCGGAAAGCCTCAGAACGGGAAGCACAAGTACTGGAAGGTCTGGAAACAGCCAAGAAGCACGGGTTACAACGCTTGGCCAATGGGATAGCTGAATGGGAGGAGGACAACGGGTTGGTCTATTACCGGGGCCGGGTATATGTACCAGCAGACAACAATCTACGCACCGAGGTACTCCGTCAATGCCATGATCATCCAACTGCTGGACATCCTGGATTACATGGGACACTTGACCTGGTCAGCACCCACTTCTGGTGGCCGACACTGCGTTCTTTTGTGGAGAAATACGTTGAGGGATGCGAGATTTGCGCCCGCAAGAAGATCCAACGGCACCCACGAGCTGTGACTCAACCACTGGATGTACCATCCGGCCTATGGGAAGAGGTAGGGGTCGACCTGATAACACAATTGCCTAACTCCCAGGGATACGACGCAGTCTTGGTCTGTACAGACCTGTATGGAAAACAAATCCATGCTATTCCTTGCACCAGCTCCATTACAGCCGAAGGTGTCGCCGATATCTATTACCGAGAAATCTTCCGTCTTCATGGTCTTCCCCTCCACTTCAAATCCGACCGCGGACCTCAGTTCGCAGCTAAACTCATGCGATCCCTCCTCGCTAGACTGGGAATTAAATCAGATCTAACCTCCGGATATCGTCCTCAGTCCAATGGCCAAACTGAACGCGCAAATCAGGAAGTGGAAAAATACATCCGCCTCTATGTGAGACGACGACAAGATGACTGGGCAGAACACCTCCCCATGGCGGAGTTTGTGATTAACTCGCGGACTCACTCGGCCCTAGGCATGTCCCCATTCGAGTTAACCTACGGATACCTTCCCCTGTTCAATATCCCGGTTGGTCAACGCAGCGGCATTCCAGCGGTGGATGACCGCATACGGATTCTCCGAGAAGCGCGACAGGATGCTGGAGCTGCCTTACATCTAGGAAAGAAGCAACAAAAGGAGGGATATGAACGTGGGAAGCGAAAAGCACATCAATTCAAAGTTGGGGACCTAGTTTGGCTAAGTGCGGAGGACATTAACCTGCAGCTATCCAGTGAAAAACTAGGAGACCGACAGCTAGGACCTTACCGTATTCTGGAGAAAGTCGGACCTCTGGATTACCGCCTTGACCTTCCCTTGTCATTAGACCGCCTTCATCCTGTCTTCCATGTCGACAAACTATATCCATGGAAAGGTAACCCCATCAATGGCGAAATACCAACACCACCAGAGCCGGTGTACTTAGAAGATGAAGATGAACCGGAATATGAAGTGGAGGAGATCTTGGACAGTCGGGTACGATGGAAGAAGTTGGAATATCTAGTAAAATGGAAAGGTTACGATGCAGGACACAACTCTTGGGAACCCGCACCCAACCTCAGCCGGGCACCAAAAATTGTTCGGGCCTTTCACAAAAAACATCCGACAGCGGCAAAACCTTGACCATCGAGGGCAATGGTCATAAGGAGGGGGGTAATGTCATAAAGTACGCAGCCCCTATCATTTTCCCTTTCTCACCGTCTCGACGCCTTTACTTGTACAATACATCATCCCATCGCTGTCAATCTCCATCGATTACTGATCTATCTATTACTGATCCACCTGACCCACCTTCTCTTTCTATCGGCTTCCGCCTCCTTCCTTGCCCCTGAACTGTACAGTATTACATCGTTGTTTCTCGCAGACTAGATTATGTATATATAGCCAACCCTCCACAGCCTGGTCCCTTATCTTGACCTCTCTGTCATTATCTGGGACCAGGTATGTGCTTACTTATTATTACCTATGACTACGATACTCAATATATCTCTGTCATTATCTGGGACCAGTTCGCCTCCGCTCCGCTTAGTCGCTCCGCCTCACTCACCTGCTTAGTCGCTCCGCCTCACTGCCTGGCTTAGTCACCCCGCTTCCTGCTCCGCTAGTCACTCCGCCTCTGCCGCTTCGTGACACTAATTACTTTTCTAAATCTGTCTGTGCATAACCTTTTCTCAAAATTAAGTTGATTGACATTTCTTGTGTAAATATTGACTTTGTCTTCTCCAATATTTCCCCTTCTGAGCCAAGTTTGGTAAGGTTAGAAAGGGACCCTTAATCAAGTTCATGATCATTCTGGTACTTTTACCACAGTAATCACTAACTCCAACCACGGTGAACCAGAAAAACTGCATTGTTTCATAAATTAAATATCACTAGATCTGGACTAGATTTAGATAGCAGATGCCCCTTCTATTTGATACCGCCAATGCCACAGCTGTAAGTGCACTGAAGCCGAAAACTTGGCACAAGGCAAGCCCACATCTGCAAAACCTGTATGTTCACCAGAGCAAGGGTACTGGCTGGAGAGCGCTCTCCAGCACCCAAAGCACCGAGAGCAAAATTTCAACCCTGCTCTGGGTGCTTTGGCTGCTGGGAAGCGCTCTCAGCTGCTCTCAGAGAATTAGCCGAAAAAACAGGTTTTGCAGATGCAGGACATGATTACTTGATGCAGATGTAATCCATCTTAAAGCCTAAGGATTTGCTAGGTCACAAGCTCAGACCTGTTCAAATGTCATACGAAATTATCTTTAGTAAAGATGAAACAATGTGACTTGCTGGAAAAGCTCTAAAGTTAGTTTCAGCTTTCCATTTCTATCTCAGGCTTGCATACTACATCAATCAGAAGTACATTATGAGAGATTCAAAATGGAGCAAAAATAGTCCTTGTGCTGGCAAGTACTTCATTGAGAAATCAGAGCAAAAGCCATAACCTGAATATTAATGAACCAAACATTCAATGTAGTTCTGGTGTTGACATTGACACTAAGCTTGTTACAAAAATATCCAATCCAAGACCGATCTTGTCACAGGAAATTTCAACCTGGAACTCGGCTCAATGAGTTATGCATCTTGGACAATGTCAGCTGAGGCATAACATTCTTCTGGTCAGAAAGCTGTCTGAGTGCATGAATAAAGCAGCCAGCTCGGCCTTTAATAACATCTGAGTTGGCTCGGGCAGCACTCATTTTTTGCAACTTATAGCCTTATGACCCTCATCAAAATCAGAAACTTATGCAACGGAACCTCAAACTAAGATGCTATAGAGATTGACACCACTGAGCTGCATTTGATGATATACCATGCTAGTGCTTCAAATCAATAACAAAGAAATAATTCTGAGTAGCCGTGTTTCTTGTGTAACTTGTTAGAGATACATAGCACTTCTGCCTTCATAGGAAGGGTCAACAATGGATTAAAATGAGTGTCTATTGTAAGCAAGGTGTTAGAATTGAATAATAAAAAAGAAGTAAAGAATGAGGGGCTTGTGAAAAGAGATTACTAAATCTACCATCCCTTGAGCAGGTCTCGGTGGGAGCTAATCTCATGCCAAGTGCATGACCAAGAGAACAGAAGGGGGGAAGAATTCATCTGCCATGATCTGAACATTCATGCCTTGAGGAACCCGCGCTTCGAAGAATATTGACAACTGTTCACATCTAATATACTTGCTACAAACGGCAAAGCATATTCTCGGAGGAATTCACCGGGTCCAATACATGGTCTATGGACCGGAGCTGAATTGAGGATAAAAATTTGAGGGATATAATTAGCCTCCTTGAAGATACTAAATTTCGATATGTACTTAGTAAGTCATGGATGAGCTCACTGTATTCCAACAATGCCAGGACCTCAGTCAGCAAAAGACTTGAACACAGTAGATATCTCTCACTTTGTCATCAACATCGCTCGAAGACACGTCTGCAGTGAAAAAAAAATTCAATCAAAATGCCCAACGAAAAATCTTCACTGTGCTATCATGCTAGAGTCATGTAAACCAATGATCCACCAGATTTTGCTTTGACAGTCACATATAGTCTCTTTCCGAGTCTTGAAGAAATTTTGAACGTGCGAGCCTTGCCGTAGCATAATTTTGATGCGCTCGACTTTCGCGGATGAGACTCGGATTGTGAGAGCAAATTCACAATGATTTGAAGAGTATCGAAGTGGTTAAAAAGGTGTGCCACAACGCAAGAACGCTTTCAACATTTTTCATGGTGGTTGACACCGAGAAGACCCGGAGAAGACCGACAACGGAGCTGAGAGGTCAAGCTTTAAGTGTCGGCTTTTACCGGTGGCTGCTCGCTCTGAATTACATTCTCCTCCGGACAATGACATGGAACCTTATATATGCATAAGCCGGTATCAAGCATTGCGCCTGAAACGAGGCTGTATATATGTATTCCAATAGATTGCTTCTGCTGTTCTTCATATACCCTCTGGTTCTTCACAATGGCAACGGCGACGAAAACTCCACTGGACCATTTTCGGGCTGCTGTGAGCAAAGTCATCGCCATGAATCGAACCTCAACAATGTTCACCTCTTTGGGTGCTGGGGCCGAACCTGGTGTGGACCCTCGTCACTACAATGCGGAACTACGATATCGTGGCATTCGACAACCTTGTGAAATTCGTATCGTGGACTATTCGTCGGTGTCAATGAAGTCGGGAAGTATGTCAAACATTCAACTCGTTGATATGTTGAATGATCCGCAAGTGAGCGAAAGACCGTCTTGGGCAAAAGTAAGGTGGATAGATGTCGGAGGAATCAGTTGGGATGTGTTGAAAGCGCTCGCAATGAAGTACAGTGAGCCTCGTGTTTGTTCATGGCTTGTTCCTATCATAATGTCCTGACTCCTGTTGAATCAGAAATACACCCTCTCGCTCTTGAGAACATATTGCACACGCACACTAAACCCACTGCGAGCAAATCTGATTATTATCATGAGCATCTATTCCTGCGAATACTTTGTCTTGAACTGCGTGATGAGAATAGTGTCATTCGACTTTCCGAAACGCAATGGGAGTGGGACGCTACGATGGATATTGAAGATTTACAGCCAGACTCTCAGGATCGTCCTTTCAACCGGGAAGCAGGTTCGTTCTCTGATACGACGCCAGGCCTGGATGCGGCTGCAACGGTGCAGGTTGAAGCTTTAATGCAGGTGAGCTAGATCACTGAAAATACTCCAAATTCTAATCAATGTTTCTGTGTCTTATAGAGAGGCCGCGTTGAGGTCAATGTATTCCCCATATTCATCCTGTTATTCAAAAATGGTTTGTCGTCGCTTTTCGTTTCCCGTTTCAACTTCCACAGTGAACGTCCTGTAGGCACTGTCATCACACTGCACCGCACGACCAACGCGAAGCTTACAGAGCCCATCCGCGATCGACTTTCTCGACCTGATACTCTTTTGCGCTCTACATGCGACGCCTCAGTTTTGGTTCAAAGCTTACTTGATCTTGGTACGACCACTATTATCACCTCACAATGGATTTGCGCATCTTATGCCGGACCCTACAGCCGTTGACAAGGCCATGGGAATCACAGAGGCCTGCGAATACAAGCTGAAAAAATATGAGAAGCAGCTACTGCTCAAACCAGAGGTAAACACAGTCAGCAATTGTAAGTAAATATGATGTCCTCCCTTTTCGTTGAACTCTGACTCGGCGCCGTTCAGTACACATTTTGACTGGCGATATCAATCTTCACCAACGTGCCCTCGTGCCTCTCAAACGGGTGATATATGGTTTACGAAGATATGACCTCGATCGATGTATTGCCTTGCTAAATTTACCGCCAGGGGAGGAGGTAGATGTCAAAATGGAGGGGTACATGAGCCGTACTGCGCTCACTTACCTTGTATGTGTTCAGTGATTGACAATAAGTTTACAATGCTAATCAAGTTGGTATCGTAGGCAGATGTATATGATCATATAGACTATATCCTCCGGAGTTTGGATGTTGTTGAAAATCTCGGTGAAAACTTGATTGGATATTCATTCAATGTAAGCGTTTTTGTAACTGTGCATTACAGAATACAAAGATCACATCGGCGCCCTTGAAATTTCTTGACAGTTGACTTCCCATGAGATGAATGTTATAATGTGTGTCTTATCGCCCAAATCATGTTTCAGATGATGAAATTTCTTTAGGAAACGGCTGACTCTCATCACTGTTATATGTTTACCTCTGACTTTTTTGACTGGTTATGGAGCAAGTTTTTCTCCTTTTCTGACTCTTCTCGCTAGCTAACTTGTTGTCAGGGAATGAATTTCAAAGGCCCGCCAATGTGGTGGACTATGGCCCCCACACATTCTGATATCTGGTATATTTTACTTCACACTTTCACACTCCTGATGTTTGACCACGGTCCACATCAACCTCTTGTTCAGGTTCTGGATTGTTGCACTCCCTGTAATGGCAGTGGTCGTGCCTTTCTTTTTATTTTCAGAGTTGAAGAACCTTTATCACGTTGACAAGAACAGGAAATTGTCGCAAAAGGCATTGAGGGTTAGTTATTTCTGATCAAGCTAATTACCTCTCTTTCTCATCTTTCGAGAACCTACATGTAGTCCTATCAAAGTCAACGACAAGGATCGGGGTCCAAGAACAGTGGATTTTCAACCTAGGGTTATTTTCCAAATATTTTCTGTCGATCATCGTATTCTTACACATGTGCTGTACTTTGGTCATATATCTATTTGCCAGATGCTGTTCCCGCTACCTCTTTAGAGGTTGAAGGGTTTAGTAGACCCAGTTTTTTCGAAATTAGCCATCCCTTGTCATCGGTTTTTAGTCATATATCTCCTTTTGGTCATTCGCTTTTCGAGTTGGTGAGGTACTACTACTGCTGGAGAGTACAGGTTGGGCAGATGCAGCTACATGCGGCGCGCCCTACGCGCGCCGCTTTTTCTATCTACAATACAAGTATATTAGCCATCACAGGTGTGGTCCCATTGTAGTACAGACCTCTACAAACACTACCTCTTACTACTCATCCTGTGTCAGCGTTCATTCCACCTTGTACTTAGTGCTCACAGACACCCATTGACTGGTAGCGGGCCCTGCCGTTCACCGGCGCTACTTCGTTATAGCTAAACTGATAGTTGCTGATAAAGAATGGAATTCGGAATATCCGTTGGAAATCCCGGCCGGTCACGTCGTCAGGACAAAAATAACCCATTCAAGTTGTGCATCTGAGCGCTGATTCTTTTCTCCTTTTCTTCTTCCTGTTGCTGCCAGTACATCGAAATGCACATCCTATTTCAACTTCTTTCCTCTATTGTTGTAACCCTGGTTCTTTATGCCTCTTACCTTCTCTTCAATATCGTTCAGTTCCGGATTAACTCGCAGATAAAGGATGTTCCAGGCCCTCCTAGTAAACATTGGTTTTGGGGTAATATGAAAGAAATTATGGACAGTGTACGCGCATACCTTGCACATCCTCATGGGTATATTGCCGCCAAATCGCTCAACGTTTTGCAAACCTAGGACGCTGCTGTACTTCACGAAAAGTGGGTCGAGGAGTATGGCCACACGTTGAAGTATAAAATGCTTTTTGGTGTACGCTGACATTACTTGTATATATAAATACTTGAAGCTCATACTAATCCGTTGTAGCGCGAGCGTTTGTTTACTATGGATACCAAGGCTTTGAACCATGTTCTTATGAACCACTACATCTACCAAAAACCGGAAGCGGCTCGATATAATTTGAGTCAGATTCTTGGCGAAGGCATACTAGTAACGGAAGAAGACAAGCACAAACTCCAACGCAAGATCATGGTGAGTTGAGAGAGAGTCGATTTCAAGGCATGCATTGAGTCTGAACAGAATCCTGCTTTCGGTCCTTCTCAAATCCGAGAACTGACAGAGATATTCGTTGATAAATCTATTGAAGTGCGTTGTGTTTCCCATATTTGCTTTATCTCGACCTATGATTGTTTAGTTGAGGGATGTGTGGGCAGCCCGGATCGCTGCTGGAGGCGGGGAAGCTCGTATTGATGTTCTTTCGTCATTGAGCAAAATGACTTTGGACGTAATCGGGCTTGCAGGTAAGTGTCTACGTGAGTGAACAGGTATCATTTCTCACTGATTGTTAGGTTTCAACTACAAATTCAATGCCTTGAAAGACGACGGGGGTTCTAATGAACTAAATAAGGCGTTTGCAGTCATCTTTGGGGACCCAGAAGCCCAAAAAATACGACCATGGCCTCTTGCGCAGACCTTGTTACCTCCCTTGCGTGGTCTGGTAAGTCAAATGTCCGATCACTGCGAATGGTTGATGGAAATTCCCCCTCCTCTACTTCCTGTTCCGTCAGCCTTCACAAGACCCTCCAGGATTTAAAGAAGCCAAGAAGACAATGTCTCGTATCGGTCATAATTTACTTCGCGACACTCAAGCCTCTCTGCGAGACACTGGTGGAGAAAAATCAGAAAACTGGGATTCAAGGGATTTGTTATCACTTCTTGTCAGGTCAAATATGAGCGGGGAACAAGGCCAAATGAGCGATGATGATGTATTGGCACGTAAGCCTCACCTTCCTCCTTCCTTTCCTTCTTTGAGTCCTTTCGAAATTGATGGAATGTCTTTATGTCAAAATCCTAAACAGAGGTCCCAACATTTTTAGTCGCAGGACACGAAACAACCAGGTGTGATTTGTTTTCTGCAAAGTGCTCCCAGACTCCAGAAAAAAGAGACTGACACTCATCCCCCCCTCTTTGACAGCACAGGTAACTTCAATTTCTTATAAGAAGGAAAAGAACTCATTGTTTCAAGCAACCACCTGGGCGCTTTTCGCACTTGTCCAACACCCTGACGTCCAACACAAACTACGGGAAGAACTATTGTACACGCTCTCTACTGAAAATCCTAGCATGGATGAACTCAACTCTTTACCATACCTCGACAAAGTCGTTCGCGAGACATTAAGAGTGCATGCACCCGTCCCAGGGACAATGCGTGTGGCGGCAAAAGACGATGTCATTCCGTTGGGCAAGCCGTGGATAGATAGAAAGGGTGTGGCGAGGGATAGCGTTTCGTACGCAGGCGTCCGTTTGTCTTTCGACTGTGTTGATGATAATATCGTTGTTCGTATGCGTAAAGGGTTCAAAAGGGTCAAACGATCTTCGTACCTATCCTTGCTATAAATCGGGACAAATCTTTATGGGGAGAAGATTCCATGGAATTCAAGTCAGTTGCTAGTCTCTTTGAAGTTTGCAATATCCTATTCATAATTTCTTTCAGACCCGAACGTTGGGATAACCTTCCCGCTGCAGTATCCTCGATTCCTGGTGTCTGGGGTAACTTGCTGACTTTTCTTGGAGGTGCTAGGGCATGTATTGGGTATCGCTTTTCTCTAGTCGAGTAAGTCCCCGGTTATCACCAGTCGACACTAAATATCAACACTAATTATCAACTCACTCAACTCTCGCAGGATGAAAGCGCTGTTATTCATCCTCGTACGGAACTTCGAATTTGAGTTGGCGGTCCCCGCAGACGATGTGATCGCCAAATCTACTGTCGTGCAACGACCGAGGTTAAAGAGCGAAAAAGATGCGGGTAGTCAGTTGCCTTTGATAGTAAGATTGCATCAGAAGGCTTGATATAGGAAAAGGACTCGGAGGATTGGACTTTGTGCTTCCGTTGATTTCCAAGTTGGTTGGATTGCAGGATGGATCAAGTGAATATGTACCATGCTGGATGGATTTTTTATCTTCGTTCATTGCAGTATGGAGGATGCTGCAGGTGTTTTGGATTTGACATTGACGACGTGTGTGTATGGTGTGTAGGTATGAGTATCCCTATCAAATAGTGCAATGAACAGTTCATGTGGAAGACAAAACACAACGGAGCGAATGATGGAGCAAACGATGAAGTACCACGAATGCATAAATTATTGGTATCGAAGCCGCTCAAGGAAGAACACCCCCTCCCATCAGAGGCAGAAGAAGATTCAATGAATATGCAAGAAAAACGAGCTCGCGATAGGTCGAACTCTTCCGAAAAACCTATATCTCCTCTTAAAGATCGTCACCTCCATTAGTCACAATTCTAAATCCTACTGTTTGATTCCGGCCGCGGAGCATCACCAGTAACAGTTTCCCATTCATCCCCAACCCCAACCACATTCTCATAATCACCGAAACAATCCCACTCCCAGCTCGTCTTCTCTAAAATCTCCTTCTGAGTCTTGACGAACGTGTCTACAGGACACAGTCCGTCTGCTTGCGATGGACAGCCGCGGATACCGGTAAGAGGAACTGGAGCGTCATTGACGATTATGCGAACTTGTTCGCCGGATATTGAAGGTGATGAACATTCTAAAACTGTTGATTATAGAATATGTGTAAGACAGAGAGAGGACGGTAAGAAGATAATGAAATCACGCACTTTGGAACTGGATGTTCGTGGCGAAAGGCGCCAGCTGAGAAACCTTGAACGATTGGTTTTCTGGTATATGATCGTACGGTAGCGGTCCATTGGCTGCCAAACTTGACAAGTTTAATGCGGTTAGGACTATGACATATACAACGTCAGTCATACAGATGGTAGACAAACGTAAGATGATCAGGAAGACGCACTGTTCAGCACAACAACTTCATGCGTAGCATCCACATACAGGCTCTGATTAAGCGGGAACGTAATCTCACTATCATCTAGCGTGGAATTAGTACTGAAACGATGCTCATGGGGCGCAATGGGTTTGTGCTCTAGACGGGCAATGAATTCTTGTACCCAACCTGCACCTTGAACACGAGCGACAGGGGAGCCAAAGGCGGAGTTGTACCAGAAATAGAGGTCAAGAGAGTAATCGAACCCTTCCCATTCGGATTGTGTAAATAACTCGCAGAACTTGGAGTATCCGATTGCTACTGTCTGTGATTGGGGTGTGATAGTATCAGTCAGTAAGCTACCGGTAGTGGAAGAGAAAGAAGGATGCGAACCTCATAGGCACACATCTGCTGCATAGTATACACATCCTCAACGCTCAAGTCGTACCCCTCCAATTGTGACTGGAGTCTTTCCCGCGTGTCGTTCAGATATATATTTGCCCACTGCTCGACGTACCATTTCCCTCGGTCGGAGATAGGGCGATGTCGCGCATTGTGGCAAGTATCATAAGGAGCAAGCGTGTTGTTGAACTGTCAAGGAGATGAGCCAGAAGTGCATTAGATAGGACAACAGGACAGGAAACGCACCCCGTCTGCTTCGATAGTGATGCTTTGTTGATATTGACCTTCAAAAGGATACCCGAAAAAGCCTATGGCGAAGTTTAATGCTGAATGCAGCATGCGGTCTCTTGAGTTAATCAAAGTAAGCATTCATTTCCGATGGACGACAATAAAAGTACGGACGTACTGTGATTCGGTGCGGAAGACGGGGATAGTATTTGTTTCGGTGAAGTTTTTGAGTAGGAATCCATACTTAAGTCTCATGGAGATACCGAGGTCGTAAAGCTGTTGTCTTCCAAATGGAGTCAGAAGCTCTTCACCGAGCTTGTATGTCCTGTATAGCGACGTTTTAGTCTTTCATATAACGTACAGTGAAGCTTTAGATACACACCAATCATTCATGAACGCCAAATTCCCCTTTGCAGTCCAATCATCCGCGACCTTGTGTAACCTTCCAGCAAAGTCCGCTGGCCCACCGAATGAAGCTTTTGGTATAGTTCAATTTATAGTATTCTTTGGATTGAATAGCACATTACTCACCCCAAGCAGTAGGATACCTGGCGCCATGTCTATGCAAAAAGTGCAAACCAGTCACTCGACATGTATCAGGCGTTCCTGGACCCGAATCCAACCCAAACGTTCCTCGTTCATTGCTATACCAAGGCGCAAGATTCCCCCAATGTTTAAACAGATCCCAGCTGTCACCCTTCTCCTTCTTCTTATCATCTCCTTTGTCTCCCAACGTCTCCGGCTTCACCAGTTGAGCGGCTCCAGTATGTATAGGGTACTGTGGTGCGGTGGCAATCAGCGCTGGCTCGGCACCAGTTGGTGTACCTCCCGCATAACCGACGTTTGAAGGGAACAATGATGGGAATGCATTTGTTGGTGAAGGCGGAGGGAAAGCGTGGATCTGGGTGCTTCCGGCGTCAGGGTTGGCGAGAGCGAAGGCGTCGGTTCCAGAAGTACTGGTGCTTTCCTTCATACCAAAACACGACGGCCCACATAAAACATATTGAGCAAGCACGCAGCCGGAGATCCCAACGGTAAATGCGACGAGGAGGTGAAGGATTGTGAATTTGGGTTGAGTAAGAGTTAGGAACCGTTTCGAAGGTGTAGGGTCGATTGCAGCTTTATCATTGTTATTATTATTATTATTATTATTAGGACTGAAGGTTGGTAGAAGAGCCTCGTGTTCAGCGCCAGCGTCGTTGTGCTCGTCTTCGTAGGTGGAATTGGCGTACTGGCCACGTTCGACGTCCATGGTCGTAGTGGAAGGACAAAAGGAGACCAAATACATGACGCCCCCACGCTCCCGAATTGATGGCGTCCTCAAACCTCGGCCAAACTTTAAATTATATCAATCAAAACTGAGAATTATGTATGTATGTAGGGTATCTTATGTAGTTTCTGTACACTCTAACTACCTCGCCGTGGCCTGCCCCGTCGAATTAATGTTCGGATTATTCACAATCGAGTCCGACAAATCACTCCTCCCCGCCTCCGTGACCACAGGATAAAAAATAAACAATGCGACCAGACCAACCAACAACAACCAGAGCGTGAAGTAATTCCCTAGTCCTCTCATTGATATCGAATCTTCTACGTATCCCGATTTTCCCATCCTCAAGCTCGGTGATAATTCGGAGTCCTTGCCCTTGTTTTCTCCGACTTCTGCTTTAGACTGAGGTGAAGCGTAGAACGACACTTTCGGGTCGTGTAGCCAATCATCGTCCTCTCCGTCGTCCTCTCCGTCAAGTAGAGCGTCAGGCTGATACGCGTAAGCCACTAGTTGCATCTCCTGCCCTTTTCTGTGAGATCCATCACGGAAATCGGAACGAATGAGAGGAATCCTTGAGTCTCCTGACATGACAGAGTGCCTGGATGAAAACGACCTCATGGATCCTGCCACGGACCCTACCCCGTCCATGCTAGATTTCGAGATAGTCATCGACCCAGAGCCAGATCGGTCTTGTCTGCTCCTTCCCCCTCCCCCACTGCCAAATGGAAGATTTGGTGGAAGCAATGCTTCCACGTCCCGCATATTCAACACGTCCTGCGTAGGGTCATCTAAGCGATAAAGCACCACCGATCCACGCGCGGGATAATTAGGATGTGAGAACTTGAAATTAGTCTGCTGTTGAGCGCGCGCAAGTACACGAGTTTCTTCTGAAGGAACGCGAATCATATGCATACGCGGTGGAGGAGAGGAGATCATCCTGCTTTTTGCACCTATGCTTGCCCGAGGGTCGAGAAGAGATTGTCTTCGCGGGACGTTAGATGATTTGGACGATTTGGACGAGAAGGAGGCTGAATTCGAGGGACCTGGGGTTGACATAGATGATGGAGGTGGCGTAGACATAGATAATGTACTTGGCGAAAGATAAGGTTCTGTTATGCCCGACAAAGACGGTGGATGTTGTGGATCGGAGTTAGGTTCGGAACGAGAAAATAGGAATCCCGTAGCAGAAGATGGTCGACTGGGTGCTGCATACGGTAGCAAGGATACCGGAGGAGGTGATGAAAGCAGGTCGTCGTGAATTGATTCAGAATCGGAGGGCGACGAATAAAGATCTTCGCCATAATCTGTATTTAGAGGTGGAGGATAGGTCGGTTTCGGTGCTACAAGTAGAGTCGAGGATCTGGGACTCGGTGGAAGAAGAGCCACATCGTATCCGTCGTCGCGGAGTTTGTATGCGTATAACGCTGAGGGTGATATTGGAGGAGAAGTTGGACCAGACGACATGGCGGATGTTTGTTTGTTTACCGTGTGTAACCGTGAACAACGGGTCCAGGAACAGAAAGTTCGTATCTCGCGTTGTATGCGTTGTTTGCAGGAATAAGCGGAATGAAACCTCGTGGAAGGGTGTAGGCAGACGCAGGCAGAGCAGTGGGTGGTTGTTGGTGGTTGTGGAGAATAATCAAAAGCTTGCCTAGACTCAATGATAATCCAAAATAATTTTTCGGGGTAATGGTGAGAATTGGGGTGACGTCTATTTCTGTTCAGTGTTCTGATGATGTTGCGCGAACAGCTGCGGGAGGCAATGCAACCAAAAGTAGTGAGTCTGAAAACATATAGAAACATATACATACAGTACATACCTTAGGCTCAACGAGCTGCTGACAGCATCTCAAGTCGATAAACATCTTTTTCCGATTATGTCTCCGCCAACCATGAAAAGAAGTGTTCAACAACGTAAATTAGACGATGAAAGCTGGTGAGAAACGCAATCTACGGATTGGGATCTTGAGTTGGAGTCGTGGAGTTATCACCAAATTTTGTTACCATAGTGAACGGTGGTGTCAAGACCCCAGAATTGCAGCATTGAGATAAGGGAACGTGCTAGTTGACAATGAAAGGCAGGTTTTGTGACTTTCATCCACTGAGATTTAGAGAACCATAAACTCACTATGGTACTCCGATTGCACACAGTGGACAGCGAAATTTAAATCAAGCTCGGAATCCACTGAGAGATTTGTAGGTGTTTTGTTTTCAACATGAAAACCGAGGTCGGTCAAATTACAGAGAAGAAGGGGAACTGTGACGGCGTCGACCTGCGTCGACGAGCGCGCGGATTTTGGACGGAGTGATGGCGCAACGAATATTTGATCCGTACATTGATCCGTACCTCGGACCAAAAACGGATTTGATCGGCACTCGGCATCTCAAGTCGGAAAGCTTCCGCAGGCGTCTATCAGCGTCTATTTTTAATGGGTCCTTCGGACTCCTTCGGTAGATTTCCGTTTCATCAACCACCGCCTGTTTTTATCGATAAAAAAGGGTATAAAATGTCGTCCGACGCTTGAATCTTCTGCCATCGACCTCAGAAATCTTTTCTTCTAACTCTCTACAACCAACGAAACCGACAACCTTTCGTGTAAAAAAACTAAGCATCATGAGCCTTTGCGAACATTGTGTTAAGGGTTAGTGCTTGACTCTAATTTGACTCGCATAGTAATCCATGAACTACGAGCTCACAATCATGACCCGCAGGTGTCACTCACGAAGGAGAGCCTAAAGGTACGATACCAGTTTCTCCAGCTTTGAATATATTCTCATTAATTGTAACAGGAAAAACCGAAGAAATCAACGGCGTCAGCACTTACATCGCCACCCCATCGACAGAGTATCCCAAGGAAAAAGCCATCATCTTCATCACTGATATTTTTGGTCCTCAATTTGTTAATAACCGAGTCAGTATTTATTCCATATCCATCTATCGTCGATCGGACTCTTACCTATCAAATCTCTCCCTCTTTCCAGCTCCTCGCAGACGACTTCGCTGCAAATGGATTCAAGGTAAAATAACTCAGCCGTGTTGTTTTTCGCTTTTGAGTTTCTGACCTCCCATCCGTTCCCTTTCAGACTGTCATTCCTGACATTTTCAATGGCGACCCAGCTCCTGTCGATGCATTAAAACCCGGCGTAAGTTTACTATTTCATTTTCGTCTTCCTCTACCATGCTTCCGGAATTTTCAATCTAACATCACGCCTCATACCATTTACACATATAGAGCACCTGGAATCTAATGGAGTGGTTAAAAGTACACGGAGCAGACAGCGCTCGTCCTCCACTCGACAGGGTTATTGACAGCTTAAAGAAGGATGGTGTTACTGATTTTGCAGTTGTGGGGTACTGTTTCGGGGGTGAGTATAGCTTCCTGAAAGAAAGACATTCTTGATACTAAAGAGAATTCCTTGCAGCCCGTTTTGCTTTTGACCTTGCCTTTGAAGGGATACCCAAAGTCGTGGCTATCGCACACCCGTCATTGGTCAATGTGGACGAAGATCTCCAAGTCCGTTTATATATATACTCCTCTTACCTATCCGTAACTCACGTCGCAACCCATTTCTTTATGCAGACATACGCCACCAAATCCACTGCTCCCTTACTTATCAACAGCTGTACCGTTGACCCCAAATTCCCTCTCGAAGCCCAGGTCCAGGCCGACGAGCTTTTCGGAAGTGGAAAGTTCGCTCCTGGATACAAGCGCGAGCATTTTGAAGGATGTAGTCATGGATTCGCTGTACGAGGTGATATCAGTGATCCAAAAGTCAAAGCAGGGAAGGAAGGGGCATTCAAGGCGACTGTGGAGTGGTTCAAGAAGTATCTGTAGGTTGTGGAAGGTTGATCAAGCTGTACTAATTAAATCATTTAAATCATTCTATGTTCGAAATCGGAAAATCTATGTCCATGATGCCTGCCCTGATAAGATAAGATAACATACATGGATTATCAACCATCGATAGTCATCGATACGTCCAACCTTGCAACCACCATCATGAGCTTCTGCGAACATTGCGTCAAGGGTGAGCTCTCTATCTCAAATCTGATCGAACATGCTCAAGAACCATCTCTGGAATTCGACGTGTATCAGGTGTTACTCACGAAGGAGAGCCTGCAGGTGCGAAATCAAATTTTGGTTTTGGGTCCGAATATATGCTAATTGAGGTGATCGAATTCAATCGCATTTATGAACAGGCAAATGGGAAGAAATCAACGGCGTCAACTCCTACGTCGCCACGCCTTCGAAAGATTATCCCAAAGACAAAGTCATCGTTCTCCTTACTGACATTTTCGGCCCTCAGCTGATCAACAACCGAGTCAGTACTCATCACCAGCGCGGTTGTATTTCCATCCAAGCTCATACAAAGTCATGTCTATACAGCTTCTCGCCGATGATTTTGCCGCTAATGGCTTCAAGGTATCGCGAAGTGTTCATCCTCCCCTTCGACTTCTTAACCCCAGTGCATAGACCGTGATTCCCGACCTTTTTAGTGGAGACCCGGCACCAGTTAGCGCTTTCAATCCCGGTGTAAGAATTCCAGTTTCAATCTAGTATGCTTTCATCATTTAACGGTAAATGCATCTCCAGAGCACCTGGAGCCTGACAGAGTGGTTCAAGTCGCACGGACCGGAAAACACTCGTCCGTCAATCGATAAGATCATTGAGGGCTTGAAGAAAGATGGTGTCACATCTTTCGGTGTTATAGGATATTGCTTCGGAGGTGGGTGGGCATACTTACAAGTATTGAGGAGTACTAATCTTTCTCGCAGGCCGATACACCTTTGACTTAGCCTTTGATGAAATCCCCAAAGCAGCGGCAGTTGCGCACCCTTCGTTACTGAAGATTCCCGAAGATCTTGAAGTTTGTACCCAATTCTCAATTACATACTCCTCCCTTATACTTAAACTGCAAATATAGACTTTTGCTGCTAAAGCTACTGCGCCACTGCTTATCAACAGCTGCACTACTGACCCTCAATTTCCTCTGGAAGCGCAAGCCAAGGCCGACGAGCTTTTGGGCAATGGCAAATACGCTCCTGGGTACAAGCGCGAATTCTTTGAAGGGTGCACGCATGGATTTGCAGTCCGAGGTGACATGAGCGACCCCAAAGTCAAAGCAGGCAAAGAGGGCTCGTTCAAGGCAACTGTGGAGTGGATGATAAAGTATTTATAAGTTATATGTCAAAGTTTTCGTTTTTAAATTTAAACTGGGCCCGGGAATCGTCCATCATCCGAGGTCTCCCCGCCAATCTGTGGCTCCCGCATGGATTCTGTATGAGATTTCATTGTCATAACTGAATGAGATCTGTGTTACGCGGGCGCAGATTAACTGGAAGATCCATCAGGTGGGGGTTGAAAGTGTTGCGAGTCAAAATGTGACGCGGGAAGTCCTCCTTGTATTGCCAACGATGCTTTCTGCTGTTTCCACGCCGACACAATTGGATCTGAAGGGTCCATAACGTCGTCGGCGGGGTGATGATACCCATCGAGGAATTTCACGAACAATGAGAATCGTTCGGAGCAGATGAGAGGGTCGTAAAATGAGTTGAGAGGATCGAACGATGGCTGTGAGACGTGTTCCTCAGGATTTGTGCCGGTGAATTGATTCATTAGCCAAGTGAAGTCAAAGCCGAATTTGGCTCTCAGCGTGAGGTTAGCGTTAGCGAGACGCTCAATGCACCGCTCGAGATCATCAAGAACAAGGAAACAATGCCGACGAACATCATCTGAGCCATCGCGCCAGCAGAACAAGAAGATATAGGCAACTTCAAGGAGAAGCTGATAGCTCAATGCTGGCCCGTCGAATGAGCATTGTGCAAAATGTCGTATGGTATGGATTATTTGTAGGACGAATTCTGAACAGAACATCAATAAGAATAAGAGCACCCAAGAGAGAATATGGAAATTCTACCTTCGTCCATATTGACGGCTACACCAAATCGCAATTCGGATGCCAGATGAGAAATGTGGAGGGACTGTTGGACGTGACTAGACGTGTTGGCGTTGATATCGCGGATTAATAATTCGAGGGCAAACTTTTGCCGCTCTTGAGATCGAGGGAGGTCTTTGATGAGGTCGCAATAGAGATAGTAGTTGGACTTCAAGTTGTTTTTACCGGTGGCAATTTCCAGTGTCTCTTCATCTAGTTCTTCTAAACAATAAAAGATATGAGGAGTCATGGACACATTATCTCTGTACTCGGAGTAGACCCAGTGCATTGCTGCTCCAAGGCAGTCGTTCAGCAGAAAGTTGTCTGATGCTGCTGTATTGGAAAAGCGGTGGCAGAGCCTATCACCAGCGGTCCAATTTTTAATTCGGAAGATGGAGTCCAGATGAAAACGAAACGATGATCTCGTAACTTGTGTTCCTCGACTGATTCGTTCAACAAGTCGAACAGAAGAATGGAGTAGGCGGTAAAATATCCATGCTTGAGGAGATTTGTAGGCACAGGGTAGATTTGCATTCATTAGGAGCGCAAGGGAAGGTAAAACGGTAGTCATTGACACTATTGCCAGCGCAATCCCAATCTCGCAGGTCAACACAACTGCAACAACGGTGTTCAAAGACCATAGGAGATCCACGATGCCCGCAAAGAAAAGAACCAGCGCGGCTTGTAGAAGAAGAGGTAAAGCGGACAAGATGTCATTCACTTTCCATTTTTCAAAGCTCTCCAGCCGGGTTTGACGCAGCATTAACGCGTCTCTGGGACTCAGAGCAGCATCGCGTCTGTATTCGCGAAGCCATTGCTTGCAAAGGATGCCGACGATCGCGCATGATAGGCTCAATGCGAGACTGGAGAACCAAAAGATATTAATGCGGATCGCGAGTGGAGTAACAGAAAATCCTATATCGGAGGCCTCGAGCGGATCCGTGTCGTTGCCACTTTGAAGTTGCTGTTTGAGTTGCAGTAGAAGTAGGTTCGTGGTCTGGTCTGGCTGCTGCAACCAGCTATAAGATTCGATTAAAAAAGCAGTGACGGCAGCGGAAAAAAGGCCAGCCTGTACAATGTGAAATAAAAAGTTATTTTCGACTGTTCCTTTCCATGGTTTCTAGGCTCACAAACACCAAAAGGGTATCGATATCTTCCCGCCAGCCTTTACATATATCCTCATCATACAGATCTATTCGTTTCATTATCCTCTCCCAATGGTCGCCAGTTCTTGGTGGCACTGCATAGCGATATTGGTCTCCATCTGCCCATAATCTAGAAGTCAGCTGGAAATAGGTGTTGAAATATCCGTCGAAAATGATAGCTAGTACAACAGACATACAGGAGCATCGTTTGTTGTCTTCAAGGATTGCGCGGGATCGTCGGACGTATATGGACTTGTGTGAATTGGAAATTTTAGCACTTCATTTTCCACCGGCAAGTTGTGTCCGCTTCTGGAGTCAGGATTACTGTTCATCCCCAGCTTTATCGAGAGCAATTCCTCAGAGACAATCGAAGCTTAAATCTGGTTTGAACTTGACTGCCTTGAGAATCAGTCAAAGTGGCAGGATAGCAAATAGTCCCCGTGGTCATCGTTGGTACTAAGCGCTAAGGCTAAGGTGTCAATGTCAGATGTAATTCATACAGGCCCATAGTAGGGATATTGCGATATTCTATCGGATTTTCTGACTGTTCAACAGAGTACAGTAGAAAGAAGTGAAGTTCGTTGCTTATTAGTCGCCATTGGAGCGAAGCGATTGCCGGGGACGAGCAGTACCCCCGGAAGGCCTAAGTTACTCTAACTCTTTCATATGCTATCATGATCTACTTTCATCCAGCTGAAACTGACTGGAATAAGGAGTATTTCACAATGATATGTTTCGAAAATCGACACCCACGACATTGTCAAAATTTCTCCCTATCTATATAGTATCGAATCATGGAATCAAATTGTACTCGGGAGGCCTATCTGTACATATCTCGATACTATAACTGTGGATAAAATCGTCTCAGGCCAAGGTGCGACACATCAGCGCGCTAACTCTCAGTATAGGGACAAGCCACAGGGTATAAAATTTGCATCTTTGCGAACAAAATTATTCACTACTTTTCGAGTTGACCTCGAGTAGTCACTGCATCGAAGTCTATCGAAGTTGATCATCTTTCATATACAAATTTTCTTTGCTGTATGCATCCAACCATGAAAGTCTTCCCTGCAACTATTGCCATAACTCTCTGTGCTCTCGTGGGCCTTGCTCAGGTCAACGCGGTATGTGAACCTCATCTTCTCTCATTTACGCAATCGTTTGAGAGTTATCTTAAGGCTGCCATCCCGTACCGGCGAAGCCTTCGGGTTCTCAGTTCTCGTGGAGATAATTCGGATAGTGTGTCCTCCCAGTCCAATGGCACATCTTCCAGCACATTCAATTTACCTTCTGACGGACTGAAGACCAAAAATGGGGTACCGTTTGGATTCCTTCCCGATGTTTCTGCTCAAACTACCATGGCAGAAATCAACAAAGCAGTCGGGATGAGCCCCGCCAGCACGTTAGTCTCTTGAACTTTAAACTCAATGCTCTTGCATTCTTAACTGCTCAATTGTTGCCCATTAGATACGGCTGGTATGCTCAGATCACAGGGTCAAGCTGGGATGGTTCGCAATTGCTCAGCCAGAAGCAAGATATCATCGATTCCAAAGCTGTTCTGATTCCTGCAGTCATGCCTACTGTGGACATGAGTGCGATTGATTCTAATGTCGCTTCACAAGTGGCGAGCGTTCTCAAGCAGTTCACGAACGAGGGCGTAGAAGTATGGCTTCGTTTTGCTCACGAAGTCAACTATTACATCACTTCTGGGACTTACCATGGCGGTGAGCGACGCTCTACTTGGTTTTCAGCATCCCATTCTTGCACCTCTCGCATTCTTCATACTCAGATGTTGACTCGTACCAAACTGCCTGGGCCAACATCGCTGCCGCCGTCAAAGACAATCCCAAGATAAAGATGTTCTGGTGTCCAAACTGGGCCGACGCTTCTTCGCTTGCGGAATGGTTCCCGAAAGACTCAAGCACTGTTGACATTGTCGGCATGGATGCGTATCCCAAATCTCAGCAGACCTTCGATCAAGTTTATGGTTCGTTCTACACCGCGTTCGCCGAGAAATACAACAAGCCATTTGCCATTGGTGAGACTGGGCCTGGGATAGGCGACGATACATTGAAAGAATACTGGTTGAAGCAAATCGCGGAGGTCGATGTCCAGAAATACCCTCTATATATCGCGGGTTGCTGGTGAGTCCTCAAATTGAACTTACCAAGTGATGTTGACGTGTGTGCACTAGGTTCGAGTACTACAAGGGGTATGACTTTAGGGTAAGATTCATTTCGTCGCCAACATTGGCAATTACTAACAACAACGACAGATCATCATGAGTCAGTCTTCGAGTATCGTAACCGAGACCAAGACCGAGTTTCTGTCTTGAGTACACCACTTCATGTTACTGCTTTGTGTATTAACTTTTCGTACTTATGTGTCCTGCATCGCAGTATCTGAGTTTGGGTTGTCCGTGAGCAACGATCCTTTCTTACCGCTGTGATTCCAAAAATGCAATACCTGCCACTTCGACTTTTTAGTACAGCAGCCTTCATCGTACAACTTCGAAAAGGCAGTAAGGTTCAATATATGTACAGGATAATCCGTTAGAAGTAGAACCGAAAGTAAAAGTACATTAGACACTGTCGATACAACAAAATCCATCCGATCCAGGGTATACCCACCCGGAAAGCCCATCAAATAATATGCGCGCTACATGATTCCTGTTATATTGCTACAAGAAAGGAGTTTTCAAAAGGTCAAAGGGTTTCTAAATATTCGCAGGCTTGCAAGAGTTTGGCAGAAACGGAGGCAATCTATCGTGAAAATTGAATGAACACGGTCGATAGCATGGTAAGGACAACCTACATTAGCGTTGTCGAAGGCTTGAAAATGGTGTCCCGGGACATCCCAGACTTTGACTGAGCTTGACAATTCGGACCAACCTGCGATGGTAGTGCTAGGATCGGAACGATCAACAAGCCACGATGGAATATCAGCAACTTGAATGCCTTCGGCAGCATAGCCTAATTCAGAGCGTAAAAATACAAGGGGAGGGCAGACGCCTCCCGTTTCGTGCGGATCATAGGCAGAAAGTAATTGAGCATTCATAGCGAACTGTGTTCGAACAAGTTTTCCAATTTCAACGGGGCCATTTTTGCGGTCGTATCTAGCTATGGTTTTAATAAGAGCGTCGGACAACGGGACGTGCCCGATTGGGTTGGGTGCATCGATGAGGATGATCCCTTTTGTGTTGACGCCACGTTTAGCGAGCTGTAGAGCGACTTCGTACGCTACGACACCACCGAAAGACCAGCCTACAAAACGAGCGTCACAAAACAACAAATGATTATCCCAAAAAGTACTTACCACCTAGCAAGATTGTTCCAGTAGACAACGCCGAGATATATTCAGCATACGCCACTGCCATATCCTTTAGACTGGCCCAGGGCAGAGCGAAAAGGAATTTTGGATTATAGATTGCCCAGACGTCACGATGCAGGGACTCAACCTTATCGTAATAGTTGACGAGACCGCTACCATCATGTATGAAGAAAATCGGTGGATTCATCTTATTGCAATCTTGCACTCGTACCGGATTTGTCCCGAGTCGAAGAATCCCGATGAGGCGCGCTTGAACGGCTTCCTTGGGCGGTGATTGCGGAATGAATAATCGACGATGCGGCAGATTGAACTTTGAAGGACCCAGGTATTCTTGAATTGCACTGATGGTACGGTATTTGCGAAGAAAGTCATTGGGAACTTGATGACCGTAATGAGTTTGCAAGGCATGCAAAACCTCGATCGAGGCTAACGAGTCAAGACCCACAGTTTCAAGGTCGGTTTCATCCCCAAAGGCCACCGTCGTACCGAGGGCGGCATTGATAACGTTCCTCACGTCGAGATAAACATCCGCGCGCGAAAACACGGTGTCCGACAACCTGTCGTCGGCTACCAAAGTACTGGGTGAGGAAGGTTCACTCTCAACACAGGTGGTACTGGGTGGTGCAATGGTCAGAACTGGAGCATTGCCCAGACCTAGGACTGAGCAAGATTTGCGAATTATATCTGCAACAGTCTTACAAGAATACAGAGATTGGAGCTCTAAGTCGATTTTCGAAGATAAGAATTGTAATTTGGTTGATAACTCAATCAACATCAACGAGTCTATTCCGAGAGAGTCGAGCGCAGTACTAGCGGTGATTTGCTCTCGAGTTACGCCACAAGTTTCCGCTATAGCGTCGAATATCCGTGAATGTAATTCCCCAGCTACGTTTACGAAGTTTGGGGGAGAGCTATGGGACCGAGCGCGAGACTGTAAAGGGGCATTACTAAGTGCTGGTGAGGACTGTGATCCTTGAGGTTGGCCTAACACAGCGGCTAAAGAGAGCGCTTTCCGAAGAGTTTCTAGCGCCATTTGACGAAATACCACGCCTTTCACGAATGCAATGACCTGTAACGAGTCACCGTCTTTGACAGCATAAACATCGAAAGACAAAGTACGATTGTCTAGCCAAACGCCTGTGCAATATATTGAGTAGGTCGCATTGTCATCTAAAGAGGTAGTCGAGATGGAGCATGATGTGATTTCAGAGCATATAAACACATCGCCAACGTGAATTCCTAGATTGACATCCGATGACTCAGCCGGTTGTCTTTTACCTTGCAGATTGGCAATGAAGCCTGGAACTTGTAGCAAGGTATCGAGGAAGACTGGATGGGCAGTGAACGTGCCTCGATAGTGGCCAGAAGGAAGACGGATGGAGGCGGAACCCTGAAGATCAGTAGGACTGACAAAAAGTGATTTGATCGTATGATATTCCTTCGCATAATGAACAACACGTGGGAATACCACCTCATATGTGGTTCGAGAGAGAAAAACTTCTGCCTTAGTCGAAGGATCTTTCAGGCGATTGATACAACCAGTAACAGAAGGAAGCATTTGGCAAAGTTTTGCTGCACAATCAGATATTGATTGGAGCAGATAGTCGCCCCGGACATGTAAGATAAGTTCGTTCAACGGCTCGACCCGAGAGCTGATCGCAAAAGAACCGTGTCCGTCCCCGAGAGTAATTTGGATGACAAGAATTCGAGGGATATTTTCCTTGAACACCAAACCTTTGAGGAAACGCGAGGAGGTGATCTGGACAAGGCTTTCGTTAGAAGATACATCTCTCCGTCGGATCGAAAGTTCTACGGCGGACAAAACGAGTTCAATGAAGATGGAGGCAGGACAAAGGGGCAAACCGCCGACTTTGTGTCCAAGTATCAGATCTGACAACTGTGAAATCGGAGTCTCGAATATTGCCACGTGTCCGTTTTCCGAAGAAGGATATTGTTCCCAGTTGTGCAAGAAGGTGTATCCGGAAGTTAGACTTGGTTGACGAGGGCTTGTTACCACTAAGCAATCTTCTTCGTAAGGTGCCCAATATTTCGATGTCGCGAAAGGATACGATGGTAAGGAGATACACCGCGTATGAGGAAGATGGGAAAAAGTGTTGCGCCACTGCATTGGTATATCGACTGCTAGAAGGGAACATAATGCAGAACCAAGCGACAACCATGAGTCTTGGTTCCGCTTGAAAGACGAAATGAGAAGTGCATTCGATGACAATGAGCTGTGAGCCTTCAGCATGGGCAAGCACGTCGGATGAGGGCCAATTTCGAGCCAAACGTCGCTGGAGAGTTTGAATGCGTCAGTAAGCGCACGAACGGCGCCATCAAATTGCACGGGCTGAGAGCAATGTCTGGCGAAGTAATCTGGTTTGAAAATTCCTTCTTCCCCCGGAAGCACGACATTTCCATCTACATTGGAAGCTACGGGGAGATTCGGAGCTCGGATTTCGATGCCTTTAGCAATCGAAGTGAGCTCGAAAGAAATGGTGGTCATAAAATCGCTGTGGTATCCGTATGGAACAGCAAGCATCTTACTCCTACACCCCTTGGTTGCATCGAGAAACGATTTAAAGTCCTCGAGTGCCTCCAAAGGGCCAGAGACGACACAATCATTTGGACCATTGTAACATGAGACTGTGAGAGGGAAAACATTCTCAGACGTTCCCAATAAATGCTTGACTAGGTCCGGGGAAAGATTGATTGCTAGCATGCCAGTCGAGTCAAGGTCGCATTTTCGTGACATCAATCGGACACGGTGAGCAACCAAGGTCAAAGCGCCTCTCAAGGTCAGCACGCCTGCAAAGACTAATGCTGTGTATTCACCGAGACTGAAAAGAGCTGATCAGAAAAAGTGAAAAGGAACACAGAGGTGGATCAAATACCTGTGCCCAATCACTGCTGTTGGAACGATGCCCCAAAACATCCAGAGTTTACCAAGTGCGTACTCCAAGGTAAAGATGGCGGCTTGGTATGCCTCAATTTTCTCGAAATCTGAAAGTACGACTTCGTTGCCCGTAAATATGGAAAGAACGCCGTTAAACCCCAGTGAAATAAGAATAGCGTGACACTCGTCGACATGGTGCTTGAAAAGAGGCGACGTAGAATAGAAAACTTGTCCCATCTCCGGATACTGTGAAGATTGCCCTGAAAATACAAATACAACCCGTCGTATGGGCTGAGCAGAAGAGCTGACGATAGCGGCCTTGTGCAGGCTTTCCACTAATCGCGTGCGCTCCGATGCGACCACAGCCAAGCGATAGGAATATAACTGGCGGCGAGCGGTCATGGAGTATGCTATATCGACCATAGGAACAGTTTTACTCTCCGGGCTCTGAAGCCACTGAATGTAATCGGAACGGAGTTTGTTCAAAGCGTGTTCGTCTTTGGCAGACAGAACAAATACCAGAGGGTGGTCGAATGCCTGGGAGGGGCTGTGAATATGCTCTTCTAACACTAGAGCCGCATTGGAACCTGCGGCGCCGAAGTTATTGAGAAAGGCCATTCTGGAAGAGCCGTTATACGAAGGCTTCCATGGACCAGAACGACGAAGGATCATGGTATTGTCGTTTTCCAAAGGTTCTATGGAAGGATTGAGTTTATTGAAAGATATCTGGGGAGGAATGGTCTGATGTTTGAGCATTAGAAGTAGTTTGGCCAACCCTGCAGCTCCCGAAGCGGCTTCAAGATGGCCAATGTTTCCCTTGATACTGGTGACATGGAGGGGGTTTTGCGAAGTGCGATTAGCGGAAAAAACTTGACGGATGCTAGCTATCTCATTAATATCTCCCGCCTGAGTGCCTGTCCCGTGAGCCTCAACAACGTTGACCCGAGAGGGATGAATCGCAGCATTGCGAAGTACTCGTTCGAAAAGAGCTACTTGAGTAGGTGCATGAGGATGTGTGATAGAATGGGCCAAACCACTCTGATTGACTTCGATTCCTCGAATGGTACCATATATATTATCGTTCTCAGCGAGAGCATCAGAGAGGCGCTTGAGCACGAATAGACCACAACCTTCGCCTCGCGAATATCCATCTGCGGCGGCGTCAAAAGCTCTACATTGACCAGTAGGACTGAGGAAATGGCCCCGATCTAAGCCCAGGAACATCTGGCAGTAGAATAATGATTCTCCTGATTTGCGACGAGAGCGGGACACAACTTACATCAGGACTTGTTATGACATTTACTCCGCCAACCAACGCAGATTTACAATCTCCATTCATCAAAGCACGAGCACCTTGATAGACTGCGGCGAGGGAGGAGGAGCATGCCGTGTCTACCACCATAGAGGGCCCACTCCACCCCATCGCATATGATATACGACCACTCAGGTATGAGCAGAGAGTACCTTAGCATATATGAGCTCCTATGATCATTGTCTCGGCGGAAGGATTAACACTCACCGGTACTATAATATACGTCGATGTCACCGCGGAGATTTTGGACATAATCATGGGTAGCAGCACCGATATAACATCCGAACGTATCAGGTTGAGACGATGAGGTCGTCCCCGGAACATATCCAGAGTCTTCTAGTGCTTCATAGGCCGTATGGAGTAAGACCCTCTGCTGAGGATCCATACTCTTCGCTTCTCGAGGACTAATTTTGAAAAACCGATTGTCAAATTCGTCAGCGCCCTGAATGAAATTGCCTGTGCGTGCTTTCATTTGGCGGTTGGGGTTCTTAGTTCCCTCGTAGTCACGGATATTGAACCGATGTTCAGGGATCTGCGAAGAGCAATACATAAATGTGCGAAAACTCAAAATCGAATTTAATCAAAGTACCTCGACCAGTGTGTTGAGACCTTTTTCGAGGACTTCCCAGAGCTTGGAAATGTTAGACGAACCAGGCATGTTCACAGCCATACCAACGATAGCGATTGGCTCTTGTTGGGATCTGGTCTCATGAAATTCGGAGCAAAGGTCGCGTAGTTGTACGCGTCCATGAGGGCAGATTTTTTCAAGGGTTCGTGCCACACCAATCCCCGGACCGAAATTGTTCAGTAGTACCTCTGCTTCAGGTATGGACTGAGAAACTTGGTCTGTGACAAGGTCCCAGCGGACAGGCTCGATGATCAGCATATCAACGACCAGTTGAACTAGTGGAGACACCGACTCGACAGATGGACTCAACAATACCCCGGTTGAAGTTGAGCGCACCGGGGCGCGCAGATGACTCAACTCCGGAAATCGAATGTTTCGATCCGCAATATCTACAAGAATCTGATCGCGAACCTTCCTCAAATGGACCGGCGAATGGTAAAGAGTATCAACAGTCGTTTGATGGGCAAGCACGGATGGAAGAGTACGGCGTACACTTGCAGTAAACTCGGCTAGAATAGGAGGACAACCAGACACCGTCACACAATGGTCATCCATAACCGCGGTTATGTAAAGCTTAGAAGGATCCTCGCTCTCTGGGCTATTGCCCCTCTGAATGAGAGACTGCATCAGCATACGTAAGGAACATCGAGAAACTACGCTCACACTTCCGAAATTTGAGATTGCTTCTTGAGCCTCTTCTGTAGATATTCCAAGGAAGACCACACTCCAAGGAAGCGTCGTGTCTGCATTGGAGGTACCGAAACGATACAATTGGCATCTTATACCGATCCAGAGAGCTAATCGATAAGCCTCTAAAGCAAACGAAAGATAAGACTTGGCAGAGTTTGACGAAGCGACTACACAGGCCGAGACAATTCCAGAGGAGAATCCAAGAATACCGACTGAGGACTTTGAGTGGCCGATTAATAAGTCGGCGAACGGTCTAAGGGACCCGTTTTCAGCTCCGAATCGTTCGACGAAAGAAAGGTACTGCAGTAGCTGCATCAGGACGAGCGCTGAGCTCGATATTAACGCATTATGAGGGAAACGCGACATCCACATGGTCAGAAGCGTCTCCGGGGACCTGAAATCGTTTGGATCGACGCCAGCTTGAGTAAGTTCTAGTGCTGAAAGGCTGGATAATTCATCTATGAATGCTTCGTGACAGATGGTGAGAAGCGTCGCACATAGGCCATGCTGAGATCTTCGAATGGTAGAATTAATGTACGAAGAATGTGTGGACGGCGTAGAGCCTTGACCAGCAAATATTGGAACAAGCAGTCGTGGTCGACTGAGAGAGCTCATACCAGCGGAGGAAAAGAGTCGAGATTCAGTAGAAAGATTTCGTACGGGCTTTATAGGACAGGGCCAGAGTAGCCGAGAAAGGTGACCCGTGAAAAGAGGGTTCTTCAGGAACTTCGATCGTATGGTAGTGAGGATAGATCCAGTAAGGAGTGCCGATGTATTCAAAGAGTGATCACAACCAAAAGGCTTGTAAAAGGAACGACAGTTGAGCCTCAGACATTCAATGTTCAGCTTCGAGGAGATCGTGGATTCGATGTGCCTTCACTCTGCCCCGAAAGGATCCCTCAAGAGGTAATCTTTCGAGTACGGCGGAGAGCGCGACGCGGTTTTTGGAGTTCTGGAAACAGGAATCGGAAATAGTCTCGTCTAAATCCTCCAACGCTTCGCTTCTTCCTTCCCAACCAAGCCTTGTTCTCCTTGCGTTCTCCGTTCCGAGAGACAAATCGCGTAATACTGAAAGAAATAGAAGTTAGTTTATGGCTGTAGCTCGTAGAGCATATCACGAATACCTAGAAAATGGCAACTTTCCGAATGGTGAAACTTGGAGAAGGAACGGACCTGACAGTGAAACCCGAGGAGGCGGAAAACCGGACCGACATTGAGCAACGTGACCGTGAGGCGCGACGCGTCCAGGGGGCACAATGTCATCATCGATTCCAGACCACCAACTTGTTTCTGCTGGTGCAAAAGCGGAATAGCCGGCCACCAGCTCGGCGCTCATGCTCATGCTTAAGGATAATCAAATTGAGGGAGGTTGAGGGCATGCACACTGATTTGAAGCCCAAGCAGCACAAGATTAGGGTAATCGGATAATTACTGCTCACCACCAGCCCAGCTTCAACCTAAACAGGTATACAGGTATACAGCCTTATACAGCCCCCTCTCCAGTTGTGCGTGAACAGAGTTATGTAATCCGTTTGAAATGCATGCGCTTTGATACGTGTCGGACTTGTTTCACGATCAAGTCCGTCGGAGGTCTGGCGCTCCATCGGACCTCTGAAATTGGTATTTTAAAGATGTCGAAAAACATTGTGTCTCTTCCTTCATTCGTCATAGGAGATGCAAAATTTCACTCAGCTCATAGGCGCAGTCGCAGCGGCGCTAGTCGTCCATTTTGTGTTTCTTTTCATTAAATCTCAATTTTTTTCGCCGATACGAGATCTACCGGGACCACGGGGCAGCAGTTGGATCTTTGGGAGTTTAAAGGAAATTTCGAAGAATGTGCGTCGAACGTTCTCCAATTCCAAATCTTCCTCTAAACCTTCAACCACAGGAGGAAGCCATCACCCAAGAACAATGGGTTCAAGAGTACGGTCGAACCTACAAATACCCGGCCTTGTTCAATGTACGTGCCTCTCCCCTGAGCTTCTATATGCTTGTGTTCACAATTGCTGGAATTTCTCCAGAAAAATATACTCTTCACTCTGGATCACAAAGCTTTGAACCATGTTCTTATGCATCACTACATTTACCAAAAACATGACGCCAGTCGATTTCACTTCACCCGTATCGTCGGCCCAGGTCTCCTCGTCGCAGAAGGAGATCACCACAAACTCCAGCGCAGAGTTATGGTATGTATGCATGCCAATACACGAAGAACGTATTCTGACACCATGTCAGAATCCTGCTTTTGGTCCGGCTCAAGTTCGCGATTTGACTGAAACTTTCATCGACAAATCACTTGAGGTTTACTGCTGATTCCTTTCATTCCTCTTCAAAGACTAACAGTTACTTAGTTGAAGGACGTCTGGTCATCTCAGATCACTAATGGTGGAGGAACGGCGAAAATCAATGCTCTTGACTGGATAAGTAAAATGACTTTGGATGTCATTGGGCGCGTAGGTGAGCTACCACGTACCGATTAAATCACCTTCCACTCACGTTATACTCCTCTGAAGGCTTCAACTACGAGTTCAACACCCTGAAGGAGAACAGCGAATCCAACAAATTAGCCCAAGCTTTCGCAACTATTTTCGGAGATCTAGACATGGAAAAGGCCAAGTACCAACCATGGACAGTTTTGCAAACCCTTTTCCCAATTTTACGATCTTTGGTAATAACTCATTCCCGCTCGAGCCTTTTTCGATCCTAACCGTTGCTTGATTAAAATAGCCTCCCGTGAAGATCCCAGGGCTGGACAACGCCCAGGAAACCATGGGCAAGATTGGTAAAGAATTACTGCACGAGAGTAAAGAGGCATTGCAAAACTCCGGAGACGATATACGCAACTTGAAGTCGAAGGACTTGTTGACTTTGCTTGTAAAATCGAACATGAATGGAGAACCAAGTCAAAGAATGAGCGACGAAGATGTTTTAGCTCGTGAGTCACTTTTTTCTTGTTTTCTTAGTCCCATCACTAACAACCTTTTAGAGATCCCGACCTTCTTCGTAGCAGGACACGAAACGACCAGGTAAGAATCCGATTTATAGTTATGAACCGGAAAGAAGAACTAAATCATTTACGAACTTCTGTTCTCGATTTTAGCACAGGTAAGTTCCTTACCTCTATTCAAGCCGCAGGTCACTTACCTTCAGTAGGGACTACATGGGCACTCTTTGGGCTTGTTCAACACCAGGATGTCCAGAAAAAATTGCGGGAGGAGTTATGCACAATGGCAACGGATAACCCTACCATGGAGCAACTTAACTTGTTGCCCTATCTGGATGCGGTTGTCAAAGAATCACTCAGGTTGTATGCACCTGTTCCGTCCGTCCTACGGGTCGCTACGCAAGATGATGTTATTCCGTTGTCACAACCACTGAAGGATAAGAAGGGAGTCGAGCATCATTCCATTTCGTGGGTTTTCAATGTTCAATAGTGACAGCTAGTTCTTACTAATCCAGATCGTAAACAGCATCGCGAAGGGACAAACCGTGATCGTTCCTCTTCTTGCCTTGAACCGTGATAAAGCTACGTGGGGCGAAGATGCCATGGAGTTCAAGTGAGTCTAATTTTCTTGCGTCATCATTTCTCTTCTTAACACGACTTCCACGCAGACCGGAACGTTGGGAGAAAGTTCCCGAGGCAGCGACTTCGGTCCCTGGCGTCTGGGGCCATATGATGACGTTTCTAGGAGGCCCGAGAGCTTGCATAGGCTATCGCCTGTCCTTGATCGAGTCTGTACCTGTGCTTCACTACTTCCACTTCGAACTAATGCCACTTTTGTAGAATGAAAGCTCTGCTCTTCGTTCTCATCAGAGAATTCGAGTTTGAGCTAGCTGTCCCAGGTGAAGAGATCATCAAAAAGACTATGATCGTGCAACGACCGAGGGTCAAAAGTGAGCCTGAAGGGGGAACTCAACTACCATTGTTGGTTAGAGCATGTCAGAAGGGTTGAAGGTCTTTTGTGACAGGTGTACTGGACTTGACTGGACTCCATTTCATGTTTGTGTTTGATTTTGTACTTCGATGTACCTGTGTATCTCACTGTAAAGCTAGTAGATCTTCTATGTATACCGTATTGTGGAACATAGTTAATTAGATCGAAGTACCATCATGTCCAAAGCTCGCAAGGCATCTTCTTTAGATATTCTATGGATACCAGACACGGCAAATCCCTTGTTCCCTCCGACAGTGGTTGCATGTACAACAAGACGCGCGATGACCTCGCCCTAGGTTCGAGGCAAAGTTAGATACTTTTACCTTCTGATGGCTTCAAGATCCGTTACTCACCAATTCCACCAATATCGCAACGACAATCAACCTGTGAAGTATTTTCAGTCGAGGCATACAAATACGGTGACGAGACAAGTACCATATGACAATCCACTAGAATACCAGCGACAATTGAGTGTCACATTACAGGAATAGCAAGAAAGAAGACGCACCGTGATACGTTCCATAGCAGAATTATTGAGATGATCATGGATGGCCTCGAGCTTTAAGTAGGTTCCGTTTGAATACCATCGACAACATCTACGGAAAATTTTACTTACAAAATCGCTTGCCGTACCCAATTTCTCATTCAATACCTGCACCCTCCCGCTGATCTCCATATACTCTCTCACTGCATCGTACAACTCCTTCAAACTCGCCTCACTCCAGAACAATTCCGGGACGTCGAGGACATTTGATACAAGATTGACATCACGACGAAGGGTGAACAAACGACCTGTAAGTTTTAATGCTTCTCGGCGTTTGAGCTGAAGAGCACCCTTGTCGGCCAGTTGTTGAGGTATGGCGAGGGTCTGAGGAGAGGAGAGTACCCGTTGTGCATTTGACTCAAAATGGGCGAGAAGGGTTGATTGGGCAAGGGCATGCGCAATAGAGAGTTTGAGAAGATGAGATCGGGATTTGAGGGCTGATACAAATGAATGAATGTGGATAATAGATTGTCGCATAGTACTCACTAAAGAAATCATTATAGATACGAGGGTACCCGATGTTGGGGTCATGCTATAAAGAAATGAATCGTTTGCAAAGCGGGACATACAAAGTAGGACACAATACCGCAAAATGGCACTCTTCTATTTCCCAGTGTTCTTCGCTAATCTTCCTCCGAAGGATTCCAGCGTTTTCAATATCCTCCAAAATACTCTTTTCCTCGCCTTCCGTCAACCCGAAGCACACGACGACACCGTATTCAAAGAAAACAACTTCGGCGTTTTCTTGTACAGGATCCTGCTCCCGCTCAATACGGGACGATGATGGTTCTCTTTGTTGCCGGATAGTTTCTGGTGACGACGATATATATAATGTAGGGTTGAAGGGGGATTCTACAGAGATATCCGTTGCTGCAGAGGTGGGAGTACGCTGGGTCAGGGCTTGCCGTGTTTCGGTGGGTGAAGATGAGGTCATATAGCCATCCTCGTTCGGTGATGATTCTGCCTCATGCGGAAAGTAGGAACCTTGATAGCCCATTTCCTCCGCTTCCGAAAGTCGAGCAAGAATGGACTTTCCGTCACCAGTTTTCACAGGAGCTGCAGAGCGAATATTGGAATTTGGACCATAGCCTGGCAGGAGAGGAAGATGATACATCTGCATTGGAGAAGATAAGTATGCCTTAGATGTATTAGAAATTCGCTGCGATTTGGAAGCTCACAGCGTATAGTGCCTCGTCGAATACTCTGGGCCCAACATTATGTTCCCTCTTAAGAAACGAAGCTAAAAGTTTCATCTTGAGTGATTCTGCAATGCAATAGGCAGTTATTCGCTTGATTCCAGCTCGTTTTCTTTGCTCTTTGCTCATCCTTTCAGCTTCGCTTTTGTGATCCCGCATACGAATTCCTGCATCCGTCTCGTAGCCGAGCAGGTCATCGTCGTCTTCACCAGGCAAAGGTTTTGTCTGAGGCGCAGAAGGAAGAACGACAAGTTTTTGTGAAGTCTTTGAAGTTCTCTGTGATTTAAGTGCTCCAGGGGCTGACAAGCCTGAGATGGACGCTCGACGCGCCACAGATCTCCCAAAAGTTGGACCAACTGCATTGAGAGGAGCATTGAGCGAAGATATGCGGCCCTTAGGTTTCTGGGAACGTCTGGAACCAGGCAGCTGCGATGTCGAAGGAGGACGAACAGAGGGCTCGGGCTTCGACATGGCGGTTGGAGACAGGCTTTTTCGTATTGATTCTGATTATTCCCGCTACCTCTTTAGAGACTAAAGCGTTGAAGGGCTTATAAGGGCCAACTAATGTCCAGCCACGTGCCTTTTAGTCACTCGATTATACTCGATAAAATTCTTACTCTTCGGTTGACCTATCTTAAACTCGATGTTCAATCCCCTCTAGTCGGTAACGTCATGCTTCACTTCCTGCAAGAAGAGCAAAGAACTGAGTTCTGACTGATACTTGCAGAAGAATTTTTTGTTGTCGGCGCTGTATGTTTTGGATATCGGAAGAGTGAAGTCCGATACCGATGGTGGCAGTGCCGAGTCGCTAAAAGTCTTCCGCCATGAGTCGAGTCATTGCGAACCCTCGTCCCAAGCTATCATGACTATTACTGTAACCTTTGTCAGTCTGAACTCCCATATTTTCTGTATTAATGTTGACCTTTCTCACTATCCAGATAAGGCATGGAGAATCTGAGGATAATTTGGTGAGCAGAACGCCCCTGTGTATGGTGTAGTAGTTCAGCATCTCCAACTTATATCTTGCCAGTAGAAAGGAATATGGGCTGGATGGAAAGATGCTCCGCTGTCAGACCTCGGTTCGCGTTTCTTTTCCAAAATGTATCCTTCGAATCAGACGTTTCCTGACTGATCATTCAGGCAAAAAGGTATGTGTGGCAACAACTACGCCCGTGATTTCACTCAAATTTTAACGCAGCAAGCAGCAGCAGCAGCAGAATTTTTTTCAAACACGAAATTTGACACCATCTATGCATCTCCCCTTTTACGAGCAAACACCACTGCTCAAGCAATTCACGGCCGTCAACAGGCACCTTTCCCCTCGTTTATTGTCACTCCAAACATTCGCGAACAGCACTTTGGTGTCGCTGAAGGCACTTCTTTCGCATACATACCTACAGAACATGATACCTTAGACGAACTCTTTGCTCAAGGAATCTATCCCGTACTTTACCACCGGGATGAAAAGTTTCCTGGTGCAGAAAGTCTCAACGATTTAGCATTGAGAGCCGAGAAAGCAATCATGGAATGTGTTATCCCACATCTCCAGTCTGAAGAGGTTGCCCACATTGCAATGGTCAGTCATGGACTCTGCATCAGTGAGCTCATTGCAGCTCTATTACGTTTGGACCCGGATTCTCGTCGCGACACGTCATACAAAGGCCTCCTGAATACTGCTTGGACCCGCGCAACAGTATCGATCAAAGTCTGTCGAATGCTCATCTCATATTGGACCGACGTTCTGATCTTATGTTCAGGAGGTCGCAAATTTTTCAGAAGGACTTCCACCTTTAGATGTTCAGGTCACCCATGTCAATGTGGCAGGCCATTTGGATGGTATTACAGTAAGCGCTCCATATCCTTTTGATAAAAGCCTAGCTCAACCATATGATGTTAAGCCCTTCACTTCAGACTCAACTAGTGAGAATTCGGAAGCACGTAAATTTTTTGGTGGAGGTGGTGCGCTATCCGACGAGAGGCAGAAAATGTAGAATTTTAAAACTATTTAGACATAGATGTTCGTGTATGCTATTGGCACGAATAAATACAGTCGACGCCGACTTGTTTAGGGTAAAGTCCAAATCAATAAATGATCCTCCTTTTCCTTGAAGTTCTCCTTTCCCGAAAGCTTTTCTTCGAAGAACTATGACGGTTCACTCAAGTAATCCGGAAGGCACAAAACCCAACTTTTCCCAGATACGATTAAAACCGACGTTGGAGATAAAGGTTTCTGCCTGTACTTCTGTACAACCAATCTGAGGAATGCCCCACTAATAGTAGAAGACAGTGGACATTGCAGCGAAGCCAAATCCACGGTTGTGATACGATGACTTGAGCGCCACTGTAAAATGGGATCAGGATAACAACGCAATACGCAAGCATAAAATATAAATTATATACTCGCCCCCGATGGACTAAATTCGCTAGTTGTCGCGCCAATCCTCCCAGTGAGGCTTGATTGGGGTAAGACGGTCCTTCCACCAGTACGCATGACGAAGGTCCACACCGCCGACGTAGACAATTCTACGGGCCGAGTCGTTGAGGCTCCTACCAAATTTTAGCCGCGCATTTGGTCGGTTTTTTTTGAATCGTATTTTTATACACCGTTGTGCTGCAGCATATGGTAGTGTCTACTCTATTGTCGGTGCATCTGGTCGTCATAATGTTCCAGCAAGGATCTCCCGGATGACTGACGGTGGGTGCCCTTTGTAGGACGCTAACTTCCTTTCGCAAAAAGCCTCGGATACGTTTTGGGCAAGTTTCATTTCTTGCTCGATCCACTTCTGTGCACGGTCCTGGAAGGGGAAGAAGGGATGGTTATCCATCCAGTACGCAAGCTTCACGTCGTTCTACATGGCAGCAGAAATTACGAGGGTAACAGCCTGTATCTGTGACTCTTACAGCTGGCGCGCACCATCATCACTGTTATATCATCTACTAAACTTCGCAAATGGTGCTGGTAAAGAAAGATATGGCTCGTAGGTCTCTTCATCAAAGAGAAGAGCAGGGTGTTGCGACATCAGAGCTCGTAATGGCGAGTCTGGAGCACTCACTACGCCTTCGATGATGACAGATGGTGGTGAAGACGTTGCAGTAGACATGCGGAGGATTAATGATTCGTTGAATCATACTCGACATGTTATAGATAGCAATTAAGTTTCAAGTGGCTCGAAATATCCGGAATCGACGCTACAAGTCATAGGATTGTAAACTTACTGACTTTCGCGGAACGAATATCAGAGGAACGTCGCGGACACCGAGTGTCAGAACTAGCTTCGCATCAAGAACTCTAGCTCTCCAGTCCTCCTCAGTTTCGCCTACGTTAAGTTTCGGAATGACTTTCCAATCGCGTAAAAGCATCGAGAGAAAACAAACGGCCTCTGTCGTGGCGAACTTTCGTCCTATGCAAGCCCGTGGGCCTGTTATCGATATTCAACATATGCTACAGCAACAGGCTGTCAAAGAATAGAATTAACATACCAACACTGAAAGCAGTGAAATCCTCAGAATCATTGTTGATACCATGCCACCGAGAAGGCTTGTATGATGCGGGGTCATCGTAGTACCTCGGATTATATTCTGTTGTCCACCAAGTCTCAAGGAATTAAGAGCAAGGAGAATAATGCAAGGATGCACTTACGAACGCCAACCATATCAACGACAACCTAAAGCTGTACTTACTATTCATGATTCAAGGAGTGCGGATCGTTATATACGCACCACTTGACCTTTGGGAATCATGAACGGCATCGTCCCTTCTTGACCTCGAGGGTTAGGTATCTGAAGAACGGTGTCTTCGCTAGCCTCACGAATCATGAGATGACCTGACGCTGGTGAAGTGATTAAACTGGTGTTGAGATGTCGAAGAGACGTTCTTACGAAATAGTCTCAAAGCTTCGAAAAAGGCGGCAAGAACTTTGTTCAAGTTGTGGTAGTCTTCGATTTCCTGCGGAAAATATATAAAAAGCGCTAGAATCGAAAGTAGAAAACTCACAGGATCCCGGCCGTAGCCCACGACTTCTTTGATTTGTTCAAAAACTTCGTCTTGAACATCCTGATTCAATGCCAGGAATCCCAGGGTAGCAGCTAAAGTATGAGCAGTGGTTTCTATTGATGATTTAAGGAATAAGACGACCATATATCAATACTCATTTGTTAGACACACCATGGCCAGCAAAGAGCATGATGTAGACATTCCCAATCTATAATGGAATTAGTGTAAGAGGAAGATATCCAAGTAATAAAAACTATTCTCACCAGTTCATCGTCACTGAGTTGGTATTTCGACTCTTCCTGCTCGTTAGCCTTCACAAGCAAACTGAATGCGTCTTTCCTTGTATTTTCTTGTATCTCTTGCTTTCGAACTCCTACTTGTTCCTTCATGAACAGCGCCATTGCCTCATATGCAGCATTGGACTGTTGGATTCTGTAGTATTCAACGTTGGTGGGTCATCGTATATTCAGAAAAAAGTGGTGCACATTTTCAAAGGAATTCTCAGCACCCATTTAGGCGCGAAAACACGCAACATGTAAGAGTCAGCAATAGTCCGTATTGTTTCTTGTATCGACAGATTTCCGCTAGATGTCCGCGGAGGTTCATCCCTTGCAAATTGACCAATGTGAGCACCACGATTCCCACAAATGGGGTAAAACATACCACCGGAATGAGAAACCAAAAGCACAGGTACCAAGAACCAGGAGGGCGAGCTGAGAGGAGTCTGAGGCATATAAACAACAATGTTAAAGTAGATCTACCTTGAAGGTTAGTTCTTGAATTATAGGCACAGAAACGGATGCTTTTCCCTCCCATTTCTCCGAGGTCACCATGTCACGATAGGTCTTCATCGTTTGGGTCCATACTAGACGATATCTGTACGGCGACATGTGAGAAGAATATATTACATAAAGGAGGAGAACGCACAGTTCATTGTTGAAAGCAGGACCCATGACCCGTCGATGCTTGCGCCAGGTATCGCCTTCCGCAGCAAATAAGTTCATCCCCCACAATCTGCGATCCGATTAGCAACATCGGGCACAATGCAAATGGACAGTTCGTACAGCAACGCCCTTGCCGACCAGCGGGGTTTGAAGAACCCTGTCCTATTTCCTCCTGAGGCTATTTGACGTGCGACATTGAGATTCGATGTCCAAATCAAGGGCTCGCCGATTAAGAACGGTACGATAGACACGCTTTCGTTACTGGTGTATACTTAGAGTCGCTCATTCATAGTAGATCAAGATAAGGTTTTCGAACACGCACATTTAGATCGCCGAGCCCAGTGTACATCTTGTGAGGTGTTCCACCATGAAGTGGGAAATAACACGCCAGGAAGGCCTAAGGGACTGAAGGGAGGACGAGGACCCGGTAAATGATTTACGGCCTATCCAGCACAAAGGAAAACGCTGAGAATAGTGTGGCAGCAAGAGTATACGGCGACGCACCTGAAGTTTCTGAACAGTAACCCAGATCCTGTTCACGGCGAACACAGTCAGAAATGTTGCGAGGATTTGGACTGGAAATTTCGCAATGTTCTGAGGAATGCTAGACCAGAAATGAGGTTCAGAAGGAAGATGTGACATGTTCTGGAAAATGTAAATCTACTCCAGAGGCGTTTAACATGCCACCAGGACAGTGTGAGATATATACTAAAGCATTGAATTCGGGAACGACATTGTTATTGGCCCGGTCATTGAACTTGTCGAAAGATGCCGAACAGTTAGCTAACGGGAGGGAATAAGCCAATAAGAGGTAATGTAAATCAAACTGTGGGGACCAGGCACGCAATGACAGAAAGAGAAAGAAGAAAGTATTATTGTTATCAAGATCCAAAGAAGGCCAGCATTAAGGAGTTCGAGGAATAAATTTGAACCAGATAGGAGGGAAGATTTAACGTGCTTTTAGTCAGATCCAATCCTCGTACAGAGTACAGCAGAAAAGATCTTCGAGCCCGGGGCCCACGACAAGGGAGCACGAGGAGAGACAGCACAACCATAGCCTCGCAGAAGGTATACCCGAGGAATGATCGCGCGTCCACCGCCCCCGGGAAAAAGACACATACCTTGTTGGTGTTGTTATTACTTGCGTCATTCGGAATCAGGAGTTTGAGTTGCAGTTGCTCGATTCAACTTACAGCAATACTAAGAAACAGACAAGGAAGATCAAATAAGGAAGTATCATAGTAAGGAGGCTACAACAACTCTTACCTTGGACAAACTTCTCGATGGTCTTGATTATTGTTCTGAGCTCAGAGTATTGGGAAGGTGGGTCAAAGGTTGTCTGGTAACGATGTGTGGCAGATAGCTTGTGCATGTTTGCCTTGAGAGATTCGGTCCAGATCCTTCGCCGCCTTGGAGTATTACATCCATGAAAAATTAACGTCAAAGGCCGCATTGTGAAGTTGAAGATCTCGAGAATTTTGCACTCATGATTTCAGAGATTTCCGACTTTACATGCTTGTAGAGATCTTGTGCTTTTGAATCAAGGAAATCGGAGCAGAGGTATTGAATCTTGAGGTGGCAGGTCCGTTCAGAGAAATGGATAAAGGTGAGGGAAGAGGGTCGGACAACGAATCACTTGCTCGAGAATGATGCGAAGACTAGACTGAGGGTGGGTTGCGCAAGTTTGCAAACCAGAAACGGGTGTTTATATATCTTTCCTCCACCCTGGTCAAAACGACAAATGTCAATTGTCGGTTCAACAAGGTCGAAATAAAGTGGCCACTAGGTAGCCTTGTAGTTGAGAACAAAAGGCGAACTGTGGCAATGGACCTCCGGTGGCGTACGGAGTCGGCAATCGCAAAAGGATACATACTAAACGTGCTCTTGACTCCTTTTACAAGAAATTTGAGCGCAGTTTACCATATGCGGCACAAATCATGCGACCAACCTATGTACATGTAGCTGAGATATCAAATCGGAATAGAGAATGGCTCGCTGAAGATGACTCACTGACAACACAGCACTGCTTGTAAATGCTCGGTTAATTAGAAATACGACCATTGGAATAATAGGTTCCGTACTACCTGACTACAATTAATGTTTGGAACTAGGCTCCACTGTCGTCACTGTCGTGGACCACACCTTGCTTGGTAAATATTGTAGATCTAAAACACGGCGCGCACAGGGCACGCCGCGAGTGGGTACAGGGCCTCCATATGTTCTGAATGTCATGTAGATAGAGAATGGGCGAGTTGTTGTGGAAGCTTCAAAACAAAACAAGTTCAAAGTGTGCCTGCACATCAAAAATGTTCAATTCTGGGGTAGAATAGACCTTGCAAGCAAGGTGATACAGCTGATTCCGAAAGTCTAGGACAAAATCAGCCTCCTCACATCGTTGGAGCACTGCTTAGGCTTGTTTGTAGATATAGACAAAATAACAAAGATTAACCCAGAGATGGATGTATAAAATTGTTGTAATTACATTGTTGGAGTAAATTAGGGCTGTCTCGATGCAAGAAACTTGAAGAAAGACGGAGCTGCTTGCTCAGATTTGTATATCAAAAAGGCTAGTAATTATGCGCTTAAGCTCCTCCACAAACAAAGCTAAACAGTACTCCAACGATGTGAGGAGGCTGGTTTCGTCCTAGACTTTCCGAATCAGCTGTAAGAAAGTTGAGTTTTTGAAATATCCTGCTATATCGCGCTACGGGTTGGTAGGAATTATTTCCGCTATTTTTTCAAAATAACAATCCTCGAATCAGATGTTCATTCATTACACACAGACAACATGAATGGATGTATGTAGAAGATACGAAAAACATACTTACATAGATAAAATAGACGATACAAGACTTTCGTAGCCAAGGGACGACACAAGGAATCACTAAAAAGACACAAGCGTAATTACAACAGGACAAAGAAATGGCAGCTGCTCAGTTTTTATAGTTGACTTTCAACGTCCCCTCTCGGTGTCGCATTACCTCGACCAGTGATACCTCGGAGGAAACCGGGACGTGGAAAAAGACTGCTGGAATTTATATCACCAGTATTCAGGGACTGAGCAGGCGGCTCAGCAGTAACAGGCAACGGAAGACCAGCATCAGCGATATCATTTTCAGCCGCTTCATCATGTTCCTCATCTGATTCATATTGTCCAGCACTAGCAGTTGTTTCGGGCTTATCACTGCTCCCCGGTTCGGGAGGTGGATTCGTAGTAATTCGTAATAAAGAAGTGTAGGCTGAGAAAGGCAAGATGAGATTTTGAACGATACAGAGAAGCGAGGAAAAACTTACGTTGTCGACATACGGGACAAAACCATCCTTTCGCTTTGCGTTTCCTTCTCGTAGCGGCCGGAGTAGTAATTGCATCTGTTGCACCAGTCCCTGGAGCAGCTCCTTCGCCACCATCAGCACCACCGTCGCCGGCAGCAATTTCATCAGCGGGCTGGGTGATATTCCCACCAGCACCAAACTCGACCATGTTCAAGGCACAATCCTTACAAGCAACAAGATGCCGACAAGGAAGGAGAACAACTTCGCGCGGCGATGAAAGGCATAGAAGACATTCTGAAGGGGAATCGTCGTTGGAATCGTTGTTTTCGGCAACAGGAGCACCGGTGGCGGGAGGATATGTGTGCGAGGAAGGGAGTGGGGCGGTGGGAGCATGAGTGTGATTCGAGGACGACGACGAAGTAAGGCCATAGATTTCGTGCAGATGGAAGGTGTGAGGGCCAATCGTGGCTTCACGTTTGACGACTTTGACGACCCAAGGTCGAGTATCTTCCTCATCCCCCGATTTGACCTCTCCTGCCGTAGCTTCAGTCTTACTTTCATCACCGTTGGACTCGACATGAACCGGGTGAGCTTTGATTCCGAATCGTTCCACGGAAAGATAAGTAATCTGTTCGTTGAGACTGGCCAGTTCGGTGCCATGCTCGTCAAGAGCAGCGAGTCTGATGGTCACCTTAATGCCTTCCTCCGCTTCTACTTTCTTCGACTTTTCAGTGTCGACAGTGTGTGCATTGGCAGACGCATCGACGATGGCAAGGGCTGGGCCGGAAACAGACATGTTACGATTGTTGTGTCGTTTGGCGAAGATGTGGGTCAAACGCTTGCGACGTGGATTTGGAGCATTCACCCCACCGGAAGCGGTAGCCTGAGCGCCAGTCGTGGGCACTGAAGCATCTGAGTTCGAGTGAGAAGTGCCGACATTAACATCCGCAGATTGATCCTTTTCCTCATGTGTCATGTCGAACCTTCCCAGCTCAAGAACTGCGCCTTCTTCCATCTGAAGAATCTTGCCAAAGCCGCCGTCAACGACAGACTCAAAAACGAGTAACTTCGATAATTTAGTAGACATGTTATCACCCGCCAAAGGTGCCGGAGCGGAAGGTGGTGCATCTGGATGGCCAGGAGGCAGTAACACGTGAACGTAGATACCACATTTCGGGGAATCACAATCATATTCAAATTCTAGAGCATGCTGCTGACCGTGCGCTTCCTCGCCCTCAATGGCTGTAAGGGGAGAAAGACGGATAGTCGGCCGTTTGAGATTGACCAGGGCCTGGAGGGTGGTTGTAGGTTGAGATGGCTACGATTACGATTTGGTGAGCAACACACAAGGTGCCAAAGATCAGACTTAGCACCTCTTTGCTCTTCTCAACCCAGGACTTGACGACATCGACAGTAAGCTCGTCCTTCAATACCTTCTTCTCCGTGCCATTCGTCCAAGCGGGTCCGCCACTGATTACACCAATGTTCGGTCCAAATAATGTATCAGGACCTTTTTTCTCTTTCGAATTATCCTTAGCTGGAGGTCCAATACTGCCAAGACCGTTTATATTGCCCAAGACATCACCGTTGGTCGCTTGCGCCATAGTTCTCGCTTGCCGTGATGTATTGGTTTCTGTGCGAGCAAGATACGGAGACTGCTGCAGCCTCCTGGTACGATTCCAATTAGCGTATTGACTTGTATCTGAAGAAGTAAGAGGGGCTGAGAGGGTGAATGTAAGAGATAAAGGAAAAACTCTTACACCAGCTAGATAGATTCGAAGTCATGAAGGTTGCGGGGAAAGTGGAGCGTGAGACGCCTGATGATAATTGTATATGTATTATAAAGCAAGTCTAATTTTGTTCTTTCAACTTTGTGTACATACAAACTAGTATTCTCAACAGCATCTTCGGCTTCATCTGCCTCAACCCCTTTGGACAGCAAATACCCTGCAACTACCGAAACAATCCTCACCGACCAGACCGACTAGCTCCGCCTGTCGAAGGCTGTTCCATCTCAACTTCCATTGTAGGATCAATTTTCCCTGGTGCCATGGGAAGATGAAGGATATTAGAGAGCAGTGAATCTCATATCTGCTGCGCTTTGACCGAGAAATGGGGAACTCTGGGAGACCCCGTGCACTTACCATGTCCAGGCAGGAATCGAATGTAGGCTGTCAGTACTTCGGTATCCAGATAACCATCAGGGATCAAAATCATGATAAAATTACGGTGTTATAACAGTATGCATTTGCAAGCTACGAACACGGAGCGACATATCTATCTAAGCACTGTAACGAAGACAAATTTTGCTGGTTCAGCAAACATTCCATTACTTGGGTTACGGGAACACTTTGACCGTGTTTAAATAATCACACGTTGGAGTACACCCATGATAAATGGGCCCAGTAAATGTGATAAGGATCTTAGGATTGGATGGAATACATACACCCCAGGAAGAGAAAAAATTCCGCTCGACGGAATTGTAACAATTCAGTGTAACTGATATATCATGTGACTGCGGATAAGCTATATCAGGCATATCTCCGGTCACATGATATATCAGTCGAACTGAATTTTGATAATTCAGTCGAACTGAATTTTGATAATTCCGTCGAGCGGAATTTTTTCTCTTCCTGGGGTGATACAGACTCGTTCAAAAGATCCCTAAAAGTCCAGATAATCATCCCTATTACCCCAACCGGCGCCGCCTCCTGTCCCAGCACCTGTCCCATACGGGTCATCACTTGTAGCAAATGTCCCCCCAGTAGCTCCAGCACCACTTGAACCATCAGTTTCTTTGAACGCGAATTCTCGTTTGAACTTGGCTTCAAGAGAGGATAGGGTTCCAATGAGTGAATTGCAGGCGTCAGATAGTATGAGGTCTGGAGCCTTCGTGCCATCGGTTTGGATTTTGAGCAAGAAGTGAGGGTGAAGGGGATGTGGGACTTTGTATCCTGCGAATAGAACTTCAGGCATGGAGAGGAGCTGACTTGAAGAAGAAATGTAAAATTAAGCACATGGGGCAAGGAAGGGTTGACTCACGCCCGAAGCATGTTTCCGAGGGTGTGATCTTGCTTGAGTATTTTGATAGTGGCAGCATTGGGAATCTTGGTATCTTCATTGACCTCCACTCTGCAAGCAGCAGTGTCAGTGCTGGGATATATTCATCGGCGAATGATGGACGCACGGCGCCTCGCCTTCGTCCAGCACGTAAAGCTCAAAACGATTGGGGGCGTTCATGGTGAAAAGAATGTAAAATTCACTGGGAAGAACATTCGCGTCAGTGGAACGTAAGATAAAAGAAGGGATGACGGGTGATATAAGTTTAAAAATCAAACTGTCATCCAACGCAAACGAGGACGGGAAGAGACAAAAATGTGAGACTCACCAGGAATACAACAAATAGCTTATATACTTCAAATAGTATGCCTATTAAAATAAAAAGTCAGATACAGAAAAATATGAGATCATAGAAATGTTGTGCAGTAGCTATGCACGCAAATGACCGATGATGATTTATTGGAGCATTTTTGGAGGAGAAAGCAATAAAAGACGGGGAAGTGCTCACCACTTACGCCTTATATCCCTCTTAACAGCTGTAGAGAAAGATGAGGGTCAATGAAAGTCGTCAAATCGAAAAAAGAAAATCAGAACACGAATTGCGATCATGATTCCCAGCACTTTCGCTAGTAGTCACCGACAATAAATAATGGCGTAGTGCCAACATCATAAGTACAAACAGGGCAGCGACTCACCAATAGGTTCAGCAGCCAGCCGGGAGGGAGGTGAAGAACTTGGAATGGGGGTTTGAAATTGTCATGTGTGTGCCTGTTTATCTATCTTCGCACGCTGGCACAGCCACAACTCATCTGCCCTCTCAAGAAATCTCAAAGCTTGGAAGACCCAATCGACAACTCGCAAGGTTCGTGAACTTACGCCAAACTTCTCTCCCAATCGGTTTTGGATGTACAGCGGACGTCTTTCTCTGTGTTTCTCAGAAGCTTAGTGGGGGGAATTGGGTTAAAATCGTTGGATGGATACGATGTGATAGGGATGACTTTGCTGGGTCAAAATTTTGCTTCTGTTTCGGGACTTTGGGTATTCAGGCGTTATGTTTACGATCTACTACTCCCGCACAGATAAAAAATGCCGACTCGCTTTTCCAACACCCGCAAGCACCGTGGTCATGTTTCCGCCGGTCACGGACGAGTAGGAAAGCACCGCAAGCACCCTGGTGGTCGTGGTCTTGCCGGTGGTCAGCACCACCACCGGTGAGCAGATTTATCGCACTTTCCCCCAATATCATTCTCATGATCCCTTATAGAACCAACTTCGATAAATACCATCCTGGTTACTTCGGTAAAGTCGGTATGCGTCACTTCCACCTTAAACGCAATCAGTACTGGCGTCCTATCATCAATATCGACAAACTGTGGAGCCTAGTTCCTGCTGAGGAGAAGAAGGGACTGACAGAGGAATCTGAGGTGGTGCCGGTCATCGACACGTTAAGACACGGATACAGTAAAGTTCTGGGTAACGGAGAGTGAGTTATATTCCGTGTCGACGAAAGACTAGAAGAAACTCTAATTACGCGTGTCATCACAGACTACCAAAACTTCCCTTCATTGTGAAAGCACGCTTTGTGTCATCAATTGCAGAGTGAGTCCTCCTTTGAATTATGATAGAGACCCTAAGCTTATTCCTTTCTCAGGCGGAAAATCAAAGAAGCTGGTGGTGTAGTGACACTGGTTGCATGAGGTCTTGTCTTTTTGCATTCTTTCTCCGCCTCGTATGTATCTACCATGACACCAAAACATATGCCTCATGCTTTCCCGGATACTGAATAATGCGTGTGATGCACGAATAGCGATAGTTTTTGCTTTGAGCTGCACACATCAGCTCTAAGCATCTTGTACAAATACTCGTGGGGGAGTGAATTGTTTAAGAAGCGTCCTCTAAGATGTGTGTATCCGGGAGATTTGTGACATGTCACGCCCCTTCATATTTAAAGGACCCGGTCTGGTGATCTCGCATACATAGACCCAACCTTCACATTCTCATCTAGCCGCTCGCTGGTCGCTGCAGCTCGCTAAAGTCAAATTATACCGATCTTCAAACTAATCTTGATTTATCACTTACAATGCCTTCCAACAACGACGGCGCCCTGCCTAGTCCTCCTCGGGCTCCGACCGTCAAATACTCAGCTCCTCACGGTACTCGTTGGGACAAGGAAAAGGCTGCTGCAGGCGGCGCGCGTGCCTTTGACCTGCCTTCCGATCCGAAGGTTCTTGGCCCTTGGATCATAGGTGAATGTGTAGGTAAAGGCGCTTCTGGTCGTGTCAAAATTGCCAAACATCGCTACACCAATCAACTCGCTGCAGTCAAGATCCTTCCTCGCGCACCTTTAGACTCCTCGCGCAACTCAATTGCAACTCAAGAAGCCAAGTCCAAAAAGCATAGTCTCGGTATTGAGCGAGAAATCACAATGATGAAACTCATGAATCATCCCAACATTCTTCGAATCTACGACGTCTACGAAGGCCCAAAGGAATTGTTTCTCGTTCTTGAGTATGTCGAAGGTGGCGAGCTCTTTGACTATCTCGTTAACCGAGGGCGATTACCGGAGCCTGATGCTATATGCTTCTTCAAACAAATCATTTATGGCCTCAACTACGCCCACACTTTCTCCATCATTCATCGCGACCTCAAGCCGGAAAATATCCTCATCTCTTCTCTTTCGCCTCCAAAAATCAAGATCGTTGATTGGGGTATGGCTGCTTTCGCCCCTCCGACACTTCAACTTGAAACCAGTTGTGGTTCCCCTCATTATGCCAGCCCTGAGATTGTCAATGGATTCAAGTATACTGGGAACGCCACTGATATTTGGAGTTGCGGCGTCATCCTATATGCTCTTCTAACTGGTCGTCTTCCGTTTGATGACAAGGACGTCAAGCTACTTCTAGGAAAAGTTAAGTTGGGGAAGTATGATATGCCGAGCTACATCGATCGAAGTGCTCAGGATTTGTTGTCGAAGATGCTCGTCATCAATGTGGAGGAACGGATTACTGTACGTTTTTTCTAGGTCTTTACTTTTCGTAGTTCTCAAGGCTCATGACCTCCCCTCCTCCTAGATACCCGAAATCCTCGCTCATCCTTGGCTAAATACATCTCCCGCTGCTTTGCGTCAAATGAGCCTTGCGTCTTCATTCGAAAATGATTCTCCTCTAGAACCCGTTTTGCCTCCCTCGCCCAGCACTCTTGCCAGACCAATCACTGATCCTTCTTCTATCGACTCCGATATTCTCTTTTCGCTCAAAGTCATTTGGGGTCGCCACGCAGATCTTGCCGCTATAGTCAAGGATCTTGGATCTCCGGCCGGAAACGGTGTCTATACCAAGGCCTTCTATTGGTTGTTACTTAGGCACCACGAGGAGGCTGAGCGACTTTCCGGCTCGGATGAGACCAATGATGAAAACACTTCTGCCACTGGAATGGGCCCAGGTAGTGTTACCTTCAACTTGGGATGGGAGCTTGATACCTCTGGTTTGGGCGGTGCAACCGTGAAATTTTCTTCAGCCGCTCGGGCGATAGAAGTGGGCCGTGTTCTAGGCCCCGAGCGTCGAGGTTATACGGATACTTCTCTACAAGCTGCGGATGGATTGTTGTCGCCCTTGATGACGCGCGACATCTCCTCCACAAGCTCTTCTCACGCGTCCAGAAGCAGGCCGAACACCCCTGGAGGTCCTAGGTTGCCCACTGTCCCTCGTCCAACCTACGAGCGAAATTCGAGCCAGTACACTGGTCCGCATTCTGGCATTAGGTCTGCCTCTGGCAGGAGCTCCTCACTTCCCAAGTCCTCGTTTGCAATGGGAAACGGAGGTGGTAGTGGGATCAGGGCAAGTAGTGTTGTTAATGGGACTCAGGGTGGCCCTCGTCCCCAACCACCGAAACGAGGTCATACGTATTCTCACCCTCGTCCAGACAAGCCTTCTGCAATGACTACCCGGTCCAACAAATCCCCCGATGCCATCAGTGTATCTACGGTACAGTTTCCTCCTACTCCTATCCATCCACTTCAGTACACGCAATCTCATCGTTCTGTGTCACGATCTTCAAGAACACGGTCGGTGACAACCGTCGACGTGACGACGGAGGCGTCGCGCCCCCATCTGCAGGCCCGTTCTCGCTCTCACACTTCCCAAGTGCGTGGTGGCTATATAGGCGGAACGTCATTGAAGAGGGATACTTCGTCAGTGCATTCTGGCACAAATAGCTCGAGTGGATCCAGCACCACCTGTAGCATCACCTCGACAGCGACAGTGCATGCCCCGATTCCAATGAAACCCGTTTCTGGTGTATTCGAGGTTCCAATGGAGGTTGATGACAACTCTTCCATGCAAATTGCATCCACACCTCCACCTCTTCTGCCCCCACTAGTATACCCGTTGCCTCTTCTCGTCGCCCCAAAAACGAACGACCCTGCTTTGCAGATGGAACTAGATGAAGTTGCAGAGCACATGAATCGCCTTTCATTACAAAACGCTGTGGCGGAAACTACCGTTTGTCAGGATATACAAACCCAGTCGCGGGAGTATCATTCTCATACGCATCAATTACAGCCTCAGTCTCGACAAGCTGCTTACCAACAACAGCGGTTCCAATCTCCTAAAAGGAACCGCCGTCGAACTGTCTCGACCGTGGAACGTGGGGCTAGGTGTGCGGACAAAGAGAACAAGGAGAACGCTAGTATAAATGATGAATCTTGGAGTTACGTAGTTCCAGATGAAGGGTTGAGCATTGTATCTGGGAAGAAGAATGCTTTGTTTGCAGATACGGGTAATCACAAGCGTAGCCTCGGTGCGAACGATGGAAAGGGCAAGAGGGATAAGGATAAGAAGCCTCGCCGTAAGTCTAGTCCCTTCACCTTATGTTTGAGCAACGGATGTTTTCTTCTTCCATTACAGCGTTCTGATCACCATCTGTCCTGAATGTTTAGCTCCTCCATTGGAATTCACACCACTGAACCACAAACGATCCACTACCTCGGCCCTCGGGTCTCCCATCGCTCTTTCCCCACCGGCTATTAACAGTACGTCTACCAAGGCTGGGCTTGGGTCCCCTGTCGTAGGGGAATTCAAGGGTTGGCTCTCCAGTCTCTTCAGCTGGTCTGGTAAGCACACCTCGGGGAATTATGTTTTATACTCAATCGATGATGTTACGAAAACTCGCCGAGACCTTCTCCACTTACTTGCTTCACTCGGTGTCGTCGTTGAAGTAAACTTAGGTGAACCTGGCGTTGAACGAGAAAATTCACCTTTGCGATGCAGAACTGAGGAGTCACCTTCCGATGCCCTGGCTCATTTGGGGTTAAAACCAGTAAAGTTCAGGATTGAACTTACTTCCATTGGCGATGAAGGTGATTCTGGCACGTTCCCTTCCTCTCCCGTAACGCCACTGTCGAATGGCCACCACCTGTTCCCTAGTGCCGGCGCCTCCGGAGTTCGTGGCAGGAGCAGCACGCTCGGTGGCGGCTTAAAGAGTCCACATCTTCCTTCAAGCCCTCTTCTCAGTCCGAACTACTTTGCAGGGTCTGTGCATGGTTTTTTGTCCGCGTTGATCGTGATTCAAGAGAAGGGCTCTGCATCAACATTCAAGGCAATATGGAAAAAGTTGAAAGACGTCTATGATGACGGGTGCGGGGATACTACCAATTCAAACTTCAGCCCGGTAATGACAAGCACGCCAGTGATAGAACCCCCTCGATATGTTTGATAATTTAGCACACCTTGACTAGGAACGTATTTTTTCTCTATCCTTGGATTTGTATTTTCTTCTCGATCTCAATGTCCTGCTTACCCGGGGACGTAGTGAGCTCTGTACTACTGCCATTCCACTCACTTTCCGGAAATTCACAAGGTTAGATAAATCATCTGTAATTTTAACACTAGAGGATACACATATAGACTATGAAACAATGTACTTAATTTTACATATTAGCTCCAAACGTAGCACTTAGAGGTAGTACAGGGGTAGTACAGGGTAAGCGACAGCGCAGGGTCGAGAACTTCGGTTGTGGCTATGCAAAAGACGCATCAATCTAAATTTATAGCTCCATTAGGTAACATACCGACGCGCTGCTCAACGAGTGATCCTTGAAAGAATATTTAGTTTATGGTGACGAATCTGTGTATATGAGCTCTATGCAACCACGAGCTGTGAAAGGCCTCGACTGTGCAATTTTGCATCCCCTTGGAAAGCTTCGAGTGAGCCGCCATGATTGGAAAATACCGGGAAATGAATGACAGCTGGATGATCTCTAGCATATGGGGACAGGCTCAAAACAACATATGCAAGACAATTACCATCGTATTGACCTCTCTTACATTTGCCCGGCATGGTTGACCGCTTTTATTATTTGTTTTCATGCGAGATCTTCAACCCCAGCGTATAATACAACTTGAAGCTGTAGATGTATCATTACCATCCTGTCAGCATCTAGTGTTTGAGACGTATGGTCCGGCCTTAGAACAAGCTGCCACGTCTCCGTTGGAATGGCATCGAAAGTTTGCGGATAAATCCTTGTCAGATGATTGTGAAAATCGTAGCCCGACACACCAGATCCTATAAAATCCATGCGCATGCCTCAATGGTATAGCCGGGGAATCAGCACTGACATAACACTTGGGCACAGCTTTAGGACTAAGCAACAAAGAGAGATTCGTGGACAGGTATTTTAGATTGAACCACCCAGATCAACAGTTAAGCCTCACTACTTCTCGCGGCGAGTTGAGGTCAAACTTTACCAATGCCGCATGCGGGTTTATTCAATACGTTTGTCAACAAGCCCCAACAGAGTTATAGTCCTAGCCGTTATAGCTACGAAATGACCCAACGGTCATAGCGTATTACCGGAATTTCTCAACTCGGAGTAAGCCAGATATGTTCGTGATACTGAAAAATATAAATCGCTATAAGAAAATTCACGAAAGCACCCCGCAAGCGTAGAGCGCCGGATATTGTCTCGAGCTGGTCGGCACCTCTGATGAGAGAGACCGTAAGCTACTGCAAGCCACTGAACAGGAAGAAGGTTCTTCAAGGGGCGAGAACAATGAAGACTTTGAGAATTTTGCCGGCATCGTATTCATTTCTTCACGTTAGAATCGTGTTGTTATAAACGAAAAATAGGAATGTTGAGTTGGAACGCTGTAATGGGGCCACTAGCATTTACAGTACCACCTGCAGTGACAGTCACTGCATGGTATCTGCAATCCACTGCAGTGCATCTGCATGCACCTGCATCACACTTATGGGATATAAATGCCGGCATTTATATGTATTTTGGCTAATTATGTTAAGCTATTTTGAGTTCATTTTTGCCGCATGTTCAACTATTTCAGGATACGTCTATGCACATTGAGTTGATATATTGCTTGGTTTACAGATGTATGTAAATCCTATATGCTTAGTTATGTATGTCACAAGCACTTCACTGTACTCACCCATTCATATTATCTGCAAAACCTGTGTGACCATGACAGCAAGGGTACTAGCTGGACAGCACTGTTAGGAGATAACTCAGTTGTCTTTGAAGCAACTAATCATTGATGTAGGTAAGTACCTGTTAGGAGATAACTACAGTTGGTTAGTATGACAAATGTACTGCTAGTTTACTTGGGGCTCACTTCAGTTGTCTTTGAAGCAACTGAATGATGTGTCTGCTACTGTACAGTATAAGACAATAACACCATTTATGTAACTGTCCACTGGTCCTAAGTACGGAGTACTTCCCTAACAAGCACTGTCCAGCCAAAAGCACTGAAAGCAATTTCTAGAAACCACTTCAGTGCTGGAAAGTGCAGTCAGTCTCTTAGACAGAAATTTAGGATGTACAGATGCATCTGCATGCTCCTACCTTTTGAATGCATTTGCCTGGACTGTAACTGCACACATCTGCATTGTGACTGCATGCAACTGCACTGTAACTGCACACACCTGCACCTCATCTGCACTGTAACTGCACACATCTGCACCTTACCTGCACTGTGACTGCATCAGCCTGCACCTTACCTGCAATGTTACTGCATTCACCTGCATTGTTCCTGCACTTACTTGCAGTCTCACTATGGGCAATGAGGCTCTGTACCTTTGCATTGAAATTATTGGGGACTGAAATCTTGCATTCAATCACAAGGCTCTGAGTGTCTCTATACACTACAAGTATTTTGAATACAGCCTTTGGAAAATTATTGAGCCACCAATATTGTGAAGCTACTGTCCCTCCTATAATTCTCACAAATTAAGCACTATTGGCACAGTTTATTCTGGGTCATTTGTGGATAGTTAAGATTATGAAGGGGAGGAAGTTACATTGCTGATTTTGGCCAATTGGTTCTGGAACATCATAGATGGAAATATTCTTGCAATCTCATGGTATCGCCAGATTTAGGTTGAAGAACCTAACCCAGAGACACAGAGCCATGTATAAACACTGGTCAAGGGCTTACAAAAACAACTTAAACTAAAGGAGATACTTGATATAAGAAATACTTTGATTGGAAAATTCTAGAGAACAGTATGTGTATTGTTATACATTCATTTTTTGCTTTTTGGAGTTCTCCTTGGCCAAATTGTCATCATTTATCCACCGCTTTCAAAATCCACCCAAATTATTGATGGTGGAATTTGGAATTATACCAGCTTTGGGAACACCAGCTGGTATCATATTGTAGTACAAGAGGATATTACTTACAAAGCTGAAATTAATGATACAAGATACAGAAAGCCTGCATTGAGAATCAATGCCAAGAAACCTGGCAGCGGAATTGACAGAATAATGAGATCACTATCCAATTTTAATCAAATATTCACATATCAATTCAGCCCCTACAGGCCATTATACTCCCTGTTATTGTCATACAAAGCATTTATATAATGGGATATATTTTGTACAGTGGAGGATCATCTATTTACATATATATTTGAGTAACTGCAGTGCTACTGCATGTCACTGCATATGTCGCTGCAGGACTACTGCACATGTTACTGCATATGGTACTGCAAATGTTCTGTGCCCCTGTAATGTGCCGCGGAATACCGATTCCGTGACTTTATTGTTGTATGATAAACGCCAGAACGAGGATAGTTACGACACACTGGCACCCTATTAGACCAGGCAGGTATAGCTCCGAAACAACGGATTCTTTCTCCACTGGCCGATAGTCATAATGCAATGTTGCGGAATGACAGTATGGAAGTGAACATAGAAAGGAAATGGGCAAGAGATACACTGGCCGTTCGCTGTAGATCCTGGAAATGGTAATAAATACGAGGCAGAGTCAGATTTCGGTGAAGAGGTTTGTTCGGCTACTTACTGGGGACTTGGCCCCACCAGAATCCTGGTGCGTCAGGTCATAGAAAGTGGAGGCGGTACGATGATTAAGCCGGTAAGAAGGTTATTTTGCACGTGGGCATTGGGCAAGTTCTGGCAGAGGCTAGCACGAGTCCGAGATCACAACTCGAAATAGATGCACGTTCTTACAATATCCACAGAACCAGTTTGGACCGCCAGAATGAGGGGTAGGAGGAGTCTTAATTGGAAGGCTCAAGGTTGAATACACTCAGGTCTCTGAAGGTGTCTGTCATTCGATTTTTGGAAGAAATAGTCACACGAGGAAACATGAATTCGAAAGTGCAACACACATATGCCCAACCGCATCATGTAGTTTGTAAGGCCGCAAAGTAAGTAAGTCCGTAGCCAAGAGGAGTCGAGTCGATATGGTTCCACGAAAATGACATTTACTTGATGATGTGGCGATACAGCTGCAGTGACTGAAACGATGAGCCTGAGTTGGGCTTTTGGAAACGGGAAACACTGGCGCCTAGGATGAAGGATACAAGTTCAAGAATCATATTTAAGAGTAGACGCTCTCGAAAAGAATCGTGTCAGAGGATCATCACAGTTTATGATGTATGTCTTGGACTGATACTTTATCTTCCTTGTTTTTAGTCGTCTGGGCAACGTCCTTTGTTAGTAGTTAAATATTACAAGGTAGCGGAAAAGTTCGAGTTCAAGTACAAGGAACAGAGAAGAAGTGACAATAGAACTTAGAAGACTTCTTTTCATATCTTGATCATTGAAATGGAAGGACCAGGTTTGTGAGATGCTGTTAAAATTTGATTCATCGTGACTCCCACAGATAAGTGTCAAAGGGCCTTTTCTTACTGTGCAGGAAAGATCCGGAAAAACGATTTGGGGATCAAGATTCGGACTGTATATTGTTTGCTTGCTTCTGAAAAAATATGATTGGTCGATCATCTATGTAAAAGATTAAAATGTGGTGAGAAAAGACCTGCCTGTACGCACAAGGCCGAACTGAGGTGCTTAACCTAGAAGGGAAAAGCTGTGCCGTCAATGAAAGGAATAAGAGAAAACATGGGAGAGGTGCGGAAGATTGAGTCGGACGGAGTCAAATTAAGTCCCACGGATGAGATAGAGTATAAGGCAAACCTGTAGAGGTACCTCAAATGGAGAGGTTGGCGCGGGAAGTACAAAAGAACTAATGGAGATAGATTGTTGCGTACAAGGGCTAGCTCGGGTCGATCTTGAAACTTTTTGAGGTCAATTGACTTGAGAGGAATGGAAAGTTCTGCGCGTTCCTTTGACACGTGCTTTGATTTTGTTGATGCAGGTTGACTTTCTGCCGTAAAAGTATAACAAGCCGCCTTACTCCACTGCCATCTCTTTCTTTCCAACCCCCATCTTTCCATTCCCATTTTTATCGCGATGGCACTAAATCTGCCCTACCAAAGACCAGCTCACAATCCAGCAAAGCGTATGCGCCGCAGCGCGACTGCTGTAATGGCTGGCGCCTTCGATGTCAAGCCTGCTCGCGATGTACTGACATCACTGCTCAACGGCGTACCGCCTTATTACCCTGTAGAAAAGGATGAAGAGGCAAGAAGAATTAGGAAGCAAGAGAAAAGAGAGAAAAGGGAACGCGAAAGGGAACGAAAGAGATTAAAAGCGATGGGAATACCCGCGGACGGCGCCGGAGTTGGCAATAACGCGACGCCAGGCCCAAGTACAAGTGGAATGCGTCTCATTCAATTACCAATATCTGCGCCTACTCAGGCTTGGGCTTCACGACCTACGATCCAGTTTGCGACGTGTTCCCGGAAACCATCAGAGTCGGTGGCACCGCCATCTCCGCCCCCGCTCCCTTCGTCGCCATATTCTACACCTGGACCTTCGAATTCTTCCAGCACCTCGAGGACATCATCCAAGAGGCCTCGGACACCAGATGATGACGAGGAAATTCTTCATATGCCTCTGTCAGAACCTCGTGTTAGGAAAAAGCGCCCAGCGGCTAGGAAGGGATGGAAAGGATGGGTTGAAGGCTCTCCCCCGCCATCAGAAAAGTTGATCAACCTAGACGCAGTCCCTGTCCTTCAGGAGCGGCGTACTCGGAGTGGGAAGAACTTCGATGCTATTGGAGTCGGCAAGGATGGTTGGGTCTAATTGTAAGCTGATTCCCTGAGTTCCAACCGTTCAATAATTCTCAATTTTTTGATCCTGATAGATAGTAGGATGTCCTAACTTCCTGCCATGAGAATATATTCTACCCATGCACTGATCATTGTTTAACACGATTATCTGTTTACTATCATGCTTGTTCTCGTTTTGCTTTGTGTAGGTTCTATGCATTCCCAATCTGTCCTATCCTCCATGTCCTATCTTTCAACCTGGCCTCTAGTCGCATCACCTATCTCCTCGTGTTTTGTGCTCGTATATTCTTGGGCTTTCTTTCCCCAGTTTGGTCTTATCTACCACTATAACTTTCCTTGGGCTTATCACTAGAGGATATCGGGCAATGATCAGTTCCAATTATCAACTGCAATCTTACGGTGTCCATGGGTGTCATTAGATAGATCTGTAGATAGTTAATATAGTTGGTAAGTCGATTGCCCAATGTTGTAACCCTGGTCAATGGCTTTTTGCATGTCGATCATGATACATAAAATAGAAAATCCTGGCGCCAAACACGAACAAACTGTAATTAAGGCTTTTGTGCTTGACGGCCAACTTCGAAGGCCGGTTTTGTGAGTGCTCGTCCTTGCTGTTCTGCGTTATACTCAGACGAAGGATTGTAATGTTCGCAGCTTCATACAGCCCACAGATCGACACGTACTGCAGGTGGAGAAACCTTATTCTTGTATCCCTCATTCAAAAAGTCTGGTTCAGGAAAAGTCATTCGGGAATTAACTTGTCTTCTTCACTCCAAGTTTGAGCGTTCACACTCAGTTTAGAAGCGGGATGAATGGCGGCTATAATCCACATTCCGTCACCTTTGCTTCCTGCTCCGCCATCATGGTATCCGGGACACATGATGAAGTTCACTCGAATGCTCCCTTCTCTACTTACTCGTACAGACGTAGTTATCGAAATCAGGGACTCGCGTCTTCCTTTAACTAGCATCAACAAATCATTGGAAGGTGGGTAAAAGTTCTTTTGAGTAGTCTCTGTACATGCATTTCGTTCACAGTGGCTTTTTTCATTCTCGGTTCCGCTCGATATCGCTTTTATGATATAGTCACAAATACTGATTTGTACTAGCTGCTCTTAGGAAATGGAGACTTGAGCGTGGCTGGGATGCAAATGACCCAACACGCAGGATAATCAATGCTGGTCCATGTGAACGCTTAGTTGTTTTGAACAAAAGGGATCTAGTACCTGAGTGGGGAATGGAAGTAAGCTCATGTCTATTTACGTCTTTTGAAAGTTGGAACGTTTTCATATTCTTTTCATTTCTCAGCCTTTTCGCCTCGCAATGACGAAAAAGTGCCCGGACCAGCAAATCATCTTTGCTTCGTGGCATAGGCCTCGAGATATACGAGACCTCAATAAGACATTGGTAGGTGGGTAAGCTGAACCGCTCACGCCTCAGCATACTTCATTCTATCGGAATTCGATGCTGATCAGCATTGCCATTTCAGATATAGCCCGTAGGTATCCTCATACTCCGGAACTTAATGTCTTGGTCATTGGCATGCCTAACGTTGGTAAATCCACTCTACTGAATGCCCTCAGAAGTATGGGTATCAAAGGAAGTGAGTCAATCGCATTTTCCCCCATTTTTCTGTAAATTGACAAAGTCGTGGTTTGTCTGCTCTTTCCAACCACACCTTTTTCATTTGTCTTACACGATGCCCTTCATCTGCGGCATTAGAGACTCCGAAGGCGTTCAAAACTTCCGCTCAACCCGGCCTAACCCAGGCAATATCTACCAGACTGAAGCTTTCGTTAGACCCCTTGGTGTATGCCTTCGATACACCGGGCGTTATGCTTCCTTTCCTCGGCCAGGGGGCTAGTGGAGCCGAAAGAGGTGTCAAATTAGCCCTAATAGGTACGTAACACATATACGCAGACGGGCCCGTCATATGCACCTAGGAAGCATTTATCCTCTATTGATTCCATTACATTTCTCAGCTGGTATCAAGGAAGGTCTGTACGACATGGATACCTTGGCTTCGTATTTGCTCTACCGTCTCAACGTGTTAGATCCTATTTGTAAGATTCACATCCCTGTTCACCCTTCTCAAACTTTACCTCGTTCCATCCTAGCGCCAGCCTACTTGACACTGTTACCGGAGGGTACACAGCCAATAATTGATCTGGATGTATTTTTGTCCAAAATTGCTCAACGGATGGGGATGATCAAACGCGGTGCGGAGCTGGACCTCTCACGGGCGGCTACGTATTTTGTCAGGTGGTGGAGAGAGGAAGGCGGTCTTCTGGCTGCTTCTTCTAATCTACAAACCCTTTCTCGTCCTTTGTTTGTCACCAATGAGAAAGGGGCAATTACAAACGAAGAGAATTTCTCTGTCGCTCACGGCTGGGGATTCGATTTCGAGTGGCGGATATCTCCAAATGATTTCCACGATGTAAATCAAAAAGTGGTCGAATCTGATGTGGCTTCCTTTGTGCAGCTGAAAATGGAGGAGTGCATTGGAAACTATCTGGTTCAGTCGGAGAGGGAAGACCGAGATGAAACTAATATCAGTGCCACACAACGCAAGAAACAATTGACGATGGAGGAAAAGGCCAGGAGGAGGACCAAGTACGCGAGAACAAGTCGGTGACCATTCGAAAGGCCTCGATGGGTACTCATACTAGGTAAGATCTCATTCAAACTATTGATCATCAGAACCTACTGCTTTTACTCACATCCGCGATAGTCTCGGGAATGATATATCTGAAGTGCAAAAACCTGTGGGAAAGTTGCACCATCTTTAACATTGATTCATTTCTCAGAAACCTCTGAAAGATTGAGCTGATCACAGAGAGACAAGTACTCATATTTCACCTAGGATCTAGCCTGGATCTAGCTACATCTACTTGACTTCAGTAACCATTTCGTTATACCTGGTCACTCCAGACATTCATTTACTTTCAATGAGGCTGTAGTGACAGAGGGCACTGAGTTCAAGATACATGGGCAAAAGGCTTAAGTGCCTACATCTTGAGCTAATTCAGTCGGACAATTATTGAGATTGCAGAGAGCTGGATTAGGTTCACGTTGTCTAACTTCATCTCCTGAGCGCACAGTAACACTCACTCGCACCTCCCACTTAAGGATTGAATTTAAGTGTGATGAGTTGATATAACTCGCTTTGACCTGACGTGATATCACCACGTGCCTCGCCTACAATAACATCCATTCATTCAAAGCAGTTTTGAGGGTCTTCAGCCGTTTTAGAAGACTTTCATAGTGTCATCATCGAATAATGTTTTTGCCAAGTCACGCCAGATTCCCTCAGATTCCGCGTCACTATCATTTGGCGAGAAAGTTATCTGATTATGTGGATGCTCGCGAAGGACCTGGGGAGATCTGTATTCACAAATCTATTAATATTCCACGAAAACGAAGACCGTCGAGTTGATGAAACTCTCAAAAAAGTATCCTAATTTATGATTTCGAGGAGGCTATCCACAACACTGTAGCTTGTTGTAATCTGGCACCCGCTAGCACACATCATATCTCATCATATACATCACACATCTGCATCGCTGGGATGCGAGTGAACATTGAGAGGACTGGGTTGCAACTATTCATAGGAACAACTGGGGCCCATCAGCAAGTTCCTGATTGTATAATATGTATGATATCACACACATATGTATCATACACTGACGGACCTGTATGATAGAAAAAGGGAGTACATGATGAACCAGTGATGAACATACTTCAAACATACCATACCACATCATATGAATGTATATCTAGCTTCTCATACGTTTTTCTGCATTGAAGTTTCTATACTCTTCTATTTAGTCGCATAACGCCATGATCAATCAATGATTTTGAGGATATGGCAGAAGAGTTTCGTGAATCGTGTGGGATGCCCATTGGCTCAGTCCTTGATGGGTACTTGGAGGTACTTGGAGGAATCATTAACTATTTTAGATAAAATAAATAGCGCTCAGGAATTGGCGGTTGGCCTGCCGGCTCTAAAGATTTCTACTACACTGCCTTCACAAACGGAGCTACGTGGTTAGATACTTCTTCAATCCCCTGCACGGTTCATCGGAAACACCGTTCAGTTGCAAGTTTGCTGGGATAAGCAACGTGTCAGTACCACTGCAGTAAGTCCTTGCTATGGTATTATTTTGTGGCGCGCGAGCGCCCTTGCCTCCTCAAACATTTCCACCCAATTTAGAATTGAATATTGACGTCTTTTGCCCAGGTTCGGACGAAATGCAGTGTGAATATCGCGCTCGTTGTCTCGAGATCAATTGGGTACACCAAATCATATAAATGCATCACAAAACTATGATGTTTTTTCATCGCCCATTCGTGCTCCACTCCTAAGTTTTTCAAGTTTCTTCCCATTCATCACAATGGGTTCTATCATTGCCAGTAACATCACGCATGTAGTTGTTCATGCCATGCCAGCTGCATGGGGTGCATAAATTCTTCAATTTCGAGTTTACAATTCCTGAATGTGATTCACTGTTTAGGTCACAACAAGCCCCTCTGTGCACTTGTCGTCCATATACTCGAAGACCATCCAGAAATTGTGGTGACTTATTTCACTGCTTCTGGCATTTACTCCAAAATCATCGCCGAGCTCAAGCGCTTGGAACCAGCCAGATACGCAGCTATTGAATCACGTATGAAGTGTGTTCACTCTACTATACCAGCTTTTGTAGAGACAGTATTGATTTTATCCAGTATCATTGACATTGCAGGACCAGACTTTGATTTTCTAAAACCATTGGATACATTCGAGTCCAATTTCCAAGCGCTCTACTCTTCAAGTCATGTCACTTGCCTGACTACGAAGAAAACCATCAATGGTCTTCCACGCCCAACATTGGCCATTATAGACGTAGGAGCCAGGTCAATGCTTTGACTTCATGATTCTAAAAATAATCCGCCTTTATAGCCCTTTACTCCGTATGCGTTCGAATCCATTCGCAAAACAGCTGGACAAAGGGTTTCTATTCTTGCTTGGTGGACTTCAAATGCCGGATCTCTGCTTCGACTGCTTGGGCCAGCTCACCTAGGTGGCGTTGCGGAACCGGCGCTCGAGACCAGTGAGGGACGTGCAGAGATGAAGGAAAAGATTTTTGCTGGAGAACATATCAAGGTATGTAACAGTAGTGACTATATCTTTTCATTCTTCGAGCTGAGTCTCTAATCTCTATTAAAGTGGCATGAATTCGTCGGGAAGGTTGTTAACATCCCAGGTATCGGTCCTTCTTATGACTATGAATGGTTCCCTCAACAGGTAAGATTTTTTGGATACCTTAATCGAGCTTGATGCCGCCTCACCTTGTACTTGCAGACTGTGATCACGAATTTAGCCGCTGTAGCTGAAAAAAATGGCACCATCTACATTCGTGAAGCAGACGGAGTCATTTGTGTTTCCGCTGCTTCTTTTGAGCCAGAGGTTGAAGCTGTGGTAAAAGAGTGGTTTGCTTCAATGAACAAAGCATGGTACACTGTTGGACCATTGTCCATCCATTCCCCCACTGTAAATTTGAAACCTCTTCAGACAAAGAGTGAAACAGATATTTTGGTGGAGGCTTTCTTAAACCGGATTCAAAAGGAATTCGGTGCTAAGTCACTCTTATATGTAAGTTTTCATCCAGACTCTCGTTTCCGGTTACTAACTAGCTTAACAAGATGTCTTTTGGGACCGCTTGGTGGCCTGAGCAAGATGATCGAGTCTGGGCTGTCATTGACGGACTTATTGAAAAACGACAACCATTCCTGTTCTCCCACCCATCCCCATTCATGCACTTCCCAAACGAGGTTAAGAAGAAAATTGATGCCAGTGGAATAGCACTGGAGCTTAGCTGGTCTCCTCAAGAGTTAATTCTTACCCATCCTGTCACTGGATGGTTCCTTACCCACGGCGGATGGAATAGCATGCAGGAAGCTTTCACGCATTGCATCCCTATGTGCGTCCTTCTTCTATCCACTTTCTTTTACTCTTCATTCCCAATTTTTGCAGGATATTTTGGCCGTTCCACGCTGATCAACCTTACACTGTTATGCGCATGTTGGCTCTAAAGGCAGGAATTGAACTTATTGAAGTGCGGACTGGAATTGTTGGAGCGCGTATGCCTTACAAATGCGATGAACTACCAGCTTTCACGCCAGAGTCAGCCAAGGCCGAGATTCTAAGCGTTGTTGAAAAGTTAAAAGGGGAAGAAGGACTCGTAATAAGACAAAACTTTGAAGCTGTTGCGCGCACAGTAGGAAAGGCTTGGGATGCTCCTGACGGGGAGTCAAGAAAGAATTTTCTAGCAATGTTGAAGAAGTTCCTATAATTTCTTAATTAGGCCATGTCAAGTAGGATCGAGAAATTCATAATGTATAGTTCGAACCAGGTTAGAACACAGCTCTCTGATGTTTCATGGTACATTATTGACCAAACGACGACGGCTGGGGAGAAATGAAAATGTAAATCTTGCCGTACTCGGAACGTCCGGCTAAAGGCAGGCAATCGCTTGGTCCATCTGATTATTCTCTGGCAACGTCCTTCCGTCGTGATTCTCAACGCCTTTCTTGTCTGCCTTTTTCATGCCCGAAATATCTGTGAGCCCCGAGATGTCCTCCAATTCTCGTCTCAAGCTACTTACTTGTTCCTTTGCCCTTCGAGAATAGCCCCTCTTCCAAGCCCTGTAGACCTCTGTAGACCTCACATTCGATGCGGCTGTGATCACTGACATTGATCTTTTCCAGGATGAAATTCGTCACTTTGACCCTTAACTCACAGCTACTAGAGTCATATGCGCCTCCGCCGATCTCCTCCTTTCGAAATCTATACAGATGGCTCGTGTATGAACAGCTTGCCTAACTTATCACCTTCTCTTAGAACTTCTTCATTCTCTACCCGAAAGACACCTCAATTGATCTTTGCTTAGGTCAACTCATATAGGTGGCGTTGCGGAACTGGCAGCTCGAGACCATTGAAGATCGTGCGGAGACAAGAAAATCATGTTTTTTGCGGAGAACAGAACAAGGCATAACCCGACAGTACTTGTTGATAGAATCCTGTATTTTGTATGCCTGTGCTGTATAACTTTCCCTTTGCACTCGCTGTAGTGTATGATCTTTCTGGATGAGCATTTGTTGCAGTAGATACGACTGGGCCTAGCTATAGTATTTCCTTGCTTTCCCTGCAGAACCTCCCCAGTGCCTCACAGGATCCACAGACGAAGCCGTGTATCGATCTATCGATGAGTCTTTCCTTCCCCAAAAATACGAGTCGTGCTATCTACCTACATAATAAGGTGTGCAACAGTGCGAATAACGGACGATTTGAGGCCTGATCGATGATCGACAATCTGTTTGGGGACCTAAGTTGTTTAAATTCCACGGAAATAAAAGTATACGGCCACGTACAGCACGTACCCCCCCAAAAATCAAATTGGTCTTGATCAGATTCCTATAAATTGAGCCTTCATATCATTATCCCGTCATTGTCGCCCTCGTTGCCCTTGTATTTCCTATCATTCCCTGCATAAGATGGACTCAACAGCCAGCAAACACAAACACGTAGTTGTTCACGCTATACCAGCTGGATGGGGTGCGTCGATCCATAATGATGAAGGTCTGATGATATTAAATATATGTTTAGGGCATAACAAGCCCCTTTGTGCGTTCGTCGTCCGAATGCTCGAAGAGCAGCCCGATGTCGTGATAACTTACCTTACCGCTTCTGCCGTTTATTCGAAAATCATGGACGAGTTCAAGCGATTGGAGCCAGCTAGATTCGCAGCTATCGAACCACGTTTGAAGTGTGTATCTTCCTCTTGGTCTTCAAGTGCAACCTCTCTAACTGGCGTAGCATAATGGATATTGCTGGACCAGACTTTGATGTCATGAAACCTCTGCTCACCTTCGCGCCCAGTCTGGCAGCACTGTGCTCCTCAGGCTCCGTAACTTGTCTCACCACAAAGAAAGTTATCAATGGCCTTCCCCCTCCGACCTTGGCTATCATAGACGTGAGCGCTTATTTTATGATTGTTATCGTACTTCCTTATCTTCACATAGCCATTTGCCGCGTATGCGTTTGAATCGATTCGACCGATCGCCGGAGACAGTATCCGTATCCTTGCGTGGTGGACCGCGACTGCGGGATCCTTATATCGAATTTTAGGACCTGCCCACCTTGGCGGTGTTGCAGATCCAACGCTGGAAACTGTTGAAGGGCGTGCGGCTATGAAGAAAAAGCTACTTGAAAGGGAACAGATTGGGGTAAGCCTCTGCGATGTATCTGTTAGTCATTCTTGGACCAAGATATTAATTCTCCCCAAAGTGGCACGATTGCGTTGGAAATGTTGTGAACATCGCTGGTATCGAACCTTCTTACGACTACGAATGGTTCCCTCAAAAGGTTTATCGTTTTCCCTTGCGCAATGCTGGATTTGCTGACCTCCAATACATAGACTCCAATTCTACCTATTGCTGCCTTTTTAGAGAAGATCGGCTCGATTTATATCCGTGAGGCTGACGGACTTATATGTGTTTCTGCAAATGCTTTTGAGCCAGAAGGTGTGGCGGCACTTAAAGCGTGGTATACTTCAATGAGCAAGGATTGCTACGCCGTTGGACCCTTGTCAATCCATGATACAGGGAACCAAAGCTCAAAATCCGTTCAAACAGAAAACGATACAAATGTTCTAGTGAATGTTTTCTTAGACAGGATTCAAGAAGAATTTGGTGACAAGTCGCTTATCTATGTACGTTTTTCAAAATACGTGGTGAAATCAACTGACTATACTTTCCACTACGTAGGTGTCTTTCGGTACTGTTTTTTGGCCTGAGGATAGCGAACGCGTTTGGGCTGTGATTGATGGTCTCATTGAAAAACGGCAACCGTTCCTGTTCTCTCATCCATCCCCTTTCCAGAAATTTCCGGATGAGATGAAAAAGAAAATAGAGGCCAGCGGAATTGCGATGGAGCTTCGGTGGTCACCTCAAGAGTTAATCCTCAAACATCCAGTTACTGGTTGGTTCATTACACATGGCGGATGGAATAGCATGACAGAAGCGTTTATACACCGCGTCCCTCTGTGAGTCGCGTCAAGTCTTCCCTGGTAGGTTTATATCTCTGCGGCTGATGTTCTACAAACCCACAGGATCCATTGGCCGTTCCACGCAGACCAACCTTACAACGCCATGCGCATGTTGACCCTGAAGGCAGGCTTTGAGCTTGTTGAAGTACGGACCGGACCTGTCGGAGCGCGAATCCCTTACAAGTGCAAGGAACTTCCCGCTTTTACGCCAGAGTCAGCCAAGGCCGAGATCATGAGCATCGTTGAGAAGTTGAAACAAGAGGAAGGATTTGTAGTCAGAAAGAACTTTGAAGCCGTTGCAAACGCGATAAGCAAGGCTTGGGATGTGCCCGACGGGCAGTCAAGAAAGGATTTTCTAGCGATGCTGAAGAAATTTGCATGATCATCGATGTATGTACATAGTAGTCATAGATATTAGCGCCGAAAGATTCCTTTCGGAAATAAAGACTTTTATATACCTTGTTGCTCTAATCAAATACCACCACCATCCATCGTGGGTGCATAAAGATGCTGGACGTTAGTTTCCTTCCATCTTTGCCTTTGCACGACATCGAGCGGGCCTCTCAAGTTCGTCGTCGCTTTAGTCGCAACACTTGGATTTTCTTCCATTGAACGATATTGCTACTAGTTAATTTTGCACGCTTATGGCGTCCCTAACCCCACTACATCCAACGATGAACTCCGTCGTTTGCAGCAGGAGCTTTTCAGCATTCAAAAGCTTCCGGAAGCCTGGGGCCTCGTCATTCCCCTGTTAAATCACCAAGATGAAAATGTCCAGTTTTTCGGAGCACATACGTACGTTCTGTACAGGGCGACCTCTTATGGATTGTATAGAAGCTGAAGTTGGTCCAAAGTGCGCAGGTTAAGATAGCACGGGATTGGTGAGTGGCGGTACTTTTTCTCTTCATGTTGCTCACGCCAATGTATCAGGGCGACCTTTCCTCAAGAGCATGCGGAGCCACTAAGAGATCTGCTTGTACAACTCACATCTCACTCGGTCAACGTCAGGAAGTCCAAAGTTATTTTGCGAAAACTCTTTGTTTCCGTACGTCTCTTCTGACCTGGTGTCCGGTTCTTGGTTCTCAATATAAAACGAAGCTCGCGTCACTAGCACTCAAATTGGTACCCCAACATCCTACGCGGTGGCCTGATTGGATTTTGCATTGTGTCACATCTTTGTCTGGAAACGGGGCATCTGCCGAATATATTTTGGACTTTCTTTCCATCGTCGCAGAAGAGGTTGATACGGCGGATCTAATGGGCCCCAGTAAGTAAGTACTTACCCATTCCACTGTCTTAACTCAATTCTTATCGCATCGGTGCAGATCGCGCATGCAGCAAAGCATGAACGATGCCATTCCTCTTGTTATTCAAGCAATAAGAACGTCAATCGAGTCACCAGTTAATGTTGCTTCCTCTCACGAACTCTCATCGGCTTTGAAATGTTTCCAGTCGTGGTTGTCAATCCTTCCAACTAGGTGAATAATATCTATCTGTTGTGGCCCTATAATTCAGACTTTAATTTCACCGAAAGTGAATTTTCCCCACTTATTCCAGCTATCATCACCCTCCTCAATCCCGAATTCGATACTACCTTTGTAGCTGCATCTGATACCCTCCAAGAGATTATGTCTAAATCACCTTTGTCTGATGGTTCCGGCACTAGAATATTGACTGAACCACTCCTCCTTTGGCTACATCTCACTGGTACCAACATCGTTGATTCAACGGTCCAATCGGGATACACGGATGATGTATCGTATTCGCTGTGCAAATTGCTCGCCGCTCTCGGTGATCATTCCGCCAGCCATCTTGCCGCTAATATTGCGTCCTCCGCTTCCGTGACTCTCCTCCCATCCTCGATTCCGGGTGGTGTTTCCCCAGTAGACCTTAATAAGACCAAGGGTCAACTGTGCCAGACATTCCTTAGGTTACTGCTTGCGTACACCGGCTTTCCTGGATTTTATGGAGTGGACGAAGATGTGAGCGAAATGACGCTTGGGTTCTGGTACATGTTGCAGGAGGCATTATGGAACAACGATTTCTACTTCCCTGATGGCGGGGAGACCCAAGCATCTCAGCAATCAGAGATGGGGGATCAAAGTGGGGTAGCCAAGGCACTTTATGTTCAGCTTGTCCAAGTATTGAAGCGAAAGATAACCTGGCCTTCATCAGGTCACAACTGGTCGAAAGGTCTGTGAACAAGAATTATTCATATATCCCACATTTATGCTGAATCTTTTTCCGTAGACCAAATAGATAAATTTGTAGTGTTAGTCAATTCTTGTATGGTTGCCATTTTTTTGATCAATAACTTGCATGTTAGATATCGGCGGGATGTCGGTGACATTCTCATTAATGCGTCCGTTCAAAACTCGTCTCGATTTTGCATCACTAAACTGACCTCTGACCAGGTATTATATTATTCGGGACGATATGGTCGTGTATTTCGTCAATGATGTCGTGGATCGTTTGGCATCTCGGTCGAGGGAGCAAACACAAGGTTGGGAGGTAATTCTTATCTTCATTTTTCACCATCAGCACACGTTAACAGACTTGGTCGTCCAGGACATTGAAGCCACTTTACATTGTATCTCATCTATCCAAGAAGCGTTGGATTACGAAAAGACGCCTCGAATAGAGCTCCTTTTCTCGCCGCAAACTTTAAATCGGCTTCCTGCAACAGGAAATATCCGAATCAGACGAACGATGTTGGGTCTCATTGGTGCCATTCTAATAATATCTCAAGCTTCATCGGTAGAACTTACTTCTGATTTTCAGGCGCTTATGCATCATGGTTTGCTGTGTCCAACCGTACCACTCCTTCAAAGACCGAACTTCTTATGTCAACTATTTCATTTATTGTGCAAGCTCTTCCCGACCAGATGCTCTCTCTCCAAGCAGCATCAGCATTACGGAATATTTGTGATGCCAATAGAACTGCTCTTGCTCCTCAAATCGGAGCTTTTGCCGAGCTGCATACAGGATTAGCTCAGATACCTGTACGTCAACGTTGTTGTTAAACATGAGATGGTCACAGAAAATTTGTATATCAGGACTCAGAGAAAAGCAAGGTAATGGAGTCAATAGCCAGCGTGGTACAAGCTCTACCTCCACTGGATGCAATTCCTACTGTTGAGGTAAGTACAATCATTGCTATTCTGCATACATAGTTGATTCCTTTCGCAGGTTATTGTTGGTCCCATCCTTTCTAGAATTTTCTCGGTCTTGCAATCACAGAACATGGTATGAATATCCCATGTTATGCTCAACTGTCATTGACTTTTATGTGAAAGGCTTCAGCGGGGGCTCGCGATATATGTGTTCTTCAACTGGAGACTCTTACTGGTATTGCAAGGGGTCTTACTAGAATATCCACGTTCGGTGATGGTCTGTCGGATGAAGAGCCGGGGGATGACAAGGAAATACAATCAATAGAGGCGGCTCGACAAGATCTCAGGATGGTCCAGTTGAGAGAAAGCATCCTCAACGCTGTTCGTGGATGTGTTGATATGTTCCGTGACGCGGAAATTACTCAAGTGTGTTAAGTTGAATTGTCACTTGGAAAATTCATGGCTTAATCAAGGTATCAGGAACTCAACGACCTCGTTAAATCAATAACGTCGTTGCCGTCTGACGCTACCCTCATAACTCTGCCCGCGCCTCCTTTGTTGGAAATCGTCTGCTTTGCTTTACAGCGTCAACCCACCGCGTCATGGCTGACACTGGCTGGTATCCTTATCAACCAATTGAGTCCTCCACCTCCCATGCCAATACGAGGCAAGAATTCAGAAAAGGAGGAACAAAGGGCGAAGGCTCAAAGAGAGTCAGAGGAACAAGCGAAGCTGGTTGTAGCTGGGGTTTTACCTGTATTGTTAAATTCCTCTCTGTTGGTTTTTGCGGCACCTGGGGGAATGGAAAATGTAAATTCATCCAACAATATTCTCCATACTTTCTCACTTCGAGCGTGATAGAATCCTGACATCGTCCAAGAATTTTTCCTATGCTTGGATAGGGTACGTTTATGTTAACTTTGATTGCTGGACCCACTCAACTTGATTCATCACAGGTCGCTCAAGATTTCACTGGGAACTTCTATACTCTTCCTCTAGGTGCACTGGGAGCATTGATGCAATGTACGATACGTGCTTTGACGCTACAAGAACGGTACTCATTAGTCGCAGCCTGCACCTTCCTGGTCGGTTTTCTCTGATTTCCTACCTCATATAATCTAATGAGCAATGGCAGAGTACATTCATACATCGTTCATACGTTCACGCAACTCTCGCGTCATACCGAGAACAATTTATCGCCACCTATGGCCGTGCGATCATGCAGGCCATCTTGAGCGGTTTGGCGGGTCAAGCGCCCCGCAGCGTGACCCAAAATCTCATTGAGATGCTCTCAACAATGCTGACCCGATGCTCAGAGGAGAGTCAAGTCTGGTTGAAAGAAGTCTTGTTTGATGTAGGGACTTAAGTTTCCACTACGTTCGTTCTTGACTCATACATGGTTTGGCATCAGCAAAACTTTACGTCGTCCAAAGCGACACTGGAAGATAAAGAGCGATTCATGAAAAGCATAACTGGGTGTGTAGATCCTCAATTAATAAGCTAATAGTATCTCTGACTCTATGTCTAGTTCAAGGTCATTAAAAAAGACTCGAGAAGCTGCCCAACAATTCACCCTGGTGGCACGGGGATTAGAAGGTACCAGCTTTGGCTATGCCTCTGTTTCGATGTAGAGATACGACTATTGTGTTCTACTTCGATGCCAGGGATAATATACTTTGACCATTCGATATGTATTTGTGTATCTGACCATTATTATAGTCATAATATCATGTACATTAAATGTTACTCTTGCTCACAAATGGGAAAGTTCTTTTGTGCATCCTAATAACCATCGGAGTCGTTCTGTCAAGGACGATGACCATGAAACCGACGAGGCTGTATCTTTTTGTATTCCCCACAACTGTGGTCCATCTTTCAAGTCAAACGCACGCGTTCCGAAAGGTATTCGGCGCTCATTTCCAGCAACCCAACCGTCCACGGCTTCGGATTCATTACATTTCGAATGGCCGAAATAATTCGAAATTTGGGGATTTTGAAGCCTTCTCAAGAAGTTAGAACCCTCTTCCACGGCTTCGGAGTCATTACATTTTGAATTGCGGAAATGATTTGAAATTTGGGGATTTTGAAGCCTTCTTAAGAACCCTCTTCCATGATACACAATCGTTGCAGCACACTTGCAAGCCCACCACATTGATCATGGTACAGAAACATATCGTTGCACACAACGTTGCAGCATGGGGTAATGCTCGTCATTATCTAGCATGATGATCGATGGACGCTGATCTATATTTTCGATACCTTGACAGGAGCATATAAACCTCTCAGTGCCTTTGTCGTACGCGTCGCCGAAAGGCGAGAAGATGTGATTTTTACCATCTTGATCACTGGGGGAGTGATATACAAAAAGTTCATGCGTGAACTAGCTAAGCTCACAATTTCTCGGCTGGAAGCAATACGTTCACGCATCAAGTGCGCTCTTGAATCCTTTCGTATGTTACGTCGATGCTTATTTGTTGCTACTGCGATAGTGTCATTGACCTCAACGGACAAGACGTGAACCCACTCATTCCCCTCGCTGAATTTGCACCGGCTTTCGAAGCGCTTTATTCTTCTAAACCTCTAATTTGCAAAACAACGAACTTAATTATACACGGCCTTCCCCCACCAACTGTTGCTCTTATTGATGTTCGTCTGCATTTTATCCTTGGAACTGCTGTCGTTGAAACTCTACGATTCAGCCTTTTGCGGGTTATGCTGTCGATGCGATACAGGCTATAGCAGGATCAAAATGTTCGATTTTTTCATGGATGACTGCCCCTGCGGGAGCTACTCTGCGACTGTTTGGCCCAGAAAAGTATGGCGGAGTTGGAGATCTGTCACCCAAAGCTGAAGCCGAGATGGACCTGAGCGGAAAGAGGTATGCTGAAGTAGCGAAGGAGGTAGGCGACTACATTGATGTTCCATCAACGATTTGAAATTCATTCCCTACCTGTTCCCTACTTAGATATACGACGGTTTCTCGTCGGGCGAGATAGTACGTATACCCGGAATACCTGCGATGTATGACTACGAGTGGACTCCACAAGAGGTACAACCTTGTTCTCATGCTGACGTTCGAAATATGCTGACTACGACCCCGCGATTCACGAAGGTAAACTTGTCAGATCAGACCTTTTTCATAACAGCGCAGAAATACATGAGGATGACGGATGGAACATTTTGTGTGTCTTCCTCTATCTACGAACCGGAGGCCATGAATGCCGCGAAAGAGTGGCTCAATTCCATCGGGAAAGCTTGGTACTCTGTAGGGCCTCTGTCCCTGTCAGAATCAATGCCAATCACCCAAGCTCATGACGAGAAGGAGCTACAGGTAATTTCTTTCTTAGATCGAATGCAATCTGCATTCGGGGCTCGGTCTGTTTTTTTCGTAGGTATCTTTTGATGGCTCTTTTGTCGAGACACTTATCTGTGACTCAATCTAGATATCGTTCGGTACAATTTTCTGGCCTGCGCAACCTGAAAAGCTCTGGGCGATCATCGACGAGCTTATCGCTCTCCGTAAACCATTTATTCTTGCGCATACCTCTCCGTTAGCACAAATTTCAGACGAGAAGAAGAAATTGATTTTGGACAGTGGAATTGGTATGGAAATGGCGTGGTCTCCGCAAGAGAAAATACTTTCCCATCCTGCTACCGGGTGGTTTGTCACTCATGGTGGCTGGAATAGCACGCAGGAAGCGTTGGCGCATCGAGTTCCAGTGTAAGTTCTTTCATTAATCGACTGCCACTGTTCACTGTCATATTGACAACGGATGCAGTATTTATTGGCCTTTCGCAGGTGACCAACCTTACAATGCGGCCAGGACCGTTCAACATAACGCAGGCTTCGAGTTGATCGAGGTCAGGACTGGAAAATTGGGAACAAGAGTCCCATATCGGTTCAAAGACAACAGCAGTTCAGAGTATCCTACATTCAGTATTTCTGCAGCGCGAGAAGAATTCAAAGCAGTGCTTCGATGCATTGAAGGGGAAGAAGGACGTACAATTAGAGCGAACTTTGAGCGTCTTGGCGAAATGATGGACAAAACTTGGGATCAAGGACATGAGGCCGAAGAGAGTTTGGGGGCTTTTCTCCGGGATTTTGTGGATGGAAACGTTGCTCATTCGATAGGCTCGAAAGCCTTTGCATAGATATGCACACCAAATATGTAGCCTTTAAGCTTTAAAATTTAAGCCTTACAAGTTAATTAAACTCTTTTGTAAATTGCCGTGGTTTTGTCCGGTACAGCTACTTAGGTACGAAAAGTTATTTGTACATCGCCATATGTAAGAGATTTTTGAGCCCAGATTCCCATTGGGCTCAACAATTTCCCTGTTCCGAAGAGAACAGGTAGCAGCAGATAAATAAACACAAACAGCTTCCGAAAAATTTCGAGCTTACTGAGAGTTACTGTCGCAGTGGTGCGATTCTTCCCACGCTTGTATCCTTCGGGCGCAACCTTCATCTCATCCATCCACCTTCAAGCTTCAAGCTTCAAGGTCCAACTATACTTTTTGACGAATCAGGTCAGTCTCGCATCAAGCATTGATGAAGACGATGTGCAGATTCGCTTCACACGGGTAACGCTTGCTGGTCTAGCCTCTCTAATGAGCGGACGTTATAAAACTCTTCATGTCTCTTTGAAAAAGAGGCCATGACTGGGGTAAAAAGAGCAACACGGGTGCCTCGTTCATAGCTTACTATGGACCTGTGCTGAGATCATACCGTTGAGCGGATCAGGATAATGCCTGCGTCGCTAGTTGTTTAATATTGTCGTGTGCTCACAAGGTTGCAGCAAACATGTCGGATTGGCGTACAATGTGAGTGTAGTTAGCTTGTGCGGTCGATGCTGATATATTAATGATCCGCGAAACCTGATAGATCGAATGCCAGCGATAGATTAAAATGGTATCAAAACAAGGGCCAGTTAAAACTCAACTTGTGGGTAATTTGAGCAAGGTCAAAGGGACTCCGCACTGACACATTGTTTATAGCTTCTTGAGCATCATTTTCGTCGGAATGGTTCTCAATGGATGCACGTACTTCAACTCATTTTCCGTTTCCGACAAGTAACCTCCTCCTTCAGATGACGGATCCCTCGTATCCGGTCTTCAAGCTTCGGATGCCTGGCAGGCTGATCTCGGATATCCTGATGGCGTTCGACTCGGTCTTCTTAACGCCATCGGAAGTATCAGCGGCTTGTTCGTTGGTCCTATCATCACTTACATCGACGAGAATCTTGGTAGGCGATGGGGTATTCGATGTAGGTGTATTACTCTGCTGTTGGTGTAATGACGTATGGACCGATGATTTTTTATTTTTTAGTTTACGGCTATACTATGCTCATTGGCTCAGTGATTGGTTGTATCGCTGGCGTTTCGGGTGCCAACGGATATGGTCGTGAGTCTCATTTTCTGCTGTACTCAACCATAGATTACGATGTTAACAACGCGTCTTTTTGACCCAGTTTTTGTCGCCGGCAGAGCTATAATCGGTCTTGGCCTTGCCTCCTTCCTCATGACCAGTCTTATTGTGGTTCAAGAAATCACCCATCCTCGCTCTAGGGAGGCTATCGCAGCGTCATGGGTGAGAATCAATGCCCTCAATATTTTTAGTTTCATATTCATGTCCGTCTTAGGATTCTTACTGGATTCTGGGTAGTGTTATTGCCGCCTGGGTCAATTTTGGTTGCGTAGGCTTCATCACTTCATCCTGGTCGTGGCGCATTCCCTATATTATTCAAGTCCCATTCGCACTCTATATCCTGATTGCCGTACAATTTGTGCCCGAAACTCCTCGATTCCTCCTCGCCAGAGGTCGTGATGCGGAAGCTTACGCCTTCTTGGTGGAATACCATGGGAACGGGGATGTGGACGACCCCCTTGTCCGTTTCGAATTCAAGGAAATGAAAGAGGCGATTCGTACAGAGCAAGCTGCGAAAGCGGAGAAGTGGTCCACGATTTTGAAGAAAAGATCTAATCTCCACCGCCTTGGGTTGGCGGCATTGATGGTTTTCTTGACGAACGTGAGTCCCTCGGCTAAATTATCCTCAAGTGACCGGTAAAGTTAACGAATTATAGCTTTCTGGATGTGAGTAGTTCTATCGTCCTCTAAATCGTGACTGATCAATGATAATTTATCAGCGTCAATCATCTACTTCTATTGTGAGCTCGCAAATTAGTTGCGGTATATGTTGTTCAATATACTAAATTGGCCTTTCTCAGACACTACTGTTTTCGACCTTGTCGGCATTACCGACGCCACTACTCAAACAGGTATTCAGGCTGGGCTCAGCATGTTTACCTGGTTCTGTCAAATTGCAGCGGTGTATGTTGGCAAGTATGTCGGGAGAAGAAAGATCTTGCTCTTTATCTGGCCGACTCTTCTTCTCAGTCTCGTTGGTCTTTGTGTTTCGAGGTGAGCCTGAGCCATTCGGTCTCGTTCAGAGGGCGTGATAGAGGCTGAATATATAACAGCGGTGTATTTGCGAACGCGTCTGAGAACAATAATCGTGCAGGCGTTGCGACGTGAGTGCTTCAGAATATTTGATCAGAGGTGGATGTTGACTACATTATAGAGTCGCGCTGGTTTGGATCTACCTCGGCTTCTTCAACGCTTCTAGTGAGCCTCGTTTTCTTTGCCAGTATAAGCTTGAACTGATCTCCGTGTAGACCCTGTTCTATATTCCTGTGCGTTTTCATTCTCCTCTTTTTTGTCCTTCCATCGACAATGACTTTCTTAGATCCCGCTGAAGTGCAAACCTTCTCAATGCGAAGCAAGGGTCTCCTAGTTTGGAATACTGTCTCACAGCTCATGAGTGCATATGTCACTTGGGTTGATGCGATTGCCCTTGATGCGATTGGTTACAAGTATTACATTGTCTACATGCCGCTCGTGGTCATTCAATGGGTGCTTGTGTACTTCTGCAAGTCGTCTCTCTCGATTAATCAAAACATGTGGAATTACTATCTAACCTATCGTTTTATAGACATGGTTGAGACCAAGGGATACACCCTGGAAGAAATTGCCACTGTGTTTGATGGAAAAAATCCAAGCTTGACGAGTGTTGATATCCTTCCGCCTGGAGAGCAACAAGGTGGTGAGGCTGACGACTCCAAATCCCGAGAGGATGGTGTCGAGTAAAGGAGTAAAGGAAAGGCTGACAAAGAGCTTTTCTGCGGGAAGATACATATTCTTTGTTCGCACCTTACTCACTATCATCTTAGACCTTACTCACCAATCTTACTCATCTATCTCTTGGTTGTAATCATGACAAATCGATTTTACTTCCTTACCAATACCTTAGGGTCTTCAACCCTTAAAAAGAGCTCAATTTTGAACTATATCCAACGAGTTCTGCGAATCCGCCTTGTCCGAAATGTCTATACCCGCTTTTACTCCCATTGCTCTTATCATTGGTGGCGGATCCAATGTTGGGATCAATGTTGCCAAAAAGCTATTGAAGGAAGGCTACGGCGTTGCACTAGGTTCACGGAATCCAGATTCTGCTGCTCTCAAACAGCAAGGAATCTTTCCTGTGTCCGTTGATGGGACGAGCTCTGAAAGTATTCAGAAAGCATTCAAATCGGTTAGGACGAATCTTGGGGAACCAAGTGTCGTGGTATATAATGGTTAAGATAAATGGGCCCTATGTTGTTTGTCAGTCACTAACTTGCACATTTATCTCAGTCTCGGTACATTTCCCACTTCCTTCCGCCAATGATCCATTATCCGTATCTTCCGATGATTTTGCCAAGTCTTGCAAGCTGGAACACGCAGTATTCGTTTCCGCGCAGGAGGCATTGACTAGCTTCCGCTCGATTAAACACTCTACTCCCAAAGCCTTTATCAGCACGGGAAATATCCTCCCGTTCATGAAAGACGGGCCCATTAATTTTGTGATAGGGGCATTGCAGAAGACAACGATGGCCACCTTGATGAATTATTCCAATCGGGCGTATGTTGCAGAGAGAATTAGGTAGCTTTTTTGTGGCCATGACCTCGATGATTACTCGCTGAACTTCTGATAGATTCCATTATGCTACACTCGTAGGTCCTGATGGAGGCATTCCAAACCTAAACCCTCTTGCGGAAGTTGGATTCTTTAACAGTGGTCCAGCGCATGCCGAGGCGTATTGGGACCTAATTTCCGCAGAAAATGTGAAGAGTTGGGATTACCGGTATATTTTTGTCTCGTCTATTTTTTTCCTCCTCTGACCGAAGGTTTTTTCTCCATATTAGATTCACATACAATGGGAAGGCATATGTAGCCTAGAATGGGGCTTGGCATCCAGTAATTGATGTATGTACAGTATAAGAAGAACAGAATGTGTATTCCGATACACTGTATTCTATAATGCACTAGGACTAGACATAGATAAATCGTCATGACTTCACCAAACCACTTGAATAATTCTTCTCCCAACGCCCACGTTCTTCTCCCATACTGTCGTAACTTCGGTATTCACCCCTGAGGCACCATTCCACCTCCTTACAGCCTCAGCAAACTCATCTACACCTCCGCCAACGCCAAAATAAAATACCTTTGCTGCGACGAGAATGCGCGGCGGACGCGGTTCAGATATAGTCAGTTGCGACAATTGTGAGGAAGGGCATGATGAGGAAGTGGATGGATGCGTAGACTGCCACATCGCGCGAATTAATTCAGGAACACTTTCTGTCCGATATAGCGTTTCTGAGGTAAGGAGAATATCATAACCTCCCAGACTTCCTTCAGATGCATCTTGAGTTTGAGCATCCCTGGAGTGCGTGCCGGTTCCGATAACATTCTCAAAACTCTTCCAAGACCCTCCAAAAAATCTTAATTCCACATTATATTTCTTGAGAGATTGTTTGAAGGCATCTTTGAGTGCAGGGGTAATGATCAATTCTCCCGCGTTTGTGGGATCTTTCGCGGGGTACTCCAGGATTTCGTCCGTCCCGGCATCTAAGGAAGATGCTTGGGATGATAAAAATGTATCGGATGCTGGAGACATGTCTAAAGAGGCTTGATTATCAGTTCTTGTATTTCACTGACAAGAAAGGACTTACACCAAGTCAATAACACGTTGGGGAAAGTCACTAATTCTAGGGCGGATGGGTTATAATCTTGGAGATGTATCGCACTTCTTTCCAACGCCGATTCCGTTGAAGGCAAGGAAAATATTTTTTGCAGTAGATATAGTGACGGTATACCTGTGCCGCAGCCTAGCTGCATATGGTCAAAATATGGTGTCACTTCTTGCTTACGAAAGTCGGCGTAGACATCGACTTACCTCTAATACTCTTTTCCCTTCTAAGTCTCCATCCTTCAGACTCGCATGCAGGTAATCCACCAAATCCAAACTGCATTCCCATGTCTTCATGCCACCTTCGTACACACCGGGGACTAGATCGGATGGCGTATCGAGAAATTGTAATCTTGGATCCACAGACGCACCGATTCGCTCGGTTTTTTCTTCTGTGTTTTCCGCTTCCGCAACGACATTAGGGTTGCCGTTGTCTTCTGATATCACCTGGAATCGAGCATCGAAGAGATCTCTCCGTGCAAGGTAATGCACCCGCGATCCACTAGCAAGATTCGGCTCAGAGAAGGCGGAAAGTGTAGCGGTGGAGGTTGAAGACAGCGGAATTTCCAGTGGCGAGTATGACAATTGCGTCGGAAGAGCATCGAGCTGCGCTTTGATGAGCATCAATGGGCGCAATTAAAGAGTATATGTCTTTGCAAAAAAAACGTACAAGATGTTCCATAGTCAATTCAACAAATCTACCATCTTCTCCTGAGACGAAGCTTTCGGAGTTTTCTTGACCTCTTTTCCCAGAATCCTTCCGAGGAGAAGCACGGACGCCTAGTAGATCATCGGCTTGCTGCAGGTAAGAGTCAATATCGTTATCGATGTCCGCATCGTCCAGGTCAAATCCGAATTTGAACATTCCCTTTGATGCAGTTGAGTATAAATTGCGATCTGCGGCCCGTCAGTCGTATTATATGTTCGGATCAAGCCCCTTCCGTTCCGGTGCAGGCGTCCGATGCTTGTTGCGTCTTGGCTGTTGCATGCAGTCCAAAGTTTTCTTCGCTTGGGTTGTTGCAATGGAATTCTTGGGTCTGGACTGGGTGTAAGGAAAGGCCTTTATTTCCCATTGAGATTAACAAAGCCAAATAGGTGCACAATTATACGGGGCTCCGGCCCGGAGCAAGGGACGAGCTTAAGTCGCGTTAAAGTATTCCCGGATACGATTTCTTAAGAAATCAATGCCCTTGGACATTTCAAAATCTACCCTCTTTAGCTCCTCCACCATTGCTCTTGTTTGAACTCTCTCTGTAGAATATGGTAGCTGCTGGGACATTGATATGGATTTCTGTTCGACCTCTCATTCGACTGTGCGTTGTTTGCAATTCTCTCGTGGAGTATTATTCTTATCAACCCATCGCAGAGTCCTCTGTGTCTCCAGTGGATTTGCAGTCACAAAAGCAGACTTGTTCCCTGTGGTTGCTGCTCGCAGCGTGGGGCAAATCATTTTGGTACGACTATGTTTTCCAGCTGTGAACAAAGAGGGAGCTTCGGTTAATTCGAGTCATAATATCGTGCAGAACATTACCCTCCCTAGTCTCATGTTTTCTAAGATGGTCCCGGCTTTCACACCGGACAATGTAAGCGCCTTAGGTGCGCATTTGGAGGACGAGAAATATTCCCATCCGTTTTTTTGTTCCCTATCTGTTTTCCTCAATCACTTAACGAGCCATCAATGTCATTCACATATGCAGGCCCTCTCGTCCTAGTGGCTCTCATATACGAAGCGTTAGGTATGCTCATGGCATGGATAACAGGGAAGCTGTTTTGGGTTCCGCATCGCTTCAGGTATGGTATCTTGGTAGCCGGAGGATGGGCAAACGTTGGTGACATTCGTATGTTACACCAGCCCTTCACGAATTCATCTGCTGAGTGGCGATATCAAATAGCAACGTCGGTTATTATGAGCATCACTGGCGCAGCGCCCTTCGGTGGATCTGACCAAACGCTTTCAGTTGCTTATATCTCAGCCTTCATTCTGGTGTACATGGCAAGTTCAGTTCTAATTGGGAGATAATTTAATCATAATTAATACAATCATAGATCACACTGTTTCCTATGGGAGGTCATTATTTGGTCGCAAAGGACTTCGTGGGACCCGACGTTGAACCTGACGAAGTGCGAGAACAAGTACGTGAACGACGCAAGTTCATTTTACGCGGATGGCCGAAAGCTTTTCTGAATTACATCCGACTTCGCCGCATTCGACGAAGTCATTCATTTGAGGAGGATTCAGATCCAGAGTTTCAGTCCCCAACGATTGAACTCAAGAAGGAAACCCCGTCTTCTTCCGTTCGGCCTCGCCCCCACAAGCATGTTTCCTTCCGAAATGACCACGAAGACCATTATTATGATGTCACGCACGACCAGGACTTGGACGCAACTACCGCGGTGCCCACAGATGGAATGGCTACGCCAGCAATGAGTTACTTTGCCTCACCTGCTGGAACTGTTACTGCACATGATTTGGAATCCGAAATACGGGAAACTAATATAATGGAAAATACTTCAAAGGAGGTGGAAAAGAAAGTACTAACAGTCCGAAAGGATCGACAAAAACGTATCGTATCTCAGCTCAAAACGGTCATGAAATCGACTTTGACCCCAGCCTCTCTATCAATGATCGTCTCAATCCCCATCGCTCTCGTCCCGTCACTCAAAGGACTTTTCATGGCAACGACAAATTCGCATATACCTAATGCACCGGACGGAGAGCCTCCGCTCGCATTTGTATTGGACTTTGCCAATTTCATGGGTGCTGCCTCCGTCCCAATAGGATTAATTTGTCTGGGCTCTGCATTAGCCAGACTAAAGATCCCTTGGGGTGAATGGTCAAGTTTACCTGTAGGGGCTATCTTTACTTTGGCAATTCTCAAAACCGTGGTATCACCGGTGATTGGGGTGTTAATAACCATAGGTTTGACGAGTGCAGGAGTAATTTCCAAAGAGGATAAGGTGCTGCAGTTTGTTTGCATGTGAGTTGTCAATCAACCTTCGTCTTTTATCGTCAACCGGAGTGTTATAACACATGGTGAAATTTTCTCAGGTTCTTCTCGTGCCTTCCAACAGCAACTACACAGGTGAGCGGTCGGATTAGCACTTCGGTGTGGGCCGACACATTGACAACCTGTTCCCGGAATAGGTATATCTCACGCAAGTCTACAGTGGGACGGGATCTGCGGAATTCATGTCTCCGTTTTTGCTGCCTCAAGTTCGTTTGCTTCTATAGCTTTTCGGGCACGCTAACTTAATTTCTCTTTGATAGTATTTCCTCATGTTCTTCTCAATGACAGGCCTTACAGCTTACTCGATCACGTATTTGTTCTAAATGTTTACAGTAATGCCATATATGCATATAGACGCTATCATACGGGCTCGATCCGACTATAACGTCGCTCTGTATGAATGATTTTTTTCTAACCAATGTCACACAAACATGGCTGTTCCTTAATGGGACACTGTCAGAAACCCTTGCCCTTACGTCCTTACCCTTGCAACCTAGTGGCTCATGAGTTCTACTAACCTACTCTTCATCGCAGAAGGAGGGGGCCTGTCCATTATTCCAGTTCCTGCAGGACCACAGGCACAACCGCATCCTGAAGGGCATATAGGGACACTCAACTGATTCCAGCACGAGACATGGGTGACGTGAAAACAACGCAAGCAATTTATGGAAAGCCCTGGAGATTATTGATGAGCATCACCAGGACGGTTGTGACTTTTACAAACAAACCTTTGACGGAAAGCCTGCACACGGTACACTTTGTAGTGACGCGATGATTTCCGCAGGATTCGCACGATGTATCTAGCTTCCCGATGGGAAGAGGTGCCGTGCAATTTGTACACATTCGTATCAGACCTGAAAATTACAGTCAAGGAGAAGATAAATACTTTCAACTCGATATGGCCTACCAAACTCATGTTCTTGTAGAATGCTCTCATACCCAGGTACTGTGATGGATTTCAGAAGCTCCGCCCGCTTATGGTGCAGCTCCCAACGAGATAACATCTCCGCGTAGAAATGTACATGTCTTAGAAGAAGTTCCAATTCTTCATCAGAATAAGCAGGGGAGCGTGAGCTGCAAGTTTTGTGAGCAGAAATGAAATACTTTCATTTCTGAGACAACGCACTCTTCCTGGGGTGCAGCTTCGAAAACGACTGCTCCTTTCTTGCCATCGGCATTGGCAGCACTTGCTACTTGCGAAAATGTACGTCTATGGGTATGACCAGTAGATGAGAATGACACTGCAGCTTCTTGCGGCTTTGTTGAAGACTCATTCCATGATTTCGATGCAGCGCTGGGGGGAGTTACGAGTTCAGAGGTAGATCCAGGTTGCCAAATGTGCCAGGTGGTCGACTGACTCGGGGACTCGAGCAGCCATCGTCCCTGCAACGCTCTACCGCTACCTCGACTGGGTCGACCTTGATGGATATTGACAGTCTTATTCACAGAAACAGCCAACCGTGAAGGAGGATTGAGGGGAGGGGATCGAACAGGTAATACAGGCTTGATTGTCGCTGAAGCATTATAAGAAATTGCTTGAGGCGCATTGATCATAAAGTTTCGTCCATTACTGAAGATGCTTGACCATGAGCCACGAGATGATATGGTGGATGTGCCAGGAATAGGGGTAGGAGACGATGGTAGATGAGCCGAACCGGGGGTGGAAAAAACTGGACTTCGGATTGGATGGTCAGGCGAATATGACGAATAAGTTGGCGTTTTTGAGCTGAAATCGTGGTTATGGATAGTGCTAAAGTAGTCAAGGGCCGATCCAGGCCTCGTGCTAATCGAAGTCGAGTGCGATCTCGTAGCATTAGCAAGCAATGTGTGGCACGCTTCTGGAATGTAAAATATCTGTAGCGTGACGGAAGCGACCACAGCAAGCATCTGGGCGTCTTTATGAGCCCGGAGATCCCCCAACCTGGAAGAAAATCACGAAATTAGGTTACGCATTCGTAGAGCGGATCCGGAAGAGACTCACAAACGATCCAATAACTGTTTTACAAGGCTTAGACACGAAGCTGATTCATCGAATGATTTATTACCGCGATTTGCACTCAGTGCAGCAGTTGCTAGCAACGCTCCAATGGAACGAAAGATCCGCTCATGGTCATACCTCCCGTGTAATCTAGCAGCCGCTGCGTTTGAATCACATATTTGCACTAAAACGCCACCTTTCCCATTGAACAGGCCGGAGCCGTCATCAACAGCATTACTACCTCTACCTTCACCAAAGGTAGTCGGAAGAAATATATAATCTTCCGCAACACTCTTGTCTCCTCCAACTAGCCCGGTGGTGTTGGAAATGATGACTTCGCTCCTACGTGGAGATCCCGCCATCAAGGCCAAAGCCGAATAACTTCGCTGACTCGTCCCTATAGCATCTTCCTCAATTGATTTGCCTTCTTCCCCGATATAATTCAATCCTGCTGAGCTCCGGAACGAATTAGACTGCCGTCTACCGCGATGTCGAGGGAAAGTCAGTAAATTTGTCATGACACGCGTTATTTGGGCTTGTACTTGAGCTGGGGAAGGGTGTGTCTGAGCTGCATGCTGCGAAGATGGATAGGTATAAGAGTAAAAGTCAGGCACGCTCTGTCCAACAGTACTGACTTTGGGGGTCAAAAATATCGTGTCCAATGTGAGTGCATTGGCCATAGAGACATTGAGGCCTAGCCGATTGGTGCTATCTCGGTCTCTAGCAGCCAGGCTTAGCCGACGAACGGCGTCAGATATCAAAGCCGGGGATTGGTGAAAGGCTTCACGTTCGGTATAACCTAATACATCAGCATTGGTACCATCAGTGGTGTTGACATTTAAGGAGTCGTGATCGAAGGAGGCATGGTCGATTCGTTCTTCACTAGAACGCGCAGGAGAACGTGAATGCGAAATGAGGGTATTGACCGCGTTGCGCATGATACGTGGAGGCGCCCTGAAGAAACAAACAAGTTCACCTGATATATAATCAGCGATAAAGACTGCAAAATTGCAAAGGCAGATACAAACTGACCATTCGGACCAAAACTACCTTGACAGGTCCTTGGTTCCGCCAGATTTTTATTATCCCGCAACATCGACATCGTAACCTCATCATCTCTTCCGACATGATTTCCCATCTCAGCCATACGTTGAATGTCTTCTTCCGATGAGTCTGAGTCTCCCAGGTCCTCTCCATTCTCTCCACTCGATCTTGTCTTCAATCCCGGTCTACGGACACTGGCATGACCGGTTGCGCCCCCGCTATCTCCTTCCGCGATTTCAACAAAGCTTTCATCCTTGAACACCAAAAACCTCAAGCACGCCTCTAAACACGGTCTCTGCCTTTCTCGCAAAGTCGCGATTATCCTTCTTAGGCGTCTCAACATAAACGCACGATCTTTCATTGTGATCAAAGGGGTATACTCCATGTTGACTGTGGGTGTCGTGGTTCTCGCTAACGGGTGCTCTAGCGGGAGGTCTGTATGATTTTCGGGGTTGTATGGGTAATTGCGCGGGAAAGTAAATGTGACACGAAGAAAGACCGATTGGGTCGAATATGCATAGGTTGCTCCAGAGCCTCCCACAGCGTGGTGTCGCGAACCGGATTCGGAGCGAGCCCATGGAACTTGTAGACCAAGGGTGAGGGTACGCTGCTGTTTCTTGTTACTGTTTGTGAGAGACAGGTCATGTTTCTCTAGGCGAACTTTGGATGCAGGTAGTTTAGAAAGGACGGTAGTTATTCTAGAGTAAAAGCTCAGAAGAAGAAAGAAAGAGGGGATCAAGAAGGATCACGCACTCATCTTGTAAGGAATGACCAACAGGCTGGACAACTGATTCATCCCTGTACCTGCTATCTTTGCTATCCAAGCCATCTCTACTGGCGCTTCTTCGCCCATTTGCACCATCGGTCTCATTATTAATCTTATCTTCGTCAACACTGACGCCGGCGATCGCAATGGTCGCGGTACCAGCTGTGGTGGATGAATCTTTGACAGAGGATAGCCACGAAAGAGCGTCCACACGTGCTCGAGACTTTAAGCCTCCCGCGGCGCCACGAGACATGGTCCCACCTCCACTAATCCCGGCAGCATTCGCGCTTCCGGGTAAACCCAATGAACTATCTGGTACAGTCCCCTCTATGTTTGAAATGCCGGCAACAGCGGGAGCAGTCAAAGTACTTTGAGTCTGAGTTGGAGTCACGCTCCCAAATATGTCAGGAGACTGGAGAGGAGGAGACGGTGCAGTCTGTAGAGTGATGTTAAAGCTGTCGGTGGTCCGTTGTCGATTTCGAGGCTGAGCTTGGTGAGCTGAGTTTATTGGTCCACCCGCTCGGACTTCTGCCAAAATCGACCGATGACCAATGGGGGCAGAAATCGGGTTTGGATTGAGGTTGTTGTCCAGTTTATCTGTGTTTGGACTGGAGTCGGGGAACGTCGCGTTGCGAAATGATTTTGTACGGGGAGCAGATTCCGTAGTGACAGAAGTAGCTGGTTGCTGCTGATGTTGGGAATCATTGCTGCCAGACCGTGAATAACCTACTTTCTGTACAATGTTCTATCAGCTATTCGTTCATCTTGCGATTGTAGATTTGAACAAACCCGCATCATATCGGAGTCCACTGGCCAGAATCTCAAAGTACGGTCCTTGGACCAAGTGATGAGTTGGAAAACAGTATTATTAGCACCTTTCCTCCAGACAAATTCCTTAACGACATCAGAATGCCCTTGGAAACTATCTACAGGAACCTCTGAGGTACCAGGGCCTAATCCTTGGTTCTCGAGAGAGAACATCTCCAACGCAGTTTCGCCGCGTTGTGCGAGACTAAGGACACCACGACCGAACGGAAGACTGCGTGCACGCCAAACAGGGTACCCGGTTCTAATCATGGTTTTCAAAGTCATCGTTTTTGAGTCCCAGACTTTGATGGTTTTGTCCAAAGAGCACGTTACGATTTCCGTTGGTTCGGTCTGCGACCAATCGATGCCATAAATACGCGATGAGTGCGCATCAATTGTCGCAACAGGCAGACTGCCTTTCCTTCGGTCCCAGATGAGAACCTTGTCCGCATGTGAGGAAGCGAGGATGTGAGAGTTTTGGCGGTTCCACTTGACTTGGGTCCCAGGTGAACTGAACGCACACAAACCAAAAATTGGTTTACGAGGTTCACGCATGTCCCAAGCCCATACCCAGGAATCTATCCCAGTGCTCACGACTGTGTCTCTCTCAGTGGTGTGCCAGTTGATATCGGTAATGGCTCGGTAGTGAGAATGAAGGATATGTTGTATGGATGTCTTTCCGGACATGTACAGATTCCATATCAATCTAGCAGAATTATCAGCAACATACTGTTGCCTGATAGAATTACGCACAATTTTTCACTGGAGGTTGAGACAATGTATTCAGACCGACTAGGATGCGGATTCCACTGCACGTCAGCCACATCCCAAGTTCCACCCTGAGGAAGGAAACGCGGAACTTCGAATGGTGCTTCCAGGTCGATGATGAACAATCCGCGTCGAGCTGCCAAAACTACATCTCTAGACCAAGGGCTTATGCTCATCTAGATTGAACAGATTAATACCTGCCTCAAAAGAGAAAATCTTCGCGTACATTCCCCACAGCATCTCCTACAAGCCCCTTCATATTAATTTGTAGGCTGTTTCGGAAGTTGGTCCCATCTTTCAGGTCAGAGCCTGCGCTAGTTGAACTAGGCTTCCGCGTGGAGAGCAAGCTTGGTCCTCGAGTAACTGAGTTTGCATTAGAAGTCATTAAGGAAACAGTCGGTCGAAGATCATGATGTTGGACGTTCCGAATCGGAAGAGCGTCTGTCGAAGATCATATGGGCGCTTATGCCTACGTTGCCCTAAAGTTGAAATTTCTTCAACTTGTATGTTTTCTTCGAATTCTCTAGAGACTCTACGCGTACGCTTCTTCGTTCAAAGATACACAGACACATTTTTCGAACAGATTTTTCCACATGGCTTGTGATATAATGACCGTAAGTACACATACTACCGATAACTAATCCCCGAAAGTCTCCGCGCAATCTTCCTTCGAATCGGGGTGACCCAGTTGGCAGCATACATTAGGATGCTTGCGATCCTGCGTCGCCACCCATTGGGAATATTGATAATTGCGGTCATACCTTTGGTAGCTTGAATGACCTGCATCGCGATTTCCTTCCGCTTTGATGAATAGTCAACGAAAATTGCATCGTCGCCACCTTCGATATGCTGCGCAATAGCTTTTCCTAGAGCGACTGCATCACAGATTCCAAGGTTCATGCCCTGTCCGCCAGATGGTGAATGTACATGTGCTATAACTGTCGATGAGATCATTAAAATTCGTACATGTTATTCATGTCTGACCTGAATCTCCAACCAATAAAATTTTACCGTTCCCAACTGATTTAAAAAAGGTTTCAGCTACGGCTGAGCGGACGCGGTATGTTGCTGCTGTATGAAGATGATACAGGCGTATGGACTCTTTCCAGGGTTTCCGAATGTCGATCTCATTCTGGAGGTATACTTGGTCTGGGTGCCTAGGAGGAATGGTGGCCGTCTTGGGAGGTGTGGCAATTGCGATTCTCCAAAATGAAGAACCAGGTGCGTCGAAATGATGCAGTTTTTCCGGAAGTTCGAGAGGACAAAACATGATCCTCCCATTGAGATGCCACGAGATGGCATCTCTTGGAATATGAATTGACGGATGGATATTCAAGACAACATCCGCAAGGGTGAATAACATGAACGATGCAGATGATGGATTTTCATCATACATAACGTTGCTTGAAGGGTCTTGGAACAAAATGCCTGCTAAACTTCGGACCTGAACGTTCATTTGTGAGCCAAGGCCCACTATCTTGCTCATTAAATTGATTTTAAGCTAGTACTCACAGTCGATTTCGCGCCATCGGCGCCTACCACATACGATGCAATTACGCTTGATCCGTCTTCAAAATAAACATGTAACCCCTCTTTGGAGCTCTCTCCAAACCCTATTACCTTAGTATTCCTGATAACCTCAACACCGCGGTCGTTTAGAGATTCCTCAAATACCCGTTCAGCTTCAGACTGCGGAGTAAGAAGGATGTACGGAAATTCAGTCGAGTCAGAAAGCCCAGCAATATCGACATTCAATAATGGATTGGCTGCCCCAAAGAAAACAATTCCCTTGGACTGAATTCCAATACCCTGCAGATTATCAGAGATTCCTATTGTTTTCAAGACCTTTCAGGGGAAGTATTCAGCATGATGATTAGACATGACAAAAGAAGGACTTACTTCCATAGTCCGAGCGTGAATTAGACATCCTTTTGCTCCGTATGGTCTTTCAGACCGTTCGTCGACGACAGTAGCTTTGATACCCAGCGTGGCTAGTGTAATTGCACATGCTAGGCCATTAGGGCCTGCTCCAACGATAAGGACCCGTGTCGCGCCTGGTAGAGGCATTGAAGAGAGGAAAATTCACCAGCCCGACGGGCCTCCAACGGCTCTTGTGCTCTGTTGTGGGACATGTTTAGTGATTATCTTTATTATCACATCGGCAACAGAACAAAAAAAGCTGTACGATAAGATTGTGATCTATGTAATGACCACAGTCCACATCTAGTCTAGACATACCACTTCTGGCATATCTGTTTTGACCAGAACAATGACACTTGCAGGTCATAGTTTGACGAATACAGCGTCCAATCTGGAGAGCTGATGTTTAAAATGTGAATGAGTACGGGAGTTGACGGTTTACCTTCCAAGTTCATCTCCTCGCAATAATTCTTGCCAATTCACCCTCGATCGCAATTTCTTGTCAAGGTTCTGATTCTGCATCGACCTTGCTGTTCCCTTTTCCTATTCAATAACATACCAACCTCTACGATGACGACTACAACCACGTCCAAAGGACGCGCTACCTCCTCCTGCTCTCGGTCAAAGCGCGTTTCGTCCGCGAAAGCACATCGCAAGATCGATAGAAGTTCTGCAGTGCAGAATCTTCTACGTAGAACGCATGCGGATTATGAAGGTTACGAGCGACAGGAAGGGAAGTTGGGCACCTCCCACAACGAAGGGGAGGCTGAAAGGAAGAACAAAGAAACAGCCGAACGCAGATTGGAGCTCGAAAGTCACTCTTGGGTATCCAAGGAAGATTTCGGTCCGCACTCGGTGAGGTGCCTCGGGTGTAACAAAAATATCCAACTCGACAACCGCCATGAGTTCTATACCACAGCCTGGCACAAGCACGTTTTCCGTTGCGCTGTGATTAAAGCGGATTATTTCTCACATGGAAAGGATCTTCCATTCGAGAGTCTTGTGTGTATTTGCGTTCCACTATTGTGTCGCCTGAATTGATAGAGCTGACGCTGTCTGTTACAGGTCGCTGGGATTGGAAGAGAGGCTGCCGAAATATGCAGGGATGCTCGCGAGAGTGACCGTGCAAAGGGGGTCATCCTCCAGCTCACCTCTGACCCGGCATGGGTCAAGCCATCTAGGATCCCGAAGTTTAAGAAGATTCGTGCCGTTTCGACCGGTAGCATCAGTAGTGCGTCCAGCTCCCGCACTACGAGTAGCTCGTACCCTAGCTCTTCCGCTTCGGTCACTCCCCCCGCCATTACACCCAAGCTGTTGCTCAAGTCAAAACGGCCGAGGAGCTCTACTAGCAATTCTAGCACCAGTAGCACCTCTCGCAGTTCCTCCAATTCATTGCCTCCGTACTCCCCACATAGTGCAGTCCAGAGTGAAGGCATACAAGTCGACACCGTCCCCTATCACGAGACGCTAGCGTATCAAATCGAGCTCGCCCTCCCCCGTATCGCTGCTTCCCAAGGATACTTCTACTGCTGCGGCTCTCTCCAGCAGAACCGAAGTGATCATGAACTTGCACACCGATTAGGATATATCTAAGTCTCTGTGAGGCTCCCCCCAGTTCCATTCTGATGATTTCTATGTCTGACACATTCATCCGTTCCTTTTCTAAATTGCATTCCACACTCACCTTAATTACTCGCAATCTGAAGGATTGCCCGCTCAGTCGCTCCGGTTTTCCACCTATATCGAACATTTCTTTTCTATACTTCTAAAGCTCCTCGTATTTTACTCACGCCGACGTCACTGTATAAACTCTATAATCTTTACCTCTATTTCTGGATCTGTATCGATATTTGTGCCTAGGAGTTTGTTTCCCAGTCAGTAGATTGTAGTTAGTTTCATGTAGCGCATTCAATGTATCTTGTTAGTTTTTGCGATTGAGATGTGGTGTATGACGCTGCTTATTTTTGAAGGGTCGGATGTCAAAAGTATCCATACAAAAGGAGTCTTAGGAGAGATTGCAAACAGCGCAGGCGCTAATTGATCATCCTCTTTCTTTCCATTCTTTTATTTTGTTATTTTATATCGTTTTGTAATGAACATTCAAGAAACTTCGGCGAAGGCCTCTCTGGACATGACAACTTTATTTCACACCGACATATGGTTCAAGGACGGGAACATCGTACTTATCGCTGGGTCTTTTGCATTCAAGGTTCATAGTGGGCAATTAGAGCGCCACTCGGAAATGTTCGCTGGAATGCTCGATGTCCCCCAACCTACAGTGCAAGACGTGTTAGATGAATGTCCAGTAGTCGAAATGCACGATAGCCCAGATGATCTGTACCACTTTTTGATTGCGTTGTATGATGGATTGTGCGTGTACTTTAAATCTTCAATCTCGCATTTATACTCAAAAAAGTTAAATGTAGGCAAGTTCCCTTCCCTCGCCCAGTCATGTTTGCCCATCTTGCCGCCGTCCTTCGCATATCTACCAAGTATATCGTTTCGCATCTTCGACATCAATGTTTAGCACGCCTCAAATCTGATTGGCCCTCTACCCTAGAAGGCTGGGATGCCAGAGAGAATCAAGCTTCGAGCCCCAGAGGATGCTACTCTCCCCGGCAATATACAGCACATCCTATTCTCGTCATCGAGCTCGCTATAGAATTCGGTCTGAACGAAATCTTACCTAGCGCATTCTACGATTTATCAAGATACGGTCCAAGCAAGATTATGTATGGAACTCCTGGGATCGGGTCTGTCTTGAGTTCTCCAGGTATCGAACCTCGCCCCGTTTGTCTGTCCAATCAACTCCTGGTACGCACTCTTCAAGGCCGCGAATTAGCACAAAACTATCTCATCAATTTTCTCTCATTGCATCTGGAAACTCGTCAACCGTCTTCCGGATGCTGGTATCGTAACTCGTCTCCTCCGTCCAAAGCACACCCGTGCGCTCAAGCCTTTCAGCAAATGTATATTGACATCTTCCGATGCATTGGAGGAGTATCTATCGGACGTGATGCGGATCCTTTATTCACACTTTCCCAGGGAATGGATCGATTAACGAGGCCAGATAAGAGTGAAGGCGAACGGGCTAAAACTTTGATTTGCGGATCGTGCAAAGTAGAGCTTCTCAGCGATTGTACAAAGGGTCGGGAAGCTGCTTGGGCTCTTATACCTGAATGGTTCGGACTCGTTGAGGAATCAAAGGATGTGAGCAATGATGAGAATCGTGTTGACTAGTATTTTGTAGCGCAACTGTAACTACACCTTGCTTTTTGTACAAAGAATGAACGATAGGCTAGGTCAACTTGAATGAAGTCGCTACTAGTCTTTTGATTACCATACACAAATCGTAGTGCCATGACTTCGTGGTTGAGCGGAATATTTTGCACTCCGACGTCTGGGTAGGAGGAAGCTCCATAATTTTTGCTTTGGGAGAAGAGCCACTTAGGCTAGGTCGTACACACTAACAACATGATTGTGATATATTCAGAAAGAAACTACATATACATTCCTCTCAAAAAGGATTAAGGCATGTCTGCCAGTCATCACAATCCTCTCAAATATCCCACAGCAAATCCGAGTAAAAACCCACCGACGAGCACCATACCTGTTGGCCATAGTCCTTTTCGAAATTGAAGAGAAGACGACGATGAGGGGACCTCATTATCGACACTTTCAACTGAGTTTGTACTACCCAGAAGCTTGTCGTCTGCGGACTGGTCCTCGTCTTCGAACCCACCTGAGATAGATAAACTGTTTGCTACTCTAGATGACACAGAAAATATCCTCCGTGTGGCCGCCCGAATATGACCCCGCAATGGGGCGAGAACAGAAAGGGACAGAGCTACGAAAGAAGGAAGATGCAAAGGATTGAATCTTCCGGTGTCGAAATCGAGTAAGAAAGGTGTCGGATGTGGTGTATATTTCTCAGAAGCGTGGTAGGGAGGGCCGCGGGAGCGTGCACGAGAGGAATTACGGGTCGAGGGAGGGCGGAGAGAGATAGTAGACGAAGGAAAGGGGAATTCCATGACGAGCGGTATTGGCGGAAGAGGGGGCGTATCGGGAATTTCATCCGCTGATATGAAAAGGGAATCTGAGAGTGAGAGGGAGGAGGGCATCGTCGAGGGAAGAGCTGACGATGGGGGCAACGACGGGGATGTAGCAGGAACTGGAGAGGAAGAGGAGGAAGAGGAGGACGGTCGAGCAAAAGATGACCTCTTGAGACGAGATTGCTTGCGCGCTTTCAGTGTACCTAAGCGTGGTGCGGAAGAGGAAGAAGGGTCTGACGATTGAAATCTGGCAGTGCGGAGGAGCTCTTCGTCAGAATCTTGTTGCGAGCCAATCTCGCGTGGTTGCAGAGAATACGCGTCTTCCCAACTGGCCTCCCACTGTGCCTTAAATTGCCTCCAGCCACCGCCAGAATTGACATCATGCCGGTTCGCTGAAATGGACGTGTTGTCTTGATTTTGTCCGAATGTGGGACCATCACCTTCATGACCTCCCCGAGTACGAGCACGACGCTTCGCAATGGATGTATCATCTAGTCGCGTACTTTCCATGAATGTGTTTCTGCGGACGAACCACCTCGTAGATTTCTCGGCAGCTTCTGCCTGTAGCCGTTGTGATACATCAGGTCTTATTAAGAGCTCATGGAGCTCCTGTACACTGGAAACACTGAGAGCGGCGGTTGGTATCAATGGCGAATTCTGCAACGAGGAAGATAGGCGACGTGCTGTCGACTGGGAAGATGACAATTCCTTGTCTGGGAAAGCAGATGCGTTGGCACGAAGGAGATAAATAACAGGGACAAGAGGTGATAAAGCCTCGGAAAATTGTGCAATTTCATGTTTGATCTGAACGATGACTAGAACACAATGTTGCCTTAGTGAATGGTCATAAATGGGTAGCGTGGTTCAAGACGTACCATCATGAGATATTTCCGACGTTAATACTACGGCAGTGAACAGTTCGTTCTTGACGAACGCGTCAATCACTGTTGCAAGTACTGTTTCCATGTCCTGATCTGCGACAACAGAATGCAGTTCAGGCTGATAGCCTCTTGCCGCATGTAAATGAAGTGCGTTAGTCTGCGACACCACATCGTCGAAATCTTTCTTCACTCTTTGGGACAGATAGGGTACCTGATCACCTTCCATTATGGAAGGTCGTCGGAGATCCGAAGGTGCAACCACGAGCAGACGAAGAACATCCGATGCTGAAGGAGCCTGAGAGTGGGGTATGGATGGTTTCGGAGGATGTGGGGTTTCCAAAGGATAGTCATGAACAACACTCGGTAAATTCAGGGCTTCTGGGAGCATCAAAGATGGAATGACCAGCTCCTGAGTTGCTCGTAGACTTCTAGACTCCCGGTCTTCGTTGGAATCCTCATGTGAGTCCTCCCCGGGACCGTGTGAGGCAACGGACGCAGGGGAACTAAAGAAAAAGGAAGAGGTGACGGATGGGAAGGATGATTCAGATTCCGGCTCCGATTCAGACTCGAAATCATGGTCAGAGAGGTCTCTGTATGCAGATTCGGGCAGTCGCTGTGGCGCAAAGGTGTTAGATCGTTCATTCCTGAACTGGGGCGGCAGACTAACCGCATTAATGCCAATTCCATGGCCGGTGACAGATGGGGATGAGACACTACTCTCGTATTCGAGAAGCCTAGTATAATCAGATATGTGAATGGTGTCATACTGGACTGAGGTTGTATCAGATGATGATAGTGGATCCGGCATACTGAGAATACTGGCACTGGCACTCGAAGGAGGTGAGACGGACGTTTTGTCCTCAGCATCTGGGCTCGATTCCCCTCGGACGCTAGGGAATCTGGGTAATTCAACATTCTTTGACTCCAATGTAAGGTTAGCAGGATCTGCGCAGTCAGAATTGTTCAGAATTCCAGGTTGGTCGATGTGTTCCTTCTCTTCAGAGTCGATATTATTGATTAAGTGCGGAGCTGCTAAGGGGACTTGTGTAAGTTGCTGGATAGTACGTTGAGAAGGTCACTCACTATGATCACTTACAACGTCCATTCTGAGCGCCACCGTGTCCATGATACTATGGTAAACAGATAATATTCAATATTGCGATGGCACATATAGTTATAAAGGTACATACATCTAGACTACTCGGATTTGACTTCGATGTGGGATGAAAGTTTAAGCCTAGCCAGAGTCGATGGTTCCCAGCGTGATATATTTGATTGTAAGATGGGCTAGAAGAGAGCGAGCCTATAGCTGGAGCCACTTTTAACGAATCCAAAGTGCAGGGTTGAAATACCGAGAGAAGGAAACAGCAGAGAAGGAGAGAATAACTCCAAGAAGGGGACAAGGCCAGGGTAGCCGAAACGTGGTGTGTAATCGCCGACGGCTTGATAATGCGATCAGATAAAAAAACAATCAGATAAGATAGATAAGAAATGTCCTCGAACGTACATACTTGTATGTAGTCAAACAAGTTAAACTTAAAGACATGTCAGAGGTACATATGCATTACGACGGAGTATCTCATGTAAGTACACTGATTTCGAGAAGACAAAACGTGGTTCGAGCAGCAGATCGGCTGGTCTCCGCAGGTTTGACGGTTTGACGTATCAAGGACTGTGAACCAACCTCGTGCTGAAGCTGAAACTGAAGCGATTATTGGCGACCAATCTTCTTCATACTCAATCGAATTGCAGTGAGCAGGACATCACCTTGGCCTCGTTGCCGCATCACAACCAGGGGTCAATGGTACCGTTTGGAAATGATGAATGTACATAGGCCTCAACAATTTGAATGCCAGTAAAGACACCTTTGGTTGACAGGAATGGTGTCAGTCCACCACGAAGGTTCCACGGTGCCAATTGAAGGCAAATTTCAGCTTTAAAGGCTGGATACATGTGTTCCGTGGACATGTCTACGTTCGTCTCGTCTCGTTGCAGTGAAGCATAGTCAGAAGGCTGAGAAGAAGAGGAAAGGAAATCAGAATGAATGTCAGAGATTGATGGAAAGAGGAACATACTTAGCCTGTTTTCTCATTATGCGCTAACGCTTTGACTAGTTCAGAAACCTCAGAGGACACAGAGATGCCTTTTTGCTTTGAACGCTTCAAAAGTTTAGCGGCCATCTTTATCCATCTACCTTTCCCTTTGCATAATTCCAGGATAAGAGTTTCGCGCGCCAGCGACGCATGTCGCTTAGCGTTCTGAGGTTCGAGAGCAATGATATAATCCAGGTAGCCTTTTTCAAACTCCAACATCAAATCCAAACTGCTTGCCGGCTTTACTAGCCGCACCATTAACGGGAAGACCCGTTCGACCACTTCAAAGAAGTAACCCTTGGAAGAGGCTATCTTTACCATGCCGAAGATCGCTTCAAGGTCCTGAGAAGGCTTTCCAGAGCGATAAAGGGAGCCAAATAAGCGAAATGGGTTTCGTTCGCTAGTTTTGACAATATGTTTGGCAGGTATGAGGTTTAACCAGCCGTAGAAAGCATGATATGTTGCAGGGGAAAGGGTGTTGATTTCTCCGAGAGCAGCATCAAGAAATAACATGTCGTGAGGAATATCCTTGCCCTGATCCTGCAGCCTGCAGCGCACGCGATGGGCGGTAGTAAATTTGTTTTCGCGAATGAGTTGGTGCAAAGTTTCGACAGTTGGATCAAACATCAAGGCATGGTCATTAGAGAGCCAGTGTTCGTTCTGGAATTGGTCGTCGAGCCATGATATCGGCTTATTTTGATGAGGAAGGGGTTTTGTTGGAAGAATTACAGGAGGAAAGCGTGAAAGACGCCGAACAAAAGCTTCTGGCTGTCGAAAATGAACGTGTTTCGGGCGGCCAAGCAGAGAACACAACGGCCGCATGCATATGTAGATGTCTCCAGCAAGAAAAATATAAGACAACATGACCTCGACGCGAAGATTTTCCCTTATCTTATCTTGCTCCTCAGAATTCTCACACTTATCTACTCTTTTTGGCCTTAACCTTCCAGCTCAAAAATCTGGATGAACCGCCTGTCGAGGCAGCTTGCCGCGTCTTCACGGCTGTTCCGCTCCACAAATGTCCTCGTAGCCAGAACTCCTGCGACTGTATCGTCTCGCACCTATGCCAAAAAACGCTCAGGGCCTCGTCGGGACAGCGCGAAGCAACCACATCCTGCAAATTCTTCCGAAATAAGGACTGCTCAAGTCGCACCTAATACTCGCTCTGAGGCTGCTGCATTAGCAAACAGTACGAGTGTTTGATTTTAGGGACGCTTTAATTTGCTCATATCCTTCTCATATGTAGAGCCAGCAGTGGATTCCGACCGTGTAATTCAAGTCAGCAATCTGGATGAATTGCTTGAAGCACTAGAGTCTCAGGCTGGTCAAGAAGCGCTGCTTATGTTACCTGAACGGGCATCGCAAGAACTCAATCAGCTTCTGTCAGAAGTCGTGCAAAGCGACGGTGAAGGAGACGCTCATACCATGCACGCCGTGGCGCAACTGCTTTCGATGTACAATCTCAAGATTGAAGTAAATGTTCCGTTACCTGGAGTACATGAGGAAGGTTAGTACCGTTTGCAAGGCAGAACTTTGTCGAGCTCACAGTATCATTTCATGAAATAGTTGTATCTAAAGAGCAGGAACTTCAACGAACAGCGGGCGGAGAGGACAAAGCTGAGGCTGACGAGAGTGGGTATTCTATGTAACAGCTCTCTTCCACTCAATACTAATCGTCCATTTGTAGCCGCTGAAACGGAGCAGATCATCAAACGTCCCTTCCCCAATCTCATGTCTCCTGACCCTCTCATGGATTCCCGTGAAGTCCTTGATTTAAATCCCACCGCTACAAATCCGTTCCATAACCGCGTCATTGTGCGTAACCACCGCTCGATTTTCCACGAAGCCATGGCTCTCGATGGGTTCAATTTCGACGACCCTAACTGGACACCAGCGAAATCAGACCTGGCTGACGAAGAATTGCAAGTCAACGAGTCCGCTGGTCTCGAGGGATACCCTGTCGAGCAACTCATGAAATTTGTTCTTGTGCGACGATTTGTCGTTCAACAAACTGGAAAGGGGAAAATAGATCATCACCAGTGCTTTACCGTTGTGGGTGACGGTAACGGTATGGTAGGACTTGGTATGGGTACTGATACAGAGCCTACACACGCTTCGAACAAGTCACACATCGCTGCGATCAAGAACATGGACTACGTCGACCGCTTCGAAAACCGTACTATATGGACAGAGATGTCGGGTAAATTCCGTTCCACCCAAATTAAAATGCGACCACGGCCTATGGGCTTCGGCCTACGGTGTCAGCCAATCCTACATCAAGTGCTGAAAGCCGCTGGAATCAAAGATATTAGTGCGAAGATTTGGGGTAGTCGGAATCCCATCATGATTCTGCAGGGTGCTTTGCAAATGTTACAGGGTGGGCACAATCCGTTGGGCTTCGGGAATGGCATTGGGGGCAAGGGGAAGAGGTTGACCAAGGGGATTGGTATGCGAAGCAAGTTTCAAGTAGAGCGCGAGAGAGGAAGGAGGCTCCATGATTTCCGAAAGTAATTTATCTGTTCAAGTCACGATTAGTGAGCAAGGAAGTCGTCGACCCGTCATACACCTTGATGCACACGGTAGGTTCGTCTGCGTCTTGTGTGGATCTATAATACAGTTATTTTTACACTTCAAGCCACGGCGGAAATTCGAATATAGAATACCACCAAGGAAGCCAATTTGCGCTTGGATCGTTTAAATTGCTTTGATTCCCTTTTGAAGATGTATATATGGGGGATGGCATAAAAGTGTGTATGACAAGAGAACGTGAAGAACGTATACGCAGCACTTCGTATCGTATCGTAATTTATTTATGCACATAAAACATGTTATTGCTAGATATATAAGCCCATCGAACCAGCAGCAAGCATTTAAATAGTCTGCTCAAGAGGCAACGGAGGAATAGAATAATTTAGACGGAAGGAACCAATGACGGAGGGCAGGTGGCCTATTGTTGGAGGATTTCCGGCAGTCCTTCGATTGCGGAATGGTATTGATCTTGAGAGACTTCGTAGGAACGATGGCCGACCAGTGATTCGGATACGTCTGAGGTACTGGCGGTGGCGGGAAGAGTTCAAACGACGTAAAAACCTCAGCGGGGCGAGTCTCCACCTCCTGAACCATTGAGGTCGACGAGACCACTGATTCACCAGAATTCTGCCCCGAGGAATGACGAGGAAAAAACTTGAGCGGTGTAAAGAGTGTCGCTTTAAGCTTCGTTTCGAGATTCTTTCTCGTGGGAGATAAGGATCTTAAAGGGGGAGATACATCGGCTATGTTCGACATTAAGAGAGAGAAAGATGGCTGACTTTCTGGGGGATGATTCTCTTTCAATCGTGAGGATAGCTCAGACCATTCAATTGGTTCTGGTGAGGGAGCGGAAGAACGGTTGTCAAAGGACATGTTGGTCGTAGTGTATGAATTTTTCGCTGAAGAGAACATCGAGGAACTTTGAGAGACCTGAGTAGCTGAATATTCCCAAGCCGTGGGGGATGCCATTTCTTTATCTTCCGTGGGGCCGCGATCTCCTAGCCGGACTGACTGAACGACTGCGATAGGATTAGACATTGAGCTGCCGAAGAATGTTTCGGCTGCGTAAACGTCTGAGGGATATTCTACTGCGGTCTGCATAATCGACGAGCCTACGGAGCCACTGTCTAAACTGTTTCCTCGAAAATAAGGTGGACGCACACAGCCTGTGTCGATAATGAGAGGTTTCCGCTGAGGGAGAACTGCCCGTCCTCCAAAAGTGAGGTCAAAGCTGTTGGGCGTTACAGGGTATGACGCGCCAGATTCCGCAGAAACACAGGGTGACCGCATCGAGGGTGGAGTTTGTGGCCTGGTGTGTAACTCACATCGTTCTTCCACCATGCTGTGTCGTTGATAGCCAGGTTCGATATCGGACCTCATGGCGTAAGCGTCATTGGGAAAAGGAGAATAACCAACCCAAGGTGAATCGATGGCTGAATGACTAGCAAACACGATATCTGACGAAAAGGATTCTTGACTCCAATGAGACTTGAGCTCCGCAGCTTGCGATTGGATTGGGGAATGCTTGGTCGATTCGCTGTCTATCTCTATACCACTTTCCCATCCACATTTCGCCATACTCCCTTCAAAGATTACGGTGTCGGAATAGAAAGTGCTCACATCCTCCAACGCTACACGCAACTCGGGGATTGTCATGCGGTCTCTCCAGTCGACCTCGAGCATGCGCGCGAGAATGGCATTGACTTCTGGGGAGATGGGCAAAACAGTGGGAAGGAAGTTTTGAGGGTCACGAAGATATGCCTGGAAGGTGGGATCTGATACCGACGCTGACTTCCAGGGGTTTCGTCCTGTCGCTAGATTCAGTAGAATGATACCCAACGACCAAATATCGTTGAACATAGGTGAATAACTCCCAGTCGGAGCGAATTCCCCGCCTTGGCATTCTAAATGGAAAGTAAGGAGTCAATACATTGCTGAAACTTGGAGAGAAGAGTTTTACCTGGGCTCATATGGTATACGCTGCCTGTACGAAACTCTTCGCTGACCTTATCGGTAGTGGCTAAGCCAAAGTCGGTGATAGCGACTCGCAAGCCATCGTCATAACAGAGGACGTTTTCGGGCTTCAAATCGCGATGATAAATGCCGAGTGAGTGACAGTATTCGACAGCATCGAGGAGCTGCAGAAAGACATGCTTGACAAGATAGTCATTTCCGAGATAACGGCAATTATGCAGGATCTGGTGAAACAAGTCGTGATCTGGAGCGTAATCCATGATGATATATGTACAATTGTAGTCCTCAATGACCCGGTGTAGAGTCACAACGTTCGGGTGTGCGCTCGCAAGCTGATGAAGGGCGATCTCTCGTATGTGTATTTGTCGTTGACGAGCGGATTGCGCAGCAGAGCGATGGAGGAGACATTTGACGGCGTAAGACTTGGGTGAAGAACAACAAGTCTCTTCGGCTCGGTATACCACACCGTACCCGCCTACTCCAAGGACTTCAACAAGTTCCAGAGAGTCTTCGTCAATGATAGTCCCGAGGGGAGGGTGGACAGGAGAAACGTCGTTGCAGAGCATGGCGAAGAAGTCTACAGCACAAAACTCAGCCACTGAAACACCGGGAAGAAGGTAGAATAATAAACAAGAAGGTTGCGAATGTAATATTTAAGGACTGTGGATGTACAGAATGCTACAAACGTGACTGACATTCCAAGTGTGCGTGGGGAACATGAGGTAGATGCGAACAAATCACTTACGGTGGACGTTCCGATCGCTTGAGCTTCACGTTGGAAACGCACGAAGCAACGAAGGAGGCGAAAGTAGCGACAATGAAGGACGACCTTAAGACAAGAATAACACAGACAGCACTATCCTTTTTAGGCTTTTCCAATAAAGCACCCAATGCTGATTTGAAAATGTCTTACTCCCGGATCCGTGTGCAGTTCCGATCTGCAGATTGGGGTCAATCTGGAAGTATGTATTACAAGTGATCGAGCAATCGGGTTTTTGCGTCAAGCTTTCGGTGGCCCACCTTCGTACCTGCGTCCATACATGAGCAGAAAACACGAGAGCATTCGGCTGATTGATAATGGTCATTGGAGAGCGCGCTCTGGGTGCAGCTTGGCTGTGTTGAGAAGATCTACCGTGTCCATATCGGGTACGGCCCAAGCCAATCGATAGTGTCTTGGTTCAGACAGGGGCTGGTTGCTGTACTTTGAACTAGACATCCTGGAGTCAAGATTTTTGATACGGGAGCTGTAATACTTGCTAAGCTTCGTGAGGTGACTATGGCAAGGTTCAAAGATGAACCTTTCTACACCTGGCATGCGTGGAACCGGAATATAAGGGCTCAAAGACTGTACAAGAAACTGGCTGGAGGGACGTCGATATTTCGTCATTGATTTTTGCAACTCCAGCAGTCGCAAGGAGCTGCACAGAGGCTTTTGTAAAACGGTGCGAACTGGTTGGAGATTACGGTCATCCCTATAAAGTCGTAGCCGAGTGCTTTGCCCCATGAGATAACAAATACTCTTAACCTGAGATAATTGGTTCAAATTCGTGGTACCCACAAAATGCCCGACTGAATTGGATGAAGGCTGGTTGAAGATCCTCCGTGGAAGTAAAAAGTAAATGCTGTGATAAGAGTTGATAACAGGCGCTTTCAATCGACACATTTCAACTTCAACGAGAAATTGACCCAGGCTTTATTCAATATGGTCAAGGACGGCGAAGATGGCACTTGCAATGATCCCATTATCATCCTCAAATTACGGTGGAACGTTGACGAAAAAATTGGTTTTCGAGTGTTTCTGGGGCAAGAGCAAAGAGGCGTTCCAGCTGTATACTTATACTTCAGTAATATGACATCTTTCTCAGGGAAATGCCTCGTGTAGATGCACAAGTGGCCGCTGACCGGTACTAACCCTTGAGCTTGACCTTGGGTCTCCAGGACCATTGTCGTTGGCCGTTTGCTGTAGCCTGTTTTGGAAAACAAGATGGGCAATTACACATTACCACGTGATTTCCGGAAATACTTAAACGAAGTCACAGGCCTAACTATCTCTTGCTTGCAACCTTCAATTTGAAGACTTATTTTGCTCTAATTTGCTAGACCAGTGCTGTCTCTTATCTTTATACAAGGGCACTCTTCATCTCCTCATCCTTTTCATTTCCTTGATTATCTTGGTCTGACATACATCTGTAATGTCATCTACCACCATGTCCTCCCGAAGCTTCACCGTTTTCGTTGATACACCGGCATCGGAAGAGACAGAAACCAAACCAAAACCGACGACTAATACCCGCCTTTCTCGCTCCCTCTCGGAATCCTCTCTTTCCTTGGGCTTGTCGCCCATCTACACCACCGACAAGGAAAACTTAGACCCTCTCACTGGCGAGCGAGTTGGATCCTCTACTGCTCTCGGCAAAAAGCGCAAGGGCAGCATCAGCGTTCTTGCAGTCAAACCACCGCTAGAAGTGAAGTTGTCGAAGGGAAAGGACGTGTCCGCGTCAGAGGCACAACCTGAGGCTAAGAAGAGAAAATCATCCGTCTCTTCTTCCTTGAGTTCGAAATCAAAATCGAAGAAGGAACTGAAAGCTCCTGGCTCTGGGAAGAAGTCGGCGAAGAGGTCCTCCCGCAGGGCTTCTCCCATGCCTAAGCTTGACGAAGAAGTTGAATCGGACAAGGAGCAGACTAGGGTCAATCAGGCTCTGATTAATTCGAAGTGCTATGACTTGACAGTCAAGCCTCTCGCAGATGTTTCCGAGGCGTATGAGATGGAGGGCGATTATACTGAAGAACGAGAAGTTTTTCAATTTGTCAAGGTCAGTCTATCCACGTCGACATAGCATACCTCAATACTCACCCAGTCGACTTTCAGGAGCCCTCTGCTGACCCGGAGATCCGTGACTACTTTCCGTCTAGCTCCTTATCGTCGTCGACGACCTTGCGCGGATCTTCGCCTGCCGAATTAAAAACTTTTTCAACCCCCGAACGCAAGCAAATCTACTCTGCCTTTACTTTCACATCGCCGTCTCCCACCAGCGAACGCATTGCGAAGAGCAAACGCTCAGCCAGTATGCCCCCTCTTGATTTTGGTGTGCACGGCAAAAGCTCATAACTCCTTAATCTACTGCACCATCTACATGATATATCTGCACTTGTTGTACATTTATGAACATTTTATCCCCTTGCTCTCATCTGCACTGTTCCAAATACGACACGTTGCATTTTGCTGTTCATCGACGTCGCTTATTACCTCGTGTTTTCTGCATCATCGAAAAATTTTACTTCATGTTTTTCTATTATTTCGTGGCACATATGTACATATTCATTTTATTCTTACCCTTATAGTATCTATTCCTTACTTTTCGCGATTATCATGCCTGCATCCATACATACACCCCGCCTACACCACTACATCGGGTTCGGACGTCATTTGGTATATGAGGTTTGTTCAAGTTGTTGCATTTTTTTCTCGCATCTGTCTTTGTACTCCTCTACAACTGTCGACTACGCAAGCAAAAACAAATCATTTTTCTCCGGTGCTTCTGCTTGCTTCTGGTGTTCATAAATCGCCGCGTGACGTCAACTCGTCTGAGTATCAGTGACACGTGATGGCGTTGCTTATCTTTCCACGCGCCACTCCCGCTCTTCGATGTTCGTATTTATTTTCATCTCGTGGTCTTATCTTGCGTTGATGCGTTCAAAATGGAGCGAGTGTTGGATACATACTTAAAGCAGGACCGTTATCAGGCCCAATCTCTAGACCACCCCAAAGAGGCTGATAGATTTTCATACCCGATTCAAAACGATGAACATCATACGAAAGCTCGAAGTAGAGCACTCAGATGGGACGACCTACTCTCAAATGTTTCTTACGGTTATATCAGCTCTTCTACGTGATTGCTGTCTTTCAAACTCATTGAACGATAGAATGAAGATCTTCTTCCCGTTCCTCACGCAAAACAGACCTGGAAACACCGTAATTTCATTGCCTTGTACGTTCAAATTTCGATTGCTATATAATTTCGCTACTCAGATATACACTTTTAGCTGGATCGCTGACAGCTTCAATGTCAACACGTATGCCTACTCCTCATGAACATTGCTTCGTATAATTTGAAAGTAAAATGACAGTTGGATGATCGCTTCTTCAATGATTCAGGCTGGACTATCCTGGTGGCAAGCTTGGATCTGTGTATGGATTGGCTACGGAATCGTAGCGCCTTTCATTGTTCTTAATGCCCGTCCTGGTGCAATCTTTCACATTACCTTTCCGGTCGTTGCCCGGACAAGTTTTGGGTTATATGGAAGCTTGTGGTGTACATTCAATCGGGGGGCCATGGCTTGGTGAGTCGTTCGTAAACTCGCGTCATTCAATACCACCTGATGTCAATACTTCCTTCATCAGCGTTTGGTACGGAGTACAAGCTAGCATCGGGGGCTCGTGCATGTTTGTGATGTTGAGGGCAATGTGGCCTAGTATTGACAATATCCGTATGTTCTTCCTGAACCCTACGTCTCAACCGTTGGTAGACGCGATTCGTCTTCAGCAAATGGTCTCCCAGATTCTGCAGGAATTACGACTAAGGAGATGTTGGCCTTCTTTTTGTTCTGGTTAATCTCTTTGCCTGCAATCTGGTTCCCACTTCACCAAATGTAAGTCTCGCGGGTATTATCCAGTAAATGACACCTCAGTTGTATCATCTAGTCGTCACCTCTTCACGGTAAAAGCTATAATCACTCCAATAGCAGGTCTGGTTTTCTTTGTATGGTGTATAGTGAAGGCAAAAGGGTGCGTTACATCGCAAACACATGTTCGACCAAACCTTACTAGCTAGTAAAAATCATTTATCCAGTGTAGGTCCAATCATCCGTCAACCTGGGACAATGCACGGGTCTGATTTAGGATGGGGAATGGTCACCAACTTAATGTCCTGCATCAGCAATATGGCTACTCTTCTAACGTCAGTGCTCTTCTCTATAGCACAATGCCTCTTCAATGAATGACAATCTATTTGTTTCAGCAATGCACCTGATTTCGCCTCTCGCTCGCATAGCCCTTCTGCTGCACTTTGGCCTCAGCTACTCTCTATCCCTTTCAGCTTTGCAATTGTCAGTTTCATTGGAATCATTGTCAGCTCTTCCTCACAGACGATCTATGGAGAGGCCATATGATCTCCGATAGATCTACTCAACATGTTTCTTGACAATTCTCCCTCGCATGCGACTAGGTTTGGAGTGAGTCAGATCTAACAGATTCACAAAGACCAAGCTTGGGAAAGTGTGAACTCTGACAATAACATATTCACCCCACCCATAGGTTTGGTTCATTGCATTTGCATTCATTATTGCTCAGGTGAGAGTATTATCTGAGTTTTGAGTTTCCTCGTGACAAAAAAAGCTTCCAGATCGGGTATGTGGTCTGCTGGTAGAGGTGGATTATCTCAGTCAAATCTAATTCCGAGACAACAGAACCAATATATCCGCTAATTCAGTTAGTGCTGGATGTGACCTTACATCTTTGTTTCCTCGATTTATCGTGAGTTGAAATACTCGAATCTTTTTTCACCGTTCTTATTCTCTTTTTTGAATCCAGAACATCCGAAGAGGAGGGTACATCGCAGCGATTGTGGGGTACTGTATTCTACCCTGGAAGCTTTTAGCCAGCAGCAACGGATTCACTTCATATCTTTCCGCTTATTCTGTCTTCCTAAGCTCCATTGCCGGGGTCATGGTGATCCCCGATTTCTTTCATCCATGGCGGAAGTGACATGCTGAGATACTGCACAGGTCACTGAGTACTATTTTATCCGGAAAGGACATTATCGAGTCACGGATTTGTACGACACTAGAAGGAACGGATGGTATTGGTACACATATGGCTTCAATTACAGGTGAACAATGAGCGTCTATGGCGTATTCAGGCTTATAGAGACATTCCTTTGGCAGAGCCTATGTAGCGTATATAGCGGGTATCCTCATCAATGTGGTTGGTTTTGCGGGAGCAAGTAAGCGTTCTGTTAAAGGCTCGCTGATACTACGACTAACACCGGCCCAACCCTTCTTTCAATGCCTAGCGGGTCGAACTGTGCCGATCGCTGCCACACGGATTTATGAGATGTCTTTCTTCACGGGATTCGGGATATCGACAATTGTCTATCTCCTGCTCAACTGGGCGTTCCCAGTCCTTGGAGCGTCCGAGACTTTTGAGGAAGTAGATGTCTCTGGGTGGGACTCACAGGTTGCCGATGACTTGAATTCGACGGATAGCCGTTCTATGAAGGAAGAACTTGAAAGGGAAGATGAACAAAATACCCAATAATTACGTGTCTACCGAAAGTTTGATTGTACATGGAAAACATAGAATGGCTTGCCACTTTTTACGTGATATTCAAAGATGATTATCTGGGAGTCGAAGGCTGTCGAAGGCCTAACTTGAATATCGGCCGCGGCGGGCAAAGTGAAGAATTATTAATGACTGCCTTGCATTTGATTTTCGATGATTCAACATCGAACTCCTCGGCTAGGTAACCAAGAGCACCTTCGGCACGATAGTGAGGATAGTAACAATGTACATTTACTAATACAAATATCACAGACTACGTATTAGCACAATGGAATAAGAATAATATAACACTGGAGAATCGCGGACTGCGTCAGCTACGCTATCGCTTACAATGATTTTTTTACTACGAGAATGTAGTCCAATGTACATAGCAGTGGGGTAAGATCCAATATCACATGTATGAAAGTTGTCAGTTATTGTCCAGGGACCAGTATCTCCTTGAAATTGATCACTATATGATGCCCATGAAGGGACGGCCATTGCCTCGCCACAGAATGTGTGAACATGACCTCCTTCTCCAGATTGCACTCCGACATCTGGATCTCCAAACGTTCCGTATGTGGAAACACGACACTTGCCCACCTCAAAAAATCATCGGTGGCTCCGGAAACTCGGTACTGTTTGAGGACCAAACGTCGTACATGTGATAATATAGACCTGGTGGTGATGGAAGACCTCAGATAGTGTCGGGAACTGACAAGCTCGGTCAAGTTGAGCCCGAAAAGGTCGAAAGGAATCGTTATTTGAACAATTGAAGAACGGTTGCATATTAGGGCAAGGAGCTGCCAGAATGTATTCTGTGAGTCCCTGAGGCGTTGATTCTGGTTCGGAAACCTTGGCTGTGCCCCGAAACCAATCACATCGATGTCTAGCAACGAAATTCCCGACCTTCCTTTGCGGCAGATTTCGATGGCGCGTAGGTCACGTAGAGTATTGGGCAAAGATAAGAGGTAATGCAATTGTGACATGGTTCCGAAGTCTCGATGTTAAATTGGCCATTTGCACATCTAGGTGATTTCGGGGTTACGATAAACTGTTCGCCACAGGTTACGCTACGCAATTGAGGGTGGCTAATCGCGAAGTCGACCAATATTTGGATGTCGGAAGCCTGAGCATCATTTTGGATTTTCCCTTTAAGCATGCGCCGCTGGAGGTAAGGAAGATTTCCATAGAACGAAATTTGCTGCAGGGAAGAGTCAAGGGAGCCGGAGTTTTGGCAGAATTTGGGTCCAGTTTTGTGAACAGCACGCACTGATGGAGTTTATGCTCGAGGAGGAATGGAGGAGTTTGATGAGCCAGTTATGGTATGGCTGAAGAACCAAGCTTTCGGAGATAGTGAAGGTCTTCAAGGAATGGTCATTCGGAAGGTCAAACCCGTAGTATGGTTTTCGCATCAGGGGCATTGCACCTCCTATTTGGAAACAGTAGCATCGAAGGCGTCGCAGTTCACCAATTAGATCTTGGAATACCTTCCCAAAACGAGATGCTAGAGAATGTAGAATGTGATCTCCGTGCGACGAAGGCTTGGTGAATTTCAGATGAATAGAAAACAGTGGCTGGCCCTGGCGATCTCGTGAAATCGCTTGCAATGTATGTACCAAGACACCCATTTGTCGCACGGTTTCTTGTGGTGATGGTGAGAATGCACAAAATAGAGAAGTGATATTCAAAAGAGAACCAAGAACGCTCGATATGTCGAAAAATTCATCGAAAGAACGAGCGTTGCCTGGCACGGGCTCGCGCCATTGGTCCGGTAAGCCTTGAGCCCCTAAAATGGTTAGGTGAGAACGTTTAGCGTCATATTCTTTGAGACGCAGATAGCGACGTCCTGCGATTCGATTGAACAGCTGGCAAGTTTTGGCTAGAGGAATGAGGGAGTCAATTTCCGTTTCATCACAGATATGGGACAATAGCTCCTCGGGAAAAGTGAGGAGCTGAACCATATGTGATGCGTCCTGTGTGTGTTTAATTGTGAGCAAAGCTGTGGACAGTGGTGATATAGGACCCACGTTAGTCTTGCTCGCCATCACAGAGGGGAAAAAAACGTCTAACGTTGTGGAAGTCAAGACAAGACTGCGACGGGCCGTTCCTGGAACTGGAAAGCATGCTTATGTTATTCTCTCCGTACAGTTGTACCTCTTCCCGCTTTTGAGTCGAGCAATTGATTTATTTATTTATGGAAGACTTGCTGCGCATTGAGATACCGTGTACAAACTAGGCTCCACTGTCGTGGACTGCACCTTGCTTGGGAAAGGATACATTTCACTTAAGTTGAGACTGAAACTGGTATGGCAGGAACTAGGGAATGATGCAGGATTTATGTATTCTGAATGTCTTTGTCAAAGTGTAGATTTTAGTTCAAGTATCAAGCAAAAGACAGTGCACATAAGGTGCACTGCAAAATATATGCACTTCAAAAGCCTTGTTAATTCGAGTACTGAGGAAATAACGCGGTGTAGCACACAAGGTGCGCCGCAAAGCGCAGAGTTCACTTCAATTGAAGCCCAAGATGTTTGTAAATGTTTTGCAAAAGTATGAGGCCAAGCACAGCCAAAATGTGCCTGCACAAAAGTACTTAAATTCCGGAGTGCAATAGACCTTGCAAGCAAGGTGATTATAATGAGAACATTCAATTAGAAGACTTGAAAAAAATTAAACCACTCCCAAAGCACTGATACTAGCCTCCGGCTCCCGTGTTACCGCATTCGTCCTCTTTCCTTTCGTATCCTCTGCATAATTCTCATAAAAATTATTCGGATCTTTCTGTTCTCCTATCCCCATCCCTACTCCATTCACGCCTTCCGCAATGCCTCCCCCTTCTCCTATGACCCCCTCCCCCGTAACGCCGCTACCCCCACTACCACCCAAGCTTTCATCTCCTCTTCTCCCTGGACCGTCCCAAAAATGGAAAGCTTTACAATGTACACCGTAGGAGGCTGGGACAACTTCGAGGAGGTCACCACGGGCGATTTCGATAGCGGGTATTTCTGATGCTGGGAGCCCAATAAGATACGCTAGGAGACATCGAATGACGGAAGCATGGCCGATGATGAGTAGATCTTCTTTTTCACGTTCGAGTTCGATGAGGAGAGGTTCGATGCGGACTGTTTGAGTGAAGAAAGTCAGCATTACGAGATGAATATGTGAGGGACGAGGAAAGAAAGGCGAAAGTGCTCACCGCTCAAATCATGATAACTCTCCGCCCTCGGGGCTCTAAACGAATACGGGTCTTTGACGAACCTTTCCCAATCTTGAGGGTAATACTTCCTAGCTTGATCAGGTGTGAGCCCGTCCCAGATCCCAGGGTTTATTTCAGACATTTGGGGTTTTTCAATTACTTTGATGTTCAGATTATTCGGGGTTGGTGTAGAAGTTGAGGTATGAATAAGAGGAGCAGGAATACTGAGACCCGAAGCAAGAGTAGGAGGAAGTAGTTTACCCCCGTCAAGTCCATGATGTGGTATGACGGAGATGGGTGTGGCGTGTCCGGGAGTTGCACTGGGTGTAGCGAGGTTCGAGGAAGAAACAGACGCAGCAGCTTGAAGGAAAGGCCAAGCAGTATGGTGGGCTCGTCTGCGAGTTGATGTCCATATCTGTACGGAAGGTAGAAAAGTATGAACGAACAAAAAAAATCTGAACTAAGAGTCCAGTTCGGTGTGGACGAACGTACTACCAATCGCTGATCACCCGTCCCCAACCCTCTCTGTGCGAGATTCTTCGCTCGTCGCTCGATCACAAAATCTTTGAGCCTTTCGGCGTATTCCCACCCTGCGGGAGATAAATCCGAGTCGGCTTTGTAGGAGTGTTCGATGAGGGATTGACCAGACTAGGATAAGGTGTGGCAAAATTAGCGATCTTGTAACATGGATATACAAAAGAAAAATACAGAGTTAAGCTTGCAAGCACAAGGCCCAGAAATACAGATAGACGAAACGATGGAGAACCGGGAGAGTGAGGGAAAGACGTACTCGAGCAAAGTATATTGTTCTAGGCCGGTTGTGGATGTTCATTAGGAAAAAGACAATTCGGGACTATTCCGTCCGTACATCAGTTTCAGCATTCGTAATGAAGAGCAAAGAGGACGTACTTGTAGATATCCTTTAATGTTCTATCATTACGGAGGTGAGAAAATCCTTTTCATCTTTCGTCGTGATCGATAGATACTGACGTTAACCATGATTTTCTCTCCAACCTATCGAGACGGGATGTGATTAATTAGTATATTGAAATAAACAAATAGACATGGAAAGAATGTTGGAGGATAATGCATGGTTATAGGATAAGAGAGAGGAAAGAACAAAAGGCAAGAATGACATACATTGATAATCCTGATGTAAGGCCAATCCTTCTCCTCAACTGGATCGTAGTATTCCTCATGGTCTCTGATTCTTGTGTAGTAGTCTTCGACAGCTTTGTCGGGGTCCCAACCGCGGTACTGTGCAAAGAGATAGGTTGAGAGATAGGTCAAGATAGGCGCAAAGAGCGACGTACGTCAGGAGAAGATATCTTGACGCTCCGGATGTTAGCCTCGATAATTTCTTTATTATCGCACACGGATTCTATAGAATCAGCGTATGAGTCAGCTTCCTTGCATCCATAAAGGGTATACACGGAAATCCCGAAGGCAAAGATGATCCACGAAGATGAATCCTTATCGATTAAGACTCGTGAAAACAAGACGACGAATCCAACAGCGCAGATGATAGAGGTTAATGCCCACCTAACAGAATGACATGAATGCCCTTATTGTGAAATCTCTCTGCCAACTTCTGCCTCGCCGCCCTAGTACCGTTATTTGCATCGTATATTACAACTTGTCCAGTTTTGAAGAAATCCCAGATCTGTTGTTCACATCCATCGGAGACTTTCTTTCGCAGGGCAATTGTTTCTGGGCTCTTCTCGCCTGAAGATACATATATTATTAGCTTGTCATTGTCTCGATGAGTTTCGATAAGGTCCCTCACCTAAATGGAAGTAATCCGCCGGTAGCTTCTGTGCTCCACCGAGAGTCTTTCGACGATAATCACCTAGACTGACTACTTGCGTCTTCACGCCCATCCATCGCAAATAACGTTCTAAAGATCTAGAAACGTGAGTCTTTCCACGAGCGGGGAGGCCAATGGTAAGGACGAGAATCTTTCCGGCGTGAAAAAGAAGTCCAGAGTCGGTTGTATAGAGGGGAGCGACCATAGTGAGAAAAAAGGAGGAAAAAGGAGGGAGGAGAGGAAGGTGGGCGCTAAATCGAGCCAATTGCGAATATAGACGCCGGTGGGCAATTGTCAGTTTATTAACTTTTCTAAATTCCTCTAACGACACTCTCCTCATCTCGCCTGCCGGTTATTTGTCTGGTCATGCACGCGTCTTCCTCCTTTCAATACCGTAGCACCGCTTCTTCTTCCTACTCCTCTTCGTCTTCCCACCACTACAGCAATACACGGTACAACTCGTTCCACGGGCCAAAGCAGAGGGTTCTGGGGAATTGGCAGGCAGGCAATGTTGCGCCTGCATGGCGGTCTAGTGCGCAAGGACAATCTCAATCGCTCAGGAGACAACAGGCCGCTGGGAGTAAAATTTTGTTGTCTCAGCTGCCGTTGGATGTCGGAGAGAAAGAGGTTGAGGTATGTTGAACTATTCCAGTGCTTTACGGACCGACACTAATTAAATTACGACCTGCTCACTTTTGAACGATCTCAACTCCTAATTCACCTGGATCTCATGTCCCCTCAAACTTTAACGAACAAAGGAACTCTTCAAAAAGACTGTAGGACCACTCAAAGAATCGTTCATTATATACAACAACCAGGGAAGATCCAAAGGAATGGCGGTAGTTGTGTTTCAACGACCAGGAGATGCAATGATTGCAAGGGAGAAGTATGATGGAAAGTTCGTCGATGGTCGTGAGTATCACTATTTCCTTGTTGTTTCTGCCAATTATATCTGTCTACTTTCCTTCGACAACTTGTGTTCATTTTCCGACTCAGCATATTGATCAATTACTTCTTTTACTCGTGTCAATTCGTATTCGTAGGCCGTCCAATCAGAATCGAACTCGTCTCAGATGGCCCAGCTATCCCTACAGGCCCTTCTTCAAGCTCATCATCTGCACCTCCTGCGCCTTTGTCACTTATCGACAGATTAGCCAAGGCGACGACACCGAATTCATCTACCCGAAATCCGAACCCCCCAAACCTCCCAACCCACCCAAAGCATTTTAATCACCCAAATCATCAACTTCCGCGTCAAGCAGCAGCGGCAGCTTCCATAGCAGCCGCAGGGCGCCCGAAACCCTTCTTTCAATCCACCTTGACTTCTTCTACTTCCCATCCCTCTACCTCATATAATTCCTCGCATGTCCCCGGACCTACAACTTCTATATCAAAACGCAGAACAAAAAAGGGACCGAAACGTCTGAAAAAGCAGAATGTTCATATTCAGTTCCCAAAGTTCACCTCGGGGCATGTGACGAAACTGGGGAAGTCGAAGGAAGAGTTGGATCGGGAGATGGAAGATTATAGGGCTGAGGCAGATGTGGACTTTGAAGATGAGTACTAGCTGTGATAACGTGTTCAGTTCTCTTCACAAGGACCATGCTGGTGTCAACCGTCATAAATAGGCGAAATATTACACTCTTATACTGTGGTCCAAATGCGACCTACTCACAGTCTGGGTACATAATGGATAAAGCGATAACTCGCTATCACTCATGTAGTAGACATCCAGAGCTAAGTCATAGGTGATCAAATTCCCGGTAGACCTTTCAGGCCGACAAAAACCAACTCCTCACTGCACTTCCTTCTTTGTCCTTGCCGGTGCTACAACGAAGTCAGTTGCGCCGAAAAGGAGATGACAAGAGATACATACACGCATACATTATAGCACAATCTTGGTGTCACTGTCCAGGATTTTGTTCCGTCTAATACTGGCTTCAGTCCGAATACCCAGCTCAAATGGAACGTGAAAAACCTTTGGATAAACTAGGTTGCCATTTTCAACCCTTGCAACGAGAGTTTTTAGGCCAGCAGTCCTTATCTCCCCAGTAACAGGGACAGTTGTCCGAAAAAACCATCCTTGATAGAGATCATACTCTGGTCCATGTGGTCCTTGTTTTTTGAACGAAACCGAGAAAGGTTCATGGTCTGCCAGCCTTGTAGGATATCCAATCACCTTGTCAATTTCGAAGTATGCATCAGGGCTAGTCGGGTGCAACACGGGTAAAGCAATAGTCAACACTTCTTCGACTAGTGCTTCGCTAAATTTCTGAGCAGCCTCCTTGAGTGCGCGTGTTTCCGGCAGGTAGAACACCGTCGAAACGCAGTGTAGCATGCAAGACTTCTTCTCGACGTGATTTCTGGCCTCGGGTTTCCAACAACTTCGAAACTGTCGATTGTTGTGCACCGGAAGAGATGGCATGGTCGACATCGGGTTGTCCCGCCAGGGAAGACTGAAACGGATTGAACTGTCGTAATGACCTTTCTTGGATTTTGACACTCACCGGAGCAGCAACTGGTATTGCGGTCGTTGATGCTGTGAAGAGAAAAAGGGAAAAAAGACTGCGAATCAAGATGAAGCGGTATTTGAACACAGGAGCACCCCGGATGTCGGTTTTGGTGGGCATGGAAAGGCGAAGCATGATGAGGCCTTATTGTCGATACGAATGTGGGCTTCTGAGTCAGAAGTAAATGCAAACAACAAGTTGGGCAGCGGGCGGCGGAGAAAACGTTGCCTTATCAGATTTGGACTAGAAAACGCGTTGAACGTCTATGTATGATCATGAGCGCTCACTGTCATCAGCGACAAGCGCTCTGGGAACTTCGACTAGAATTCTTTAAAGTTTCATTACCTCTATATGATCTAACTCAAAGGTGCTAGCTCGCTTCCCTTTACTGTCATGACCATGGCTACGTGGCTGACTGCATTCGCCCTCATCTTCCTTAGCTTAGTAGAACACTCGTCGACTAGAGCAAAAACCGCTTTCGAGTGTTTCTCAATCCCTGGATTCTGCTCATTCTGAATTACAAGACTAGTTGAATAACCATGATTGCTGGGACCTGAACAAACCATCCGCCGATAACTCTACCGCAAACCTCGTGTTCTCGACTGTCAGTTCTCTACTACAATCCATTTCTAATTCACGGTATCGAAACGGTTAGTATTATACGTGCTAGTTCTTGTATTTCCGACCTAAACTGTACAGGGTACACCATTATTCCCGGGATCGTTCAATCCAGGACCATGCTTTATCACGGTCGAGGAGATTCGGACATCCTTACCATGGACTGGGTCGCATTTGAGCCTGAGTCGTCCTACACTTTCTGTCGAATATTCGGTGGAGCTGAAAACTGTTGGCTTCATAACTTTGTGGTTGACCGTCCTCTTCGGGTGCTTTACTTTGATGGATCTGGTACAGCGCTAGCGGCATTCCCCCTGGGCTCAATGGATAATCAGGATATCTTCGCTTCGGGCGAAATCAAGCCCGACATGGCACTGAACGAAGGATTAAGGAGTCACAAAGTGTGCGAGTGGGCGTTGAAACTGGGATTGGATGGGTTTATCAGGTAAGTTTGCCAACTGGTAAGTATGATCACGGCTCTAATTTGTCTTCTCAGGACTGGCGTAATTTAGTGAGCAGGATACTAGAGATCATAGAGCATGAACATTCTCAGCCTGAACGTTTTTCAACGAGATAATGCTCTGCAATTTTGGATCGGTGAAGCTCGTCTCTTCTCAGCATTTGAAATCAACGCCGCCGACTTCAACATACATGCCAGCGCCCTCGGGCCCTATGAAGATACCATCATAATGATATACGGTGCCCATAACGACCTTCGACGCAATTCAAACAAACACTAAAACTCCTGGGTCCTTTCGACTATTATCCTGGCTTAAGTCATGTTCAGTTTGTGCCGTTCTACATTCAACTCCATTCCGCCTTTCATTCCGTTCGGTTGGATTCCGTTCCTTCATCATTCCGTTGCATTCCACGACACAACACTAGCTCCGTCGTTGATTAATGTTCGTTCTGGTAAACCTAGATTGGCCCATCGTTTACTCGGTATCGAAGAGGATGATATTGTGCGGGTGAGGAAGTACTTGGAGGAGCAAATCGCAGAAACACCGTGGTCCTCTTTGCAGCCTGAGGCCGTCGAACACGGTATCGACTGGCCTGATTACCTACATTCCATCATCAGCCTGTACGGAAAACCCCTCGAAGACATATGGGTCATCATAACTCTACCTGGCCCCAGTCCGATATTCAACTAAATAATCAGGATACTCAAGTGAAGACAGCTTTCCGACTGATTGAGTACACTGTTCAACGATTCATCTTGTACTCTGTGTCCCCTGTCGGGAACCCTTCCGATTTTGCTTGGGCTTCTCCCATTTACAAAGAATGTGCATTATCCCACACTTCGTCCATCTCAACCACGTCACGTACAAAGTCGGAAGCTCTTCTACGTAATGCGGTGGAAGGAACGACGCGCGAACTATGCCGAGTTTTAACTAAGATGTGGGCAATGGGCGTCCATGAGGGGTTAAGTTCCCTTTTTGACTCTCCAATGTCATCCGCACATCCTCTTGTACGGAATGCAGTTTTGGATGCCTGGAAACTCGAGCTAGGATATTTGATACAATGGCTTGACTGGAATGTTTGGATTAGGTGCAAGCCTGCATGCGGTGAACAGGTGAATATGAAAGCTCGCTCGACTTCAACGAATTCATGATTTATCTCTATATTCTAGGAACCGTGTTACATCCCAAATTTCCCTCTCAGCATAGAAAAAATTTTCGCTGCCAGTTTGGCGTGAAGACGACCCAAAAACTCGGTGCTTAAGGACTGTACCTCCCTATATCTATGTCGATGATTACTAGCTCAAGCTATATCCCCAATGGTAAGTCAGACTTGCTTATTCCCTGACTCTTGCTCATTTTCTAGAACTTCAGTAAATGTTTTCGGGACCCCTCGAAAGGTCTAAGGGTAAATAGCAAGCACTGTGAAATATGAAGTGTTCCTCTTGGTCCAGCTCCTCCTTGCCGCCTTACAAAACCGGTTATGCTGTTCTTATCTTACTCCGAGGCTCTGAAAAAGTCATCCAAACCCACGACTAACATACCATACCGGCAGCTGTGAAGTTGAGCCCGGGATATATTGGGATTGGAATGTAATAATATTGCTCAAGCCTTGAGTAGGGTTACTAATTATGACGGGGGCTTCTTGTTCTGAAAAGGCCTTCAGTATTACTCACTCAACTCAGAACTTTTCGACATCTTATTTCAGCGCTCCCGCTTTCTGGTATGCTGTCCACCTTACTACCTTCATTCCGCATGTTCCCGGGTAGATCCCCTATGTCGATGTCCCGCTCACAGATGCCGTTGTTTTTTGAGGCCTGAAACTACAGATATGCTTTACCAACCGCTATACAGTATAGTGTGGGACTATTGATCTCGGCAGTCTATTTCTTTCGAAACGGCTTCAACCAGAATGAGCACCCAAGTAGATGCCGACGAATCATCGACGCTCTGCCTCCATCCTCCAGGTTCCGCCCTACTGGCGCCGCGTAATTATCTGATTTTTCCAATGAGTGTCCATGCTATATCACTGGCTATCACGATTCACCCACTGAAAATATCTCCTTGGGCGACTTTGGAAGCACCTTCTCTAATTCAGAATGATGAATGTAACTGCCCCTTGGGCATAGGGGCTTCCTAATGCTCGTAGAAACCGTTAGTAAGTAGTTGACCTCCTCTTGTTAAAAATTCAAGTACATATTGAGCGTTCCAGACGTCTTATCTTCATTTGGGAAGCACTGACCTCGATCCATTGCTCCCGTATAGCCCCGACTAGCTCGATATGTTCCCGTCACTGATATGACCAGGAAATAATCATCTGGTGCCACAGAGGACAAACTCAGTTGAGGTACGTGAGGTTCCACTTCGAGAGTTATGCAGTAAAGCCAAAGTAGGTACTAGCTAGTCATGAATGGTATAAAGCGCCTCTCTCACCTGAAAACTGCTCATCATAAAACCTCATGCCTCTCTTCGACACATACGATATTGTTTTCGCTGGTGGTCCGTAGTATTTCAAGGATTTTTGTATGAACGATGTTACTCATATCTCCCTGTACAGGTGGCACTGCCGCATGTATCATCGCTGGTCGTCTTGTTCAAGCTGATTCATCGTTGAAGATTCTGGTATATTTCCGAGTTCCCTGGATGTCGACTTTCGCTCCAATTGTGTTCAGGTTATAGAAGCAGGCCCGCATAGTTTCAACCTGCACAATCACGTTCAGCCCGCTAGATACCTCAACAGCCTTGTTCAAGGTCATACTGTTACAGTCCACAACAGTGTCCACAGTGAAGCGCTTGGTGGAAGATCCGTTTCCGTTCCCTCTGGATGCTGCGTGGGTGGTGGGTCCGCTGTGAACTGTGAGTAGTGGTGTCACAAGTCAATCTTCCTCATCATTTAACAAACCCTAGTCATGATTTATACCCGTGCTGCTGCATCTGACTACGACGACTGGGAAAAATTAGGTAATTCTGGTTGGGGATCAAATTCACTTATCCCTTTGGCCAGAAAGGTCAGTGTTCGAATGATTAGCAGCTGCACATCTTTCTTATCACCTTCAACCAGGTTGAAACCTACCAAGTTCACTCTGACAGCCCGTCAATGCACGGTTTCACGGGACCCATTAAAGTCTCTCATGGAGGACACGACACCAACATTGGCAAAGAGTTCTTAACTGCGGCGCAATACGATAAAGGCAGAAAAACTTCACCCTCCGCTGATATCAACGATTTTCAAACAACGAATGTATATGGGGTGTGTCGGTTCGCTTTCTACTGTTCACCTCGTTGACGAAGATTGCCCCTTGTCAGCCTTGGCACAAGTATGTGTTAATGTATCCCATTTTCTGATAATCTGAACCACCTTCGTGCTAGATATATTGACTCAGATACTGGAAAACGTTCCGACGTTGCACATCATTTTCTGTATAATCTTCCAAACTTTAGCTTGGACCCCAACGAAGGCAATAACTTGCATGTTCTGACCAACCGGCGAGTGGTCAAAGTGATCTTCAAGTATATCAAGGTTTCCATTAGCATTTCAATTTCACTTGTTCAAGTGAATTCCTTTTGTTTCCAGAGATAATCGTGCAATCGGTGTTGAGTATGTTGCTCGTGAAGAGTCTCGATTGCAGCCTCGAATCGCATATGCTTCCCGCCTAGTTGTACTTTCTAGTGGAGCTTTCGGGTCACCCGCAATTTTGGAACGGTGAGCTGAAACACATTGCACGAACATATGTATAATTTACTCACTCGGTTTTTTCTGCTGCCTTCCTATTTTCTGTTCTTATTTGGTTCGCGGCCTCTATGCAGTTCTGGAATCGGGTCTGCACGTTATCTAGCAGACACGGATATTCGTCAGATAGTTGATCTCCCAGGTGTAGGAGAAAATTACAACGGTAACTCCTCTTTTCGATCGTGTCGCAGAACCTATATGATATTTGCATAGATCATACCCTCTGTGTTACCCCGTATCTCGCCTCAGAAGACTCCGACTGTCTAGACGATATATTCAATGGAGATGAAGAAGCTATCAAACGTAAAACTTGTTTTAGGCATATGTTGACCACTGCTGACTGACAATTCACCATCAAAGCCCATCTCAAGGAATGGCAAGAGGAAGGCTCAGGGCTTTTGGCACACAAGCGAGCTGAATTTTGTTTTGATAACAATCATAATGCTGAATGCTGTCTGTTGCTTCAAGTTCCGTAGATGCGGGGGTCAAGTTACGGCCTACGCCAGAAGAGCTTGAAGAGATAGGGCCCTCTTTCAGACAGATATGGGAGGAATTTTACGTTGGGGCCCCGGACAAGCCAGTTGCGTGCTTAGTTCCGACTGCGGGGTTAGAACATTTCTCTCGTTCAATTTGGAAAAGAAGTGTTGATTGGGTTTTATATTATGCAGGGATGTCCAAAATTCTGCTCCACCCGGGTTGAAGACATTTGGAATCATCTTTTTTATGGTGAGTCTGCTCTATCCATTCATCTGATCACAATAAAAACCCAGTTCATTTGAAGGCGTACCCTCGGGCTACAGGCTACACCCATATCTCTTCTCCTACAAATCCTTGGGCTCCTTTAAGGTTCGATCCCAAGTTTGTAGAAGAGTACGTATGATATCTTGCTGGATATTTACTTTCTTGGCCCGTCCGACTGAACTCTTTCTGTTCTTAGTCCTGCGGATCTCTCGGTCCTTCGATGGTCCTACAAGCATGCTCGTGAACTTGCTCGCCGGATGAAGTCATTCAGAGGAGAAATTCCTGCTAGGCATCCCAAGTTTTGTTCTAATTCATCAATTTCCGGCGTCAGCAATGGTACCCCGTGCACTATGTCCTGCAATGGTCCTTCGTACGTTGTACCTACCAAAAGCACAGCATCCATTGTCCCTTCTGCCTCTGGACCGTTTGCCATTGATTCCCCGAAAATCGTTTATTCAAAGGAAGATGATAGAGCCATAGATGAGTACATTAGAGCCACCGGTGAGAGGGATGTGCATCTTTTATTTTCTATCTACTGAAATTCTTTTCGTCTGCCCTAATTAGTGGGTACGACTTGGCATTCGGTGGGTGGTAATTCATCCTACTTCCGATCTTTGCTCATCATCTTCTCTTGTACTCAGCTTGGTACATGCGCAATGAAACCTCGAGAAGCCGGCGGAGTCGTCGATTCTCGGCTCAACGTGTACGGAGTGGAGAATCTGAAAATAGCGGGTAGGTCATACTGCTGATTGATCCTTGAGATTCCATTGCTCATTGTTCGCAGACATGAGCATTGCTCCACTAAACGTCGGAGCGAACACCAATAATACCGCACTTGTCATTGGGTATGTGTATACTACGATTGGAAGGTTGGGAGCTCCGCATTAACAGAGGTCTCTAGAGAAAAGGCCTTTCTCCTCATTGCAGAAGATTTGGGCATCTCGCTTGAAAGTGAAACAATCAGCCAAAGGTTGAAGAATTTAAGTCTCTGTGCTCATTTGAACGGTAATTGACTTCATAGAAAGAGGTGTAGTTGTAAGTTAGCACGATACGAAAAATAGAGTTTGGAATGGAAGGCCCTCCGTACGCGATGCTGATTCAAGTCGGGTGTAAGGGCTTGACAGACACCGCACGATTGGTTATAAGTCTATACCGGAAGGTATGTCTGAAAGACACGTAGGGGCAAGTAGGATATTGGCAATGGACGATGAAGGAGAACGCGAAATCATTATCATCGTTTTTCTTCCAGTGTGAAGCCTACATACAATCTCTCAATGTCGTCGCACTCCTGTCCAGTCTGCCTTTGCCACTTAGCAGATCATACCCGGTTTTGGAAATTTTTGAGTGATGCCGGGATTGCGGGTGTTCCCTGTTACAGCTACAGGTTGTAGCTGCAATCAAAGCAGAAACGCGGATGAAGCGTTATGTGCCAGAGCTGTCCTTGGATGTGATTCGCAAAATCACGAGAGGTGGTGGCTCTGTTGCGCTGCGCAAGATAGTAACGCTAATTCGAAGTGTCGAAGCCGGAAAATCAAGCTTTTGAGGTAGTGCTTGATTTCGAGCTATTTTGAGGCATACGAGCGAGTTCTACAAGTTCTAGTTAACGCAGATGTCCACTTTTTGACAGCAATTTGGAGACTCGCCCGCTTCGTAGCTCTCCAGATCTGCTTTCCTCCGCCCGTCAATATGTTTCTTCGAAGCGTACAACGCAAACGCAGCGACGAACATTGCTCCTGTAAAGCCCAAAGCCTGATAGAATCAATCAAAAAAGAAGTTTGGGATGAGCAATCGCTGTATACCATGTTACGAAAGGTATTCTTGGAAGTTTTTGCGTATTGCGCGCCCATGTCGTTCAGGAGCGGTGGAGGCTTGGGTCACCGGTAAATTCGGACCGGGTTTTTTCTGTCTCCTCGATTCACTTTGTCGATTCTATGCGTGTCCTCAAGGCCACAAGGCCTCATTGCCCAGTAAAATTTAGATATACGTTGGTATACCAGAATCGCCTCTATCTCTAATTGAAATGATTAAAATGAATGAGTTACTCTTGCAGCCCATCGTTTTAAGGGAAGGAATCGAGGCTAAGCAAGGAAGAACTTTGGGTGAAGCTGAAGATGCATTCAGAGTGATCAAAAGCCCTTCCATTTTCCTGTCACTATATGTAACGCTCCCGAACATCATGTACTACACATTCCCTTCTTGATTCTATCCGCAGAGCTGGCATCCAAGTGTGTACAAGCAATCCCCGAGTATGAGCGAGTATGCGACACGCTAGGTATCACCTGTTTTCACCTACTTCATTTTTGCAAATGCCTCTTCCCTGGGTTGTATCATACCCGCACTTTATATCCTATGTCATTTTGACTTCTGCATAACGTGTGTAATGCCGATGACCTTGTTCATCTCATATTCGCCCAATAACGCTGCAATTGCGCGAACCGGACTCAGGTCAGCCTACTTGAAGTGCGAGTTCATTTTACTGTAATATACATACACATCTGTCTACAGACTGAGGAGTCAATGGTCACTTTCAGGTAGGCACATCATATCGATGATCTTCAGGGAAGTTGAATGATATTCGTAACTATTCGTAAGTCATCCCAACGGTCCAACAAAAAGTGGTAACACCCAGAAAAAAAGATATCAACGCAGGTCCAACCAGGACTCGAACCTGGGTTACGGGAAGTCAGGAAATCAGAATCCCGGGTGATAACCTCTACACTACTGAACCTTGACTTCCCTGGTTATGCAATGATCCAAATGGCTTGTTTGGAGTGCTAAGTAGTACGTTCGCAACTCTACAAAACTCTACTCACTAGTTACTCACTATCCATAACATCGAATCTTAGGTTCTACTTTTTACGACGGTTACAAATAGTTCCTCTAGGATCAATCGGGACTATAGCGCCTGGTAGTCAATCATCAAAGATTCCCTAATATTAGAGTTGCAATTCGGGAGGTTCAAGTAGGTTCAAGTACTTCGCGATCTCTTTGCACCCCAAAACTTTGCATCACCCGTTGGAATTGGGTTACCGTTGTACTCCGTTAGGGACAAGACGGTATGGTCAGGCGCATTATCTACACTCGGAAGCTCTTGAGTCTTGGTCGATGTGTTCCCGCTCCTGGCCTAGTAACAAATACTCAATCCACAGGGGGACAAACGTGACAACTCGTGCGCTTCTCCGCTTCTAAAGCCATGCAGCTCTCCATATGCGTTACTATAAAATGCGCCGGACACTAGAACAGCGGACAGCATAAATTCCTCTCTCATCTCATGCCTCTCTTCAGCTCGTACGACCTCATTTTCGCTGGAGGTTGGTAACTCGCTATCATCTCCATAGTTTATTTTGCACGACTGATACTTTTCTTTTGCCCTGGTCAGGTGGCACCGTTGCGTGCATCATCGCTGGTCGCCTTGCTCAAGCCGACCCTTCTTTGAAGATTTTGGTAAATCCCTTACAATATACCGACGTTGACTACCATTTCAACTTTATCTAGATCATAGAAGCAGGCTCACATAGCTTGAACTTGCATCACCATGTTCAGCCCGCGAGATATCTCAACAACCTTGTTCAAGGTCATACGTTCACACACCATAACAGTGTGCCGAGTGAAGCGCTTGGAGGAAGATCTGTTTGTGTTCCTTCTGGGTGCTGTGTAGGTGGCGGGTCTGCTGTAAACTGTGAGTAATGTTCAAACGTTTAACTTTTCTTCAATTTATCCAAACTTATGATCTAGTTCTGATGTATACCCGTGCTCCTTCGTCTGATTATGATGACTGGGAAAGACTGGGAAACCCTGGCTGGGGTTCGGAGTCGCTCATCCCTTTGGCCAAAAAGGCAAGTGATTCGAATTGATGACTTATCATTTTTCTAAATCTCTTCCACCAGGTTGAGACCTATCAAGTCCCTGCTGGAAGTCCATTGGTGCACGGGTTCACAGGACCCATCAAGGTCTCCCATGGAGGACGCGACACAAATATCGGGAAAGAGTTTCTTGAGACCGCGGCGCAATATGATGAGGACAGGAAAACTTCGCCCACTGCTGCTGATATCAACGATTTTCAAACAATCAATGTATATGGGGTGAGCCTTTACAATTCCTCAAATCCACCTCTTTGACAAAGATTCTCCCTTCTCAGCCTTGGCATAAGTAACAGTGCTTCCTCTCACTTGATTACTTGATTTAACTATGCAGGCGACAGATATATCGACTCGCGTACAGGAAAACGTTCAGATACCGCACATCATTTCGTTTACAACCTCCAAAACTTCAGCCTCGAGCCCAGTGATAGCAGTAATTTGCACGTCCTGACCAACCGGCGAGTTGTCAAGGTGATTTTCAGGTTTGTCAGGCTATATCATTCGTGTTTCTTTCCATTTTTAAGTTGAGTGAACATTGACAGAAACACTTGCGCAATTGGTGTCGAATACGTTACCCGTGAAGATTTCAACGGAAAGTCACTATCACAGCCTCGAATTGCATATGCTTCCCGCTTGGTCGTACTTTCGAGTGGAGCTTTCGGGTCACCGGCAATTTTGGAACGGTAAGTTGAACTAGGTTGAACTAGGTTGACTCTAGCTCGTACATCAAATGACATGTTATCCTCACCCGATCTTTTCCACATTGATTATCCCCACTGAATTCATGTCCTATCTCGTACCTTTTTGCCATATGTGCAGATCTGGAATTGGGGCCGCACGTCATGTAGCTGAAGCAAATGTTCAACAAATCGTCGATCTTCCAGGTGTCGGAGAGAATTATAACGGTACGTCTTCTTCTCGTCATAGTTCAAACTGAATGTGACATGTGCGTAGATCATAACCTCTGCCTTACCTCGTACCTAGCTTCCGAAGACTCTGACTGTCTGGATGGCATATTCAGTGGTGACGAAGAGGCTATCAAACGTAAAACTTGTTCAACGATATATGACGACCATTGTGATTGACATTCTACCTCCGAAGCACATCTCAAAGAATGGCAAGAAAAAGGTTCAGGGCTTTTGGCGCACAAGTGAGTTGAACATTGGGATTAATACTTTTGCTGGCAGCTGAATGTCGTCCTTCATCTAAAGCTCCATAGATGCGGGAGTAAAACTGCGTCCCACATCTGAAGAGCTTGAAGAGCTTGGGCCATCCTTCAGACAACTATGGAAGGACTTCTACGTCGGGGCACCGGACAAGCCGGTTGCGATCTTATGTCCAACTGCAGGGTTATAATTTATTGGGCTGGAATCGTGCTCAATTGTTGATTAAGTTATGTTATGCAGGGACCTGAAAAACGCCGGCACATTGACTCCATCGAAGACGTTTGGGATGGCCTTTTACACAGTGTGTTTTTCTATATATTCGATCCATTTCGAGTTGTAAACTATTTGCAGGCCTACCCGCAAGCGATAGGATACAGCCACATCACTTCTGGAATCAATCCTTGGGCGCCTTTGAGGTTTGATCCCAGGTATTTGGTAGAGTGCGTAACGTTCCCATTAACTTGGATGATTGCTGTTTATATTTCGATTGCCTTGTGTCTCTTCCTCATATCACGTTGGTTCTCGTTGCTGATGTCCTTTCTTGTCATAGCCCGGCAGATCTTGCAGTACTTCGCTGGTGCTACAAGCGCGGTCGCGAGCTTGCCCGCCGGATGCGGTCGTTCAGGGGAGAAATCCCTGCTGGACAACCTGATTTTTGTTCAAGTCCTCCAATCTCTGATGCCAGTATTAGCACTTCCCAAAGTGTGCTTGACGAAAGTACTGCCTCTGTAAATCCTACTGCCTCTGGTCCAGTTCCCATTGATGCTCCGAAGATTATTTATTCAAAAGAGGACGATAGGGCGATAGACGATTACATCAAAGCTACTGGTGAGAAGGGCATAGGCTCTTTCATTTTCCGAGCATTGCACTAACTTTTGACCTACTACTCATGTTAGTGGGAACAACGTGGCATTCAGTGTGTATCCATTTCTATTATTCATCATCCGTTGTACTAGATGGAGGGATCTCTTTTAGCTTGGGACATGTGCCATGAAACCACGAGCAGCCGGGGGAGTCGTCGACTCTCGACTTAACGTGTATGGGGTGGAGAATCTGAAAGTGGCTGGTTGGTTCATCCTCTAATTACCCTCGAGATCACTAATAACTTGGTCCATGGTTATTGTAGACTTGAGCATTGTTCCATTAAATGTAGGAGCCAACACCAATAATACTGCACTCGTTATTGGGTATGTACCTACCGCCATGAAGAGGGCTTAGTGACAATACTGACACAACTACCAAAGGGAAAAGGCCTTTCTCCTTATTGCAGAAGATCTAGGTATATCTCTTGAAAGTGAACAATTCAGTAAACCATAGATTGAAGAATTAAACCACCATCGTTTTCTCGTCACTGCAACTTGTCATTAATTTCCAAAGTTTGGTACTAAGTCTTTCAATATCTGAAATCTAATACTCCTCATAATCTTCACTGGGCTGCTTGACGAACTTCAATCACAATCTATGTATCCATATACTGGAGAATCTCTGCGGCTGGTTCCGTATATCAAACATCCACGGTCGACACGGAGCGTTTGTGTGGCTCGAACGACATTGTAAGTCCCTAAGAATTGACATTAAAGACTGGAGGGGAATTCCGATTCGACTAAGTCCACCTGGATAATAGGCTCCGTAACGGGGATAGCTGTAAGCCCTCCAGAGGTCGCGGCTGAGAAAACAAAAGTCTGTCAATCGAAGAAGCTTCAGTAGAATCATACGTACAGACACGGAGATGGGTACGAGGGAACCGAAACGCTGCAGGCTGCTTCGCCACCTCTGCACGCAATTCATGGACAAGTAGGAAATTGACAAGAGCAGTCAGGGAGTAAATTCTGCCGAGGATGCGAAACACGAAGGAATAACCTATCATAAATTACAAACATGATAGCAACCATTAACAATACCATGAATGGTTAAAACACGTAACTGCTCACCATTCAGATTAATCAACCAGAATACTAGTAGGACGGTCGTTGATACAGCAGTCACGCAACCGTATGCACCTACATAGAAACAGAATTTCTGAAGTAGTCTAGGGACGATGACAAGAAATCACTTCAAACTGTCTAAATTTCGACGGAAAGAGTGTTCAAGTACTAACGCTTGTGTTGTATTCTGGGAGGTTCTAACTGATTTGAGCCTGGTTATGGTGACAATAGCTAATGAAATATCTGTTGTGGCCATGATAGCTGCAGAGACACTAATAAAATTCGAGGGATGAGGATTGATTTTTTTTGTGTTTGGCGGAATACAAACAGAGGTGTATCTTCTTTCAACTTCAGAGCGACGTCGGATAATGGTCTCCTTAAGAGGAAGACGGTAATGCTTATAACTAGAGCGGGCTGAACAATTGATATCAGATAAATTCATTCCATGCTATCGGAGTGAGAGAGTGTACACGAACATTAGAAAAAACCAACAGAGCCAATATTGAGGTCACTGTTCGATTATGCGATCTAAAATGAACGATGTTCTTGGTAAAGATGATAATATACTGTCGATGCCATTTATCACTCACATAGACCAATATCGTTTCAGAAAATAACTCTGCTCAAGTAATGCAGCCAGATAGGTAACAACGACGGAGAGCAATGTGCTCCAATGGTTTGCCAGTTTGACTTGATCTACTATGTACCACGCTGAATATGTGACATTAATCATCAGTAGAATGCAAATCGAGATAGTTCTGACACACAGGATGCGATGGCAGACTCAAGAGCCTGCAGATGTTTCTCCAAACATTAGATTTATCCCATACTTACAAAAAAACACTCACCATATCCGTGCTGTAGCATATTGCAACAGTGCCGATTGTGTCCACCAAAAAGGTAACAATGATGGAGAGCTTTGTTCCTCTTGTGATTTTCTGCGTCGTAAAGAGCAGGAGATAGGCACAAAGTACCGCTTCACAAGTGTAAAGAACGAGATTCATCCATGAAGAGAGTAGGAACGTCCTATAAAGTGTCAGTATCGAGAGCTCGAAATTCGCGGGGACCAGTGACTAACAAAGCAGTTACACTTTTTTCTGCTGGGAATGTTTGCGCAATAAAAAAAACAGGACTCATGAAGGAGCATGGAAGTGATAAATTCAAGAGAGGGGAGATCAGTCTACTTTAAGTACATGACCTCTATCGAGATAGAACCTTCATGCTTCTGATGGGTGCTACATATCGTGAATAGACGAGAATTCGAGTAAACGAGAGTTAAATTGATTTTCATATAGAAACCGACAAGTCTATTAAATCGTTTCATTGATTTTACTCCACCTACTGCGCACTGGCATACCACTGGACAGTGAGTATGTCCTATGTATGCCAGTCCTGCGTCTATCCTATAGATACCATATTTAACAGAAGAGTGAATTTCTTTGCAGGAGGGCGAATCATAGTAAATCACAGTGCTACAGAAAATGGACCGGATCGAATTACACATATTTCCTGGCTTGTACACTTACCTTAACATTTGACACTGTAGAACTAGTACTTATAAGGCCTTTACTACATACAAGCCTGACCAGACAGCGAGCGCGCAAAGCTCTACTGATTTGGTATTCAACTTGTACTTACTTTAGTGACAGCCTGAGCATAAATCTACACAACGTCGCCGTTTGTCGGTATCTGCATACGATTTGTCAACAGTCACAAGAGTATTCCCAGATCAATGTCATTTGGATACCTATTTATAGTGTCATGCTACCAGATTCATGTTTTGTACTTGGACAGTTGGTGCTATTCGATTCCCAGGTCGAATAAAACCCTCTCAGCCTGCGTTGCGTAACAACTGCAAGGGGACATATATACAGCAGACTTACAGTGGCAGCTATCTCTCGAGTATTCAAACCCGGACGTGCAGCATTCCTACTATTTGAGGATCAACCACCGCTAACTCTGGCACCAAAGTACGAGGCGTACCTTTATTGATAAATTCGAACTTAAGGTTTTAACCTTAGGAACGTAAACAGTGAACTGTAAGATAATCGCTGGTACTACTATAATCCTGGCTACTGACAACCACCGAGAGCAGACGGAGGTTCTAAGCCGCCGCCTGTCTCCAACTTTTACTTTTACTCGATGTGCATCTGGTACTGCCCTGCAGATGCGGTTGGGCTCATATACCCCGCCAAAGCCATCTTCAAAGTCGAAATTCGTGGCGTCCTTACGACAGGGAATAAGGAAGAAAGAGGAGCACCTAGAATCGAATTCCAGAAGACTTTAGGCCTCTCTCAGGCTATCTGTATTTCGATCTTGAATCCTGGATGCTCTGAATGTTTGTCTTGAGTATCTTGAGACTTTATGAACTTCAATCTTGAGCTCGAATCCTGGAGGTTCTCGCCGCGTCCGAGGTATATGTAGATTACTTGTAGCTTGGGCGCGGTTGAAGAGCGAGCAAACGGCTTTAATTATATCCCATCCCGCGATCTGATACATAAGTATACCTTAACAATAAGAACGTTCAACAGCGTTCTGTGACTGCGGAATATTAATTCCACCAATATATTGCAAAAGATCACAAAGCACATACCTTACCTTACCATAAATGAGTCATTTCATTGGTCACAACCGTCTTCAATATTGGAATATATACTGATGATTCGGGATCCGATGTGCAAGAGAAAGATTTGAAGACTAACTGGAGTGATATCGGGTGATCAGTCAGTCACAATTTAATGAAACTGTTTGCTTTGTTCTATGTACATACACCATTGGAGAAGGACGGCAAAGATTCCAGTTTGAGGGACGGCAAAGATTCCAGTTTGAGGGACGACGGGGATCATCAATATCGGGAGGTAAAATGAGTAGTTTTCATGCATGTTCATTTCGGAACCAGCGCGAAACACAAGACGACGCGGCAGGAGTGAGGGTAAAGAAGAAAGAGTCTTTTGTTCTCTCTCTTTGAGCCCTTGCTTGGCCTCTACACGTGCCCGGACTTCCTTACATACGCACCTGTGCGCACCGCCGGTGCGCGCACGGATCCGGAGATAACTATAGGCATGGGATCCGACAAACCAGGACGTACCAATCCCGGAAATTCGTCTCATCCATGGAACACAAATCTATAATGAAAACCGGATGAGAACTGGGTTTGAGGGTCCAACAACGGTCTACTAAAAGAGTGAAGGTTTCTCAGAATGTGATTCGGAAAAAAGAGCCGGGGGTACCGACAAGCTAGTGAAGCGACGAAAAAAACATATCACTTCCGTCCGACACACACTAAGTAAATCACAGCAATTTAGTATTGAGATTTCCATCCCGAATCTGGTATACACTTACCGCAGGGCCTCGTGTCCCACACAGCAGTCACCTCTAAGTTCCTACGTCCAGCCTTTTTTCTTTTGTCTCATATTCACGTTGCCACGGGCGGTGCGTTATACGGTTTTGTGAAAAGAACAGACGTGACATATCACATCCACGAATAATTTTTCCGAAGAGCCCCTGTGAACTATGTTGAGACCTCTTCTGTGGTAAGCTAAGCTAGGATTCGTGTGCTGGCCAGCCTGGTCACCGGCGCTCTTGGTGGTACTAATACCGTTGTGGTACCCAGTCACCCGGTAGTTGTACGTTGGGTTTACGTTGTCCGATGAACAAGTAGAATCGTTCAACTTTCAAGTTCTCCCTGAATCTTCTTCTTCCATTGAATCGGAGGTACCAGATGAACCGATGATGAATGAACGGACCTTGCTTTGTGCGTCTGGGGTACAGAAACCCCGTCAAGCCCATCGATTCGTGTGATAATCATTGAACCTAGCTGAACAACGACGCACGATAGCCATCATTGGGTATGAGTATGGAGTATAGATGAGAAGAGGGAGTAAGAGAAGTGAGGACTTATCTCTGAGGAATACAATTCATCGTCATCTAAACTCGTCATCTCGAAATTTAGAGTGGGGGGTAACGAACTTTTAAAGTAAACTTCAGGCGCAAAAACGCGTTCACGTCCTGTTCGTGGAGATGAAAATTCCATCTACATAGTGTAGTGTATATACATAGATCTTTTCCCCGCTCGGTCCCCGCCATGATAAGTAAATTCAGAATTGGTTCTAATTTTGAATCCTACGAGGAAACGTTTGTTCCAAATGAGCAAAACGCGGAAAAGATTCTACCGATGAGAAACCCTTGAGAAACGATGGCAGAACTCAGATAAAAAATATCGCCTCCGTGGAACTGGAACAATGATTTAGCCCTTGTACGGTCAATCGATATATAACCATACCATGATTAGACCGAGAAAAACGTATGTGCCTTGTGAACGTCAATCTATTCAACCCATTCAAGAATTTGAATACGGGATTAGCCTCAAGGTTGATCTAGGGAACAAACCTAGCTCGACTTCCCGTTCATGGCCCATAGTTCAGCAGAGTTGACCCCTGCTTCACAAGGGAGGAACAATGCAAATACCTTTGAAATGTTATCAGATAGCGAATGAGGGACCAACGAATTCAGGAATTCTTTAATGACATCCAATGATCAACAACGAGGGTGGCTGCAGTCGTCCGTGTGGGGACGAGATACTATCAATAAGGCTGTATGTGGTGCTTTGAGCGGAAGTACAACTCCAGCGATGATCATCTTTGTTGGGTCTGATGACAGAGATACAACGTTGTTGATACGGAGCTCGTCTATGATGAATTGCTTTGCCTCGCGTCCGAGGTATGTATGCATCCTTGCGCTGACAATAAAAGTGGAATTCAAGCGCCGGGGCAATGGGTTGTTTTTTTTTGTTGCTATAAGGAGATTATGTAAGATGTGAAACGACGTCACTTGGGGAACTCAGGCAAGAGGTGAGGACGATTCTCCAATGAATAGAGAATCCAGGCAGGGTCTATTGGCTGGAGTTGTAGAACAGTCTCAAATGCCCTTCAAGCCCGAATATAGCTTACGGAATGTACCTAAGTAGCTGGATTATCAATACGTGAAGGTGAACACAGTTATTCGAAGATTTCAACCAAGTTTTACAGTATGGCCTCTCGACTTGGGGTTAGTTAGGGCTTTTCGCGTGGCAGCATAAGTACCCTCTGAATCTCCCTTACCTCTTGAGGTTAATGGTTGCCGGTGCCCTGGTTCATTTCTTCCCGTTTCGAATTCATCACTGATTACTGTATCCCCTTGCGGGTGAATTCGGGTACCGTCGACCCCCAACCCGCGCCAGATTTCCGTTTGCTTGTTGAGAGAACAGGAACTAGGGATAGTGATATCGAGAGAGAGCGATATTTTAGTCCATAGATAAGAGTCGGACGCACTTTCTTTCTTTCTTTAAAGTCGGTCTTCTATTCTCCCGCAAAGGGAGAGAGATAACGAGCAGATTATTCCGATTGAACATGTACAAAGGAGCGTTTACCGTTTATTCAAAGATGCGACGTCAAAATGCATCATGAATTTCTAACGTCAAATTGATAGTATAGAGAAAAAAAAGATTGGGTGAACGAATCCATAAAAGGATTAAAGCCAAACTGAACCAACCCAAGCCAGATTTTCGGGGCGGTGCGGTTCAGTTGACTTTTTTGGGCCTTGTGGCTCGCGATCGGCTTGATTCGTTCCTATGACCTTGTCTCGTATAAAGTAGCTCCAAAGACGAAATGGGAATCCCCCTCTGTCGACAAATCGTCCTAATCTCTTTGAACAACGGTTTGGGTGCTCTCGACCTTTTTTTTCGTGTTTCCTCTCTATCTACTTCATTCATCTCTCTCTCTCATGGCTCGTGTTGGCGACGTTACAAGGATATGGGAAATCAACATCCACTGGCCCATGTACAGTCAGTGTAGTATCTGGGATGGCAAAGGCGTAGAAATCTGGGAATGCGTAGTAGATCGTAAGTTCTTTCCAGTGTCTGTCTCGAATCAACCAGCGTTGAACGATTATATGTTTCATAGATCTCTCCAAGTCAAACACACGTCCTCCAAATCCCATGTACTGGAGATACCTCGCTCGCAGGTGATGAAGCCAAAGGGCGCCTCGAATCGCTCTCTCTCTACCGAGGATGCACAAACATACCTTGGCACCAAAACCAACCAATTAACAACTCATCATCGAAATCGCTATTGCTGTGCCGTGAAGCAGCCAAGCTTTTTTCGTTATCCGTGTACTATCTATGAGCCATCACGACCGCCTTTACCTCTCTCTCTCTCCTCCTCGTTTTGCTCGAACCTTTGCTCCCGAAGGCCTCATACTACCTTGTTCACGTTCAATGGCCATCTACATTTACATTCAGTCAGCCATAGTTATCAATAACTGTGATGCTGCGCTGCGACCGAATGTGGGGGGGCACTCCGCGGCGTCGAGATCTGAGTGGAAGGGTCGCTGGTACTCTTATTGTCGCTGTTACTGTTTTCTTTCGAGGGTCAGGACACCGTTGCGCAGGCGCTGTTCTGCGTCCCCACCCTCATGCATGCATTATTCTCATTCACTGTTCACTCTGTATTTATTCCTTTTTTTTTGCGTCTGTCTTGGGCTTTTCTCTCCTGCAATCTTCTGACACTTATCATACATATGCATTCATACACTACTCATTTTTTGGTTTGACTTTGTGGGGTTATTCTTTTGGGTGAAATCTTGTTCTGCCGTGCTGCCTGCGCAGCTGGTGCCTATGTTGTTTCCATAACTACAATAAACTGTACCTTTCAATTTTTTTCGATCCCGTTATCTTATACACCTTTCGATTGGGATGAATTACTGCTTACGCATTCTTACTGAGCTCAGCAGCTGCGTTTGTTATCTCTCGTTTCCGCATCTACGTCATAACATCATCATAAACTCCAACTGAACTAGTTCTCTGACAAATAACGATGACAAATATTCAATTCCAACTTCCTGCTTCGAATTCCATGTCATGTCTTGAAAATAACTGACAGAAGATTTTGTTCATGTGGTACAGTCTGTGTATACGTTACACACCACCACGTACGCGTATTGACTTTGTGACGCTAGCTTGACAAGATAGTCAGTTCTTCGCGGAGAAACTTCCAGCTTGCTTCTGCTCCCTGTCATCGACGTTTTCTTAATTCAAACGCTCCGACTGGTCTTTCAAATCCAAAGCACTAAATGATTCTTCTTTTCAAGTAGCTCCCTATCAGCATGGACCCGGCATTTCCTTACCCGCCCCCTCCAACTTCCAAAGGAATCATCAAGAAAATCGAGAAGCTTCCTGCATGATCATCGTCATTATATGGTTATATATAATATTATCGGTCTCGTTGTGACAATGTATCCAAAGAAGGATCAGAAACCCCCTGGTTCAAATGAGCTTTCAGCGTTAACTTCCCTCTGCAAATCAGCGCTCGGGTATATCTCCAAAAATACAAGCTTATCTCGAACTTACACTGACTGCTTGGGCCATGAGACCTCAAGGTTTTACTTCCGCTGAGGTTGACATTATTATCAGAAGAACTTGCCGCCGGGCAGATCGATGCTATAGTAATGGCCACACACTTGCCACATTCTCCTGACAATAGTCTCTGTCGACAGAAGTCTTGCTCACGAAAGTTATGATTGACAAGTTAAGTTATATCCCTATGTCCCCGGAACCTTCTTTATACCCGCTCGTTCACCCTTAAACCTTCCCAGGAAGCCTTACATGGACAACCCGGAAAACAATATGAATTATGTGTAAAAGGGGGTTCGAACTTTGCTTCAACTTTGTTCAGCCCCCCCACACACACATACGTACACCATTAGCAAAAGCTTCTCGTTGCGAGACTCTCACAAATCCCAAGGATTCATGCTCTTCGCTTCGCACTTCTTCGAACTCCTTACATGGCCTACAGAATCACCGCATGCCAGTTCTCTGAAAGAGTCTCACGCGGCGGCGGCGGTGGAGAAAAACGAACGCTGCTTTGCTGGTTTACTCTTTACTCATAGCTGGTACATATCTCTCTGCATCCTCAATAGAAAGAGATTGGACCGCACCGGTCCAACATTCCTTTCCTTTCTTCATATCATGATGAGCTCAAGTTTCAACGTTTCCACGTCCACGTTTCAACTCTCCCCGTCGCCGCACTGTATATATGCTTGGTTGCCTTGGCCCTTCACCCTTGCCCTTGCTGTGTCTCCCTGAAACCTGCTCGTTGTGACCATCGGGAACATCGGATTGTTCTGGGCCCGGTTAACAGCTCGTGTCTGCCACAGCCTGCCTCGGAGGAAAGTGCAGGTATAACAACCTCGTTACTATGGCTGATTTTTGCATAATTCGAAATCCCGAAATCCAGTGACTCGACCCGACCCGACGGCGGATGCGGATGCCAGTATGCTAGCAGTGCTTTTTCGAGCGATTTTGCACAGAGATTGCATGGAGATTTACACAGATATCAATGAGCACACAGAGATTACACAGAGATTGCAACGAGGACATGTACACACAAGCGCGGTTTCTGCGTTAGGTGTGTGTCCTGCCTTAGGCTGGCCTCGGGTTGTGTTCTGCCTCATCAAGATTTGTCCTATACATACTTCGATGAGCTTCGTTCGCTTCGATGATGACGGTTATCGGTATAAAAATAAAATAAAATACTAACACTAATCAATGGGTCCTACTTACTGTCATTACTGCTGTCCCCGACACCCTTCTCTTGAATTCTCATCCATCTCGGTGATTACAAATATACTATAAGGTTCAATAAAAGAATGAAGGCTTTCACTTGAGTTGGTAAAACAGTAACACGTACATTCCTTGAGTTATTTGTATCCTTGACAAAACGATACTCAGTTCAAGGACTGTGTTGCTGTGATGTTGCAATTGTCACAACCTGGTGTGTAGCCAATGGTCCGCAACCGCTTGACACGGATTATCTGTACATACATAGAAAAGATAGATCGATATCTCTGCCAAGATCTCTGCATTGTGGAAGATATGTGGGTTCCACTAGTCAGTCAATCAGTAGTCGTACCACACAACATGTCGAATGTTCTAGCAGTTTCTTTCCGCGATTGAATGCGCTTATTTTCCCTATTGGTGCCAAAAGCCTCATCGCGAACTTGTGCTAAACCCAATTCTCATGACTCTGAGCGCCGAGAAACGCTGAGTAAGTGGGAGAGCGCAAGTCGAAGCACCTGCACGTACACTTGATGAAGATGGACAAGTTCAAAACAAAACCGCAGTGAATCCGTCTATACATACTGCATGTACTATATCGTATGTATCATATTTAGTGCCAGTACTACTGCTGTACTAGTTCGGTTTTTGGGGCGACATTTATTCAATCGTACATACACAAGACTCAAGTTGTGTTCATGTTACTGTACTATAAGGAACTACTACTACATACTGTGTTGAAGTCAGTACATAAATAGATGAACACACCTTGCATTTAAAAAAGTGCGATCGCACCTGATCGCACTCAGTCCGGGATGGCAAGGATTTAGATCTTGGATTGAGTGTTGGCACTGGTATTGCCAATTGATTACTTACTATTACATACTTGCTACGCATTAGGCGTTCAGTTCGTGAACGCTTCAACCTTAGCTTCAACAGCAAAAACCGCAATAAACCCATAAGGCCAACCTCCAGATGTACCGGAGACCCTTGAGTTTGGGATCTTGGATCGAGTTGAGTAGCACTTACGAGCACTTACCGTGCAAACAGTCAACTGGCAAACAGCAATAACAGTAATGAACAGAAACCGCAATGAACAGCAATAACCCCTGCAGATGCACCTGAAAGACCCTTGAAGAACTCCTGTCCTCAACACTGCTTACCTACTTCTAATTAGCACTTCCGTTTCATTGAATCCAAACTCCGATGACAACCTTGCGTTTTTCCTGCTGTGTACTTAGCAGGACCGAGCGCGAGAGAGGATTGGCTCGAATCTGTCGGCTGGAGACTGAATATTGAATGGACAGCGGTGAACAGGGAGTGTGTACGGACTACGGTCGAGCGTGTGTACGCCTATGTCGGACGAGTAATTGAGGATTGGTCATCGATGGTCGAGCCCAGGGCCTCCAAAGGGGGCTAGGGGGGCTAGTACGTTCCATACGTCCTTACCAGTCTATACTGTCCATAACCTTTCAGTAAAGTCTCGGACATTGCAGGAACCTGTATATTTGATGACGGGTCTTTTAAAATGTGATTATAAGAAGTAGCGACAAACGAAGGAGATCCAAGGCTGAGAAAATGAAAGGGGGTACCATACGTGTAGAGAAATGATATTCGTTCCGACGCGCCCAGAACCGCAGAAAGCAAAACATAAAGGTCCAGGTCAACTGTGGAGGTGTATCAATCAGTTGGCGGAAGCAAGAAGCGGTTGGAGATCGTACTTCTACCTTTTTTCTGGGAGCAGGAGTAGCGCTAACTATAGCAAACGTCTCCCTCAACTTACCGGACTGTCAACGAAAATCAGGCACCTTCTGTCTACCTTTGATACACCTCTTATACTTGCACAAGTTTGAAAGGATCTATCAAGTTCTTTTCTTACTAAACCATTTTGGGCCCTGTTCTTGTAGTAGTTGTAGAGCCTCCCCCTCCTTCCGTACAAACGAGCTGGCTCATCTTCGATTTATCTTTGCGCGTGTTTGTTTTTTGAGACGATGCGGGAGAACTAAGCCGATAATTACTTAGGACTTCAGGGCATTGTGGAGCTCGGCAAGGGTTTCGGAGCTTACCTTGCAGAAGAAGGAGCTTAAAATGTCTGCCGGTGGGGAAATGAATGAATTTCTTGATTATCGCGAGAGCGAGAACGAATCTGAACGCTTGACTACATAGCTTGACTTGTAAAAACAGAATATATACGCAACATCTGGCATCCCAGACAGACAAGATTTTGATTTCACGACCTTTCCTGCTTTGGTTAATGACTTTGTGAAGGGATTAAATACGGGATTTAAGGAATTCGGAACGGTTGGAAGAGAGTTGGAGCCGAAAGCCGGAAAACCTTGGATGCGGAAGCATGTCGGAACCGGAATGTTGAAAGGTGCTGAAGGACCAGGTGTTCAGTCGGTTCATGAAGGCAGGACTTGCACAAGAGATCAAAGGATAATCGAGGAAGATTTCGGAGCTTCATAGAGTAACGAACAAACGAATGGAACAAGCACGATGCATGAGGAGCGGAACTTCCTACTCCTCTCATTCTTTATTATTACGGCAACTCCCAAGCCGTGGTAGTACTTGGCTGGTATGTGACGTGATGAATCAGACAGATAGATATACTGATAGCTATCGATAGTACCTGATAGTACCTGCTGAGCGTTCAAAGTCGCTCGCTATCGTCCGCCGCAAATGAGCCCTGAAGCCAAGGTAACGTCGGTCTACATCAATTCGTAGGTTCGAGAATGGCCGCAAGTAGCAGTTCATCGATTTTCTGAGTTCAGGAGAACAAAGTTGAAGGAAAGAAGGAGAGAAAGCCTGAGCAAGTGTGATCCGAACCTGATATTGGCCAGTATGCCGATTGACAAATAATCTGGACCCGACTTCTCACTCGTTCTCCACTCCTCTCGATAGGTTATTCATCTCGCGGTTCATCATGATGGTACTGCCATTTCACAGTACCAACAAGTAGATTGTAATTGTTTTTTCAGAAGTTCACTGGCAGTGCGAGAGATTCTGATTACTGTTTTTCCTCCTCTATCTGCTCATCTTCCCGTAACCCAGGTTCGAGTCCTACTTGGACCTTACTGATTTCGGTTTGAAATTCTTTTTCCTTTCGAGTCTATATCAACAGATTTGTATTGAAGCCTGAGCATTATTTCTCTTACACGTTGTCTACTAGACGGAAGATTTATCCTACTATGCAGCATAATCCAACGTCGCGTTGGTCCCATCTGAGGCCCATCGCCGTATGAAGGAGCTAGTGCAGGTTTTCGACCGAAGGTTCGGAAAAACGACTTGGGAATGCGCTGGGAGGTTGTCCAGGATATGGATGCGCACAAGGTGAATTGATGGATTGGGATTTAGATTCGTTCAATGACTACCTGTAGACGTTGTTCGATGGAATATTTCGGGGAGAGGTTAGGAAATTAGTCCTCAGTCCCGTTACTATCAGGCTTCTCGGGCTCTGTCTCTACCACGGCTGCCCAAGACGTGAATCCAGCCGTCTCATCCTACCTAAGGAGGCCCACAGATTATGTTCGTGAATCGTCACCACAATGAGCCTTCTCGTGAAGTCAAACACAGGATTGGACGGCAAGCTCTGGAAGGGTTGAAGGGTGGGAGAAGGATACCGACACTGTTGACGAGAACACCAAGGCATACCGGTTAGACACTTTGAGATCACTGAATAAGGCAGATAAGACGACAGAGGCACTTGGAGCGCTTCATAATCATTATCAGAGCCCATCCGCCACGCCTTCGGTAAAAACTCCTACCGAAATACGTCGGCGACTTTAGGCAAGCTAGTACTTATTTACATATCGCAGTTCAAGTTGTCCATATGCATGGAGATGGTTCCAGGGTACGGAGAAAAGTGTAAGATACGACTACTTGAGAAGCGTTGATCAGCAGATAAACGTTTCACTCAACGACCCGCTCCTACCAGACAGAGCCTATCAGGACCACGAAAGTAAGCACTTCACAAGTTCACATAATACCACGAGTACAACGGTACCACTACATACATAGACTCGAAATTTCTTATCACCCCCTCTTTCAAGGGCACGTACAACCAGTGTACGACCTCCCATCGAGAACGCCGTGACAGTCCACAATCTGAATAAATTTACATTCACTTAAGACATGAAGACAGCTCATCATGAAGAAAGAGGACATACAGAAATTCAACTTGGGTAGACGTCTGCAATTATGCTCAGCTCTGAACGGACGGATTCGACGATGAGTTCTTGATGTTCGAGCAATCTACAAAGAAAATTTTAACTCACGCCAAATCTCGCCGGGTTGCTGAACGAACAATGGATTAGCCTTGACAACGAAAAGAATGGCACCGAAAGCTTGACTTACTAGTCCTCAACGGTAACGTCTCCAGTAAAGATTGGGTTGCCCCGGGAGGAGACCCTCGCACTGATTGGACCTCCGTCTCCGGATCCAGTCCCAAAAACAACATTGCAAGGTAAAGTTGGCAGACACTTGGTACCCCCTATGAGGGTGAATAGGAGGTTCATCTGCTCACTGGTCGGCACATTCTCTGCGAGTATCACAAAATCACTCCCAAGTCCCAGGTCTGTACCATGCTGATCGAGAAGGCTTTGCGCCATAGCAAGAAAGACGGTAGATTGCACATGGAGGAGGGAGCCTTGACTGTTGTCGACAAAGTCAACTATGACCTTGGCCTGGGATCGACGCAATTGCGATACGACATGGACCTAGAGGATTTCAGGAGGCGTGGGGGTCAGGCTATATTTGGATCAAGAAGGTATATGCAGAATATACGCACAGGCAAAGGAGCAGCGCAAACCGTAGAGACGAGTCCGAAAAAGAGACAGACGAAGACAGAGCTGACACGCATAACGAGTGAAAGAGATAAGATAGTTGGGGGAGTTCGAGATGTGAGGAGTGCGAGTGAAGGGAACCGGAGGCAAGACCAGCAAGCTGAAGGAATTGGACGTTGGCATTGCTCTATTTAAGCATGCGATTCGTAGCCGATGTAAGATCGATGTCACCCAGGGCTGATGGGAAACAAATATCGAGGAATATCAACCGGCTAGCCTTTTTAGATAGGTGAACCTTTGCCTTCATTCTTCCTCCAACTATACCCTACTATACCTCAGGTGCCGGTCCCCAAGAAGAACACATCTTACCATTCAAATCAGAGGTAAGAAAAGCAAAAATAAACCCAAGTTGATCAGTCAGAGACTCGAGAGGAAGGAGAAATGGTGATATTACACCGACGGACCATGCGACGGAGGTTGCCAAGAGGTAAGATGGGCGTGCCTTATTTGAGGAGTAAAATCCCCGTCGTGTTGCGATAAGCCAACCTAGCAAACCTTTTGGAAGGGCAATTGAGCCAACGAGAAGGACAAAGTCTTCGAGAAATGTCCACTGAACGGAGAAGAGAGACTGGGTCCACGAGAAGCCGGACCGACGTAACCGATTCTAGATGGTTATCCTTGGCTATCAACTAGGCTGTGGGTACCATCTGGTACCATATGCTAAGAGGATGGTGAGTTGCTGTGGAACCTTCAGAACGGAAAAAGTTCAAAGTGTGCCTGCACATCAAAACGTCCAAATCCGGGGTAGAATGTGGTACATAGAATAGACTTTGCGGAGCGGGGGTGAATCTTCATATTGTTCTGGGGTGGTGCACTGTGGTGCAAAGGTATATCCTGTTAAGTGCTTTCCTACTTAGCTGACTCATTGATTTTGCAGATCTCTGGAGGCAGTTACTAGGTCTCTCTTTCGATGTACTGTTCTAGTTTATCTATTTTGTCTCAATGCAAACCAATGCAAGCTTCCGTCAGCCTGAGAGCATTTGTGATAAGATCTGCGCTCTGCAGCCTACTGGGCAATTTCAGTGTTCACGTAGTCAGCTATAGTCAGATGTCAATTGGTAATTGAACAGTGGCTGAATCGATGACATCGGTGGGAGGTACGTAGGTAGTTCAGAGGGAACAGGAGATATGAAGGAGGTAAGAGGATGTAATCATAGTGTGAAATAAAGGGAGGGGTTGAGGATAGGTAAACATCGAGTTTATGCTGAAGGGTATCGGGAGAAGGATCGATAGGGTATCGGAGGAAGATTGTGGGGAATGTACGATAACGTATGGAATGGTACGATGGAAGAGACGATGAAGACAGAATTCCTCGATTTGTCAAGAACGCCTTGGAGTCAAAGGCATTGGGGATGAGAGACGTAACAGGAGGAGAGGAGGAAGGGAGAGTAATAGAGGGATCTATGAGATACAGGATTTAGAGGTGAATGGAGTGTGAGGCATTAGCCGCGATGGATGAGGATGATTGGTTAGTATGAATTGTAACGTCGGCGATAACGGGTGAGTAACGACGAGTGACGGCTATGGTACGGAGAAGAGGTGAAGAAGACGGGAAAAAGATTTAGAAATTCGTCAATGAAAAGAAAGTCAAACAAAGGAAAACGGCAACTCACCTGTAAATACGTCTCTGAGTCTTTCGGGAAAACAAAGTTGATGACGACGTTCACAGCCCAAGTAGATAATTTGGTTGTCGGTCCGACCCAGTCATCGTCAAGATGCGTGGAGATGGGCAAGAGACAATTATGCAAGAACCAAGAAAATTGTTAGCATCGATTGAACGCGTTCAAAGAATCCGGTGATGCCGTGAACGCAAATGCGTACACTGTTGTCCAAGTTGCAGAAGATGATGGATTGGTTAATTTGAAGCTGTGAATTGGATGAGAGGGGTTTGGATTGAGAAGGAGAAACAAAACAATGAATCATTCCACTAACCTTGCTAAAGAGTGTATTCAAACAATGTGAGGTGAGTAACAGCCAGCCGCATAGAGCGAAAAGCTCACCATCAATAACTCGTGCAACTCGCTGAACAGCGGTATCTGAAAAAACTGCATCGATCAAGACGCTCATTGTGGCCGTATCAGCGTAATTGCCATGGAAGCGTAGGGTACTTCCACGGCAGCCATGTTCGCAAGCCACTCAAGAGATCTGACCGGGACAGTAAAGGCATTAATCGATGACCGCTCGGAGTTTTTATAAGACGTGCTTCCCTAAAGTGCGGTATGTCAGGGAGGTGAAGGCTGAGTGAAAATTAGCACACGCACTGTGCATCCCACTCTACAACCCGAAGCCTACACAGCTGGACTAGCCGCTTGCTCCGATAGCTCTGCTTCCGGCGGTGCGTTGCTGAACAAAGTAGCGAATTTTCGTGAGCGCTGAGTTGAGGGCGTCTGGGCCGGTTTCAAGGAGCAGGGCGTAAGGTTGTTGTTACAAAAAGCTCTGAGAGAGGAATAGAAAGCAAGGTCGCGGCGGTAGGCGGGGGGTTCCGAGGTGGCACCAGCTCGTCACATGCTGTGTTCTCTTTGCAGTATATCGATGATGTGGGGAACCAGTGGCAGGAGCGTGCACCATATGTTCGAATTCCCTCCATCCACTTTTCTAGTGGATCAGCCCGAGGTTCACGAGCAGGTGGCCGGATGAGGCTAGGTGGCTCGAAAGGGAGAAATTTCGGTTGGGATAGATAGTATTTCCGGTGCGTAAAGGAGGAATTCGACGGACTACGTATAAAGAATAGTAAAAAGATTTTCAAGTGCGAGAATCAGAGAATATCTGAAAATAAAGAGGTTCGGGGGCTGGGGTGATGGTGGTTGTTGTTGTTGTTGTTTCATAACCCCCCAAGGTGGCGAAGCTTGTATTTAAGGATGGAGAATGGGCTGTTGAGCGGTGACGGCTTGCCACGTCGAGGGATTTACGCCAATTACCTATCAAGATTGTTCTAAGGAGATCGAGTTATATATGTTTTTCTCCATTCCGCTTGTTTACCTCGTGCGAGAACTTTCGTGATATGGGGGGAACGAGGGAAGGAGTGGAAGTCACCTCTGCGAATTCATTCCGAGGAAACAGAAAAAACAAGTACCTTGTGAAGGGTACACAGTGCATGCAGAAAAAATTTGCATCAGTGGGGATACGGTATGATATTCCAAAACTATATTGGTGGAATTTGAGTAACAACCCCATCCTTATTTCTGAGTTCTGATATACGTCTCTTGCCAGATTCGTCTTTGCCCCATCTGATGATCCCTATGCATCTATCCTCGGGCTCACCCCTCACCTGTCCCTCACAGTAATTTGTTCCTTTTCCTCCATAATCGTACTCGAGCTTCAAGAGGAACTTGAACTCCGTTGTGTTCATCGTATCCGGGTGGGCGGCGGCTGGGTACATGTACGGGTTCTGATGATTTATGAGATAATTCGTTAATCCCCATTCGTATTTAGCGGCCTGGTCAATAAGGTCAACTGCTTCATCATGAATCAACGTATCCATTAGGGAAACTTCGTTATCGCCTATTCGTCCGGTTTTGATCCCGTCCCAGGTATAGCTCAAGAGCGATACCAGTGAATTTTTCCGTTCGGGTGCTTTTGGCTTCTGCTTTGGAACGTTAGCAACTGTTCTTGGTGGCTCGGGATGCGCTGCAGCAGTCGATTTGGTAGGGTGCCCTGGTGCTTGGCCCGGATGATGTATCTCTTCCCACTTCTCGTCGTCATCTTCGTCACTACCCACCTCATGCCAGCCTTCGCTGATATTCCTTGAACGAGCTTCCATCACCGAATGACTATCAACCTGGATTTGTTTAGATTATATCACCGAAGCACATACAAATCGCAAGACCAACCGGTACGACTATTTGAGTAGGGTGGCTTAAAGCGCCGATGGTTCTTATATCGGGATCAGAACTGCTCTCGACCTAGATATATCGACCGCGTGTTTCAATGACTTCACCTTGCTTGAATGCAGTAGGCCACTTACGTTGGAACTCTGGGTGATGCCTGTTGTAAACTCAGAAGAGGCTATCACATTGCTGCTGACCTATGTAGATATGCGGAGTGAGCATTGGATGTTCAATGCATGAAAAAAAAACAGGTAGGTCACTTACCGGTGCACCAGCAGCACCAGAGACGATCCCGAGGAGTAGATAGACAAAAAGTTGATTGAGATGCATAACTAGGATTTGTCGAGGAAACGGAAAGTGCTGTGTTTTGAGAAGAATGAGATCTAGGAGAGGAAAGACAAGGAACTCGACCAGCAAGTTGGGGATTTGTTTGAAGGATCAATCACCTTCTTTATACCTCAACCAGATACGCGAGACTGGATCAGATAGCATCATGCAATGCCAGTGCTACCAGGTGCTACCAGTGTATTATACCCTGATTATACCGCAAGTTTTGAAGATATGCATGTTTTTACGCGAGGCAGGCTTTTACAAGAGAACAGCAGGGAACAGCCACATCGTGCAACGTCAGTAATCGCCACAGCAAGACAAAGCACTCCTCTAGTGTTGTGGGACCTGCTTGGCAGTTCCGTTTCCATCCAGTAGGCACCAGTGACCAGTCTCTACTTCCTATCTTACAAATCTGATGCGCTGTGAGCAGAGTCGCCAAGAACTCGTATTTGTGAGAGTTCTGATAGGTCTTGATGCATTGTGCGCAGCCTTCCGATGGAGAGTCATATTTGTTGTGAAGTGCAATTGAACTTCAAGAAATGTCGACTGGACGAAGAAAACGGACTCGGTCCAGCTGGGTTCTCAAATAGAGAAAGTTAAGTTAAAGCTATGCGAAAAAATACGCCCTGCTTACCGGACCGGCATAACCGACTCTAGAATGGCTTTCAACAGAGAATCACTGCCCACCGTCAATTTTGTAGACTTTGGAGATGGTACTTCGAAGGTATGAACCAGAATTGTCCATAATTCCAGTGCTAACATCACTACAGAGTGCTCTTGATATTGGAAAAAAGCTCTTTGAAGCTTGTAGGGACGTAGGTTTTGCCTATGTTATAAACACTGGAATCCCTCAAGGTCAAATTGATGGAATGTTTGACTGGGTAAGATGTCAGATGCAATGAGATTGCAGCGTTCTTATGGCACCATAAGTCGGCAAAACTGTTCGCGTTGCCGATAGACACCAAACTCAAGGCGCCACATCCACCGGAAGGATGGAAGCATCGTGGATACAGCGGTGTATGTGCTCACAAGTTCTTTCTGTTTCAAGCTGCTCATTCAACAGTGACTTAGATTGGCCGTGAACAAGTTTCGCAACTAATCTTCGACCCTGATGAACTTCGAGCCATTCGTGCCGGGAAATTTCCAGATTTCAAGGAATCGTTCGACTTGGGCAGTGAGGATTCTCAAACTCTCCCAAATAATTGGATTCCGGACGAAGACCTTCCAGGTTTTCAAATTCATGCGACAAATTTTTACAACACTTGCCGCGAATTCCAACTCTCCATCCTCCTTCCTGCTCTCGCACTTGGCCTCGACCTTCCGAAAGACTTTTTCCTCGGCTATCACGAAGCAAACGAGAACCAACTCAGGCTATTGCACTATCCCGGTGCTCCTACCAGCGTATTCGAGAGTGGCGAGAAAGGAAGGATCGGAGCACACACGGATTTCGGAACCGGAACATTGTTATTCCAGGATGATTGCGGTGGTTTGGAAGTCGAAACTCCATCGCAGCCTGGGGTCTTCATGCGTGTTCCGCCGGTACCTGGGACTGTGTTGTTTAATATCGGAGATTTTCTGATGCGGTGGTCGAATGACACCCTGAAATCGACCCTCCATCGTGTTCGTGCGCCGCCGAGGAGGGATGGACAAGGTGATGATGGTACAACGAAGGAAAGATTTTCGATGGCTTATGTGTGTGCGTTTTGTGTCTTGCCATAATCTAAATGCTAAATGGGGACCTTGCAGTTCATGGGCGCTGACAAGGAGAAGACCATCGAATGTCTTCCGGGATGCTCTGGTCCTGACAAACCGAGAAAATATGAGCCTATCAAGGCTGGCGAATACATAAATATGCGATTGAATGCGACATATTAAATGGCACAGTTTGTATATTCGTGGTTTCTGGTTTTGTAAGCCTACCTCTTTCGCTATCATGCTGTATCGCGATTTCCAGTTGTAAACTTTACCTTCTACTTGTTTGTGATCATAAGCGATTGTGTACACTATAGCCTTGTCTCATTCCCACTCAATCATAACGTTTACTAGACACGCAATGCGCTAGAATGTGCTTCGTCATTTCGTTTCTACAACACCAATGCTCGCATTCAAGCAATGTGGCTTGACTGAATTCTATGCCTCGATCCACAGCTGTCGAAAATCTTTTGACCCGGAAACTGGAATTATTGGGTATGACCGGTGGACGGTCTGTCACGGTACGCTCTGAATTTTGCTATTGTTTACAATAGAATCTGAGGGATGATCCGTCCACTCTAGTTGGATGTCGCTCATATAGGCCTCTGTCGCGTCTGTAGAAGACTTAACTAATTGCAGACAGTTGCAGACAGCTAGAAGAGTTGCACATGCAGGCAACCTGGAAGCGACATTTCCCTCGCGCAAATCACGGTAAAAATCCCTTGGACAACCCTGCGTGCCAAGTATTCCTCACTTTTAAGATATCTCTTTTGGGCTGGTTTGGGACACTTGTGACCTTGTACGCCCAAGACCCAATAAAGAATTTGAACAGCTCCCTGCCCTTGGCGGGCTCTTGGGCCGTCTTGGCGTTGATTTTACTCTGGATGGACCTGGATGGACCTGCCTCTCGTATGTACTTGATGAATCTGCAATAACACCTGCCTGACCCCCCTTTTCGTTTGGATAATTTTCGGGAGCTCTCCTGCTGACTTGCTGCTCATTTGTGATATTTCAATGCTCTTCAGGCTGCATGCCTGCTCCGACCTCGCTCTGGCTCAATACTGCGGTCCGTCCCCAAGTCCAGTATGAGGTTTCCTGCGGGCCGTAGAAGGGATAGTCGTTCATGGCTTAAAAGCGTCTACGGAGACCGTGTATTCCTTGAGTGTTCTCTTGAAACCCCTGCATCGACATGCTGTCTCTCGTCGCTTTTACCGCTCTCGCCTGCGTGCTGACTGTTGGTTTGGCTTCCCCAACTCAGACTACACAAGCAAAACGCGCGACTTGTACAGTCAATAGCGTTGCATCGGCAGCAGATCTTTCCGACTGTACTAGCGTTGTTATCACTGCTTTCAGTGTTCCCTCCGGCGGTAGGTATTGACAAACCTTCACCCGACAACTACTTGTCTGATAGCTGATCGAAAATACAGAAACAGTCACTATTAAGGTAAACTGTATTTCTCTGATTGCACCCGCGACTCATTGTCGGCGATAACGTGCTTAGGCTGCATCTGGCGCGGTAAGTTTCGATCTTTTCAGCTTTGGCTTCTGGGAAGTGTACTAAAATACGTTTCTCCATGCCGTAGTCGATTACGATGACGGGTTCCGTAACATTCTCCAAGACTACCGCTTCTGGTCCTCTTTGGACATTTGATACCTCCGTAAGCTATCAATGCAGCTATGTTCAAGTATAAACTAACTCTACCCCTCTACTCACAGAACGCTAACTTTAATGGAAACGGCTTCAGTTTCAAAGGAAATGGCGACTGTTCGTGTTTTTTAATGGATGGTGCTATGGTTAACCTGAATATGTTGCAGTATACTGGGATGGAGAGGGTACTAGCGGTGGTGTCACTAAACCGCATCCTTTCATCAAGCATGTTTATCTCGTTTTGCAGCAAAAAAAATCATTACTGAACAATTCAATGACACAGATTTGAGGGGTATGGATCGTTCACCGACTTTATCATCAAGAATTCGCCAGCACACGCTATCTCTGTCGGTAAGTTTAACCGTTGTGTCCCAGCTCCGCAAAAGTCGCTGATGCTATAAAGGTACGACTTCGACTTCGAGTTTCACAAACGTCCTCGTCGACAATCTAGACGGTACTTCGTTAGGGAAGAACACGGATGGTTTCGATGTCTCGGCTAGCGATGTCAGAGTTCTGAGCTGTATGCCAATTGGAGAAGCGCTGACTCTCTTTCTAGCTTACCATCAGCGGATGCAAAGTTTACAACCAGGATGACTGGTAGGCTGATATGTAAACACGTTAAACAGGTTCATTGATTAGCTGCGCTACAGCATTGCCATTAATTCTGGCAGCAACATTGTTTTTGAGAATAACTTCTGTTCTGGAGGACATGGTATCTCCATTGGATCTATCGCGACTGGGAAGACTGTCTCTGGAGTTACAATCTCCGGAAATCAGGTCGAGGAGAGCATGTGAGTAGATATTTGATATCTATCGCAAATGCTCTGGACAAGGATTTTCCAATAGGTATGGAATGAGAATCAAAGTGGATAACGATGCCACATCTGCCTCGGTCTCAGACGTCACATATTCTGGAAACACCATATCCACCAATGACAAATATGGTTTCCTTATTACTCAAAGTTACTCAGCAGATTGTGCGTCCATGTTTACTACCTATGTATGCTCCGCAGAGTCCAGCGTCACTAATGCAGTTTCTCATAATAGTCGGAACTCCCGGAACTGGAAGTACCATCTCGTGAGTCTCTCCTGGTATATATGTGACTGAACATATGATATATGTACCTCGTACAGTGACATCAATTTCACGGGCAGTCAGACCAAAATCACTGTGAGCGGTAACTATCCGCGTGTTGGTACGTGCTCTTGAGCTTCTATGAACTTCTGTGAACGTGCTTTACTTGGAATTCGGTTTAGGAGTAGACTGTGGCCACTGCTCCGGGACCTGGAATTGGGCTGAGCTTGTTGCGAGCGGGGGTGAATCTTCTGATATTGTCCTGGGTGGCGCGAAGGTATGTCCTGTTCCTTTCGAGTGCTTTCATAATCAGTTGACTCTTTGGACGTTTTGCAGATCTCCGGAGGCAGTTACTAGGTTTCTGTTTCGATGTACTGGTCTAGTGTATCTATTTTGTGTTTCAATGCGTATCAATGCAAACTTCGATCATCCTAAGAGCACTTGTAAAGAGATCTCATGTTTGACACTGCAGTGTGCAGCCTACTGAAATTTCAGTGTTCACGTAGTCAGCCGTAGTCAGATGTCAATTGAAAAATTGAACGGTGGCTGAATTGATGACATTGGTGGAAGGTGCGTAGATATTTCAGGGTTAACGGGAGATATGAGGGAGGTAAAGGACTGGGGCAAGGAGGAGGGAAGGAAAGGATGTAATCAAAGTGTGAAATAAAGGGAGGGGTTGAGGATAGGTAAACGTTGAGTTTACGCTGGAGAGTATCGGAGGAAGATTGTGAGGAATGTACGATAACGTATGGAATCGTATGATGGAAGGACGAGGAAGACAGAATTCCTTGATACGTCAAGAACGGCTTTGAGTCGAAGGCATTGAGGGTGAGAGACGGAAGATGAGGAGAGGAGGAAGGGAGAGTTATAGAGGGATCTATGAGATACAGGATTTAAAGGTGAATGGAGGGAGAGTGAGGCATTAGCCGCGATGGATGAGGATAATTGGTTAGAGTTGGATCTGGCTGGATCGCGTAAGAATTGTAACGTCGGTGATAACGGGTGAGTAACGAGTAAGTGACGACGAGTAACGGTGTGATAGACGATACGATACAGTAGAGCTTTGTAATGCGAGCTTTGAAGAAAAGAGACAAATAGATAAGCAAGTAAACGGCGTGAGCGGTATTGTACCCGCGAAATCAGCCAGAAGAGAGAGAGGGAAGGCAGAAATGATGATTCAGATAACGGGCGGTGAATGGCGGTATAAGGCTTTGGGGGAAAAAGACGCAGAGTAGGATGCTTCGGTTGGAGGAGTTGATGGTGACAGTTATTGTCTAATTCATCTCCTTCCTCCATTCAAGGCCATCATTTGCTGTTGTTGTTGCAATTGCAACGCCCTCTGCGCCTGCTCTCGGAGAACAGCTTGTTGCTGGAGTTGTTGCAGCTGCTCTCGTTGATCGCGTGGCTGTGACTAGAGGGAGAGAAATCAGGAAAGAGTTAATTCGCGAGAAAGAGAGGGGCTGGGTGGAATAATGTGATTTGAGTAACGAAAGACTACAGCACATACCTGTTGTTGTTGTTGTCCCTGTTGTTGCTGTTGCCTTAAAGCAGCCTCCTTCTGCTCTTTCTCCCGCCGTACTTGGATCGCTTGCTACACAACGAAAAAAATTAAATTGGGATAAATTGCATTGATCGGTGAGCAAGGAAGTGAAACACACCTCTTCCTCAGTGCTACTGAGAGAAACATATAGCCCTCTATCAACCTCTCGGGGTATAGGCCCTATCTCCGTGCTGAGCTCGCGTTCGATGCGGTCGAGGTTGAAGCGGTCTTCGTATGTGACTAGGTTGATGGCGAGTCCGAGGTGGCCAAAACGTCCGGAACGACCTATGATACGGAGAAGAGGTGAAGAAGACGGGAAAAAAGATTAAAAAACCGTCAGAGAGCGAGTCAAACAAAGGAAAACGGCAACTCACCGATCCTATGTAAATACGTCTCTGAGTTTTTCGGAAAATCGAAGTTAATGACGACGTTCACAGCCTAAGTAGATAAGTTGGTTGTCGTCCGACGCGTGGAAGTGATGGGGAAGAGACAATGATGAAAAAACCAAAAAAATGTTAGCATCGTTTGAACGGTCGAAGAATCCGGTGATGCCGTGAACGCAAATCCGTCATAACTCATCCCGATATTAATTTGATGCGCCACCCCGAGCCATCCGCCGAAGATGAAAATAACGTAGAACCCTGCTCACCTGAATGTCGATACCCCTAGTCAAAAGATCACTGCAGACAAGATTTCTGCAAGTGCCTGAACGAAAATCGTGAAAGACACGGTTACGGTGAGATTGGAGCATCTGTTCGACGTCGTGAATGGAAAGATCAAGATACAAAGGGAATGGGTGTTGTAGAACGCACCTTTGCATGACTGTAGAAACAAGAGTATCCTAACTCTGTAATCTTTTTCGCAAGTAGTTCGACACGGTTTGTGGAGTTGCAGAAGATGATGGATTGGTTAATTTGAAGCTGTAAATCGGACAGGAGGGGGTTGGATTGAGAAGAAGAAACAAAACGATGAATCATTCCACTAACCTTGCTGAAGAGTGTATTCAAACAATGAACCTTTTGTCTTTCTTCGACGTAGGCGTAGTATTGAGTGACACCTTTCAGAGTAAGCTCATCCATAAGGTTGATTTCGTACGGGTTTTGCATGTGTTTGTCCTGCGTACAAGTAAGCAAAATTGAAAGGCTCACAAACAAGTCATGCTCGCCTTGAAGTCCTTCACAATCATCGGAAAGGTAGCACTAAAAAGCATGACCTGCCTCCCCGATCCTTCCGCTTCTGCTCCCTCCTTTGATTTTGGAAGATATCCCAACAAACTCTCCATTACTGGTCCGAACTCTGGACTCAACAACTTGTCGGCTTCGTCCATAATAAACACTCTGCAGCCTTTCCCTAGATCCGCTACACCCTTGCCAGCCAAATCCAATATACGGCCTGGTGTACCAACAAGTACATGCACAGGCTGTTGTAATCGCAAAATATCGTCTTTCAGGGTCGTTCCGCCAGTCGTGACCATGACTTCGACACCCATATGCTTCGAAAGCATTTTCGTCACGCTGGCAATCTGCAGCGCAAGTTCACGAGTTGGGACGAGGACAATGCCTTGGATGTATGGTTTCGATACGTTGATTTTGGATAAGAGAGGAATAATGAATGCAGCAGTTTTTCCCGTGCCGTTCTTTGCGCGAGCGAGAATGTCCCGGCCACTAAGGGCGGTAGGAATGGCAGCCTCTTGGATTGGTGAAGGCCGTTCGAAGCCGGCTTCGAAAATACCCATGAGCAGAGCCCTAGGTAAACCCATGTCTTCAAAGTCAATGTTGAGCGAGGTGCCTAATACATCTGACGTCTGAGGCCGTGTGTCGCGGGGTGGTGGGTTGAGTGTTGATTTCCAGTCGGATGCTTGCGAGGGGCTATATTGTCGTCAGCCAAATCTAAAGAGAAAAGAAAAAACGGAGGACGTACTTGGTATTTGCCATCTCTATGATGTCTGTTCTTTCTATCGCGTTGTCTTCGGCAACTTATTTTCGTCCGGATGTTGTAACGGATACAGCTGAATGAAGTTTTGATTCTCAGGTTTTCGAATGTCTTTTAGGTAGTCGGTTGAGCTGCGCTGTTGAAATATATCGAGGCGTAAGTCGAAAAAAGTTCTACCCCCACCCTTTCCTAATGAGGAACCATAATGATTAACCTTAACCATAATCCCACCCATGCAAAGTTGAAGATACAATGTACATAAATTATTGTAAGTGAATCTCAGGTATTTACTAGGCTCCACTGCCGTGGATGGCACCCTGCTTGGTACTGGATGCTTTTCATTACATGAAGATAATAATTTTATTGCAAGTACTACAGATACAATGTAGCATGATAATCAGTACATACATTGTATTGCAGGCATTTACAGTTTTGACATGGTGTTCTGCTGTTTCAACACCAACCTCTCTACTTTTTTGCCCAGTCCACCATCTCTGACAATGTATTTTGACCACAGATGTCTGCCAGTACCTGCATCAGTGAATGTGTCCCACAGCCCACTGCAATGCCAGCCACAATCCAATGTGTTCAATGCCTTGTTTTCCATTCTCAAAAACTGTCTTTGCACATGCAGTGGAGGCATCATATATGGACCTGTGTGTTGAGAGGAGTATTGAATTCAATGGAAGAAAATTTTGGAGGGGAAGTTGCAGGGCACATAAGAAAAGGAGTGTCTTGTGGGAAAGGTTATCATTGCAGGGAGGTATTGAGCATTGAAGAATGATACACAGAAATTTTGACTGCAATTAGTGCATATTTGGGAGCCACAGGAACAGCATCTGAAGAAAGCATCAATAGCAATGGGATAAGGGACATGATGTTCAAAGGGTAGCAAGTGTTAGCATAACGATTTGTTAGTGTAACGATTAACTTAGTTGATAGCGGAACAACTGATATTGTGTAGATACCTGTTAGCATAATGATTAACTACTGTGAACTTAGCAGGTGTGTGTCTGAATGTACTGCTGAGCTCACCTCAGTTGATAGCAGAACAACTGAGGGAGCTTGCGCATCTCTACTAGGCATTATATAGCTGGTGGTACTGTATAGTTATATGGTAAGCACAGCGTATATGTGTATGGATGGTCGGTGTAGTCATAGCTTGTCTTCTTGTATATATGTACAGAGTATGCGCCAACAGCAAGACAATACAATTTTGGGTGGCCACAGAGGGTACATGAATAATGAGATGGAGGTGGGTGGCAGCAGAGGGGTATGGAGAATTAGCATGGATAAAATGATTAATATGCTTTGGAGTTCCTACGGAGGAGTAGGAACAGTGAGTATCATGCAGAGAAGTGAGAAAGCTAAACACTGATAATGTAGAAGGTGCACCTCAATGTCAATTCAGAAAGACAAGCTGGAGGAAAAAGGGTGCAGTGCATAGACTGGAGTGTGCAGGTGTACCTGCATGAAGAGTAAAACTTTAAAATAGAATACATATTTCTGACTAGATATATGCATTTAGCTGTAATTTATGGAAGACTTGTCCATATGAATGGAGGCCATTTCTTGCTTATGTGAGATTTCACCATATATAGGTCAATAGTCACAGCAAGATGAAATCCAATTTATTTGAACAGTGACATCAGGTGGTTTAATGCATGTGATATAGTGGCTTGTGTAACTTTTCTTAAATTCTTTCTTCCACATGCAATTGCAGGCCTGTTAAGATCATATACACTGGAAAGCCATGCCAAGGGCCATTCAGTGTTTAAGCACAGAGGGTTGAATGGGACAGTAGTGAAATTATTAACAACACCACTGTCTTGCCGTTAGTCCTTGGAGCAAGGGTGTAGGGATGAAAGACAAGAGGAATGAGGAGCAGCAGTGACACTGACACGCCTAAATTTTGGCTAGACGTCTATGCTGTGAATTGTGACATTTTCACGTATAGATTCGTATCAAGAGGACTGTAATTGAGACCCAGATTGACAGTTAAAGTCAATACTGAATCAGTCTAATAAGTTGAAGGGACCATATACCCATACTACCACAAGTTGGTTAGTTTACCCATCCCCGATACTACCTTCAGATAGCAGTCTACCTGTTTGTCAAGCAGGATTATACCAGACTTGGACTACATCTGAAGGATGACCATTCACATATGACATACCAAGGGTATTCTTATTGGACCTTACACTAGCAGGAGTTTGGAAGAACTTACTCAAGTGACCATGAGCTGAGGATTGACTCAAAATGACTTTCTAGAACTCAGGAATTATCAAATACTCCTTCTAGGACGAGATCATGCATTAATCTAAAAGACTGCAATTTAGTCTAATAGACTAATCAGGTTGCATGGTTGAGGAAAATGACTAGAAGAATGATTGAAGTACTGCGAGGCTCCGATGACACGCCTAAATTTTGGCTAGACGTCTATATTGTGAATTGTGACATTTTCACGTATAGATTTGTATCGAGAGGACTGTAATTGAGACCCAGATTGACAGTCAAAGTCAATACTGAATCAGTCTAACAAGTTGAAGGGACCATATACCCATACTACCACAAGTTGGTCAGTTTACCCATCCCCGATACTACCTACGGATAGCAGTCTACCTGTTTGTCAAGCAGGATTATACCAGACTCGGACTACATCTGAAGGATGACCATTCACGTATGACATACCAAGGGTATTCTTATTGGACCTTACACTGGCAGGAGTTTGGAAGAACTTACTCAAGTGACCATGAACCGAGGATTGACTCGAAATGACTTTCTAGAACTCAGGAATTGCCAAATACTCCTTCTAGAACAAGATCATGCATTAATCTAAAGGACTGCGATTTAGTCTAATAGACCAATCAAGTTGCATGGTTGAGGAAAATGACTAGAAGAACGATCGAAAGACTGCGAGGCTCCGAAGACATATCAAATGAATGTCAAAGAGTCCTGACGTAGAAAACATTGAAGAATGCAATTAAATGAATACTATGCGTAACTCCCTTGATAGAGTATAGGCACAATGGGTGTCTGTTGAAAGAGAGAAGCAATTAGTTTAATCCAGATGAATCAGATTGATAGGATTAGAATCGAGGAGAGCTGATTTGCCTCCGGACGAGATGACAAACGATCGAAGTAAGTGTTGAACTGCAATGACAGTTGAACACCATTCGAGTCATTCTCTAAAAACAATTAAATTAAATGAATATTGAAGTACCTACCTATGTTTGGAGGCATACTAGAATCTTGGAACCAATATGGGCCAAATAAGGACATGTAGATTCAAATTAAATGGTACCTGACCGATTGTAGAAGTTTCCTTGCGGTTCCAAACGTTTATTGTATTAAATTAATTGTACTGTGCGATTCTATATTCTGTATGTATAAATAGCGATCCGATGTATCTGGAATACAAGTGATTTTGGGATGACATTGCAGTGCTAATCTGTAAAAAGGAAAGACACACTCCCGCCAGACTGCAACCTCTTCGCTAGCAGCCATTCGGGCCCGGCACTTGTGAGTATAGGAACATTGTGTTCTGCTCCTTGTGACTGCGAGAAGTATATCCAGTTGTTGGGTATTCTTCGAACTTAGGATCAGTCGTTGGTCTTAAGGGCAAATCACGCTGTGTGGTTGTGCCAGCACATAGTTCTAGCCCTCCGTAGGGGTCTGTGTGTTTCGGTTTTAATTTACTTTGATTCAAAACCCCAATTCTTGATATACCCATATCAATACAATCAAAGCACAAATCATGCTGAATCTACCTTAATCAAAGGAATATACCGAATCCTTAGAACAATTCAAATTGATTGATCGAAGCTTCTTACTTAGCTCTCAAAGCTTTGCGGAACCTTTGCCAATGCTACCCCTTGCTATTAAATAAATTTGATAGCAGTGAACTCGCATATTGTGTATTAGATTGGTTGGTTGGAGTGCTCATTAGATTCCTTCCTTTCTCTTTCACACAAAAACAAGGCAAGCTCGTTAATGCTGATGATGAGGAGCAGACCAGAGGACTATAAGTTTTAAGATTGAAGTTGAGAGTGCTCAAGGGAGTCTTAAGACTTCAGAGGACAGAGAGTATTGATCTAAGATGATAATTAAACTGAAGAACTAGAGTATGGTACAGGAGTATTTATACCAGCTAATTGGTGTATTGGGGCAGAGAGCTAGACTAGCTACTAGGGGTTGTATACTTAGTGTCTTCATGGTAGAAAATAAGACAATAAAAATAAACTAGGGAGAAAGGGAATGTGTAGCGAGAAAGGACAATAAGAAGGATAACAATAAATGATAGATTTTGGAGTACTGAGCACTAGAGCATGATGCTGAGGCATGGTCTTGACAAGGACACTGCACCACTGTGCGTGGCAAAAACCTGGCTCCTTTCTTGGTGCCTTCCAGGTGCTGATAGTGAATTCTTTTGAGAAAGGCAAAATAAAAGCAAATCTACATAAACTATTCGATGGAGTAACAGGGAGTAACTGAGTGAGAAAATAAGTGTAACAGAGTCACAGTTCCATGATATCCCATGCCAGTCACAAGAAATAATACAATTCAACTCAGTATTACTTTTGTTCAAATAAGGAGAAATTCCCACCATAAAAGGAAATTGGTTTTGCATGGAGTGCCATATATAAGTGTTGGGAAAGTACTCTGTACATACTGACAGCCTCTCAGGGACCATATAACCATGAGACAGTGCTATTACCTGATACTATACAGTTTAGATATATCACACAGTCGGTGGCACCAACTCACCTCAGTTGCTACAGTAACAACTGAGTTTAATTTATTCTAACAATAAGGATGATACTGGATGGATTCCTGTCAACCTTTGCCCAATAATCTGAGTAAATAATTTTTGAACTGGTCTGATGCAACAGACAGACAGTTGATGCGCTGTTCACTTATCCCAGTAAGCAAGTGCAAAACCCTCTAGGGAGGGGTCCGGACCCTTCTGTAGATGGTTCTGCTTGAGTTCTGCTCAAAATCTGTTGATCGGACTAGTTTGCTTAGGACATTAGAAATAATTAGAAATAATTACTGTCCAATAATCCTTATGGGAAGTCACTTCCGTGAACTCCAGCCTCATAATTGCTGGTGTAGCAAAATTATCTCAGAGGTAGCTGCAATACCCTTTGATGCAATTGTGCATCTTTGTTGTCATGTTAGTAGTTGGCACCCAAAGGGTGCCCAAATGTAATACATTCAATAAGTAATGTTATTTTAGAAAACCAGCTGAGTTTATGCCATGCACACAGTGCAGTGGCCTGCAATCCCATATGGCTAATGCAAGTGAGAGTGGAAATGAACATAATCATTTTGGGAGGACTGGTAGGAGGAACACATGAGAAAATACATTCGAGCAATAGATATGATACATAGAAGAGGAAAAATAATGTGGCTAGGGGTGAAGTAGAAGCTATAAAGTAGTATAAGACTGGAAACAAATAATGAGAGAGAGATTAGTGGTGTTTGGCAATTTTGAACCAAAATAAACAGACCTAAACATGACCAACATGTGCCTGCACAAAATAATCTAAATTCCGGAGTGCAATAGACCTTGCAAGCAAGGTGACTATTGACTGACAGTCATCCGAAAACTTCGCCGTGCATACTACTACATAGCTGCTACTAGACTCTACTTCGACAAAGGAAAGGAATTATTTGTTTACGGTTAATCAAGGTGATTGAATAGCAGTGCCTACTCCTCTTGAGCTTTGTCTACGCTCCTCCGTCGGGTGCAACAGTGCTAAGATGCAGCCTGAAACAGCGCGAATTTAGCTGGGTTCGATGGAGAAATTCGTTTGAGGGTCCCGATCTAGGGAAAACAAAGGTATAAAAAAGGACCTGACATTGCCTTTGCATCCCCACAGAGCTGGACTCATTGTCTTTGACACACATCAACTCAAACCCAACGTCGTCGGGACGATCTCTCTGCCTTTCTCACATACCAAAAACTGCGATGGTTTACACTTATTCTGTGCTTACTGCCGTCTTTGTAGTCGGAGTCGCTTCTTCCGCTCTTGCTTTGCCTGTTCAAGGGTCCGTCTGGACTTGGATCTCACGATAAGGTTTATTTCGTTCCTCTTCATTCGTCGATTTGTCCTAACTCCTGATCCCTACCTTCGTAGCGCTCACAAGAACCCAGTAATCATCAGACCCCTACTGTACTTGCTCGCCGTGCGTCCTTAGACGCACGTGGTGGAGACAATCCTTCCGGCTCTGGCTCCCAAGATGCCAAACCAAAATCAGAATTGTTTACGTCTGGTTCTAACAATGTCAATGAGGTAGATTTGTCCAAATCCCCGGCCCTCGAGAAAGGTTTCAACTTGCTCAAAAATCTCCGCAATAAGCAACACTTTGAGCCAGGTGCCCCTTTTCCTCGCGTCGGTGGTCATCTTGATAGATAGTCTAGTAATAATGCATCGCCCTCCGACTCGGACAAACGCGCGCGCCGTAATTACTTCGATGTTCGGGATACAATCTCTGCCACTAGTGGCTCTGACGCTCCCCTCATCATTTCGCCAAAGACTCCTGCAGAATCAGTTTTCACCGGGACGGTGGAAGTGGGTAGTCCCTCCGCGAGCAACGCTGGCCCTATGGGTCCGTTCGAACTCACGGGCCCTGCGGAGTCGGCCTTGCCTCATGGCGGACACCACATTCGTTCCTACGGCGAGGACTTGGATTAGGCTGCTAAGGCCGGGAAGTCGTCTCCATTTTCTTTGATCTCCCGTGTCTTGAATCGCGTTTCATGATCGCCGTTACTCATTTGCATGCCATCATATCTCTTCTTCCTTACACCTTGTGAAAGATCATTGCGTTCACGACAATGAGAAAGTCCCACACAATCTGTATGTAACTAGTTAGTAGGTATTGTGAATGTTCCTTGGGCAACAAACAAATTAGAGAGGTGTGCTGTTCTATCGCTAGTAAACGTAAGGAACGACAATCAACGGTAAATTGTAAATATCCAAGTTGTGTTAATTCACTATAAAGCCATACTACATCTCAACGCCTTCAGATTCTTCTCGAGTCTCGAACGCAGAACAGCCATTATCACAGGGTATCCATTGAAAACGATGGAGCCACCGTATCCTTTCGAAGAATGGATGTTAACTGTGTTGAAGAATTCGAAAGACGTTTCGAATTCAAATTGAAACTGTTTGCAGGTGTGGAGGCATTGCTGGAAGTCAGCTGAAACTTTGGGAGGTCTTCTAACGGAGTGCAAAGATAAGTGCTCAGCTCCCTGCTTATCACAGCGAATATTCTTTGCGGAGTACTTAGAGCTCACCTAACACACTGTTGAATTCAGTTCCCTTCACTGTCAAGTTTGGATCAAGGATAATATCAGTGGTAGCAGCCTCGTCGCGCCATCCTGATACAAACAGAAAGTTGCACAGGACGGTCAGGGAGTATATGCGTCCCATGCAATAGACGATTGACATATATCCTATGCCCCGAAATAATAAGAGTAAGGAAAGGAGAGGAGCAAATTTGTTGTATATTGCTCGAGGACACTTGCTCACCATTGACATTTACAGCCCACATCACCAACAACAACATTGAAGATATTGCTGTGATACTTCCATAGCCTACGACGTAAATACATATTTTTCGGAGCAACCTTGGATTTGGGAAGAAGTCGTTATCTTTCATCGAGCCTTTATTTCTGATGATTAACATAAGACCCACCGTCGAGTGGATAGCTGACGAGCCTTCACAGACTTTAGTTTCCACACAAGGACAAGGGCTAATGAAATGTCTGTCACGGTAATGATAAACGACGAGACACTACCACGTATGCGCATGAATTCACAACCATCTGCCCCACTCACTGGCGCAAAATGTACTTACAATGGTGCGTCCAGCTTTTGCAATACAACGGAGTTGTTTCCCGTCGGAATGAACGCAGCGTCAATGACCAAGATAAACACGAACTGTTCAGTGGTCCAACCACAGACACGGCCTAGGGTCAGCCACAACGACACTGTGTTCAAATTGTAAGAACGAACATTAGATAATATCAGCACGGCCAGCATGCATGTAATGATCCAGTCCTTCGATCTGTATTCGGTTTTTGTTAATATGAAGAGAACGGGCGAATGACGGAATGGTAAATAATAAATATACCCACATTGTCCAATAACGGTGCAAAAAGTACATCTGCTCAAACGTTGTAGCAAGAGTAGTTGTCAGGATCCATATAGCTGTGGGCCAAAGACGATTGTTTGAGGACATTGACTGCGAAGAACTCGAGAGTCGGATGATCTGGATTGAATCCATACCAAGTGCCCGATCATCAATCGACAATACGAAAATTAAATGAAGAATGAACGTTCAACACTCACAAGATACGTGTCCAAACACAACGCAACCGTACATATCGTATCATTTACCAGCGCCCCAATTATGAACCACTTTGATCCCATTCTCTTGGATCTAGTGCCTTCCCTGGCCCAGCTTGTATCACCATTTAAGCGCAGTGTGGTATTGGCTGGCCCGCTCATGGATTTGTCTGTATTCATGCAGCACCACCCCATGCAGTAAGCGCACAACACAACCTCAACGCCGTACAAGCCCATATTGACCCACGACGCGAAGAGAAGAGCTCTGAATACATCGGGACACAGCCATGGAAATTGAGTGATAACGAAGGGATAAATGGACAAGCAGGGCCCGCAAATGATGGAGAGGATACGTACGTGGCAGATAATTGCTTCATGTCGCTTTGATGAAGGGAACCTACCATCTCTTCGTTTTTTGCAGTCAATGAATGTAGAACGTCCTAGACAGTGGTAACGCCCAGAAGCAGTTCCGATTTACTTCTGCCGCTGTTAAAGCAGGAACAAAATGCTGTCGAACGAGAGGAGCCCTTAGAGGAAAGAAAAGGAAAAAAAGACAGGAAAATATAGCGAACCTGATCGGTTTATGTTACCTGATAGTTACTTACACGCCGTATCATCTCGGAGGCAATTACAATACAATTTAAAATTCCAGGCATAAAACCATTTAGCTCTCCAAGTATTTATACTCTCTCTGGTTGGATCGGTCTTGACGAGAAGTAGTTGGGTCAGAGTGGAAGCGTCGTTACAAATGCGAAGGAAATTGTCAGCTGTTACAGCCAGGTTACAGCTATCCACAAGTTTCCACAGCGCACGCACGTTCCCGTGTGACATTTCCTTTATTATAGGCTCCACTGTCGTGGACCACACCTTGCTTGGTAAATATTGTAGATTTAAAATGCGGCGCGCACAGGGCACGCCGCGAGTGGGTACAGGACCTCCATATGTTCAGAATCTCATGTAGATGGAGAATGGGCGAGTTGTTGTGGAACCTTCAAAACGAAACAAGTTCAAAGTGTGCCTGCACATCAAGAAATGTCCAATTCCGGGGTAGAATAGACCTTGCAAGCAAGGTGAAGTTCTCTGCTTATCAAGGGCGTACTAATATACGCGCGGATATGACGACTATTCTAGTTATCTTGGTCTATACCAGGTCTACATATACTCAGCTCAGACTCAACAGGACTCAACTTGGTGTTCCTAATTTCGATCGAGTCTTGCCTTGACCACTTGAAAACATCATCATTTTCTCTCCTCCGAGGTCGACGGTCTCTATATGCGGCAAGCTTCCAGATAAACTCCAATGAACCACTTGGTGGGCGAACAGAGATTGGGTAATTGGGATCTTACCTATCATAGGGCAAGTCGGGCAAAGAAAACTTGGTCTTTATGAGAGAAAAACGGAGTTGGATAGAAACAGTGAGAGTAAAAATCCTATGTACAGTACCCTACAGTACCTGCAGTTCACTTGGCACACAAAGTATACGCTTGAGATATTACAATGGCGGTATATTCGTCGTTAGGAGACGCCGCCTCAGGACAAATTGATCCAAGCTTATTTCCGAGTGAGTAGGACTTGCTTGGCTTGGCTTGGCTTCTCACCGTGACTCCACGGAGGATTGCAGGATGGAGAGCAAGGCGTACAAAAAATGCGAGAAGAGCCTGAGATGCAGGAACTACCAATTAAACGAAACATATGGACCTTTCAAGTAACAGTGGTAGAACGACTAGGTACAGTATTGTGATGGAAGCAAGAAAATATTGGTACATAGTACAGTATGTACATATAGTGCAAAGTAGTGGCTTGGCTGGAATATTGATAACAATGTGGTTGTGGTAGTTAGTACAATGTGAATACAGGAACAGCATGATACATAAATGGGCAAGATTATCAACGTCCATGAATGTATTTTATGAGCAGAGGTAAGAATCAACGGAGATGTAGGAAAGAGAACCAAATCGGAGGGAAGTAAGGTTGAAATCAAGTAGGATTGTAGCATGATCAGTGTGCAGGCGCAGACAGGGAAACGGTAGTCAAGAAATTTAGGAAGTTTAGGATTTTGAGCTTGAGACTTATGTAGCCGATCCTAATATTTAGGCTCGCGCCTGCTCAAGATCGTCATTAGACCCTGTATGCTTCCTTCTCTCGCCCGGTCTAGAGCAACGGGCTGATTGCACTCGCTTCTGCCAATCGTTGGGGAGCTACCAGCAGAGGCAACGATCGTTGCGCTAGCATAGTAGTGGATGTGAACTGTGTATTTCTTCACATTCTTGTGAGGCTTGGTCGGGCTCTGTGTTATGCTCGTCTTGCTAGTAGAGGCAGAAGCGGTGTCAAGATTGAGACGTTTCGAGGGATATGAGTGATAAGGAGATGACGACGCTGGCTTAAAAATCGGTGTAAACGTTGCTGACGTTGGCGTCGAAGGAGGAGATATAGGTTGTACAGGTGGACCACTTATCCTACACGTCCATCTGTGGGTTCACAGTCAGTAATCAATATTGAATACAGTTTGAGAAAAACTCACTCTTCGGAATCCAGAACAATTTTTCTTCCACTTCCAAAACCCATGCCGATACCCGCACGGCTCTCGACGACCTCTACCAGGCTCACCCTCGTCATGCGCAAAAGAAGAGGTAAATTGACGCCTCCAGAGCACACGAACGTATCTTTGTATGTAAATGGCTCCGCCTGGTGATCTGGAGCTGTTTGCAAAGTCCGCGGAGAACCAGAAGAGCACCGCCACGTTAAATGATTCCTCCGCGTCATGTTCTTTATGGGAGAAGCCATAGGCTGAGCCGCCTCGCTTCCGGCTTTCTCCTCTTCAGATGAGCTGGACGAACTGTGACTGGACGCATCCGAAGCACGACGGTGGTGGCTCGGGATGTGACTCATAGCATGCGCGCCTTGACGAATTTTGACGATGAGATTCGAAGCCACGTTGACTACAGCGGGTCTGGTGGTTTTGGAAGGTGAGGAGGAGGATCGATTCATTCGAGGGGCTGAGACCAGTGGGGATGAAGGTGATGGATGTGAAGACGGTGATTGATTGGTGGGAGGGTATGTATGTGCGTTGCGGAGAGACGTCGGTTTTTGGACCGGACTCGAACTAGACGGTTGAATGACTGGAGAAGCGGTCAAGGTGGAGGGCATCATGGAAAATGGTCGAGGGGGAGTTTTCGAGTATGGGTTGTATTTATGATCACTGAAAGAGATAAGAATTAGGTAAAAAGGGATACTTGTTATTCGGATCTCACCTACAAAGAGTTTACTTGAAACAGAGGCAGGAAAGATTCATTCAATGTAGAAAGGATCAGGAGGTTGAGGTCAACACAGCTGGACACCTGCACCTCAAAGTGACCGGCTATAAAAGAGAAAGGCAGAAGCGGACTGCAAGAATGACTCCAGTGATGCTCTGTGGCGCAGCCGCGCTGTTAGCACGTTGTTTGTACCGTGGGGTCCGGAGAAGCAACCTGCTCCGTGTGATCCGGCCTTCTGCCGTTGCTTCAAACGATCAAAAGTGGACGCAGAGGCACGCTGCGCAGTCTAATCTTGTGTGAGGAGAGAGCGCAACAAGCGAACTCACAGTGTAATCACACTATGATCCCCTCTTGTCGGTAACTAAAGCAAAAAAGGACTGAACCTATGATTGAGGTAGCGCTACGATCTCAGAACTCTGTGGCTGCGGCGCATACACCAAGTTACATGCGCTGTAATTGAGGTGATCTCGAGTCGCCTAATCGAAGGAAGGTCTGGTGTTTGAGAAAGATAGAACCAAAGTATTTGAACATCGAAATCTCTATAGACGCGGTCCCAGGTCCGCTCAAACGCCGCGCTAGTTCTGTACATCGGTCCTCACCCTTATCCGACTCGCCTAAAATAGCGTGTAAATTTGCGAGAAAGCTCATGTAGCTGGGTGATCAGCTCTACGTCTCATCAACGGAGAGGACGTGGGACCGTGAATGGTTTCGAGTTTCTTTGTGATGGAAGGGCAAGGATTCTGGTTTCAAATCACGAAGGCCATTGGTATTGTAGAATATCGTCTTGGTAAGACTGTGAGAAACACGGGCTCGAACTGCGTAGGAAAGCTTGGCGTCTTCAGAGCATGAGATAGTAGGTGATGCAGACAGGTAATGGCGTAGGAGCCCTAGTGAGGATATCATGAGTCTGTATTCCAAAACCACGTCAAAATGGACAAAAATATTGACCCTCAACTCAGGTTCAATGACCTTCGTTCACGGTCTGCTCATCGTTGCGAGAGTTGGGAGGAGTAACTCGCGAGATCGGATTCCGGACATATGCATAGACGTCGACAACCAAGATATCAGGCGTGCTATTATCGAGGTTTGGTTGAGACGGAACTAATGTGCCAGTTGCCATTTTGTGAAGAAAATGTTTTGTCGAAGCATGAATGAAATATATGAACCAAGTGGATCAAAAGAAGATGCGGCTCCCGCCGAGTTCGATGATGGATTCAAGGCACGTGGCATTAGCTTCCAATACTCATCTCCAACAGCAGTCAACAGCGCACACACCTATCATTTTCATGCCCTGTGCGTCTATATGAGTAAAATCAAGGCGGTAACGATGCTGTCTTCGAGCGGGGACTTGCAAAGAATTGCCCCTTTAAATATCAGTATGATGAATGTCGCGGCGACTTTGCCCATTTTCCGTGCGTTTTTGGTTTTTGCCTGGTTTTTGCGATCGTCAGAAGACTTACGTGTAATTTCACATGTGCCACAATTATCAGATTGTTCAGCGAGTTTAGGTATATGTTTAATTCAAGTAATCATTGCAAGAATATGGGTATACAAGGTGGAATTATTGTTCTGAAATGTATATCCTACGGAGCTCGCTGACTTCTCCAATTTCGTCGCAAATAGGACACGCCTCTGTGTACTTGTATGCCCCAATAATACATGGTGCACAAAATATATGCCCGCAAAGCGTGGTACATATCGTGCCGCAGTCTTTTTCTTCGCACATTGGGCACTCGAAATGGTGGGAAAGATGTTCTTCGTCATCTTCATCAACCTCATCGTCAGAGTTGGAAGCATAATCGTCAAGAGATGGTTCCGAGGGATCCATGAGGTCTTCCTGGTCTTCGAAATCCAGGTCGTCCCAGATTTCCCAAGAATTATCGTCATTAACCCCTAATTTATGGGCTTGTGACTCGGCAGGAACGCCGTCTGGATAACGATCCATGCCACGATCGTCTTCCCACCCGTCATAGTGTTCGGATTCGTCGCTGCACTCATCCTCGTCGTCAGAGTCATCGCCGCCGACGTGAATTTCGTCGATATGGTATTCCAATCCTACAGCAGTATTGAAATGTTTGTTGCAATCAACGCAATAATAATGATATTTGGCAACGATCCAGTGCTGGAAATGGGAGGTTAGCTATCAAGAAGGAGCTTAATCATAAAAGATGAAAACTCACGTTACGGAGAGCATTGCGATCCTTGAATCGACGATCGCAAATGTGGCATTGCGGGTGATCATCAGAAGATTGGATGTGTCGGTCGCGGTCGTTGTGATCCGCAAAGTACATGTCGTGAAGGACACAGTATGCATAACCGAGAGTAGCCATTGTGAGTTTTAAGTGTTAAGTTCGGCAACGGGTGTGGATGTGGTATGAATTCAAGTTTGTTGACCACTTCTGCTAACGAGGCCCTTCATTTATAGATTTTTCTCAACTGAGTCGGGGGTATGAGACCTAAGTCGAGGACTATCGGGGCTCTCAATTCCGGGTCTCACTGGCGAGTGACGAAAAGCCCCTTTTCCGACCCTCCTTTCTACCCCTTCAGTAATCATGACACTAGGATGCACTGTGTTCACTCCGAGTCGGGGGTTACTCGAGTGTAGCTACCTCAGGGAACAGAAATGACGAAATACAGCCTATAGCTAGCCTCCCCGAATTGTCGGAAGGGGAGAGCTAGGAGGTGAGTATTTTTTTTGGAATGTTTCAGCTATTGACTGTGAATACGCCTGTGTCACGGACGACTCGGTCGAGCTTCAAACTTCAGTAACTTATTCTCCGTCCTTTGAACTTCTATAGGGAATGGCCTGGTCCAAACTGAATTTATTTTTACTACCACCTCGGCTCCTGCAACGTCAGGCCGAGTACTAGCTGACACGTGCGATTTTTCTTTTTATACTACATTCAAATATTCAAGTCTTGGCCTTCCACACTTCAAGTATACGCTCAATTTCTCTTACTCATGCCCATTCTGTTCGTTCGAAGCTGCCCCCTGACTTCGTGAAATGGTTATGAAATAGTGAAAAACCGAATTGAGGTGTATGAAACATTACCTAGTGTTCAAGTCGCTGGCGGGATTCTTCTTGATGTTACCTATACCTCCTCGGCCTGTCGATAACATATGTCGTGAAGGCGACGTTTGGGAAGGCGATCGGACGTTTGAGGTATCTACCCGCTATTGTAATGGATTAAGTTTTAAGACTGCAATCGGTTCAATGTTGATGTTACGAACCGAGGGAACGAGGGTTATAGCATCGGAATCGAACTTCTGCTCCTGAGAAGGTGCACGAATATTGCCTGCACCTCCACGTCCTGTGCTACCAGCAAAGGGCTGGGACATATGAGTTCTCTTTCGCAGAGATTCAGGGTACGAAGAAACGTACAATTCCTGTTGGCACTTCTGATGGTCTGGAAATATCTCTTCCTCGAATTGGGGACACTGATTGCTCTACGACGGCATCCTCTGGAACGGATGCTACGATGTTTCCGATTCCTCCTCTTCCCGAGGAGCGCTAAATGAAGTTCCGTCAGAGATGTAGCTTTGACAATAAAGCTGTATGTTACGGACACGTAATCCCTCTCGCCCTCTCGAGACTGAGCGTTCACCTATAGCCCCTAATCAAACTAATTAGCTTCGAAAGTCCCATAATGGTTTTAAATGGTTGAATAAAGAAGAAACACGATGCCGACGTGATAGAGATAAGGATTTGCGATAAGGGATATATTCCGTTCTTGAACTTCTTCCACCATCATCTACCTTTAATTTCAAAGAAAAAGCTATCTCACCTTCAACAGAGACCACTGTCGCGGAAGAACTGGTTAAGGAATCGTTGTCAAAGTCTCTTGCTGAACGTTCTTCACTGCGACCTCTGCTTAGCGCCCGGTTGATCCTGGCGCCTATAGAAGATATTTGTTCAGACAACGACCTCTTCTCTTGATTAGGTGAGCTCGATGAGGAGGAAGAAGTTCGTCTGTCGGCGTTGTTCATGGCTGTAGACTAGATGTCCGGCGTATGGTAAACGTTCAAGAAGTCAACTAGGCGATGATGACGGCGTTCTGGTCTTTTTAAACCGGGCGGTTCTCAACATTTCTCAAGGAAATTGCGTTTGTCAACCCACCATTATTGGTCACGTTCATGCCCACAATAGGACAGCATTCAAACCATCAAGCAGAGAAATCATTTGGCCTCCGCACATTCCAAATCGGTCAGAATTACATAGGAAGGAACATCGGCCTGGTGATCTTGTTCACGGTGTTTCAAAAGCTCTTTTTGGTTCTTGCTGGACTCCTTAGCTATCTCTGGCCATCCTTCCGAAGCTCTATGACACACATGAACAGATTAGTCGGAATTTTTGCGTGCTTTGGCAACTCCAATTGACCGCCAGGGAAATCATCATCACCTCGGCCCATCGTTGCGCGGTTGGCACCCTCCTGTTGGTTCTCTTTTGAATATGGAATCTCCTGGCCAGCCGTGGACCCTTCGGGTGCTCAGGCATAACTCTGAAAGGATCACATGCGGTATATTTCGCCACTTCAAAGCCTAGTTCGCCAATGTTTGGTGTATAGGAAATGCCTTTAGGCATGCAAGGATATATCCTGTCGTATGAGGCGTTGCCGGCCGCTCATACCCGTTCATCGCTCAAGAAAACACGTTCGTTTGAAACCGTGCGTGCCACGGTATAGCCTTCATCCTTTTCTTTTAACCTTACGACCCGGTGGCACCATAAAGATGTGCCTATTTCCCCCAAAAAAGCGGAAAAAACCCGGTGTTTGCCGCATCCATTGCGATTTTTTGTACGAATTCTAGCTCTTTCGCAGCTTTTTCGCGGTTACCTCTTTTCCAAGTGAAGCTTACCTGTCGCCGTTCTACCTTTGTGGCCATGAACACTCGCTCTCACTCTCACTCTCAACCTCACCTGGAAATTGTAAATCAAAAAGTGCGTGTATGTATACATCAGAGAGTCGCAAATGGAATGGAATGAGCGATTGTTCTAGTGCATCACCATTTATTTTTGCTTGAGAACTAAAAAAAAAACAGCAAAAGTTTTTACTCCTGCTAAACCCTACCGCTGAAAAAAGACGAAATTCCCGCTACCTCTTTAGAGGTTGAAGGGTGAGCGAGCTTTTTGATTTTGCGATCAAATGGCTCACCACGTGTATTTTAGTAAACACTTTTTAGTCATTTCGTAAACTTACTTCTACATGCCTCTACGATTTATTCTCTCTTCTATGAGATTGACAAATGGTCTTTTGTTTTATTTATTCTATGTACTGTAGTGTTTACAATGTATGCTAATTTTGTTTATTTTACTGTAGATGCTTTTGTCAATGGCACTCTTAGGGGCACTGGAACCCAATACGGCCATATTGTTAATGTTAGTTCAGACGCATTCGCTCGCTCTACAACTGAAATGTAATAACAATAAAACCAGACCGTTGACTGGGTAGCGGGCCCTGCCGCTCGCCGGCGCTACTTGGTTATTGAAACATGAGGGTCATTATGTATCAATTTTCCACGTTCCCTCGTATTCCTCATTTCAGATGCTCTTCCTTCATACATCCATCATTCAGGATTATCCGACTTCAAATATAGCCCCGCCAATTTTGGACGGAATAAAATAACTCTTGTGAAGATTAACAACTTGAAGATGTTTGGAACCCGAATGGACTCCGACATTTAAATTCAGGATGCTACTACTTATAGGGTGGGTGATAATGTGCTAATTCCAATTTACACCTTCTTTCTTTTATGGCGCTCATAACTATCTCATACTCCTGTGTTACGAGGAAATTGGTCCAAATCCGAGTGTCGACAAGTTGCATCACTTGTGGGAAATAGGGTCCAGACATGAGTCAATCACAAAGGCATCCGCATCATCTTGTCGTCCTCGAAAAAGTTTCTCTGTCTGGCCACCCATGGATAAAACCGTGAGGCAACACCCGGATATCCGCATATAACGAGTTTTTCGATGGGTGTTGACTCTCAATTATTGCGAGTCACCCAAGTTCTTTTGCTGATCAAGGTCGTGCAACCTGCGTCTACCCCACCATTTCGACACTCAGACCTAGGCTGCTCATTCACAGTTGCTTCCTTTCAGGTGCTTTAGATCATAAAATTCTATCCTATCCGTGGTCCATTATGCGTTTGGATTATTTGATCGCCCATTGTGGCTCTGGTGTACTCTCTGCAGTGATCTCTGAACTTCCGATACCCCTGTGAGTGCCCAGTGATCACACATATATATCACTTTATCCATCCTTTTCACCCTTAATACTGAGACTCTCCACGACCGTACATATCTCAAGTTCAAAGACCACACGCCTGAGGATCACACTGTGTAAAGGTGCTGATACTGGCGAAGCCTAATCGAGTCAAATACGATCAACTTGGTAGGACGACCTGCAATTTAATTTTAATATCCAAGGCCTTAGTGAAGTTGTGATTGCGAGGTGGTGGTGCTTCGTAGTGACTACGTCGCCGAGGGAAATTTTCTTTCGGATTAAGAGTGCCACGAAGACGAGAGCGGTTGTTTTGCGGCGAAGAGGAAATACATAGCGGGTGGATGATCCCTTTTCGCGCTTTGAAATTCTGATAACTCCTCACTGCTTTATTTTTTTCAATTGATGCCTTCTATGCAAGTTCGACGACGGGCAGAGTTTGTGGAGAATGTGTGGATGTTGAATTTTGAGTGTTGAACGTTGAATGTTGAATTTTTGATTGGACTGCGGGTCCGTGCGCAAAGATGAACAGTATGTACTAAAGTTGGCAAGTCTAAACTTGTATTATAGACTAGCGTAATTTTACTGGGGAAGAAACACATGTCCGACTGATATTACAAGACAATCATAGTGCTACAATACATTCGGTTCTGAGCGACGCAAAGAAAAACAAATCATTCAATGTTTCACATCTCTCCGTTGACCTTTGCATACGCCTTGGCCTTCTTATCCTCATATACATCGGACGCATCATTTGCTTTCATCCCCGCATAGTTGTTCCCCTGAGCGTATTTTTCGTTCACATAAACTTCTGTATCCTTTTTACTCCCAACCAAAACCTCCCACACTCTCGCCAATTGCACCTCAACAGGCCCAATGACGTTGTCGTCTAAAAGCTCCTTGAGACGGTTGACGACTCCCTCAGCAGCAGAAGTACTTTGGACCCATTTGATTCTGGTTTCCTTTAGGAGCTCGGAACGGGATTTGGGTAGGGAGAAAATTTGTTGCGATGATGAAGGAGACGAGGAGGCGGAAGAAAAGAGTGTGTGTTCGCGGAGATATGCGCGGAGGCGGGCGTCTGGCCAAACGAGATATGGGGCGATGGCGGCAGAGGCGGCAGAATATCTACGGATCGGGTATATGTCAGAAAATTGCCTTTGCCTAGAAGAATATGAGGCTTACTTGTTATAAAACATACTGATGAGCTCGTCTCTCTTCACCTGAGCATCACTACGCATGTATCCCTTCTCAATCAACCAAGCGCGCATCTGTGATTCTGTCCACGAAGAACTCAACGTCGACTGAGCATGCGCATAATTATCCTGCACCAATTTGCGCATCTTCTCCGTCTGAATTTCTGCGTCGCGTTTCACGATGCCGTTATCGACCAACCACGCCTTCAGGTCACTGTCGGACCATGTATTCCAAACACGTTGAGATGTGTTGTAGTAATACGTGCGCATTAAATCGAGGTATTCGTCTCGGGAGTGTTCGATAGGGGAACGAGTGTCGATCAGGTTGTGCGATGCGAGCCATTCGCGCTGAGTAACTAAATTTAACAAAGTGCCAACAGAAGATTTGCATTGGCTTACCATATAACTATCACCCCACGTTTCCCAAATATTTCCTTGGGCACTATTATATCCATCCTTAACAAGCGCAACTAACTCGTCGCGCTTCTTGCCAGCAGCCGTACGGTCATCAATGACGCCTTTCTGAACGAGATACTTGCGAAGCTGGGTATCATCCCATGTAGACCACACGTAATCCTTCGTGTCATCTAAAGGATGCTGGGGAAGCTCAGCAGTAGCCTGCGCAACGTATGAGACTACCGCCGAAGAGGCAGATGAAGCAGCAGTATCCACCGTAGAGGAGGCTTGAGACATCGCTGAAGACACTACACTCGAGGCGGAACTTCCCATACTGCTCGCAGAAGCATCGAAGTTCGCTTTGGCATCCTGCCAATCTCTCCATCTGCGTTTAGCTACCAGTACGATTTCTTCTCTGGGACCCTTGGGAGCGACGATTCCCTGTTCCAACAGCCATTCGCGAAGACGAGATTCATCCCAGGCATCGAAGGTGCTGTCGCGCATAGAGGTAATAGAATTCTGAAAAGATACATATTGCGCAGGAGTCCAGGAGGAAAACGAAGATGGATATGCTGCTGGGGCAGAGTCAGAAGCAAACCAGGATGAACCATAGGATTGTGTTGGAATATAAGCCAGGAGGATGACTAAAGCAAGTCTACGAGAATTGATTGGGATTTGCATGGTGGTTGATGAAAGAAAAATAAAATGCGTTGCGCCATGGAGGAGTTCTTATACTGAGCGAGTAAAGTGGCGCTCGAGTACATGACGAACTTATGACGGCCTCTGTCGGGATTTGAAACTCCGACAAGAGCGCGTTTACACGTGACTAATATTCACGTGACCGTTTTCTATACGCGCTCAAGAGTCAAGACTCGAGTCTCGGGGTCGGTGCTTCAAAAACTCAGTGTTAAATTACAAAGAAGGATGGGTGTCCTCGGAAAAAATACACTTTTATGCTGAGCTTGTAACGAGGCGGATCCCACAAAGAATGTATCGTTACTGACTATCCGTTAATGCAGCGACTGGAAGGATGATTCAAATACCCGATGGCACGTACTAATTTGCACCCATCTTCCATGTTGTATATCATGAAAATCAATGAATACGATAGCGGTTAATTTTTGGTTTGATATCGCGAAGAATAGCGACTTGAAAGCCCTGCGACGCCGCGATATATTAATGTATGGTGAATACTACATGTTCTGGCCATGGAGAAACTCAGAGAGGATCGAAAATGCGTGCATATCGATGTAATTCGGATACGTCGGCCTAGAAGTGCAGCGCCATAAACCGCTTACTTCGAGTTAAAAGATGCAATAGCTGAAAGAAAGACATGGCATCACCTCTCATAGCGACGGCATACGACGCACAACCTTGCCTTCGTTCCTCGCATGTACTCTCAACTTCTCCAACAAAGCAGTGCCGGCCCAACGCTCAGGAGGTGTCCGTTTCCCTGTCGCCCAGTAGTATATATCCCAGTCTGGTTCGTCCAGAAGCTGGAAGGAAGTACCGATGAGTACATGACTTCCACTTCCAAAACCGTGCTACCAACTCACCTTGTCGTACTGCTTTAACTCATCTTCAGACATAGCCTTCAAGTTATCTCGAGCAAAGGTTGCAAGCAGCAGATCACTCTCCAATGTTCCACGCTTTCTTGACTGATAGACTAGCCTTGCACGGAGTGTCTCCGTAGATTCATTTGGACGTTCCAAAGGTTTTATTCGAGCCTCATCGGATGGCGTTTCTGTTGAAGCTAGATGTTCTGGGGAGCCAGGAAGAGGCCAAGGGTCAGCAAGTCTCCGAGTACTGGTAGATATAAAACATCTCGAGCTAGCGAATGACCTCCAGGTAGAACGAGACACTAAGCGGAAGATGGTGGTGGTAGTCATTATATATCGAAATTTAGCCGCCTGCAAGGCTGCAATCCATAGGAGACGCTTACATGTAATGGTTTCTCACGCTCTACTTCCACTTTCCAAGTTAATTTATTTACGGATAAATTCTTAGTCTTAGTCTTTTCAGAAGGATTTGGATTTATTCTGCATACCTACATATATCGCGGAGCTTGAAATGCAGACGAACTGGTGTAACGCTTCGTCACTGCGACAAAGAAAACTCTGAACCAGACAGAAACCATTCAAAGGTTTTCAAACGATGACCGACGAGTCCAAGGTATCTTGCTCGAGTCAGTGTGGTATTTGTCCTTGGCCTTATGATTTTACCCTACCTAGTACGAGACCGTCTTCTTGGGAGGTCTACCTGACTGCAGCAGGGAAGAAATCATCAATCTCTGCGGTAGCACAGGGAGAATCGCTTCAACGCGCGTGAGGTACGATAGTTTTGTTTACTTTTCTAGTGATCACCGCTCGTTCACGTCTTAAATCCACTCTCTAACAACCACTCGAGCAGGAGAGGATACGCCTTTATCGTCAGTAACTTTTTTTCCTCCATACTACGTCGAATTATCAAGTCGAAGCTCAAGAAATTCGAACTTGATTACTCTTCGCCCGGTGTATGTAGGATTACTTCAACCCAGCGGACGCCGATTTCGGAATTCAACACCTCCATGGGATCAAGTTCAAAGGCAAAAAAATTACTGCCGAGTTCGCTCATCGACGTAGGCGCATGAAAACTTCTAGCACTATTACTGCTACTACTAGTATACATACTCACTCGCAGTCATTCGACAACGACGATGGCTCTGCCAGTGGACCCGCGATGGTTTGTTATAAATGTGGAACCGAAGGACACAGGTCGAGGTATGTTCGCGTTCGTTCGTTCGTTCTGACGACTCAGTCCAAGTGTTCCGAAGTACTGAAATGATAGAATTTGTGTATGTATAGTGAATGCGCTGAAAATTTCGGAACCACGTCGTAAGCCCCCCACAACTAATTATCGCAAGCCAAAATTTCAGCGGTTCATGTTGAAATTTATTTTGCTTTTGTCAAGTTCTAGGTGCTTTTGTTGTGGGTCTGCAAACCACCACATCAGGTGAGTTTTCTTCATGATCAGTATTCCGAGTCACAATTTTTTTTTTGAATTCCAACCCTTTTTCTTCATTACAATCTTCGAGTATTAATCTCAACCTGACAGATATTGTCCACGTCGATCCATGTAAGGAAACTTGTACTAGTCTGAATTTCGATTCGAGCCTTTTTCCTCAATCTACTTTGTACCATGAACAGCTCTCCTGATAGCGGCGCGAGACCCAAAGATCACTCGGCTCGTACCGGAAGCCGCGACTACGACAACGGATATCATGGTGCCCATACCAGCCTTTACCGATCCAGGACTCGCGAAGACAGTGACCGCTACTACGACTCCGTGGATAAACCCCAAGTTGATTCTACTCCCAATACTCGCTTCGAACTTGACGGACGATACTACTCTCGGGCCAAGGCTACCACTCCTAGGAACGATTATGATGATACTAATCCAGCCCCTCCAATATCATTATATATGACATTTTCACCGTATGCTGAACATGTTCCAAGTTGGCAGCATGAGTAAGATTTACTCGTTATTATGCTTCCTCCTCCGAAGGCTGACTTGTTGAAACATGACAGATCCAGCTATGATAACAAATACAGTCCACGCAGTATCTCTCCCTCTTATCACAGTCCTCCTCACGAAGATGTTGATCGTGAAACGGCGCACTCTCGAGGTCATACCCGCTCCAAGGATGACTCTGCACAGGGTCGTAGAAGCCAAACCAATAGCAAAAGGCAAAACAGTGCGTCAGATGCAGACCGCTATACTGGTAATTATCGTGAAGAGCGTAGTACCACGGCGCATCGTTACTACGCTCGCTCGCCCAGCCCTAGACTACAAGCTCCTCGGAGGAATGCCATTTCTGGAGATTACGAGTACTACTACTCCAGAGATTTCTTCGAAGCTAGCGTCCCTCAAAGTGCATATCACTATTAGCCTCTTTGCCGGTCTGTTGGAGTTATAGCTCTTGCGTTGAAGGGATTTGAAATATACGTATACAACTAAAATGCTTCTTTTCTTGCTCTTGTTTGGCTTATAGTGCATTATGTGTGCTAATGATCTTGATGCTCAAATTGTGATTAAACACCTGTGCAAAGCCGTCGCCAGATGCCTCACGAACCATGTCTATATTTTGCTAATACTCGATAAATAATTAGAGGCTTTGGCGGCGCAGTTTGCCGATAACTTGTATTTGACGCGAACACGGCTATTTGGTTTTCTTCTATCATCATGGCGTCTAGCGCTGATTTCATCTCCACCCCTTCGCGAGAAGGTCAATCGCAAGAGACCAGCGAAGATGCCATTCTAGCCATGACGAATGACTACATGCAACAAATTGTCCGTCGCGAGAAAACATACGAGTTCAGAAAATACAGAATCTCATCTACAGTTAAACGAATCTGGTTTTATCTAAACGCGCCACACTCCGCTATTGCTTATATCTGCGAAATCGATCCTGCTCGGACACGGAATCCAGATGACGATCCCCTGCCCGAAGATGGGCTGGGAAATCGCGAGTTCAATACGCGCCACGAGGACTGGGACCGGTATGACTATGCGTGCAGGGTGAAAAGCGTTAGGAAGCTTAATGCTCCGCTGAGCTTGAGGGCGATGAAAGAGCTGTATGGAATGAAGATTGCACCAAGGGGCTTGGTGTACGCGCCACCCGATATGGTGAAAGATATACCTTTAGACCAACAGCTACTTCTACACGGCAACGGCTTAAGAATGGATTGATACCAAAATGGTTTTATGATTGTTGATCCAAATGATAGAGATGATATTTTTCCATCACCAGTCCTTCTTGTGTCTATCTATGTAAATTTGCCCTGCGTATGGACTGAGAGATGGTCTTGCATCCAATTCGGAAGGGTACTCATACGGTATTAAGCATGCAACTATATAGTTGATCTGATTAGAAAGGTATACCCTATGCGCCGTCTCGGGACGTTAGAAAGATACAAAGTATGCTAAATGCGAATAGTGCTCAGGCTAAGTAGCAATGTGTTTTGTCGTGGTAGGATGTCCAATGATAGGTTGCGCGCAACCCATAGTATCGTATCGTTCTTGCGGTTACTCATTCCGTCCGAGTTAACGAATTTCGAGCACGCATTTGCTCGCCCTTGTAGTAGATCCATATCGGAAATGGGATGCCGAGGACGATGGCCAGACCTAAATACAAAAATAGTCCAGAGATTATCAGAACGCGATTGCCAAAGGCATAATAGAATACTCACCCCCAAGAAGCGAGTTCCCACCTCCGTAGCCCAAGGCAGCATACATTTGTGCGCCAAATAACGGGAATGCGAATCCAAGGATAGAACGCAGAACCTACAATCGATACAGGAAGACGAATCAACGTCTGGAAAACAGTCGTTTAAGATAGGAGACCTACAGCTGCGGCAGCAAGAGCGCTGGCAGCGAATTGGAACGCATCGACCAGATAAAGTTGAATGGGCAAGCTGTATGATATTAAGGATATGAACGCGTATAAGCTGGACGAAAAAGCAAGGGGCAAAAACACGTACAATGTAGTCATCATACCTATAGGTAAGAAGATCGCATTAATTGTGAACGAGTACTATCTTTTTAGGTTGACTTACCGAAACCAAAGATACCCGAGCCAATGATGGGCATTATCCAATGTATTTGAGCTTGCGCGGACCATCCGTACCAGCTACACGTCAAGAAGTAGGTTAAAGGAGAACGAAGGGAGAGGGAGTTTACTTACAATAGTCCAACGGGAACCCACAGCGACCCAAAGGCGAGTGCTGGGATACGCATTTCGGGCTTACCCTTTCCGCCGTTCTTTGTTGCCAGCTAGAACGAAGAAGATGAGTATCTGAACAACATGTGTTGAAGAAATGATAAAGGTCCACGTCAAGTGGTGTTTACAACTCACATAATGATATATCTGATCAGCAGTCTTTGCTCCGAACATGGTAGCCACTAGGAATCCAATACCCAGACCAAGGTAAACCAATCCCCCGATGCCCGTGTCAAATCCGTAAATCACATTGAATAATTCTGAGCAGAGAGATCACAGATTGAGCGAGGAAGAGGTAATGGTAAAATCAAGCTTACCAGGGAAGGTGGTGAACATGAGATAGTATATCCCATACATGCTATATTCAAAATTAGAAGAAACACAATGTGCACAGCGTAGGCAAAGTGCACGTACAAAGCCATATACAAGCTCAACATGAAACAGATGAAGCTCCGAGTGAGTAAAATCACAGGTCTAGACAAATTGAGCCACAAGTACTCCCACTTGCCCATATCCGAAATTGGACCATGGAAATGTTTTGCCTTTTCCAAATCACCCTCTGCTCGTGCTCTGCGCAGCCTTATGACAGGCGCATACGTCTCCTGCAGTAAGGGTACTCCAAGGAGTAACGAGACACCACACGCGGCGGCGATGACAATGAAAACGTATTTCGTTCCGATGGTTTGGGCTATGAAGCCTCCTGCGACAGGACCAACAGCAGGACCAATAAGAGGGCCAAGACTGTATATTGCCATTGCAGAGGCTCGGTCTCGCTCAGAAAATAGATCCCCAATGGAACCTCCACCGCAAGCTATAGGCGCGCTTCCTGAGAAACCGTCTTGTAGTTGAAGAAAGGGGTAAATCAGTATAACTGTGACCAGGGTCGGAGAGGAACATACTCAGGAGACGAAAACCGATGAAAGCTCCTGCATTAGGTGCAAATGCGCAACCAAGATTGAAGGCGAGGGAGAATAATGTCCCAAAGTGGAGGACCTGCGGTAAATTAGTGATTAGATATAGCTGTAATGGGCTGACATACCCAAGTCCTACCATACATTTCAGATAATGGTGCGAGAATTAACGGCTGAAAGAATGAGTTGCCTCTATGCAGACGTGAAGCAATAAACAGCTAACGTACCCCAATAGCAAACGAGATCAAGAAAACACTAAGCATAAGGGACGTTTCTGTGGTCGAAGTTACACCATATTTGGCAGCAATATCGGGGAGACCAGGCGCTAACATTGAACTCGAAAGTGGAGAAACGAAAGTGTATAGCGATACCTTACAGTTTAAAGGAAGAACCCCATTAGAGAGTCTGTTATAGGATAAGAAGGAGAGGTTCTAGGACTCACGATGGCGACACTAGTCCACTTCTTCGACGATAGCCAATTTCTAGCATTTATTGGGTCATCTTCCCAATCGTCCTGGAGGTTCTCGATTTCCTCTTCCTTCTTGTCTGTTGGGATAGCGGATTCGCCATGGCCGAGGGCTTCGTGGCTAGGATCGTGGTGGTGCTGATCGTGGTCGAGCTTGACCTTTTCGTGATCATGGCTAATATAGTTAACATTGACGTCGGTAGTTGTAGCCTGATGGTCATGAATGGTAGTGGAAGAATGCAGGGAATGGACTGAAGAAGTCTGGGTATAAATTGCCGTTGCTCCTGTAGTGGAATCTTCTTTCATGTTCTTCGTGTCGGACATGGTGCCCGTTAGATGCTAGACGAATGAAAAGTAATCGTCCCTTGCAGGATGAGGATGCAAGAAGACTTTCAACGTTGGGGACGGGGAACGTTCTGGAACGTTTAAGCACAAGGGGACTTCGAAATTCATGTTACTTTAAGTATGTGCGAAAAAAAATGTGGAAGCCGTTATAGAACGCGACTTCACGCAATTTCGTGTTGGTCAACAGGGCAAATCCAAGCGCCTAAATGAGATCCGGCGGACAGTATCGGATCGCCATCTACTTATGTGTGCATAGCCCGGACATACTTAGCCGGGATAATCACCAAACCTAAACACTCGTGTCCCGATGAGGCACTTTAGCGCTATACAACACGAGCATCATCGAACGCTGCTATCAGAGTACCACGAAGTGATACCTAGTGATACCTTGATACCACTCATGAGTCATTGGTCCAACTTCAATTAGCGTCGACTGAGGTTCGATTCTTCGAAAATCATCACATAGTTGAGTCCTTGGATACACATCAACCAACAGTCTGCTTGACGACTTCGTGGCTGTCGGTGTGTTATTAGTCATCGGGTAGAGTCAGTAAACGTTCAGATGTCATGGACTTGATTCATGAGTAATGGTTCTCAACAACCGAACGGTTCTCTCATAGCACAACAGCATAACCACGAATTACTTTGTATTAATGGATCTCTAAGATTACGGGTACTGTGCTATTTCGATCCTACTTTTTACGACGCGTGCTACGGGCTGTTACGAATTTAGTGACAAAGGCTTGCGGCGAAGGAATGGCGAATAACACTAAGGAGTTGGAACAACGTAAGAAGCTGTATGCAATTGCAAGGGAAGAATATGTAACTGAGCACACACAAGCGACGAGGAGGAGGTATAAACGGGCTCCTGTTGAAATGTGATTTCAGTATTGCATCGAAAATTAATACAGTCAAAAGTCAAAAACAGTCGAGGGTGATGTAGCATTGTTTTGAAGGGTCACTGAGAGAGGCCTAGGTAATAAGTGAAAGGCAGCCACAGGCTTTGCAGTGTCAGGCAATTCCCTTATGCAATCCATGGCAGATTCGTGTTATGTGATATGCCGAGGCTGTGGACTGAACAGACAGACCGCTGAATAAACGAGGGTGCGAGATGACCTGAGATGACCCAGAGCAGGCCTCTAGGCGGTTCGAGGGGCGTGAATTGTGTGCTAAAATTATGAATTCGCAAGGAATCGAGCGAGCGTTTTGAATCGTTGTGGTTGATGAATACCGTGCGTCGAGCACGGTCTATGTGATGTGCGGACCTAAGTCTGCTGCACCCACTTCCTTCCCATGCAGCCTTCACACATTCCCATAGCCCCGAGATTTCTGAGAATGAATGTCTAGATATCGGAAAAAGATTCCAAAATATCATTCAAGAACTGAGCAATGGTGTTTGCGTCCACGGGCACATTGTGTCCTAATTGAGATATGGAATCAGGTGCCAATGTCTGAGAATTAGCGATTTCGTCTGAGGTCAATCTCCTGTCAAAGGAAGAAAAGTCAGAGAGGAACGCGTGTATCAAGGAAGACTGCAAGGAGGAAGGACGAAGAAATAGATTTCCGTGAAAAGAAAGACGTAAAAACTCAATATGGAGAGTGAAAAGTACGAGACCGGACGAAGAACGAGGAGAAAAGTCAATAGACTAAAGTGAAAAAGAAAGCATAGAGCTCGAAAGACTCACCGATCCTTGACCCAAGGGATATACCTCAAGCCGAGTGACTTTGCCACAGCTTCGTGTTCGCGAGCCCCTGGAAAAGCCACCTCCACTGCTTCGCCCTCATTGGAACGAGAGTTTGAAGGGGCAAAAAACTCTACCATTATACTCGTGCTCGCAGGGGACGAGGGTCTGAGAAACACACCGTCGAGTATGTCCGAACCTTGAGATGCGAGGAGAATCTGTGCGGAAAGGTCAGTAATTCGAACGACTAAGCGAAGTGGCGAAAGTCGATGTGAAGAAAGAAAGAAAGAAATCCAAAGAAAGGGGGGAATATACTTACATCTGATCTGGTTATAGCACCCATCCGTGTTCCCCATTCTACATCGTCAGTATTGACCTTTTCTACATTCATTCCATCTGACGCCCCAGCGTCAACCAGATTCACCTCAATCCCCTTCTCCCTACCCATCTTCATCAATGCTCTTACGAGAGCATTGTGATCTTCAGCCACAAGGGAATTAGGTCGATGAACGTATGTCAACGTTTTCTTTCTCGAATTATCTATCAGGTCCAGGGAAATTTCACTTGGATCTTGGAAAAACGAGACGACGGTCTTCCGTATGGGTTCCCACCAATCCCTTGAACCTGACTGTGAATGTTGCTGCAACAGGGTCTCGATTCCCTGCACACCATAATCTCCAATGACGACTCTTTCTAGCACGTAAGGGACCTCCATACCCATATAATCGTCCCAGTCCTCCTTATACCACACGCCAGGCATATGCGGCAATGCAATTTTGAGAAGGAGCGGATGGATGCCTGTATGTGACCTGTAACGGGGAATTACGGGCGGGCGCGGAGGCGAGCCCGGTGGTAAAATATCTCCCTCCGCATAATTAAATGGGAAATTCGGTTTCTTGTTCCCGTTTTCGTCGTTATCGGGATCAGTGAAAGTGGGTGTAAGGGGGAGGATTAGACGAGCGGGCGAAAACGAGTCTGGTGGAAACGAAGACGAAATCTTTGCAGGAGATGAGTCGATGGAGGAGTTGGACAAGGTGGAGTGCATGGACCATAGCGAGAGTAGAGCGGTGTCTTCTGTGAATGGATGGGCACATTGTGCATTAGCTTGTTGGAAATATATAGTGAAAATAATACTAACGAGGTATGGTTTCGGTACACATCCATGATACGCCGTGTATCCTATTTGAAAAGGGGCTTGAGAATACGACTATGAAACCAATACAGAAAGAACGGACCTTCCTCCGTACTTGCCCAACACAATTCTAGCTTGCTGCGTCGAAATCACCCGCATATTATCCAACATGGACCTGGTGATGGAACTGAGCTCAGGAAATGAGTGCGGCTCGTCTGTGACGATGTATATCACATTATTGAGGACGACAGGTTGGTCGAGAACTGTGTAGCCTATGAAAGAGATTCTTGAATATTCATATAAAAGGAGACGAAGAGAAGAACTCACCAGGCAGGTGTCGAATTAACTTCGTCCTCGGCACATCCTCGTTCCATCTCCAGAAACCTTCTTTAACACTTTTCGCAGCCAATCTATTTGGCCACAGTTCTTCCAATCTCGCCTGGCTTATCCACATGGCTGAATGTGCTCCGACCCCTAGCGGCTGACCGGCCTCGATTGTACCATATTCCACATACGCGCCCTTGGACTCGGAGTATATTTTGATGATCTTGTTATCTTCACCATTCCATATTATGATGTTATCCATTTGATCCCTTAGATCTCCGACTTTTCTTCCATCTCCTAACAACGTCCCCACTACAGTATTAGCAGGTGTGAACCCGAACCGAGTAAGAAGAGCTCCTCGGGTTGAATAGGCGTCAAATCCAACATAACGAAGGGTGTTTTCGAAGTTATAAGCGAGTGTAAATACCGTTGAGCAGAAAAGGAGTAATGTTAATTCGCGTCGGGTCGGTGGGGCAAGCCAGCGCATTATCGTGAGGTGTCGGGGGGCGGGATTGAGAACAACTTGACGGATATTTCACCGATCAAAGAGAGTGAGATAAGCCCTGACTGGATTTTCGGGAGAAATCTTCAGCGTCGAATGGAGTGGTAAAATGTACTAGAGAGCCTAGGTTGAAGTTGAACGTTGAACGTCAAAGGCTACTGATTTTATTTTTAGGAGAACTTACATAAATGCATTGACAATCTGGAAAAACTTTTTCCCACCCATAACATTGGGGGTATAGCTCAGCTGGGAGAGCAGCAGACTGAAGTATGAATTTCTTTGAATGTAATTATTTCTGAAGGTCCCGCGTTCGATCCGCGGTACCCCCATTCCAGGAATTTTTTTTTTTCGTTGCTACTTCACTGGAATATGTATGCACTTACAAGTTCATTTAGCTGACTCTAACATTGTATAAATATGCCGAGGAGCTGACGTGAAAATCAATCCAGTGAACGAAATCTACATCCAATAGATCAAGCACCTCATCAACTTTGTGTTTTCCTATTCTACCAGCTCCTCCAGCAATCACTCACCCTTCCTTCTCTTTCATTTCTTTCTTCCGTTTCTCCAACCGTGCCACAAGCATATCCGTGCAAACCTCTAACGCATGGGCTTCCTCCGCCGTCGCATCTGCGCACCCTGCCCATCTTATCCTCAGGTTCTCATCAATCAGGTAGACGTATCCTACACGATCGTTAGTTAATCCTATCGCGTCTCGCTGGTATTCGAGATTCTGAGAGGATACAAGGTAATACGGGTGCTGCTCCGGTGGGATAGCTCGTCGGAGAGAAGAAAGGAAAAGAGAGACGAGCATAGATTTAAGGGTATTTGATTGAAGGTTGATTTGGATGTGATTGAAGAGCGGGTGTTCGGAAAACCGGGCAAGAGTGGGAGTTGTAAATGAAGCGACGTGAATCTAATGATCATCCTTATTATCGCATTGACGAAGGAGTCATAAGATACATACATACCTCGGAGATCTTAGTATTGAGTAGACATAGAACCGAAATCTTCCCCGTGCACATCGAGGTTGTGTGTTGCTCACTTCCATCTGCGAGGGATTTCCCAACGATATCCGGGAAGTATAATGATTTCTGCAGTGCTCAATGATTGTGAGTTCATATTAACTAAGTCAAAAAAAAAAATAGAACTTACTTCTTCGCGTATTAGAACTTTTGGTGCGATCCATGTTTTACCACCATGTCTCCGAGTTGCATTGAGGTCATGGAAGTAGCCTTTTGTTACCGCTTCTTTCACCCTAAGAGGGTAAAGATTTATCTCTGCAGAATTTTCCTAACGTTCCGGCACACTCACAAATGTTTCCTCTGCTCCGCAATAGCTTCATCGTTCGTCAACACCTCCTTCAGTCTCTCTAATTTTGTTTGATGCCTAACAGCAGGCTTCTCCCGAACACCTAGTGGTCGCGAAAGCGGTTTCAATTCGTCATCAATCAGGGATTTGGACTTCGCTGTGGCCGAATTGAACACAGATGATTTGGAATTAGAGGTTGCCTTTGACGATAATGAAGGACCGGCTTGGGATGAGGAAGAAGAAGAATATCTCTGGCTTTTTAGTGGAGACCGGGTTGATGTCGAGTACAGCAAAGGTGCTAGATTCCTTCGACAACAGTGGGAGACGATGATTGCCATTTCACTGCTGCCTTTGGAAACCGAGGTTGCGAGTCCCTGGAATTTCCATCCACGGGCCGCCCGAGTCCGACTTATCCGAAACGGTAATTCCCAAGGGCGTGGGAGAAGCGCGACACGTTTAAGATCACGACAGTCACCTGATTTGCATTTTCCGTTTATTCGCACGTGAGGGGCTATTCCGGAGTATTTAACGTCCGAGTCTCGACGCGTTCTTCTTTCCTCACCTCTTGACTCTCAACTACTACCTCCTCGCCCAATCCTCTTGATCTTCAACTTTTCTCTTTTATCCAACTCCTCCACCACTTCATTAATTCATAATGGTCAGTTCATATCGGTTTTAGCGATTCGATATCTTCAAACTTGACGCTAATGGTTTCTTCAGTCTGGAAAGGGTTCGTCTGCACACTAGATTACTCCACTATAAGACTTCTAATCGCTCATTCGCACTTTCGATAGGAAAATCTGGCAAATCCTCCGGTGGAAAGGCAGGCGGTGAATCCACTGGCAAATCCCAATCGCGTTCCGCAAAGGCTGGTTTGCAGTTCCCTGTCGGTCGTGTGCACCGTCTGTTGAAGAAGGGCAACTATGCCCAGCGTGTTGGTGCCGGTGCTCCCGGTCAGTTGCCTGTTATGTTTTGCATGAAGTTTTCGCTGATCGATGTCTCATTCAATCTTTCACTATTACTTCTCTCGGTGTCGTCTTTTCGTTTCACTACCATTTCCTTGAACCGTTCAGTCTACCTTGCCGCTGTCCTCGAATATCTAGCCGCTGAGATCCTCGAACTTGCGGGTAACGCTGCCAGGGACAACAAGAAACAACGTATTGTACCCAGACATCTGCAGCTCGCTATTAGGAATGATGAAGAGTGCGTACCAACCATCTGATTCGTCCTTTCTTGCCTTCTGATGTGCTCGATATCTTTTTCAAATTAGGCTGAATAGACTGCTCGGTGACGTCGTTATCTCGCAGGGTGGTGTTGTACCCCACATCGAGTCTCAACTTTTACCATCCAAAACGTGAGTTTCATTCCTTTCTTCGATGGATCCACTTGAATATGCCTTCCGTTGATAACAGAAAGGGCAAAAAGGATGAGGAGGAGGCTTGAGTTCTTAGTCTGGATATCCTCAGTGTACTCTAATATTTGTTTCGCCTCTATCCTCATACTTATTATCGATATGTATACGGTACTGTATCGTTGTATTTGTCGTCTGTTCTCCGACTCCACCCTTGTGCAATCACCTTCGTTGTACTTACCGACCACCTGATGCGTAGTGTTAGAACTCTGAGCTAGTCTGAAGTTCAGACCTGTTCAGACTAGCTCAGAGTTCTAACATGAACGCTTGAGCTTAAGCCGTTACCAGTGCTGTCAACTAATGGGCTGAAATAGCGACGGTTCGTTGTGTATGCCCTGACGCGTCTGAAGCGAAACGAGCCAACAATGGTAAGGGAACCGTGGTTGTTCAGCCTGACCAAAACTTAGGGAGTGTTCTGATCAATTAAAGTAGGAGGGAAGGCGGCGTCGAAGCGATTCTTGATTCACTAGCCGGAGGAACAGAAAGAAGGAACAATGATAGGTAGTGCTCATTCTACTGACTAGTGAGAAACAATATCCTGATCATGATCAAGAACTTTATGTTTAACTGCGAATGATTTTTTTGGGATCAAAGTCCTTTCCACACTTGCGCGTAAAGAAAAATTCTGTGACAAATGGATCAAGTAAATATTGAAGACGATAATGAGAGTGAACAATAATACAGACTCACCAACGATAGATGCAACGTAGCTCTCAGGATTAAGGGAAGGACGAACAGGAGGAGAACCTTGATGTGTCTGTTCCCATTGAGCGAGCAATGTCGTGTATTTTGATTTCAGATGACCAGCCGCGGTCAAAAGGGGTATATCATTCTCATTATAGTCCTCGGTCACGATATCCTTCATTTGAAATCGGATGCGAATCAACCGACTCAAAAGGGCACGAGCTTGAGGCACGTAATCTTTGAGAAAATGAGGAGGTCGGCACCACCCATTTTCTGAGTTGTCGAAGGGCTTTGAGGCGAGGGTGACCTGCAGACCCAAAGCTGAGAATCACTCCTTTCCTTTAAAAATTGTAGGTATCACCTTGGTATCAAATATATACGGGCAAACATAGATAACATAGATAGATGATGATCGACCTGTAGTTATCCAATGGCTTCCACAGTGTGAGCGATGAAACACTTATATAACAACAGTAATGCAAACTTACTTGGGAGGACACGGCTTTTGACCATAATCAGCACACTGAACATTGAACTTTAGCGCTTCGCCACCGCGACTGTTCAGAGATTGGATCATGTGTTTGAATGAAGGGAAATCTTCGCGGAAAAAGTAACGTCTGAAGCTGCGGGCCAAAAAGTAGGCAAACAGAATTACCATTTGAGAGTCAGTATCGGTATACTCGGAATAGGATGAAGCGTACGCAGGATGATCTCGCGTCATATACTCGGCTTCGGATGTCATTGTGAACACATCCAGCATCCACTTATCAATTGTATTCGTCTTCTCCGTATTACAACTTTTGTAGGAATTTACCCAATGTGATAACGGTTGTTGCACCTGTGTACTGGTTGCGGTCGGATTTCCCTTTTTCGTTGGCATTGCAGAACCTAATGCGATGTAAAGGTGAAAAAAAAGCAGAGTGGTGACAACGCGCATCGTGATGACCAGAAAAATGGGACAAAGACAAGATGTAAAAAGTGGAGATGTTTGCGATCGGGCCTGCCGGTAACAGAAATAGGAAGAGAAGCAAAGGAAGAGAACCAGCTCATCGATGCTTGATCAAATTGAAATTTTATATAGCCTCAAATTAGGACCCCGGAAGCTCCTGCAAAACCCCACCCGCCCAGGCGGCCCGAAGTACGCCTGAAGTACGCTGATTCGGATAAGGAATGTCACGTGAAATCGACAAAATTGCTCCGAAAATACCGGACGGCGGATTCTCTTCCCCAAGCCTGGAATTGTCTTTTTGTACATTTATTGACTATTCTTGCTGCTTCCGGAGCTCTTCTGAGCTTTTTTGTGTTAGGGAGTACTTTGTACGTCAGATATACAGCTTTGGCATGCATATTTGAGAGAGGGCATTATTACTTGATAACTATACAGCTCCAATTAGATCACATGAAGCGGCATACACGAACACCTCAGTTGCTACTATACAGTGACGCGCAAATCAAATCCACACCCCCCAATTTGGAAATTTGGTGATTAAACTGGAATTATGAATATTTTTGTATGCTACACACTGTAAAGCATGTTGATTAGGCGTGTTCAATTAAAAAATATGGTTTCACAGCTTTCTGGAATTTGTAATAAATTACTAAATATAAAAATTATCTGTCGCTCTTTTTGCCTTCTGTTTTGTTTGTTATCTTCTACAGCCAATGCAATAATGTCAAAGACCCAGGCTCAGGCTGTACTCTTAAGTATGGCTTGTGCTATAATAGCTGCATCTGACACTCTGGACAACATTGAGGATGCCGACCTACCATTGGATGATCCATGTGAAGATTCAGAAGTGCTCGAGGTTGTTGCGGCAGTCATGATTCACAAAGCATTAGAGATCAAAGGCGATGGTACTCTGTCATGCCCTGCCTACAACCAGACCAGCCCCAGTACCCGCCACACGTTGTCACACACTCTATCCACCTCCTGCACTTCCCCTACACCTCCCAAGTCACCTCCCCAAGTACCATCATGCACCTCCATCCTGCACCCTCCCCACACAAGTACCACCATATACCTACCCAAACGTCCTTCACCGACATGCTGTGATACCCCGACTGCTACCAGACCCGTCTCAGCACCAACCAGGAGCTCCCGCATGTCGTAAACCCCCAAGACAGATCCATTACCTGAGCGCCTGATGACTTCCCCAACTCACGTACATTCCCGGCGCGCATACAGGACCCCCTACAGCAACTCCATTAAGTATCAATCTCGATTACTGCCTCATGTTCACTAGATCCCCTGATGTTCCCTTGTCCACTTCCTGTACCTATTTAAGTAGCTCTGACATGTCCCCAAGCCCCAGCTTGGTATATTTTGAACACACACCCTTTTGCATAGGTCCAGTCCCTGTCCCTTTGTACCTGCTAACCATACAGATTTCTCTTTACTCTCTATTTCTTTATCTCTGTTTCTCTCAACTCTGTCTATCATCTCTACGATCGTCTATATGGTCCAATACACATTTTAACTTCACGTCTAAGCAACCCGAGTGAGTCTCCAAGCTCCCTCAAACAATACTAAAAGCTCCCCAACGCCTACCGCTAACGAGCTTGCCTCGTTTTTGTGTGAAAGAGAAAGGAAGGAATCTAATGGGCACTCCAACCAACCAATCTAATACACAATATGCGAGTTCACTGCTATCAAATTTATTTAATAGCAAGGGGTAGCGTTGGCAAAGGTTCTGCAAAGCTTTGAGAGCTAAGTAAGAAGCTTTAATCAATCAATTTGAATCGTTCTAAGGACTCGATATATTCCTTTGATCAAGGTAGATTCAGCACGATTTGTGCTTTGATTGTATTGATATGAGTATATCAAGAATTGGGGGTTTGAATCAAAGTAAATTAAAACCGAAACACACAGACCCCTACGGAGGGCTAGAACTATGTGCTGGCACAACCACACAGCGTGATTTGCCCTTAAGACCAACGACTGATCCTAAGTTTGAAGAATACCCAACAACTGGATATACTTCTCGCAGTCACAAGGAGCAGAACACAATGTTCCTATACTCACAAGTGCCCGGCCCGAATGGCTGCTAGCGAAGAGGTTTCAGTCTGGCGGGAGTGTGTCTTTCCTTTTTACGGATTAGCACTGCAACGTCGTCCCAAAATCACTTGTATTCCAGATACATTGGATCGCTATTTATACATACAGAATATAGAGTCGCACAGTACAATTAATTTAATACAATAAATGTTCGGAACCGCAAGGAAACTTCTACACTCGGTCTGATACCATTTAATTTGAATCTACATGTCCTTATTTGGTCCATAATGGTTCCAAGATTCAAGTATACCTCCAAACATAGGTAGGTACTTCGATATTCATTTAATTTAATTGTTTTGGAGAATGACTCGAATGGTGTTCAACTGTCATTGCTGTTCAACACTTACTTCGATCATTTGTCACCTCGTCCGGAGGCAAATCAGCTCTCCTCGATTCTAATCCTATCAATCTGATTCATCTGGATTAAACTAATTGCTTCTCTCTTTCAACAGACACCCAATGTGCCTATACTCTATCAAGGGAGTTACGCATAGTATTCATTTAATGGCATTCTTCAATATTTTCTACGTCAGGACTCTTTGACATTCATTTGATATGTCTTCGGAGCCTCGCAGTACTTCGATCGTTCTTCTAGTCATTTTCCTCAACTATGCAACCTGATTGGTCTATTAGACTAAATTGCAGTCTTTTAGATTGATGCATGATCTCGTTCTAGAAGGAGTATTTGATAATTCCTGAGTTCTAGAAAGTCATTTCGAGTCAATTCTCGGCTCATGGTCACTTGAGTAAGTTCTTCCAAACTCCTGCCAGTGTAAGGTCCAATAAGAATACCCTTGGTATGTCATACATGAATGGTCATCCTTCGGATGTAGTCCAAGTCTGGTATAATCCTGCTTGACAAACAGGTAGACTGCTATCCGAAGGTAGTATTGAGGATGGGTAAACTAACCAACTTGTGGTAGTATGGGTATATGGTCCCTTCAACTTATTAGACTGATTCAGTATTGACTTTGACTGTCAATCTGGGTCTCAATTACAGTCCTCTCGATACGAATCTATGCGTGAAAATGTCACAATTCACAGCATAGACATCTAGCCAAAATTTAGGCGTGTCATCCCCCCCAAACTAAAGAATTTGACCGTCCTCGGTCATTCGTAGTTTTGTACAGGGAAAGGATACCCAATCTGTTATTAGATTGATTCGACAAGACTATATCTCCTTTTAATGTAATTTACTGGGTTTGGATCTCTACTTCTCCGTGCTTTCCAATCAATTTGGATGCCCTCAAATGGGTTTCTAGCGCTTATCTTATCCATTTATTCACACGCCTGCTACGAATCGTAACAGTTTAGCGCTCAATTTGAATTGAATACTTTTTCGGTATTCATATCACATTTTGAAATTTTATTTCACAATCTTTTCATCATCTAGTCACAGAACGAGCTTCCATTTCATGGAGAGCTGCTCTGACGTACACACTGCTTCAGTGTGTACGTTTATTCGGTTCAGGGCACGGGGTTCAACAAATTTTTCGTTGAAGTCCGTTTTCTTCTCTTACACTTTCTTCTTCCATCTCGTTCTTATTAATTCAAAAATGGCTTCAACCTCGAGTCAAACTCGATCTTCAGCTTTGACCACACTTCTACCTACCTCTCTTATGGAGGCCCAGGTAATTCTGGCGGGTCTCTCATTCAAATCAACACTCCCTCTGTTCTTTGAGAGCACTGTTTTTGTTCGTCTTCAACAGGGAGATTACTCCCCTCCTATACTCAATTCTCAAAATTCCCCCGATCACGATGGGTCCAACGTCTTTCCGGCTTTTTCATATCCTCGTCCTTTGGTTCCATTTTGTTTCCCTGTCAACTCTTCACGTCCTTTGTCCATTGCCTCAGGCTTGGACTTATATTGTTCAGCCCAAATAGCTGTACAGTGTGAGGCCTGGCACAAAAGGCCTGCTCTCGTCCTATCTGGACTGGGCCTAAGCAAGCAGGACAGCTGCCTAGGCCGTACAAGGGGAGGTGGGATAAGTGCCGCTACTGGTGTAGGGAGCCTGACCAGTGGTGGTTGTGGAGCTTGGGTGGACCTAGCCAAAGGTCCTGGAGTGGGGGAAGGATGTGTAGTTGGTGAGGATGGAGGTGGTTGGGGGTGTGGAGCCTCGACGTAGACTGTAAGTCGTAGGAGAGGCTCAGGAAGTTGAGAGAGGTGAGACAGAGAAGAGAAACAGAGTTGAGTGAAACAGAGGTGAAGGAAACAGAGTTGAGTGAAACAGAGGTGAAGGAAACAGAGTTGAGGGAAACAGATAAAGAGGAAATGTATGACAGGTGAGACGTGTCAGGCCCTGTTAGCAAGTACAAGTAGACTGTACTAACAGGGACCAAGCCAGGTTGGAAGAGTTTCCAGATAAGATTTGACAATAACACGCTGGGGAGCTCCGAGGGGAGTCCCCAGCCTATATACTATACATGTGACAGCCATGTGGCATATTACATAATAGTAAAAGCGGACAAGGGGAGCTCTGGGTATACAGTGGGGAGATATAGGAAGGTAGTAAGGAGGAATATGATAGGTAAGGAAGCAAAATCAGGCAAGGCATGATAGGTAGTGAGACAAGGATTGGGAGACTGGGCCATCATAGGTGTCTTCCAACTCCATCTCTGAGGGGTGAGACCTTGCTAATGCCTCAAATCTAGTCCCAACCAACTTCTTAGCTGACGGCTCAAGAGGTCTTTCGGTCAGGTGAAGTGCAGTCATTAACTCGGTGCTTGGGTGAACCACAACTGGAGCACTTGTGGTCGCGAGGGCAGGGATTGTTGGAGCAATGATTATTGTTCCAGTTGCGGCAGGTTTCTCTTTTCTTTGGCTTGCGAACTGCCGAAGTTTCACCTCATGCTGTAGGAGGCCTTGAACTGATGACGCCAGCTCCATCAGACAAGATATACATGTCTTTGAGGTGGATAAACTCTTGGGTATTGTTAAAGAGGATTCGTCGTGATTCTCCAATGGACCTGCAGGCAGCATGGATGTAGGTGTGGACAGTAGAACCAAAGAGTTTTCCAATGTGGGTTTCATACTCTCTGAGCTCATCGCATTGGTCAGGTTCAGTGAAGATCGCGCAGATGGCATCTGCGTAGATACGCCAGACTCGGTTCCATTGTCCCTCAGTTCTGACCTCATGGGTAAGTTGCTGTTTGGATGTGGTGAAGTTTCCCTTGTCGTCAATGGTGTAGGTGTCAGCAAAGGGGCTGAGGGCATGGGAGAGGATGAGGTTGAAGTCCACAGGTTGGTCGAGAAGGACTTGTTTCCAGAGTGAGGGCGGGAAGGGGGGCATGTATGGATTGTTGATAACCATTTGGACTGTGGTATTGATGTCATGGCCGAAATTCTCAACTTGCTTGGCAATGGCTTTGTGTCTAGGTGAGAGAGATTTAGTGCCCACTTTCTTTTTGAGAAAGCTAATTTTTGATTTATCCAGCTTTGGTTTCTTAAACCTTGTTTCGTCCTTGTCCGATGAGTCGGGTGATGGGGAATGGGAGTGTGCATGTTTGGGTTGCATTCTGTGTAAGAGACTGGGTTCAGCAGGGATGTGCATTCTCTGGAGGAGAGTGGGTTTGTCTGAGGATTCATTGGAGAGGAGAGGATCTGAGGTAAGGGACTGCAGTTGAGATTGCAGGGAGGATATTTGTTCCTTGAGTGCAGCAACTTGTTCATGGGAATCTGATGTGTTGAGATTCTCATCACCATTGAGCTCAGGCCGTGGGGTGGCAATGGTGTTCCAACCTGCTTGTTCAGCAGTTTGGATGTAGGCATCGTGCCAGTCCAGCATGTCAAAGAAGGGTCTGAGAATGCAGGTGTCATAGTTTGATCCCATGTCCATGTGGTATCTGGCGGCTGCATCATACAGGAGGGTTTCTGTGTCGAATCAATTTCATTTGCCTTGTACGTAGTCATCTGTGAAACAGTCAAGCTCTTTCTGGTAGGTGAGGTCTCTTGGCTGGCGATGCTGAGATGTTTGTGGTGCCATCGGGCACTGCGGTGGTACGGGGTCCATCTGGTTCCCTTGGTTCGTCCCCTCGGCAAAGTAGGGGTGTTGTTGTGGGTAGAAGTTGGCAGCAAGCTGGGGAGGTTGTTGGTGTTGGTTAGGGAGGCCATCAGACATGGTAGATGATAGATGAAACAATGTATATTGTTTTTTAGAGCACAAAAAGACTTGTATAGCTGTCTGGCAGAGCGACGAGGAAATCATATATGAGTACACTACTGGGAAGATGGGAGATAGTCCATACCTGGCAGAGCGATGAGGAAACTAAAGGGTTATGTTGCCTGCCAGGACACTAAATAGTCAGCCACTGAGTTGGTCTAAGTGGGAGCAGGTCAAACGGTGGTCCAAGAGTCTATGGCCATGTCTGTGAGTTCAATTGTGTTGTGACAATTGGAGTGAGGCTCACCGGACGACCATCCTCACAATGGGGGAGGTCAAGTCCAATATCCCTCGCTTGCGACCCAAGGGGTGGAGAGGAGTCTGCTTATCCTGCTTGCAACCTGAGAGGTGAGGATGAGCATGAGAGAAGATAAAGGGAACTAAAACTCGAGTGACTTACTCGATGATTAAACACGATTAATTCTGCACAAAAGTCCAGCAGGCAGTGACCATGTGTAGAGCAAACCACATCTGGTGAGGTACGGAAAAGTGGTGTGGTGATGGAGTTAAATCCACAATGCAAGCGTTGAGGTTGCCTGCTACCATGAACAGGATGTTGAGCACTATGGCTATGCAAGTGCTGCAGATGAAGGCATCCCAAGGGTGTACATCAGCCCAGATGGTCCAATCAGTTCATGACAATTCAGGGAGGATGTATGCATTCAATAGAAGCAGACCATTGATGTCAATAGCAAGAAAGTCTGGGCCACAGAGGTCTTCTGTGATTTGGCTCTGTAACCCATCTCATACCAGAGTTGCCACCCCTCCCCATGGGCTCTCAATATCTGTTGCCAGTTGGCAGCGATTTCAAGTATAGGCAGTGAAGCTATACAGGCACTGCATAGTCAAGTTAGAATGCAAACAAGTCTCCTGTAGCAGGATAACATCATAGTCACTGATGATTTTCACAAATTTATTGCAGAGGTAATTAGCGAGGTAACAGCCATTAATATTCCAGCACAAAATGTGAGTTTTACAGCCATTAGGAGTACAGAGGGTAGAGGTATGAGGAGAAGCGGACTCAGAGAAAGAGACAGAAGATAAAGGATGATAAAAAGGAGCTGGTGAGAAAAAAAGTGAGGAAACAGAGTGGGAGGAGGAGGGTGGGTAACAAGTGGCATGGATGGTGGTCCAAAGTCAGTGGAAAAAATAGGAGCCAGAGGCCAGGAGGAAGCAGAAGGGGGTAGATTTACAGAAGCAGAGGAAGAGGAGAAAGATGTAGGTACAGGGTGAGACAAAGCAAAGTGTGGAGGGTTTGGCAGGAGGTGGGAAATAGTAAGGTCCGAGTGTCCAAGTGTTCCCCCCCTTGGAAACGTCAATCAGCATTGTGTCAAGTCCATGCCTCGGGCCTCCATTCCGCCGCTCAGTAATCCGAAGATCCACTGTTTATTGTAATCTCTCCTTATTGTTCTTTCTCGCTAAACATACCCTTTCGTTCTAGTCCCTCCTTATTGTCTTTTACTTTACCCTGCAGGTACTACTTGTATAGCTCCTAGTAGTTAGTCTGGCGTTCCGCACCAATGCGCCGCTCCGTAGATATAAATACTGCCTGTACGCTACTGTAGTTCCTCAGTTTAATTATCGACTTAGATTCCCTCCTGAGCTCTGTGCTCCTCTAAGTCTTCAGGCTCATCGCCTCGAAGTACTCTCTCCTATAACCTTAGGACTTAGACGTTCTTTGGTTCGCTCCTTGTCACTGGCAATACCGCCGCTCCAACCTGGCTGCTACTTAGCTCCTCCCTTCTATACTCTCGATCTCCGGGGACTAACGGCGTAACGGCGGTGTTGTTAATAACTTCACTACTGTCCCACTCGACCTCCCGCACTTAGACACCTTGTGGCCTCTGGCACGGTTACATGGTATACATGATCTTAACACATTGTCCCTGCGAATCACGCTAAGCCTTCAGTGGAAAATGAGAGTTCGAGTTGGTCACTGCCAATGACATTATAAAACCGACATGAGGAAGGGTGACATGCACAGCAGCGTCGAAGTCAGATGATCACCTATACAGTGATCTTGGAGTCCTTGATACAAAACATCAAGTTTTGTTTGCGACTCTTTCTTATGTCACAACGTCTCAAATTTAAGTATCTAGAATCAAAGTATAGCATGTTATGATCATTTAAGCTCACTATAATCAATGCTCAAGGACAAATTTTAATTAAGTAGGAATTAAATCGTATTGAGGATGAATGTCACGTTTTTGGAGTCCTTGATTAGGGAAAGACACGGTTCATCTGGGAGTTTCCCGGGAGCGGTGTTTGAAATCTGTGTGGATTTTGACCAAATGGACAAAATCTGTTTCACAAATTGACCGTAGTTGGCATACCTGACCATGCAGAGCTATCTAATCTACAATTTTCCTAATTGAGAAGTCCCGGGATTCAGAATCGCTCTGAAGATTTAGAAGAATTTGCTTTTGTTCTTGAGGGTGTTAAGAATTCTTAGAGGTCAAGTATCTGTACGTAGAGCGATAAGAAAAACCCTCAGTGTGGAACCAACGAAGTAGTAACAACTCAGATAATACCTGTACGTAGAGCGATAAGAAAAACCCTCAGTGTGGAACCAACGAAGTAGTAACAACTCAGATAATACCTGTACGTAGAGCGATAAGAAAAACCTATCTAAGATGTGAGTATCGATAAGTACAGGTGAAATGAAAAGGGATACTCACCCTCAGTGTGGAACCAACGAAGTAGTAACAACTGAGGGCGATGAACGTGCGAAAAAGACTATAAGTAAACAGAGTCATGTGAGTCCGGAATGAATCGGTAACTAAAAAGGGAATCTATCTCCCAACAAGAATAAGCCAAAGTAATTAGATTAGTGGAAAATGTTGCTAACTCTTCAACTACATAACATACATATAATGCACTATAACGGCTAGTTACCCACTTTCTCCCTTCTCATACTCATCTATAGCTTCATATATATTGTAGAACGGCACATTGCACCATGATCCGAGAGACATTGATGACTTGAATGTATCATGAGACATATAAGTTTGCATGAAATTAGTGATGTGCCGGCTGGGGCCTGGCTCAAAAGCCCCGGCCAAAGCTCATAAAAATTTTGAGCCGGGCCCTACATGAAAGCCAGGGCCCGGCTGGGTTCCGGCTCAAGCCTGGGCCCTGGCTGTGATAGGCGGAAACTGTGTCCAAAATTTCTTGATGTTTTAGTCTAAAAACACTGCCACAATGGTCTGAAAACACTGCATTATTGTTTCTTAATGCTCCAGCTTTGTGAGAGGGGTGTAACATTAACAATAATAGTCTACATCAATCAAACAGTAGAATTCCAGTACACTGGACTTATCAAAGTAACAAGCACCAAAATCATTACCTGTTGTTTCAACTATTGTCAATTTCAAATAGGATCAAAGTGGTTCTTTCCTTGAGACTTGTTAACTAAGATTAAGATGCTGCCACATCATGTTATAGTAAAATTTACAATATAACATCTTCCTAATCCTCATTAAGAAGAATTCACTGTGGATACACTAATTTGATTCAACCTCCAACCTACCTGCAATGACAAAAGTCTCAGAATTGTATACTTCAACAATATTACCTTTAGGTTTATGGCATTTACTAATAATTATTCCTGCAGTTGAGAATGGTGCTAGTGATGCCCACATAGGTAAATATTGAGCATTTATCTATAGGTATATCAGCCATCCAGGTGAGAATTTCAGCACAAAATTTGGGTACTCAGCCCCGGCTCAGAACCCGGCTTGGGGCCTTTGAAAATTTTGAGCCGGGCCCTCAGCTTTCCACAGCCCTAGAGACGGCTCCGGCCCGGCCAGGCTCAATCCGGCCATGCTTATAGGGCCCAAGGGGCTCGGAGCCGGCACATCACTACATGAAATTGACTTGTCGTCGTCCTCACGAGAAGTGCAATTGAGACCAACAGGAAAGACCATGCGGGTCACATCTCGTAACGGAACATAACGAGATGTGACCTGATGTAATGCAGTGTCCCCGTCAGGGACCTGTCATTCCATCGACCCGACGGAGAACTGCGCTCCGGACAATGAGCGGGCAATCGACGGCGGCGGGAGCAAAACCCTTTAGTACTCGTGCATGCATGGGTAGGCAAGAGATAGATAGTAATGTGAATGAGAGACGACATGGATGAGGAGAAAGAAAATAAGCCAAGAGGACGGAGAATGCAAGCAGCGAGAAATTTTGAATGTTTGAGCAGAGAAATGACAAATGACTTGGGAGACTTACAGTTGATATGCCATGATGTTTGCCGCCGTAGGATCGCGAGAGCGTGAGGAGATGAAGTTGAGGAATTGAGAGTGAGAGGGATAGAAGAGATGGAGTTGAGGGATAGAGATGAAGTGAGAGTGTGAGGCAGGATATGTAGTTGCTGCAATCTCCAGTTTCGAAGATGTAGCTTTGCGTAATCACGGGAAACATGTCGCGTCGAAATTTTATGAATTGAATGTAATGCAGTTTCTGAATTGCACTCAATTGAGTGTATGTAGCTCTATGTAGCTATACAATATACAAATCTATCTACTCCAAGTGCGTACTAGCTATACAAATCTATCTACCCTTGAGTGGCCTCTGGGGGCTCTGTGGTGTAGGATGATGAGCAACAATAAGTGAGTATGTTTGTAGTAGTATGAGCTTTGCAGTATGAACAAACGTGTATGAGCTGGAGTATACCACTAAAATTAGTGGACCTGCCAGTGTGCAAGCATTACGCTAGATTTATTACTATCCCTGATAGACGATCCGAATGTTTATTCACTGCATCTGCTTGACATTATCTTACTAAACTCTAAGCGACTGTATGTTAATGTCAAGCCACTGCATCGTCTCTACTGTGAATAGTGAAATCGTCTTCATAACCTGAATCTTGTCTTTCTAGCTTTTCTTCCCTGCCCGAAAAATCACGAAGTTGAGAGGACAGATAAAAAAGACCATTTCCAGTCAGGGTTGTGCAACATTGCAAATCTCCTTCGGTTTCCGTTTTCTCAAACAGGTGCTGTTAGATTTGCATATAAAATTACAAACAAGAATCTAATTACTAGTTACAATCATGTACATACAAGGTCGTCTTCACTATCGGAAAGCTCAACAATGCCTAAATATTTGATGCCGGGCTGAGTAGTATACTTACTACTCCCGTTGACAGATTTGGAGGCCTGGCCTTGCAATCGTGAACTACCTGAAAGCAGATGTGTTTGTTTAGAATGAACGATGATGATTTGAGAACTCACTCGATGCTTCATTAGTTGGACCCAGATTATTTCGGCGTTGGATCCGAATCCGAGTGGATATCTCAGAATTTGGACGTGAACCTGCAAAATTCAAGGGTGATTGGAGGATTAGCGGAAAGGAAATGATATGACTAACCGAGTAATTCGCTCAAATTATCAACCTTGTCTGTTTGCTTGGTAGCCACCGCAAGCATGGGAACCGGAACATCAACTCTGCGAGTCGAGTGTCCAGTTGAGGGTGGAAGACCGGTAAGCTGGATGAAGAAGGCGGTATTGAATGTGATGGAAATGCTGTCGTTCACATTGGTTGCTCGGAAGCTCAATGCTTTATTGTTGATGACAGTAGTTGATAGAGTAGGCATATAATGTTTCCCTGTGCTGTCTGTCTCAGGCTGACTCTGCAAGCGGGGAACTAGAAATTCCGCTTTATTTACGTTATAGCCTATGTATTTCTGTAAAGAAGATCATTAGCACTATATGCGAGAACGGTTCATTTGCACCTACAGAGGAAAGCATTCGAATCACAATCCCAGGCCAGAGGTGATTGTGAAAATGCTTCAGTGCGAGTATCGGAGACCAGGCGAAGTGCTCAGCACAGAATTCCGAGATTCCAGTGATGTCAGGGAGTGTGGGCAGACTCAAAGAGACTGGGACAGAGGTGAACCCAGGTGAAGAGCTTGTCAACGGCTCCAGAAATGAGTTCATAACATCGAGATCTTCAAAGGTAGGAAACTGAGAGTCCCGGAGGATATCTGCTCGGGAAGGACTGCAGCAGCCCATTTTACCTCGAGTGTTATATTGGATTTCATACGCCATATCACTATTCAGCTTGCGGAAGGCTTGGGATAACTGCTGCGGCATGCTTGCAAACAGCTTGTAGGCATTAAGCAGATCATCCCCAAAACCACTCTGGGCAAGGCCACGAGCAGTTTGGTGGCCTATGCCGTTAACGCCGCTACCAAAATCATTCCGAAGCAATGAAGCAATCAGAACAAAACTTCCCTGAGAGTAGCCCGTGGCTTCGGCGTGATAGACACGGACATCTAAATCTCCCCAGAGGCTTTTCGGCTCCTTTCTATGTGAATGTTAGCGTATGTATATTATTATATATGAAGACAAGGTCATTTACGGAACAACGAGTTTCATGATAGATCCAACCCCGAGGGGGAAAACATCACTGTCTTTAGAGAGTACAATGTCGATGATACCCTGTTTATACATATCTGCAAGCTCTGCTTCTGCTTCACCCGGGGCCTGCACGAAAGGTAATTATTGATAAAGATAAGTGAAGGCTACAAAAATACTCACAGTATGGCTGTAGTAGCCGAAATACTTTATTAACTTTCTCGAATGCTTATGGTAGTCTGATTCACGCATTATGACTTGAGTTCCACGTTTAATGAGTGGGCGCCCGTTGCCATCGTAAACAAAAATGCAGTGTGCACCGGCCTTGGATAAACCACATAATAGCTTGAAGAATTGTGTGAGGGTCGAGTCTGATGTATGAAGGCGGCGATTGGCATGAGGACCCCTATCTGACGCACGGAAGCCATCTAAGAATGAGCTTTGTTGATGCATATGAAGGTGAGATGCAGAGGAAATAGATGGCTTTAGTGAAGACATACCTAATATCGACTCCAATGATAACTGTACGGGAACGATGATGATCTTTAATGAAACCATGCTCCAGAACAAAGTTCTTGAGCTTGCAAGTAAACCCAGCTTCATCTACCAACTGTTTGGGAGATATAATGAGCTTAGAAAGATTACAAGGGACAAACTTGGTAACTTACAGGCCAGAGATTTTGGATGCCCATTATGGAGAGTGCTTGGGAGGGGTGCATCGCACTCCTATTCATGAAGGGGGTAAAAACAACCGGCCCGTTCGGCGAAGCGTTGCATTGGGAGTTCCTACATAGGTATTGATACATAAAACAACATAAGTATGGGGTCTGTTCCTACGTAGAGTTAGATTCATGTGTAAGTTTCTCCCCTGAACACTCTCATACAATGTAAGGGTAGAGCCATCCAGGAAGCAAGGCGTTTGCACCGTCCTATCACCAGGTGCAGGCTCTGTCGAAGTTGGTGAGTAGGTAAGGCCAGGAGTCAGAGGGCTTGTACTAGCGATGAAGGAAGGTGTGCCGGAGGCAGAGGCACCGAAAATGGTCCGTTGCTCCATCGCTCGAACGTTTGGGTACATGAGCACAGATATCCTGGTGCCGGGACGCGAGTTGTCTGCAGCGCGACGCCTGTCACAAACAAAGATGGAGGTGGGGTTTGGGTTTGTGAAAAGTCGTTGAGAGTACCGCCAGAGAAGGACGTGCAGGAAGCAGTCGAAGGAGCGCCCTGTGCAAGTAAGTATCCAGCAGATACCTGTGGCAAATAAAGATGGAGCTGGTTCAAACTTGCGTGGTGATGGAAGCTCGGTGAAGCCGCCGTGCAAACGGAGGTACGGGAAGCGTTAACGAAGGCAGAATATCCTATTTCGCAGAGAGATTTTACGGTGTGATCTAACGGCCTGTCAGGCTTAGATAAGACAACGAAAAAGACTGCATACCGAGAAGGCGTCAAGTGAGACGATTCTTGTTGTGAGGTTCGTGGCCGCGTATAACGACAGAGATGAGATGGGTTCGATTGTGAGCAGTCGCGTTTGCTAGTCGGGGTTGCAGGTAGCCGCGGTGTACCCTTCTTCATGTGCTGGGAACAGAGAGTGTTTTTTGTCCAGCCGGAGAAACACACAGCGGAAAAAACGCGAGGCCGGGTGTTGGAAAGGGAAAAGAGTGGGTTATGGGTAGAGGACGGAGTACAGACTGAAACAGAAGATGACGAACGGATAAGAGGATGAAACAATGAACAAACGTACCCGTTGCCGTATCCATCTCACGACGGTTGAGTTACATTCCCTGCGATGATTTTGTTGCGATACAGGGCACCTCTAAGCAGCTGGTGTTTCCTACAGACTCCAATGCAGATGTTGGTGAAGTCACGGAAGGTAAAAGGACAATTTGAGCAAGTTGAAGAGGAGGGTGAGTTGGGTGCTCTGACAAGCCAAGATGAAAGGTAACTTTGAAGGTAGAGGATTCAGATAAGGCTAGAGTACACAATCAAATTGACGAAACTAAGATGAACGGTAAATTTCGCACAACGGAGTAGGCAAAGCGTTGCTGGAGCTGCGAGCGACTTGACGGGCAAACGAAAGAAAGGCTTAGGCGCCTAAACGGAACTAAACCGCGCTTAGCAGAGCACGCGCCAGAGCACGCGTTTCTGTTGATCGTTCGTTGGCTCTTCGTTCTTCCTGCTTCAACCAAGCCTCCCCTCAGCCCTCCAACCGGTTATTTAATGGCATGTAAGTAAATCTTCAACTGTTATCTATCTTCGCCTGGCTTGGTTTTGCTAGCCAACAGACGCCCAGCCCACCATCTAGGCAAGGCTCTGTTGGCTACGATCCCATTCCGCGACGCGTCTTAACTAGCGTTAAGACGCGTCAAAACAAATTATTTTGCCAAACCTTTGAAGTCTTTCTCTAACAACTGATGCCAGACGCTGACGCTTTCCAGCAGACAACATCATTCCTACGGCTCACATCAGGTTCCCTTCCTTCAACCTCTCGGCTGCACTGGAAGCAGACAACCAAGCACGGATGGCTGCCGAGGATGCGGAAGAGACGCTAGATGATGGTGAGCTCGAGTTCGAAGACGACGCAGAGGAAAACGCCTTCCAAGACCCGGAGCCACCTTGCCAAAACAGTTTGAACCCGGCCGCTTCTTTTGCCTCTCTTTCTCGTAAAGACAAGAAGCGCAAGTCTCTCAGCAGGCGCTCTCGAGCTAAGCGTGCTGCCCAAGCCATAGAGCGCACCAAGAGCAACGGGTTGAAGCCCTTCGTCGTTGAGCTTGCCAAGGGAGCTGCGCCTCTCCGGCTCAAAGATTTCAACGCTGCCGACCTCCCTGTCTCCTCTAGTGGATGGAGTGCTAACCCTCGGAAGAAACTATCCCCTGGCCTTCTGAAGGTCTGGAAAAACCTTGACGCACTTAGCTCAATTTCTGGCCTCAAGCTGCTCGAGTGGGACGGAACGTGCGTTTTAGCCATACCTTCTGAGTTTCTCTGTCACTCACCGCTTTTCAGCACCTGTATTGCCCTTGTTGACGTTCAAGACCGTGTTGTTGCTGTTCTTGGCGGCGTTCCGCATGGGTCTGCGGGAGAAGAATGGAAGGCTGTTGAATCCGACGCTGCTGGCGCTATGAAGCAATGCTTCGAGGCCAGTACCTTCACTCAGGCTCAAAAGCATGGCCGGCGCGGAGACTTTGCTTCTAGAACTGTAGGTTATGGCTATGGAAACGGGCGGCTGAAACCACAGAACTACAGAGTCTCTGGTAAAGCCAACCAGAAGGCTGTGAATGAGCTCTTACAGAACAAGTCCATTCGGCGTATATCAGGCTTCACCAACGGTACGCATTCGTTGCTCCCTTAAACCTCCTATGAGCTCACCGTTATTAGTGCTGTTCAACGCCTTCTGTCATAAGAACTACGTAGAGTACAACGACGCACATAACGAACTGCGACAAAAGCAGCCAGAGCTTCAAAGTACCTTTCCTAAAACCTCGTTCGCCGCCGTTACCTTTAACTTAGGGCCACAATCATACTCTCCGCCCCACATGGATCCTGACAACCGAGCCTCAGGATGGTGTATCGATACTGCTATGGGCCCTTTTGACCCTGACAAAGGGGGTCACCTAGTTTTTTGGGACTTAGGGTTAGTCATCCGGTTCCCCCCAGGCTCCAGTATTCTCTTTCCCTCTGCGCTGATCACACATTCAACCATCCCCATACAACCTCAAGAAACTCGCTACGCGATGGTTCAATATTCCTCTGGTGGGATTTTTCGATGGCGAGACAACGGCTTTCAGTCGGACAAGTCTTTTCTTGCTACAGCCAATGCAGAAGCACGAACAGCACGGGAATCAGCACGCCTGTCGCGCTGGAAGCTAGCCCTGCAAAAGTTTACACGTTGGAGTGATGTTTGTAGGGGTGATTGGAAGGGTTCAATTCGAACAGAGGCTGGATTGGATGAGTTAAGCGATCTCTCAGACCTCGAGGAATTTTCCACTACATTACCTTCTAGTAAACGTGTTTGTCGTCGATAAACTAGTAAACATGTTTGTTGTCGGTAAACTGCTACGAATCAATACGGCGCAAATTTCTTTCCGTTCTGTCTTTGAACTTGCCTTGAGGAAACCTTGAGGCTCATTAGAAAGCACATTTAATCTCATATAAACCTCCTACCTCCTCATTAGCAGCCCTAGGAAGAGTGCCAGCTCACTTGGTAATTTCGCAGACAGAACATTCTGTTGCTGCATCACGGCTTGCTAATAATAGGGGCTTCATTGGGTTCTTCCTCCAACCTCAATGACCATCGACATTTCAAACAACAACTCATACTCTGGACTGTTCAAGGTCATCGAAGAACAACACCCAGACCCAGCAGATATCCTGGATGATTTGGAAGAAAGTCACGATCAAGTTGAGGTTGACTTGTCAGGGCTTAGTGATGCAGTCCGTGAGGTTTCGAAAGGTGTTTCTGAAAAGACGTCCCAAGAATATCTCCGGTGTGTGTCTATATGTGCTAGCTCTATCCTGCTGATGATTGATTCCACTGAAGATTAATGAAGCAATGCAACTTATTCCTCGTTGAACAACAAATGATAACGGAGGGAACTCATTTTTTCTGTGATAGCCCTCATTCTCAAGCAGCAGTATATATAGTGGCATGGATCATGCACTCGTAGGTGCTGTAACTGTCATTTCCCTTTATTGGATTGATCTTTCTTAGGTGTGATGAAATAAACCTCAACGGCAGTCCCATTGCACCAAACGTGGAACGCTCCACTTATGCACATGCTCAGAAGATGAGAGCAGCTGCAACCTTTGGATTCGGGCGAATCCATGGTTTAGGTATGCAAGCTTGGCACCAAAGTGAAATTTCTGGGAAGATGCTTGGAAACCCCTCTGTTTCCGAAACTGTTTCAAGCTACATGCTCAGTCTCCGGCGTAGAAAAGTCAGTTTCCGTGAGCTCTATCCCTCTGGTTGCCTGACCTTTTCCTTCAGACACGTGCAGGAGAAACTGCAACTAGTGCGCGAGCAGTCACGTCTGTATGTGCAGTATCAATTTCATTAATACATGTAAATCAACTACTTTGCATAGCAATTGCTTGAACGCCTGTATCACTTCAATCGGCGACAATCCTCTGCTTTCTTTTTCTCATCTCAAAAAGCCCCTAAAGGACGTCTTGGAGCCCATGCTCGTTTTCTGTTGAATCTGGGCTACAACCTAGCCTTTTGTGGCTTACTTCGTGTTGACGAATTGCTCAAGATCCAAATGCAAGACATTTCAGTCTCTCCAGATCCTCAAACTGGACAAACAAAACTGACGCTTCGTCTTCCATTCCGAAAAACCAGTCAGTTTGGAGGCAAGTCCATACGCTATTGGATCTTCTCGGTCTCACTGAATAATCCCTTAGATATTAAGCCATTTGTCTGGTATGAAATGCCAGAAGAATACCAGCATATATGTGTTGTTCGTGCATTTTCAAGATGGGTGCTTCTCTCCGGTTTGACAGAAGGCTATCTGTTTCGTAAAATCCGTGCTGGTGACCGTCTCGCTGAGGAAAATGAACCAATGGTAAGTACACCTTGCTTGTTCATTGGCCGTTTCTCAAAGACCATTAGACGTCTGAACAATTTCTTGAGTTGTTTCGAAACAATCTCCTTGATATTGGCGTGGATTTTGTCCCTTATGGAACTCACTCATTTCGACGCGGCGGATGCCAGTGGTTATCAGTGGAACGTCGCTGGCCTCTACGTCAAATCTGTGAATGGGGGGGATGGAGTCAGGAATTTACGCACCTGACAATTGTGAAATATCTCATATCCTGGAACGATAACCCTCACGTTGACCGCGATGACTTTTTTAATATGCATCGGGCACCCACTACTGTCTGTCCTACTTGTAACCGCTCCTGTCATTGTGCTTAACTACGGTTTGTAGTTCAAACCTTTCTTTCATTAAGAATGTATACAAAAAACAAACATAGTAAATCATAGATGTGTTATACCAAACGATGATCAAGCTCAGCAAGGTAACGACGCGCAATAGCTGATTTATCTGTGAGTACCTTGCCTCGGTTGTTCACAAAGACCTGAGAGAAACGGTCCCCATACTCAGCCTTTGCCCTATCCACGAGCCTCTCGTCCTGCGCACTACGCAATTCCCGTAACCGATCAGTGATAGCCTTCCAGTGAAAATGTTCGCCGTTGGTTGAGGAAAACTCTTGCCAAAAATCATCAGGGCCACGAGAACGGTAACGCTCAGCAACATACTGCACAAACAGGTCAGTGAAAGATATTTTATAAAGATGAGACGATTTTACCTTCCACTCAGTCCAGAGTTTCTTCAACCATGACCACACCCTGTTCTTCTTACCACTGAAGACCATCTGCCAGTACCGGAGTGCGATTGCTGTACCATTTATCTGTAGAAGATTCCTGGCGCAATCGATAGGATCCCAATTGAGGCTTTCGTCATCCCATACACGGTCAAGACGAACAATGTTGGTGGCAAAGGAGATTTGGCGGGGTTCACGAATATCACTATACTTGTACCTGATAATTTGCCCATGGCCGATAGCGAGGCTAAAAGTTGTTTCTTTCATAGCTCCAGCTATGACAAGTCCGTTGGTAGGGGTTGCTGATGTCGCGGTCATACTATTCGAGGCCAACGCGCCAGTAGTCATAGGCGTTGTGGATGGCGGTGAGAGGAATGGGATGGGATCAGGGGTAACAGGATGAACTTGACGGTCCAGGGACGAGCAATCAGATTGGGAGCTCGTGACAGGATGAACTTTAAGAACTCACCAGATGAAAACGGAGCAGGAGGGATTGAGGGTTGAGTTTGTAGTTGTGCAAGGACTGTAGCTGGTAGCGGTGGCAGCGTCGGAAGGCCAACTACAAGCATGTTGATTGTAGCAGTCAGGTTAGCAATCTGTTCGTTCATTGAACGTATTGACTCTGTCACCATTACCTGCTCAAGAAGAATGAAAACATTAGGAGAAAAAAGTGATGCCTGCTACTTACCGTACCACCTGCTTTCTCCTTTGTCCTCTCCTCCTCCCTAGCTTTCCGTCTCCTTGCAATCTCTGCTTCAGGTATATAGGGATGTGACTCGTCGAATTCCTTTGCCTGATCAATCATATAAGGCATGGATTGGAACTTCTAATGTAGAAAACTCACCCAACGAAGAAGCTCAGCCTTCTCCTCCAGGGTCCGTGTGTCTTTTGACCGTTGCGTATCGAAAAGCTGGCTGCCAAGCGGCGCATTGAGCGGAAGCCCCAACAGCTCATTTCGTCGTATAGCTGATGGCTTGAGTTTTTTGAGAGCGGTGGATGAGGCAACAGAACTGTCCTTGGGCTTGGGTTTGTTTTTAGTGATACCACCATCGCGGACGCCACGATGAGCGCGTCGAGCACCCTGGATAAGGCTATAAACATATCAGCTGTAAGTTATTATTGAAGCTTTCGAGGTGGCACACCTTGGCCACCGTATTTTGTTCTCACTAAATCCAATAAGTTTTTGCTTCAAGACCGACTTATTACCCAAAGTCCCGAGCGAATATTGTTTACAGAGGGCTAGCAGCGCCTCTCGTTTCAGATTGTTGCTGTGTTTATGGTTAATGGTCATATACTATGACAGCAGGAACGATACGCACATATCTTTGTACACAGCATGCATGACGCCGTCTGTATACTCGCCAGGAAAAATGAGGGAGTTCGGGGGCTGAGGTTCAGCAGGATACCTAACCTCGATAGTCTGTCCTTCCAATTCGATAGCGACATTGTCTGTGGGAGCCGACGAGGCGTTGTCAATCTCCATGAGACCCACAAGTTGTTGAGATCGTAATGCGAGAAGGGAAAGGGCAAGAGATTGCGAGCTGAGGATTTTGTGGAGGAGAATGAGGAATTGAGGATCGAGGTTGTTGGAGGCGGAGACGATGAGCGAGTCCAAAGAGCCAGCGGCGGGAGCGGCAGCGCCACCATTGTCGATCGAACTGCAAGGGACGCCGAGGGTCAATAGTGTGAACGGAGGTAAAATAAATGAGAACGACAGGCGAAACGACGGGCAGAGAACCGGCCAATCCATGGGTGAGAACAAAATGAACAGTAACGTGATTGCAATAGAGACGGACGATGCAGATTCGGCCGAAATGAGCATCGTCCAAATCCGATCAAATTTGACCGGGCCTGTCATCCGGGCGTGACTTTATTGTCTATACTCAGAGAGAAGTCACGCTCAACATCGACTGAAGATGCTGTGAGACTTTGAGTGTTGTTTCAAAAGAGTGCTAGCAACATACTCACCTGGGATAGAGCAAAAGTCGGATGCCATACAGTAAAGCCTTGGCCAGATTTTTTTCTTTGACTCCCAGTATTTAAGTACTCCACCGCAGGTATCAAGTTCTGACTTGAGGATAATTGGAAATTTCATCTCTCAACCAACACGTCTCTGCTGGTCCCAGAGAAAATATACGAGTATCAAAAGTGGAAAGACAGTTGAATGATAAGTGAAGCTCCGGTATTACTATTCTAGGTAAAATAAACATGACCAACCGTGGTCATACTGTAACCATTCCAATAACCATGAGAAAGTCCCGTCCCGTACCTGTCCATAGATATACGGTGGATACAGTCAGTACCCGGGAAATGCCAATCCATGTCCGTCCTTATCCTCCTGCTGCTTTCGCTAGCTAGTCCACCACATCAACTTGAACTGCATGACTAGTATTGGGTTAAACCTTTTGAATCACATTCCCAGTACCCAGTTTCAGGCTGATCCGATTTGAACTAGTTTTGCTTATTACTTCTGTACTATGCTCCACTGTCGTGAACTGCACCTTGCTTGGGAGAGGATAGATTTCACTTAAGTTCATGATACCAAAACTGGTATGCCATGCTGTAGGGTGATCTAAGTATAATCTGATTGTCTCTGTCAAGGTGTAGATTGGTTTCAGCTCAGATATCAAGCAATAAACACAGTGCACATAAGGTGCACTACAAAACATACACACTTCAAAAGCCTTGTGCAAAGAACGCGCCACAAAATTCACTTCAAAGGCTAAACATTTGGCAAAAGCATGAAGCGGCCAAGCACAGCCAGAATGTGCCTGCACAAAAGTAAGAGTATGTGGCTGCTGTTGTTCATCGGGAAGAGCGGTAAGGAAACAAAAATTCTGCCGCCTGAACAGAAGTCGTTGAAATACACGGTAGTGCCTGTCAGGATATTACCGAATTCGATACAGAATTCCCATCCAAGGGTGTGAATTCAAGAACTTGAAGAAAGCATTCGCCGTCTGAATTCCACGCGATGATGAAGGAATTAGTCGAGGGAATATGGGAGTGTGCGATTCTCCCCCCTCGAGCTGTTGGTGGCCCAATGTAGCTCCAGAACCTTCTTTCAAGCTTCGTTGAACCGTTCATTAATCGCATGAAACAGACTGTGACTCCTGAGGCTGAGATTGTTGGGCTTGCATTATTTCTTGTAGCATTTCCGATGCCCTCTCGAAACTCTTGCGAGCCTCAGCGAGATATTCTTTCGAGTTCGTGTCAAGCATGTTCCCGGCCGGTACGTCGAGCGTGAACGAAGGCGCGTAGAGGGGAAACGCAGAATGGGAAGGATCGTCTGGTATACTGATCGATATGTCGAGAGGATTTCCAAGCTGAGATGAAAAAGCAAGGGATAAGCGTCAATGTTCCTGAGCAGGGGAAAAAGGGTAGAAAAAGATGATGCTTACGATGATAGAAGTGAGGTAAGCCCACGTTCTGGCTGCATTAGGTGCATGATACCCGCCTCCTCCCAAAAACAACTTTCGAATACCCTTCCAATCGTCGACGATGCGAGAAACACACCACCCTAGCGAGCCTTCAGCCGCAACATCCAAGCTCCAATTGAACACTTTGCATTTTGGGTCGCCAGCAAGTCCGTCAACACCACATTGAACTACAACATAGTCGGGTTTGAAGACATCTTTGATGCGCTCGATTAGGGGCCAGATGGCAGCGAATGTTGAATTGGAAGCACCTTCGAGGAGGGGAAGGGAAAGAGTAAACGGGTCGAAGGATGTAGATGGGTCAAATGGCAGTTGGGCAAGAGGAGAGGAAGGAAAAAATCCTGGAGCAGCATGGTGGATGCTTACAGTCTGTGGATTCAAGATATTGAGTGAACAAGCGAGTGGTCGTAGAAAAAGACACGAACCAGAACCTGCGTCGAAGAAGATCTACCCGGTGAGTAGAATGCTTGCGACACACCATCTGAAAAATGCACATCCAGATCTAGATACATTACCCGAGGCTTTCTGTGGCTTGGGGTAGCATTCGGGATGGTCGTGTCTGACGATAGGGACAATGCTGGAGCCGGTTGGGTCTTTTTGAGCAAAAGGATAGCCAACACACAATCTGCCACATAACAAAATCCAGATGCGCGTGATTTCTGTGCATGATGTCTACAATAACGAAAACGCGTCTGAATTCTACGAAACGTCCGCAAGATAAGAGGTTACAACCTTCCACCATCCCAATTGATTGCGATGTCCGCATACCCAAATCGCAACGCGTTCGCTGCTGTTATAGTTGCTCCCGCCACCAGACAGATATATTCAGAGAGACCAGGGAATCGTGGACAATCATCCTCTAGCCCAAATTCACTCATATCTTCTGAGTCAGTTCCATCTGGAGTACGTAGAAGAGCGTCTAGATAGTTCCGAGCATGATATGCACCAAGGTCGTTGATCGTCGCTGGTTTTGGCTTGACAAGCTGCAACTGCCGAAGCGAAGAGAATTCATGCGACAAGAGGCCGAAGGCGTTGGCAAGAGAGTGAACCAAGATAGATCTACCAGGATTGGAGGGGAGTCGCGACGAGTACTTTCCGAAGTATTCGTGAGACCTCGTGGTGCAAACAAGTTCAAGGAGGAATCACCTTGATTAAATCTTGAGAGACTACATAGGCCACTTGGAAATGAGTTGGAGAGCTCATTGAATGCGACAATCCTTACCAGACCATGATGGTAAAACAAAGGAAAAATGAGTGACCGGGCCGGTCAAAATACGCCAAAGCCGGAATTTCATACGCCCACCCACCAGACGTCGCGACCATGGGACCTGATTACCATGTAGGATAATATTGGCGCTTCGCTGTTTCACTCCCGCTTCCAAGAAAAAAGCAATCCATTCACGCCTACGCTGATCCCAACACGATAATATCCTTTTTTGGCCCAATCTGTGCAGACCAACCTGCGGCATGTTACTGAGGCGATGGTATATGCAAGGTAATAAGAGGCGTCGCTTTTTTCACGAGGACCATCTGAAGAATGAGTACGGTTTTCTGTAGGTTTGAATGATTATCTAGAACAGCGCTCTTGTCACGGCAGAATCATACCAATGTCTTCGCTGCGGCTCAGCTCTGTCACAAGCCTGTTGCTTGGTCCTGGCAACTCACATACCGTTTTGCCTTCAGTGCGATAGCTACAGCTACCTGGTAGCTTAGGGAATGACGGTTAAATATCATTTCGCCAACGCTGGCAGTACAATGCAGTCCTTCGATCCCAGCTCGTTCATTTGCCAATGCCGATTCAGAATATGCTCGTTCCTATCATCCAGGACGAGCCCGAACCTTGGGAATGAGTTGATTTGTGTCACTGCGTCCTAAATTGGGGTGCAACTTGGTGCAAATCAGTTCTGCGACGTTCGACAGAATGCTTTATCCCACCGTGTAAAAACGCTTCCTCACATTCGGCTTTGATCATGGATGTGTTACATTCTATACGCCCTCCAAATGATATATGCTACATCGACACGTCTCAGGCCGTCTACCATCTATATCTATAAATCGTATCAGGCAGAGTGACAAAGTTAGATATATGAAGTTGATCCTGGTCGGGAGAACTCGTCCATTCAAATCTCGTGGAGGGCATATGAAAATGCAGTGTTTACCAATTCAAGCTGTCCTTTCGTTCAGTTGCGGTCTGGTTGCGGCGGTTTCAAGGCGATCGAGGCCGGGAAGCAGATCAAAACTGATCTTCAGAAATTAGAATCGCTCCGATATGATTCAGTGCCAAAGGGAACTCGTCAAGGAGGTACGAGAAATATTCATTACCATGAGAGTGATCGTTAATTTTTTTTTTTCAATTATTAGTGTCGTTCTCTAGTGTCAAGACGAATTCATGACTCGGCATTTGTATTGACCTGTTGCGCATCTAGTTCTGGCCACTGCTTCTCGCAAAGTATTCTGATAATCAGATACTTTTCACGTCGAGAACTAAATTCTGTCGCACGGTTGTATTGATCGTTGATGTTCCGAGTCCGTGTTCGGCCAGCGATTTGACTCTCGTCTTTGGCCACTGGCACCGAAATCATCACAAAGCACTGCTTAGCTGAAATGCTTAGGATAAGGTTTCGAGATGAGGGGTTGGACACCATGAACAGTGATACGGCTGTTCTTCAACTTGACCTCCATTTTCCCTGCTTCACTACCTATTCCATTCACCCATCTCACGCCGCCGTCGCTCGCGGCACGAGCGTTGACGTTCTCGATGTTCGATTTGCCCTTCCTACTTCAGTTTGTTCTGCTCGCCTTTATGCTCATCGGCCTTGCATTCCCTGGAATCACAGTTGGATTTCCGACCACTAGTACGAACGTTACAATCGACGATCAAGATCCCGCTATCTTTTACTCGGCCGGGCAATGGAACTTGTCAAACTCTTACAATTCTCTAGATGTCAAAGGTTTCCACCATCTCAGTGGTCAGTCATCTGCGTTCGCAGTATTCAATTTTACAGGTACGCAACGTTCTGTAATGTGGGAACACGTATCCGGTTTTGATTCTTCACTGTTGATCTTTGCTTACATCTATCTTTCTTTTTCGTTCTTGTCTTCCTTATATCTTGATGTTACAGGAGTCGCGATTTACTTTCTATCCCCGCTCTGGCCTTACGCTGTTGGAGCGCAGCTAGTGCTCGATAATCAACCTCCTGCCTTTGTGGATCTACAAGACTATTCTCGATCTGTGAGCTTGAGTGGGGGTTCAGAAACTGTATCTAGTGCGGTCGTTTGGGGAGTCGAGAATTTGGAGTTGGGGAATCATAGCTTACGAGTTGAGTTTGCACAAGAGAAATCCGAGTATGTGGTGTTGGACGCATTAATGTGAGTTAAGTTGACCAGATTTTTAGTGTCGGACTTCATTTCCCTAATTTCAGATATTCGTCTATTGACAACGCCACCGTTAAAAGCCCTGTATCTTCTTTCGTCGGTGGATCGAGTGTCATGCCTTCCCCTACCGTTGTCGAGCAAACAAGCTCCTCTACTCCCGTATCTCATCAATCTGGGACTTCAGCTGCTATCGGAGCTGTGGTCGCCGTCGTTGTAGTACTCGTTATATTCGTTCTTGTCTTCCTTGTCTTCCGATATCGAAAACGCAAAGCTGCTCGATTTCCACGCCTAAACATTTGGGACGGTGAAGATCATCCAGCAGAGAATCGCGACCAGAGTGGTAGTGTGATGGAATCATCCGCGACGCACGATGCGACGGTTTTGTCGATGAGGAGTCGCTCTGCAGAGCGTTTGCTTCAGTCTCCTACTAAAACTTCCTCCACTTTGCCTTCGGCGTCGAAGTCTACTGTAGCCATTTCTCCTCGTCTTCCACTTCCTCCAATCAACACGAAACAACTACCTGCGCTACCACCACCCGACGAAGAAACACAGTCAGCTCTCAAATATACGAAGTCAATATTGTCAGCGGTGTCTAAAAGATTTACTACCCCTGCTCCAATTCCTCAAAGCGGGTCTACCGCGGAATCTACCACCTCGTCTTTCTTTCCTCGTCCCATTTTTGATGAAGATCACCGGATGCTATCGATATCCAGACAACACTCATTTCGTGGTACAACAACACCTATACTAACTGGCTCGGACGCGCTGGATCCTGCGAAGGTCTCTAGGATAGGAACGTATCCAGGAGTGGCGACCAGTAAAGTCGAGTTACAGGAGGCGCGACGTTTTCCGGCGAAGCCTATCACTCGCAACCTCGTTCCTCACCCTGCTAGTGAGAACGTGCAACCACCTGTGACAGTCGAAATCTCTCGAAAAAAAAATCAGTCTCCGCCCCCTTTACCAACCCAACCAAGCACGACCGTCAGCCCACACATCTCTTCATCTTCTGTTTCCTATTCCGCGAAACGGAAATCGCTGAACGCGCTTACGATCATACCAGAAAATAGTGGTTCCCGGGGTAAGCTTGATACGGAAGAGATTAATACATCGTCTAACCGCACTGGAAAGCGTGTTTCTGGAGGAAAGTTAAGAATGGAGAAAGAGAGGCAGCGAAGGCGACGTTCCAAAACTCCTGTCACCCCGCAAGGTCCTCGTTCGCGTCCTCTCCCTTCGCCTCCAGCTTTTCTCTCTGTTTCAGGCTATAATACACCTTTACCATCTGCGTCCTCCGGCGGATCTTCGAATTCTGAAGCTTTGAGCAGCAATGGATCCGTTCCCACTGTGAATTCTCAATTTCCGATCAAGGCCACGGTACAAGGGCACGTAGTCCATAAACGTAGGCCTTTACCGCAGACATTACCGGAGGCGCGGAGGTCGTCGTTACTTTTGGGCTCACATATATTGGTTCCGCTGAGGAGTGTTTCTCGTGGGTTGTCTCCTGGAGTTGATGGCGTCCGCTCTCGCGCGCTCTCGATAAGCTCAATAATTCAATCACAACCCGAACGTTTGAAAAGCGCTTTTATGAGACAAGATCAAGAGCTAAAGACACCTTTGAGCAGTTCTGATTCCACTTGTACAGAGGATGATGATGATTACAAACAGGAACTTCGTGATAGAAATATCGCTTCTCCCTCCCCCCGATTAGAATGGGATCTACCCGTCCTTTCATCCCTTCTATCTCTGCCTGCCATCAGTCTTTCGGACAATGCCTTAACTGCGCCCTCGCCTGCCCTTCTCCCTATTCCTACTTCCAATAAACCAACACCTTTGAGACCTCGGAGTGGGCAGCCAGAACACTCACGTAGCCTCCCATCCTCTCTACCCAGCCTGAATGTAGTTCCACAGGAGCCAGCGGATAACAATAATAATCCTTCTACTTCTGTCAGTACCGCTGCACGAGGACCTTTACCTCCCACTCCTTCCGCACCACTGTCAGCCCGTTCGACTCCAGAGACTCGTTCCGGTGATAGATCGCCGCGCTCCCCAAGACGTTTACCCCCTGAACCCCTGCAGTTGAAGCATACAAGGATGGAATCATCTAAGGAGATTACCGACGCTCCTGACGCACAATATCTCACTATTCCGGGAGATCTCAACGTCGCTCCGCCTCCGTATTCTGGTCGTCGGTTTAGTCCGTCCATGATTCCACAGCCAAAAGCGCCAGCCCACCGGCTTTTTGCCCAGGAAGCCGTCCCGCTTGCTGAGGGAGAGCAGACAGAGCAATTTCAGAAGGACCCTTCATTACTCAATTCTACCAGAAACTTTACCAGACGAGCCCTACAGAGCATACCAGCAACCCCTTCGGAATGGAGAACAAGTCCAACTGCGCTGTCTTTGACAACACCAGGTTCGATAGGTCAGACACCTCAACATCAGGATGATACTGCAGCAGAGATGTTGTTTGAGTTACTTGATGACGCCGGATCTCCCTCAAGTACAGCTACATCACATACATCGACAACCATACGCCCACTTTCGATACCTAAGAAATCGAATCATATAACATCAGTGCCTCCCCCGCCACGGCAGTCTGTGATGACACATGGTAAGTCGTTGTCCGCGTCCCAGGATTCTGCTGCAGCTATTACAAAACGATCATATCCGCACCAACCGCGACAAGAGTCTGTTACGCGAGTTCCGAGAATATCTCTGATACCGGAAGATGAAGCAGTACCACCAATCACATCTAGATTGCTATCACCACGAAATCCTCTGATCATTCCTCCTCATCCCATTGCACCCCCACCTCCGCTGCCTTCGTTGCCTCCTGCATCGACTCTAGCGCCTGCAGTGTTTTCGCCATCTAAACCCATCTCGATCCGGAGTAAAGTGTGGAATGCTCGAGAGATAAATTCTCGTGCTAATGCACCTGTTGATACCCAGGATGGTAGTCGAAATATTGCTACTGCCTCTAGCATATCCAGATCCAGATCCAATTCAGCTCCTCAGAGAACGGACTCTCAGACCACGCGAATTATCTACCCCCACGCCCGTACTGTCATTACTGACGATTTTACGTCTACATATGTGCCGTAGATATTTATTCCCAATAGTTACAATTGCGTTTATCGAAAAGGATCCTGGCCATAGAGACCTTGCCAATATACTGACGTCTGGAAATGCATCAGGTTCTATCAGGATCCAGCAAGATTTCATATCACAAGGTGCTCGCCATTTACCTTGTTCCCTACGGACTTCACAGCCCCTTCAATAATCCACTGCCTGTGGAAAGCTGTAGATAGGTTAAATTGCGGATATCACAAGTCAAATAACTCTTCGTTCCATGGTCCAGAAAAGGAAAGGAAACTGGTATGACTGCTCACACAGTGCATCGATCTTGATGCCAGTGCGTAACGCATTTCTCCAGTGGACAAATCATGTATTATAATACCGCTCGGTGCCTCAGAGCCCCTGCAATACAAAGGCCGGAGTGAGACCACTATGTCGGTCTGCCCAAAGGAGGCACTTTCCACAGAAAAAAAAACTGGCATGACTGGTCCCATGGTATTACATACACTGCGTTATTATGTATGCCCCGGATGACCGATGCCGGATTAACGGAGTCTTATCTTCCACATTCAATCAGAGTGCATGGTCCAGGCAAGATCAGTGGCCAAAATCTCTCGCCCATGGACACAGATGGGCACCTATGATCTAGTTAGCATGTTTTTCCTATCGGCGCCGGATAGATTTGAAGATAAAAGGTTCCCAAACATCGATAGGTCGGTCTCCCTCCTTTACTTGCTTCCATCTTTCTATTCTTCGGCAGGCCCGATCGCGAAGCATCTTTTTCACCTTGTCTTTACAGTTTATCATTCCCCTCGTTGATCCTTCTATTTACATGGTCACCACCATGCGCGTTGTCACAATCATACTGGTCCTTCAACTCTTCATCGCGCTGGGCCATGGTATGCCTAAGGGATTGAAAGGGAAGAAAGGGAACTCAGCGAAATTGTCACAAAGTTCCAAAGCCGACACACAGCGGCCACAGCGCGAGGCTGCAAGTCGGACACGGATTCCTTCCTTCCCGCCGTCACATTGGGTAAACCCTTATAGAAATTGTAATGCGGAGAAGACAGAAATAATTGACACTTGGATAATGGACGCGTTTAACATGACATTCGAAGCTGAGCATATGACACGAGATCATCCTGTGTGCGTTTTATTTTGATTTGATTTAAATATTCTGCTCACTCTTTGAGTGTAGCTTCAAGTGTTTCTTTTTCCGCGACAACTTTCCTACATTTGAAAAGATGATTCGATCACTCAACAGTGCGAGCTTGGGTTCGTACAGGGGGCTAAAATATGAATTTCAATGTGCTCAACAATGCCCACCCAAGTAAGTTTGCATTAATGACATCCGGGCATTGGCTCACAACGTGGCAGATCTTGGTTGGTAGGAA